AATCGGTTCAGCGCGCCCTGCTGCGGCCGCTGGTTGCTTGCTCACCGTTGCCGAGGCCAAAGTCCTCAAAGTGTATATACGCGCGCGGGTACAGGGCGCGGGCGGCGGCGACAAACTCGTCCACAAAGGCGTCGTAGCGGGCGCCGCGGACGCGCCGCTCGCGCAGGCCCAGGTACAGGTCGTCGTCGAGCAGGGCCGGGTTGTCGGTGCCGCAGTCGAGCACGACGGGGAGGCAGCGGTTGGGGTGGACGCCGGCGCAGAGCGTGGCGAGGACGAGCTTGGCGACGGAGATGAGGATGCCGCCGACGCCCTGGTCGCCGATGCCGAGGATCTCTTCGCCGTCTGCCGAGCGTACATCAGCTTCCTCTCTCTTTCCTCTATCCACTTCCCCTCACCCCCCTTCTCTCTCCCGTTGTCCCCATCTTTTTCTACCATCATATATATATGCTCCCGAGAGGTGCAGGGGAGGAGGGACGGACCGGTGACGACAATGTAGTCGATGTCCTCGGGGTTCCCCCACTGCGCGAGGTTCGCCCGCACGCGCTCCTTGTCGTTGACGCTGAGGAAGCACCCCTCGGGCCGGCGGAAGAGCCTCGAGTAGTTTTGTATGGCGTCGCCCTCGGTGGGCGTGTACACGACGCTGAACATGTCCTTGATGTTGTCCTGGAGGAGCTATATGACACACGCGATGCGCAGACTAACCGTCAGCAAGAACGCCCTGCTTTACACATACACAGTCTTGGCGTGACAGCAGCGGCGGCAGCGACACTGGAACCAAGCGACTGACCTTGTAGTACAGCACCGCATTCTGCTCCTTCATCGACGTCAGGAACGTGTTCTTGGCCAGGTCATCCGGCCGCGAGGCGTACTGCTCGCGCGCACGCCGGGCCTGCGTCTCGAGCGTCTGCGCGCCGCTCCCGGGGAGCAGGCCGTGCAGGCCAAAGGCGCGGCGCTCCTCGAGGGGAAACGCAGAGCCCTTGTTGAAGAAGGGGTCGTTGAGCAGCGCCGTGCCCGAGAGCGCGCAGTCGAGCGGGCCCGTTGTGCTGAGCGGCAGGTGGCCGAACCTGGTGCCGGAGCCGGAGCCGGAGCTCCTGGTGTTGGCATCGCCGTCTGATGCCATTGCGGTTCACACGGGAGGGGGCGAGGTACGTGCAACGGGCAGGGTCAAGCGGCTTGAAGCTCTATTGCAATGCACGGAGTGGCAGGACGCCCTAGATAAGGAAACGAGCGCAATGCACGGGGATGATGGGCGGCGGCCATGGCGGTGACCCGGCTGGCTAGCTATGCGTGGAGTGGATGAGGGCCAAACGCAGAAGTGACGTGTGACGTTATGTTATCGCCCTTCGGCACACCACCGATGCATCCGCAGAGCTTAACTCCAAACCGGCTGACCCGCGCCGGCACCATCCACTGGTATCCGTCCACCCATCCACCCACCCATCTATCCTTACCCGCGCGTTCCTCCGCCACACAGACGCACCCTGCAGGGACCAGGCCCCTGCCGACCGGAGAGAAGATTCAAAGCAGTCACAGTAAAATGTCGGCACTCAAGGAGCCGCGCCCGTGTAGGTAAGAAGCCCCCCGCCCTCCCTGCAGGGCCGAGAGGCCGAGAAGGGGGGGAAGGGGGCACCTCAAGACGAGCGCGGACTATGACGGTCCAATATATTCCGATCTCGCAGCACTTTCCAAGACGTCCAATCCGTGAGGAAAGGGGCCGTCTCTCCTCCTGCAACCAGCCTCCCCTCGTCGGGCAGCGCAAGACGCGTCGCCCGGGAGGGGCCTTCCGGAGGAAGACTCGTGGGGGATGGTCGGCGAGTGGCTGGCGGAGCGTGCTGCTGTGGGCATGAACATCATACTCTACCGGTGCGTAGGTAGGAGGTAGGTTCTCGAAGCTATTTTGTCGTGTCGTTGCTCTACGCTGCTGCGCCCGTCAGTCAGTTTTGTCAGTCGGCCGGCGTGGGCTACCGCCGGTACTGCTGCGCGGCGGGATGGACTTCCATCGCAAACGGTGCGGTACGGTGCGGTGCGGTGCCTGGATCGAGGCTGCGCGGCGCCGTCGCAGAGCAGGACCGGTGATGGCAACGGGTGATGCTTGTTGAGTGTGGGAGGAGGAAAAATCCCAGTGTGCTCGACGAGAAAATATTGGGGCCCGTTTGCTGCATTGTTACTGGTGGGGCAGCCCCGAACCGCTCGCTTCCATCACCCACCCTGTATCCCAATCGAGAGTCATGTAAGTCATCCGCCTCTAAACTCATGCTGCAACCTGGCATGCACCAATTACATTGGATCTAAAGCTGCAACTGCGTTCGAGGCAATGGCTGCATGGTTGAACCACAAATTGCCCCGACTCCAAACCTGGCTCTCGGTGCTGACTGGAGTTGCGTCGCAGTCCACCGCTGGTCTAACCGGTCGCGACGTCAATCCCCAGTTTTCCAAAGTGTCTCACGCAATGATCACTCCGGGTTGACACCTTCATAGGAGCCGATCCAAGCGGGAAGAGATTACTGAAATAATGGCCTGCGCTTCTCCAGCATCTGTTGCGCCATACCTCTGTGAGAAATGAAGCAGCTGCTTCTACCAAGGCAACCAAGCACTTGCGGGACCGTACTGTGCCGTAACCTATACATCACTACATAAGTTTGTGCCAGGAGAATGTAACAGCTAGCCTCTCATCTAGGCGCAGCACCGACACGCACCGAAGCACAGCATAGACAATGTATAAGTCAATCGGCCACATCGAAAAGGCATCTGGTGCCCAGCCACGTTGAGAACGAGTCCCCCAAAGATTGACGTGCTCGCGGTCCAAACTCGGAGCCATCCACGTCATCGGGTGTTTCGGTGCCATGGAGCGGTCCTCGCGCGCGAGCCCGTGCTCCTGGGACCCCACGTGTAGTTATCACACGGAAGCAGACGAGGTCCTGTAGCATGACGCCCGTCTCTCACCCAGACCCCACACAGAAAGCAGTCTTCCGACCAAGGTTTGCTATTGCTGGGAGATCGTGTACAATGCGTTGCCGATTTCTCATGTATTGGTCTAGTTGTCTATATGTCTATTTTGTACAGATAGCCCTGCGGCTTAAATATGAAACCATCTATAGTGCAACCAGCGACGAGCTCACGGTGAACGTGGACACCGTGCCATCGTGGCCCTGCTTCCCCTAGAAGCAGCCTGGGCACAGTTCTGTAGCCGACCGCGTCCATGCCAAAGACCTACTTCTGGACGTTGTTGTTGTTGTTGGCAACGAGGTTCGCCGACCCGTGGAGGTCTCCCTTGACCTTGTCCTTGGTGGCCGTCTCGGTGATGCGCTTGATTACGGCCTCGGGACCCGTGATTCCGTCAACCGACATGACGTGAAGCGCAAGGCCCACGACGTGGGGGGTGGCCATGGACGTTCCCGAGATGACGCTGGTGTCCTTGTCGCCAGTGTACCAGGCAGACTTGACGCGGCTGCCGGGGGCAAACACCTTGACGACCTTGCCCCAGTTAGAGTAGCTGGCGATGCGCCAGTCCGCGTCAACCGCACCGACGGTGAGGGCGCTGGGCGCCGAGGCTGGGGACCGCAGGCTGGCGTCGGTGTTGGTGTTACCGCCGGCGGCGACGGACAGGATGCCCAGCTTAGCGGCCGAGTCGACGGCGCGGTTGAAGGCGTCCGAGACGCCGCCGCCGAGCGACATGTTGATGACGGACTTGGTGTTGCGGCCCTTGGAGATGATGTCGTTGGCGGCAAAGTTGAAGCCGTCCAGGATGGTCGAAGTCGTCGACGAGCGGCCCTTGAAGACCTTGACGGCCAGCAGCTGCACCTTCTTGGCGACGCCGTAAGTCTTGCCGCCAATGGTGCCCGCGACGTGGGTGCCGTGACCATACGTGTCCGTCGTCTCGTCCTTGAACGCGCTGTAGATGGCTGAGGCGCGGCCCTCAAACTCCGAGTGCGTCGCGCGGATGCCCGTGTCGATGATATAGGCGTACAGGCCCTTGCCGGCATCGGGCTGGTGGATGTACTCGGACGAGCCGGGCGAGCGGTGAGAGATGGAGCCAAGGCCCCAAGTCGCGCTGTGCTGCGTACTGAACGCCCCGACAGCCTCAGTCTCGCTGTTATGGGACTCGGTAAACTCCAGGGACCAGATCTTGTCCTCCTCGACGGAGGCAACCTGTCGTGACTTAATGTCAGTGCCGTGACCAAGACTCGGGCCTCGGAATCAGGCGTGTGGACTTACATCCGGGCTCTTGCGGATCTCTGCGACAGTGGCATCGTCAAAATGGCCCGTGTAGGCGTTGAAATCGTAGTTTCCGGTGTAAGTCTTCTCGACGCCCTTGTACTGGTCATTCAGACCGCGCTTCTGGACGTGGTTGACCCAGCTGATGTGCTCGTCGAGCTCACTGGTTTCGACACCTGACTTCAGCGTCACGATGTACTTGTTCTCAATGGACTGCATAAGCTCAACTTCCTCGATCTCGACGGCGTCGGCCTCGGGAATCATGGGGGCCGCAAGCGCCTGCGAAAGCAGCGCCGCAACGGCGAAACTCTTGAAGTTGACCATTTCCACTCGTCGCTTTCTGCGTTAAGTTGAGAGGTGTAGGATGGGATGGGACACGAACAACAGGACGATTGGAGCCTTGGCACGGGCTGCCTTCTTATACTCGATTTCTCGAGCAGATACTGCCTTTTCTGGCCGTACGACTTGAGCGGATAATGCCCACGCGGCTGGGAGCCTGTCTGGTTCAGAGCTTGGACTAGCCCTAGCGTCGTGCGCCTGCCACACACACACACATGCGCTGTCGTCGGATCATCGCTTTGGCCCTGTATGCGAGGAAGGATAGAGGATGTCGAGAGCTCAATCTAAAACGACAAGACCGAGTGTGATAGACGTCCGGAGCATTGGTGGAGGTCGCACTGGCTGATCGTCAGCACCCGATGGTCCCGCCATCCTGGCCCATGCCGAAGAACGTCATTGGCGATGCCCAAGCAGAACGCGACAAGCCTGCCTTGGGACACGAGGAAGGCCAATGCGAGGCCTTGGACATGAGTGTTTCCGCTTCTCGCCGCGGTCGACATTGTGGGAACGCCACAGCACTACTACCGGCAGCCTCCTGCATGGCTAGTACCGAGGTGCACTCATCTGCCGGCAGGATCGTTTCGGCTTTCGCATGCAGCGTAACGTCAAGCACTCACTTCTGTGCAAACCGGAGAGGTTCCGGATGGTCCAGAAGCACTGCCATAGCCGTGCCGCAGCCCAAGTCTGGGGTACAGGTTGCACGTGTGAGGCACACACAGGAACGCTAATTAGGGCCGTGCCGCACGACATGACAAGCAGAGTGTGAGTAGCAATCTCGAGGCGTGCTTCTATCGTGAACTCCGATAAGCCCTGCGGATGCGCGGAACTGGCCGGTGGCTACAAGCTCGCCGTGAAACTGATGTGCAGGCCCGGGCATCGACTCGGCACCGGGAGGATCACGTTCGGCCGGTGCGTGCTCCACGTGTCGCCGTGGCTGCCGCGTTGGAGCTGTTAAACTGCTCAACGAAGACCTGTGCGTGCATGAAGATGCGGTCCCCAGGGGAATTGACCGAGAGTAACGGAGAGTGCGTCAGACAAGACACCTTGAAAGAGTCGTTCGTAAGCTGCTTTGACGGGACATTCGGTGTATACTCGGGCGGAAATGGCCAACCCAACAGGGCGCCCTTCAACTCGCGTTGCCTTGATGTCGCCTGTCCACCTAGTACTGCACGGTACGACGACCATTTGCAAAGGCGAGAAGGTGAACCCGCATCAAGCATGCCATTTCGGTTAGCTGTCCCTTCTTCCATGCGGCCCGTGTCGTTGTCGAAGAGTTGCAGAACCGCGGATCTGAACGGAAAGCGAGATGCGGTTTCAGTTCGTCAGACGGCGAGAGAAACGACCTGTCTGTCACTTGGATCAACCAGAGTGGCTGGCACGCGGCATGGGCGGATGGGGGAGGGCCGAATGAGATGACGAGGCCGTTGGCCGACAGTGCAAGGGCCTGCGATTCTGCCGATTGTGGTGTTTCCCGCAATACCGCAGCGGTGAGGCAAGCCAAGTATCCATGGAGCCCAAAGGCTGTCCGGGGCAGTCGGTGAACCTTGCATTGCACCACGGACAGGCTTCCTTTCGTCGGGGAAATGGCATAGCCTACCTTGGCAGCACCGGTGCGAGTCGGACCCGTGCTACGTGGCCGGGGCACGGGTCGGCCGTGTCGTCATCCGAAGCTCTTATCTCTTTACGGTGTTGCGCAACGTGAGCTGTAGACATGCGCTGCGGTGCGGCTTGGGTTGCTGTCTCGGGGATCGGGTCGGGGCCAATGCGCTGCGACCTTATATTACTTCCAGTATGACGATCGGAGGGTGCCAGGTAGTGAAGAAAGCCTCCAGGCTGGCTGTCTGCCATGGTGCGTGCCGCTCGGACTTGGCGGCGGGATATCCGAATGGACAGCGGACCACGGCGAACTGGACCACGGTCGAGAAGTGGGAATGGAAGAATCACAGACGAGTGGTCTGGTCACTGTGGTGGTTGTGGCTTTTGCCCCGAATTCAGTGGTGGACCACTGGTCCCAGTGGACATGGCTCTGGCAAGAGCACGCGGAACTGCGCCAGGAAGGAGCCTCCTCCAGCTTGCTTGCTTGGTGCAATGTTCCGGTGCAGTCTTATTATGTGGCACCACCAATTCAAAGTAAATGCACCGTCAACAGGTTACACACGGTATTAACGCCCTGCCCTGCCATGCCCTGCCCTGCCTTATTACCATGCCCAGCCCATTTCGGTCTGGAACATGTCCCTGTAGCACAACATTAAGCCCAACAGAACAAGAACAGAAAATGCTAGCTTGGAGATGCGCCCGCAATGTAGTCAAGCATATGTTTTGAAGAAGCCTCACCGGGGGGACCGTCCTGGATTCGTTCTCTCACTTCCTGGCACTTATACGTGCGAACACATGAGTGCGAGGGATGCTGCATTGACCCGAGTACAGCGCATGTTACACAACAAACTCTGGAGTCTCACCTGCTCTTTGGCACATCGTACGAGTACCAAAATATTACATTGAGCAAGCACAGGGAGTCCCGGCAACTAGCAGCTTCGAATGATGGGTCGGACCAGTATGTACTCAGCGACTGCGCGGGCTCCCCCACGGCTCATATCAGGTGCGTGCAGCCCTGGAGCTCCATATGCTACCAAAGGCGTGCAAATTGAGTCGCATCCTTCTCCTTGTTCGTGATCCACATGCAGTTTCGCATCTTTCCGAACATTGAACACACTGGACGGTCCGCCGACGATGCGGGTCAACAGTTCGCCCGACCAGGCAGCAGCGACACCCGACATTAAAGCTGCACTTGGCACAAATGGAGCTGCGGCGGGACGACCAGCGGTTCGCCGTCATCCTAATCAATTTAATCGTCTGTCCTATCCTGCCGGTCTTTTCGCACTTTCATCGCCGTCATGTCAATACTCAAAGGACGTGCCTCGGGGGAGGTCATGCATAAACTCGTCATTGTCGGCCCGGACCGCGTGGGCAAGACGTCCTTACTCTTGACTGCTCTCCACGGCGAATATCCTCCAAAAGTATTACTTCATTTGCGCGAGGGCGCAGACCTGCACCGCTGTCTGCTCTATCTCTGACTGCGCATAGAAGCAAGCTTATGAAGTGAGCCCGGGCGCGTACGAGCGCACCATACGTGACAAGGACGGAAAGGAAACCCACATCAGCATGAGGCTGTGGGACACGGCAGGCGTCAATGAATGCAATCGGCTCGAAGTTCTGAGATATCCATATGCAAGTGTGGTCGTCCTCGCCTATGCCATAGACAGCCCCTACAGCTTCGACTGGGCCGAGGAGCGGGTAGGCAGCCCCCAGACCTCTGCACACAGTTCGTGCCAACATTGATGGTCGTGTCTAACGAGGGCTTACAAAAACATAGTGGGTTCCAGAAATCGACTACTGCCTTCCTGACGTGCCAGTCATCTTGGCCGGCTTGAAGAAGGACCTCCGGGACAACCCCGTTTCAGCGCCAACCCACCCCCGGCGGCGGCAGCCCGGGGAAGCTTATGTTACTAAGGAATCAGGCGAGAGGATGGCTCGGCGGATAGGAGCGCTGTATCACATTGAGTGTTCCAGCCTTACCGGCGAAGGGGTCAAGGAGATCTTTGAGGTTGCTGCCGTGGCTTCACTGAGTGGCGCAAGGAGGAAGGCCAAGGAGACGAAAAAACGAAAGATACGATTGCTGAGAAATTGCAATATTGTTTGAAGCCCTCGGCTGGGTGCATATGTCGGCTTCTGAGACTAAACGCATGCTCGGAGCGGGAGACCTATTTCCGAGTCGCTGGGCGTGCTCGACACGAGTTGCTCACACCCACAGTTCTAACTTCTGTCTCACTCCAGTCGACTGGTCAGCAACACAACACTGGCGTCTGGCGGAACATCCGGAATCGGACTCTCACATGACGCACAAGCGACGGTGTTTGACACGCATCTCTCAAGGTATGTCTTTACTGCTGTTCCCAGCGCTGGCTGGTGAAGAACCCGGATGGCTCGTGACAATGCTTATCGTCCGCTATCACACAACTGATCAGAACGATCTCGGCCGGGCCGCTCGCTCCATCTACCGGCACAGAGCTTGACTCTGCTAGCAAACAGATGCTCAAGCCCAAAAAGGCCCGCGAATAGCCCCTTGATTGATTGGCCCACCGTTCATGGAGACATGCTGGGTGACTGCGGGGGTTGCAGCACCGTGTCGTGAGTCCTGACGCGCGTGTGCATACATGTAACCTCGGACGACAGCCGGCGCGAGGGGCAACAGGCAACCTGTCAGATATAAGCCAAAGGTCAGCTGCTCGCGACCTCGCGCTGCTTATTATCGGCACTCGGCATGCCAAATCGCGGACGTCAGACATATCGATGCCGAACTGTCCGCGTTGACGTTGTCCGATCTTTGGCGTTGTCCAACATTTGACGTTTATAAAGAAGTGGTTTGGTTCGCGAGACACAACATTGAGCATTGCATCGTCGCACCCCGCTGCCACTGGCTGCATCTGAGCCTGCACGCATTCCCTTTCTCGTCTCTCACATCTCAGCTCTCGCCTCGACATGGCTGATTCACACACATTCACAAATGGCATACATGGAGATGACAGCTCCGAAGCCACAAGCCGCGGATCAGCCCGCCACAACGGCGAGAAGCCGTTCCACAAGGTAACCCCCTCGTCCCTCTGGCCGCCTTCACTTCCGTCCCACGCTCACCCCGACACACAGGTGTTAATCATAGGCGCCGGCCCCGCGGGCCTGCTCCTAGCCATCCTCCTCGCCCAGAGCGGCATCCGCTCCACCGTCCTCGAGGCCTGGGACCGGCCAGACGAGCGCCTGCGCGCGACGCAGTACGGCGTGCCCGCCACGCGCGTCTTCCGCCGCGCCGGCCTCCTCGACGACATCCGCGCCCGCAGCATCACCAGCTTCCCCTACATATGCTGGCGTAGCGTCCGCACAGGCGAGCGCCTCGCCGGCATCGACCTCTCCGTCGTCGCCGACGAGGAGGACCGCATGACCGTCCTGCCGCTCAGCCAGATTCTCGAAATCATGCTGCGCCACTGCACGGAGAAGTATGCTGAGCATGTAAACGTTCTGTTTAACCACAGGGTGGTCGATGTTGGGCAGGATGCGGCTGGTGCGTGGGCGACGGTCGAGGTTGATGCGCCGGGGGACATGGAGAAACCGACGACGACGGTCAGGTTCCACGCCGACTACCTTGTTGGCTGTGATGGCGGCAAGAGCACAGTCCGCCACTGCCTATTCCAAAGAAACTGGCCAGGAGAGACCTTTGCGAGCCAGTTGCTTGTCCAGAACGTACGTGCCAGGCAGACCCAGACCCCGTCTCTCCCTCCCCGGCAACGAAACAAGGCATGGCGGGCGTAGTGGTCGCTAAAGACAAACCTTCTAGGTGTACTACAAGGGCTTCGAGGAGCACGGCTGGGAGGGCGGCAACTACATGATCGACCCCGAGTTCTGGGGCCTCATCGCCAAGCGCGGCAAGGGCAGCAACGCTGACGGCCCCCTCTGGCGCGTCACCTACGGCGACTCGGCGACCGACCTCTCCGAGGAGGAGCACCTACGACGCCGGGCCTTGGCCTTCAAGAAGCTGCTGCCGGGCCACCCCGACCCGTCGCAGTACAAGGTCACGCAGACGAACCGCTTCCGCATCCACAACCGGTGCGTGGACGCGATGCGCGTGGGGCGCGTGTTCCTCGCGGGAGACGCCGCGCACGTATGCAACCCGTTTGGCGGCTACGGCTGCATGGCAGCCGTGCTGGACGTGTCCGGGCTGGCGGACTGCCTGGCGGGCGTGTACGAGGGGAAGGCGGGCGACGAGATCCTCGATGCGTATGCGCGCGTCCGGAGGCAGAAGTTTGTGGACTTTATTGACAGGCGGTCGCGCAAGAACATGAACCGCATTTCCAAGACGGATGCGGACACGGCGCTCGAGACGGATCCGTTTCTGGGGCTGCTCAAGGCCATGGAGGGGGATGGGGACAGGACCAAGGAGTTTTTGCTGGTGCGTCTTATTACTCTGCCCCCCTGTTCTTGCATTCTCTGGTGATGGAGCTGCGAGGTGTTGTTTGTTTGACTTGGTGCGCTAACGGACTACAACAGAAGGTCAGCAGCATCGAGTTTGACTTTACGACGCTGTACAACAAGACGGACGTGGAGGAGTAAACTTACGAGTGCAAAAGGAGGGGCTGCTGGCTTTGAGTGATCTTGCTGGGTTCAACGTACATGTGTGTGGTCCTGGTCAGCATGGCCATCCTCCGTCGCTACAGCCACAACCTTGTATTTGAGGCAACTGGTATTTTTGTTCTGGCCTGTCGTTGAGCTATTACTGTCACACTCTAGTTTACGATGCAGCATGGTGTTGGCGTATCGGCCGAGCACTTTGGGGCAACATGGGTCGTTAAAGTGGTCAATGGTCATCATGTGCTACCCTTTACAAAACCTTGGTAATTCTCTGATCTATCATGACGATTCGGCGCAGACTCGCGCGAATCCGATGCTTCTTCAAGACATCATGCCCAGGTACTGCGTCGTAAAGACCGTCTCCCTGCTCGCGCCGCTGACCCCGATGCTCACCGTCTCCCCCGGCACCACGTCCACCAGGTTGTCGTCGAAGCGCACCCCGTCGTCGTCGCACTCCACCGCCAGGCCCTTGACGGGCACCTCGGCGCTGATGCGCACGCTGCGGCCGTCGTCGCTGAGCGCCACGCGCAGCTGCCGCGGCTTCTGCAGGTGGAGGTACTTGAGCGGCTCGGGCCAGTTGACGTAGCGCGCGAGCTGCTCGCCGTCGCGGTACAGGTACGCGGCCACAACGGTGCGGTCCTCGAGCCCCTTGCGGGACGCGTCGCCCACAGGCACGGGCAGGGCGGCCACCTCGGTGGACTGGTTCGCGGGCAGGAGCTGCGCCGCCGACACCGTCTTGGAGAAGGTCTCCTCGCCCGTCTCCACGTCCCAGGCCTTGACGACGCAGTCGGCCGTCAGGTCGTCGAGGGAGAGGTTCGAGCCCCAGATCTCGATGCGCACCTCGCGCTCGACGCTCACGCGCGAGTGGGCGGCGCCGGTGTCGCGCGTGTGCTCCCTCCGCGTCATGCCGATGGAGAGGGGCGCCATCTCGCGCTTCACCGTGTGGTAGGCGTGCTTGGGCCGCAGGTAGTAGTCGCAGATGGACCACGACGTCACGGGCCAGCAGTCGTTGGTCTGCCAGACAAGCGCGCCGCCGCAGTACTCCTTGCCGGGGCCGCGCCACTCGCGCTTCCACAGCCGGTACGCCGACGACAGGCACTCGGCCTGCATGAGCTGCGTGCAGTACACAAAGTGCTCGATCGGGTCCGGCGCGTACCGCATGTTCTCGACCAGGTACAGTGCAAGACGCCGCTCGTGGCCCGCCGCCTTGTTGTGGAAGTCGACCGTCGACGACTGCGGGTACCGGTCTGGGTCCGATTTGCCGCCCGCAAGGAAGCCCTCGTCGATGGTCTTGATGGACGGGAACGCCTCCATGCCGAACTCGGACACGAAGCGCCCCACGAGCTTGTCGAAGTTCTGGTACTTTTCCTGTGAGCCGTGCCACACGTTCCACTGGTGGATGTCGCCGGCCGTGGGGTCGGTTGTGTGGTTGCCGCCCCACGGGCTGCCTGGGTGGTAGTACGTGTCGGGGATGAGGTCCTTGCAGACGTCTGGGAGGAGCTTCTCGTAGATGTAACGAGCGGGGAAGTCGGTCTTGAGCCAGTTGTCAGGGTTCATGTCGCTGGGGTCGTACTTCAACCCCTCCTGTTCGGCGAACTGGTAGTCCTCGTTGTTTCCAGCCCAGATGACGAGACACGGGTGGTGTCGCAGCAGCTTGACGTTCACCCTGGCCTCGCGGTCGATGGACTCGAGGATCTCGGGGTATGCGGGGTAGTTGCCGCAGCCAAACATAAAGTCCTGCCAGACGAGGATGCCCATCTCGTCGCAGGCGTCGTAGAAGGCCTGGTCCTCGTAGATGCCGCCGCCCCAGACGCGGATCATGAACTGGTTGCCCTCGGCGACGAGGCGCACCCAGTCGCGATACCGCTCCGGGGTTATGCGCGGGAGGAAGTTGTCGGCGGGGATCCAGTCGCTGCCGCCGCAGAAGACGGGCACGTTGTTGATGCGGAAGAAGAAGGACGTGCCGGGCTGGCCGTCGAGCGGGCGCTGGACGAGCTCGGCGCGGCGCAGGCCGATCCTCTTGGCAACACTGTCGGCCTCGGCGTGGCCATCGAGGAGGGTGGCTCTGATGGTGTACAGCGGCTGCTGGCCGTAGCGGATCGGGTACCACAGCTCTGGGTTCTGGACCTTGAAGGTCGCGACGGCGTCGTGGTCGGCGACGTCGACCGTCTCTGACGCCACGCTCTTGTCCCCGAGGGAGATGTCGAAGCGGACTGAAGCGGCCTTGCCCTCGGTGGACGCGTGAGCGACGACCTTGGCGCTCTTGAGGGAGCTGTCAACGTCGATGTCGACGTAGAGGTCCGTGAGGCGAGACTCGTAGATCTCAAGGCTGATGGGCCTCCAAGGGCCGCATGTCATGAGCACCGGACCCCAGTCCCAGCCCTAGAATCCTCTGGTCAGCGTTCTGAGCAGCCGTAATGGTCAAATGAGAGTCGCATACCCAGTGATATTGTGCTTTCCGCACCGGCAGCCGCGAGTTGTCGCCGTTCCAGCACCCCCATCTGTGCTCGGGGTGCTCGTCCACGAGCTTCCACCCGCGAAAGTACGCCGCGTCAAACTCAATGACGAGCTCGTTGTCCTTGCCGCCGTCCACCAGATGTTGCGTGACATCGACCCTCTCTGGGATGAACATGTTGTCCGTCTCCAGGATGGTCTTGCCGTTCAGCTTGACCGTGGCAAAGGTATCGAGCCCGTCAAACGCCAGCACCACTTTGGCGGCCCCGTGGAGCTTCTCAGGCGTGGGAAAGGCGGTCCGGTAGACCCAGACCGTCTCGCCGACCCATTGCACGTCGAGCTCATTCTTGCCCGGGAACGGATCGGGGATGAGCTTGTGGTGCAGGAGGTCAAGGTGGACGTTGGTCGGGAACTGCGCGACGGGGAGGTATGCGTCGTCGGGCTTGTCCGCCTGCTTGAAGTGCCAGTTCTGGTTGATGGGGATGACGCTCCGCATGGTGGCCGGTGTCTGGGTGCTTGCCGCCACCACTGCTGGTTCGAAGGGTTGGTTTATTGGAGCTTGGGGGAGACGGGTTCAGTGAGACGTGATGATGATGTGGGGAGTCGGGGGAGGTGAGGGGCACCAGGGAAGGACTTGGGGTGAGACGGGGAGGAGCACAAGGTTGAGGACGAGACGAGGCGAGAAAGCAAAGAGAAAGACCGCGCACGCCCGTACATATACCAGATGGCTCGCGTTACGAGATAAAATTCGCGGCCAAGAATGGCCCGGAGACCGAGAGTGAGGACGCAGCTCTCGGGGATGCGGGCCGGCGCAAACGGGGATTCATGATGCCGGCGGGTGGAACCACTACGGCGCACCCCGCGCACGTCGCTGGCCGTGGCATCACCCTGATGCCGTCCCACTGTGGGGGAGGGCGGGGTCTCCACTGGCACGGTTACATGCAGCTCCGCAGCGCCTCGTCGCGCCCGCTGTGGTGAGGTGCCTGGGCTGCCCAGGCGGGCTCCAACTGTGACAGGCGCCACGACAGTGGACTCTCACAGTGGACTCCTACGCCCCCTGGAGTGGCCGACGGGTCGCGTGTTGGAGGCGAACCCTCGCCATCATCTCGCCGCGCCGCCCGTGATCTGATCAGCGCATCGTCTCATCCAGGCACGCATGGACGGGTCTGTTCGGCATTAATATATCCATTCTCTCTGGAACAACAAAGAAAAGAAAGAAAAAGATGCTACGTTGAGCCTGCAGCTGGATCCTCCGGTGGTCCACACCTCAGAAAGACACGCGCAAAACACGCAAACACAAGCGCCCTCGCCATACAGTATCCCCGGTTCGACCAAACGCCAGCAAGGCTCGAAACGAAAGGGAGCCTCCTCCCAAAGGCAAATCAACCGCTTGCTCCATGCCGCCAAGAAGAACAAAAAGCAATGACGTAGTATGCGACTTTCGAACCACTCAGCAGCAGTTGTTGCCTCGCCGTCTGTTCGACAGCGTAAAGACCTCCTCCCACTCTCGCAAACCCCAGTTCTGGTTCTTATTCTTTCCCTTGCGCCGCCTACGCAGGCCCGCTTGGCCCAGTCCGAGCCCGGCGCCGTCGTCCATGGTCCCGCCCGTCATGGAACTCTTGATGCTGCCCCCGTCGCTGGCTGTGTAACCCCCGGCATCGCCGTATTGGATCCCACTCATCGGGTCGTCTGGGTCGATGTCACCGAGCTCGATCTTGGTGAGGATCATGCGCGCAAGACGTCCAAAGATCTCGTCAACGCCCTCACCATTGAGCGCGCTGGCTTCCGTCACCACCGGGATCCCAGCCTGGCTCGCCCATCGGCTGGCGTCTGCGCTTGTAATCTCCCGTCCTTCGGGCGCAATCGTCGCACGTTGCTGTGTCCCCGCCCCGATGGAGCTGCCCCGATCCCTACCCGAGGGAGTCGAAGTGCTGGGTCCAGCGGACGTGCTGACAGTATTCAACGTCGAGAGAGAAACGGATGAGGCCATGGGGCCCGCGGTGATGGTCGAGGTGGACCCGACGCTGCTGGGCGTCGCTGGCGCGAGACTCGTGTCGACGAGGGTGTCCGATGCGAGGTCCAGCTTGTTGCCAACGAGCATGACGCTCAAGTTCGGTGACGCAAGGGCGCGCGCGTCGTTGAGAAATGGTTGTAGTGCTCGAAACGAGGCATGCGAGGTGATGTCGTAGACGAGGATCGCGCCCGCGGCACCGCGATAGTATGATCTCGAGACGGAGCGGAACCGCTCGGTGCCTGCCGTGTCCCAGAGCTGGTATAGTTAGCATCGCTTACATGGCAGCGTTCGGCTCGGCTGTCGCGCACCTGAAGCTTGATCCGTTTCCGACGCGCCCCGGTGCCTACTTTGATTATCTTGCTGGCGAACTCGACGCCGATGGTCTGCGATGAGAGGACCCGCCACTCATTCTTGACGAAGCGATGCAACAAGCAGGATCTGCAAGAGAACGAAGTGTCAGTCGTGATCGTCGGCGGCGCACGGGATAACTCGCTCCCGCAGAGGCCAACTGACTTTCCCGTTCCGCTGGGCCCCAAGAGGATAATCTTGGCCAGATAGTCGTACATGCTCCCCAACTCCTGCAACGGCCGTCAGCACCGCACTGAAGTATGATTGCAACCGCCGGAGTTCTCGGGCCGTACCTGGTCGCGGGCCGTCCCCGTGCTCTCCTGGCTCGCGGCCGACGAGCGTCGCGGTCTCGTCATTCTGACGGGAGGACTCGAGGCGGTCGTGGGTTTCGGTCGCACCAGAACGCGGCGAGTCTGCTGCCGCAGCAGGAGCCGGTTTTCAGTGGTTGGTTGCCGACGATAAAGGACGATGCATGTGCGAGCCCGTCGCGGTGAATGGCTGCTTGGTTGTGGTCTGTCAAAGGAATCGAGCGGCGCATGACCTCGTTGCTTGGTTCGCCGATAAGGCTCCCAGGCTGAGCTGGAACGGCGCCCAAAACGACGCTGACTAATCTTGGTGATGACGTTTGCCCAGGAGGGCAGCTCGAGGCTGCATGGCGGAGGAGATGCGGAGTAGATGAGACGGGCTTCTCGAGAGTCGGATTCGGATGTAATACTCTGAGATTCGTTGAGTCTTCTCGAATACTTAAAGCGAGCAGAGAGGCTGCTGATAGACGAGCTGTTAGGTTGGCAATCTCGTCGGTGATGCGGGCCCCAGGGTGCCCATGTTGCGTGCCAGGTTGTGCAGGGCAGAGCAGCGTTGACAGCGGACGGCTACAGCGCGTCTAGGGCTCGGAGGAGTCCTCCAGAGGTGAGCCAGGCTTCCGGTTGGAAGGCACCCATGGACCCCGGACCGCACCTGGTGCCTCCACTGTAGCGACCCCAGCCCGCTCCCGTCCCGCCCGCATCCTCTCCAGCTCTCCATCCCATCTGGGCCTCGGCTCGTCGGTCCACCCACCGGACCGTGACATTCGGTCCCAACACCGCGATGAAGCCGCTCCGTTCACCCTCCTCCACCGTCCACACCTTGGTCGCGCGCAGATTGACAGAACCACCATGAAGATTTCAGGTCGAACCTTTATCGTCTCCGGCGGGTAAGCAAGCATCATCACCGCTCCCTCCGATTGCGACAAGTCCCTTCCTGCACGCGCAGCTGGCTCACATCAGATTTCACCAACAGCGCCTCGGGCCTCGGGCGGGCCTGCGTCGAGGACCTCATCAAGCATGGCGCCAACGTCGCCATCCTCGACATGAACGAGGACGGCAAGGACCTCGCCGCCGAGCTGGGCTCGTCGGCCAAGTTCTTCGTCTGCGACGTGCTGGACTCGTTGTCCATCTCCAAGGCCGTCGAGGGCGCCGCGGAATGGGCCCAGCAGACGAAACGCCCCGTGGGAGGCGTCATTCCCGCCGCCGGAGTCTCGACACCAGCTACTGTACGTTTTTGCCCCTCAATGAAAAAGACTGGAGTGGAGGGATGCTGATGCCATGGGCCACACAGATCCTCGACCGCAACGGCTCCCCGTTCAGCCTCGACGACGTCGACTTCGTGCTGGGCGTCAACCTACGCGGGACCATCGACCTCGTGCGGCAGGCGGTCGCGCACATTGCCAAGTCGGAGCCGGACGCGGACGGCGAGCGCGGCGTGGTCATCATGGTGGCCAGCTCGGCGGCGTTCGACGGGCAAAAGGGCCAGATCTCGTACTCGGCCAGCAAGGGCGCCGTGGCGTCCATGACGCTGCCCATGGCGCGCGACCTGGCGCGGCACGGCATCCGCTGCAACACCATCGCGCCCAGCCTCTTCGAGACGCGCATGACGAGCGCCATGTCGGGCAAGGTGCGCAAGAGCCTCGAGGCCACGTTTGAGTTCCCCCGGCGGGCCGGCCGCCCGGATGAGTTTGCCCTGCTGGCGAGGCAGTGCATCGAGAACTCGATGCTCAACGGGACGGTCATTCGCATCGACGGAGGGTCGCGGCCGAGCAAGATTTAGGTGCCCGTGGATGCTGTTTGTAGCTTTGAATCATTGTATCACATACCCGCCGCTGGTCCTCAATCCTCATAGACAGCTAGCTGCCAGGCCATCACGCTTGGCCGCGTGGCGGCAACACGAATGTGTATCTCGCGCACGACCATTGATATCCGTCTGTATTGCCTCGGTGTATTGTTAGTGGACCAGTAGAGTCGCATGCGCCATCTCTGACAAAGAACAACATGGGTGAGTCTTTAGCCGCCTCCCACTCCCGTCGACTGTCACGCTTATTAGTCTGGCCGGCACACCCGGTCCCGTATGGCCGCGCTGTGGAACTGCCGGCCCCCCCTCAGCCTCCGGACAGTGCCTCCGATGGTCGGAGACTGTACTCGGCCGTTTGCTTGCCCCGACCGACTCCCAACCACGGGCCCTGCATTTATAATACACGACAACACCACCACATGCCCCCTTTGCCGGCTCTGTATAATGTAATTCTCGCGGGCCAACACAGACCAACAACAGCTTCACATCATGGCCCTCAAGATTGCCGTCCTCGACGACTACCAGGGCTGCGCCAAGCAGTTCTACGACAAGCTCGACGGCTCCAAGTACGCCGTGTCATACTTCCCCGACACACTGCTGCCGTACAACGTCGCACCGCGCGAGGTCCAGGATGAGCTCGTGCAGCGCCTCGAGCCCTTTGACGTCATCTGTGCGACTCCCTCCCTCCTCCCTTGCGTCTCATCTCATGCCCCTCCGTGAACAATTGTTCTGTCCGTCGTGTGCTTGAGTAGTACCATCTGTGCTTATACCTGTCTCTTATACACATCTAGATGTGTATAAGAGACAGCTCCTCCCTTGCGTCTCATCTCATGCCCCTCCGTGAACAATTGTTCTGTCCGTCGTGTGCTTGAGTAGTACCATCTGTGCTTATACTGCCGTCTCGCAGCCTGCATGAGGGAACGTACGCCCTTCCCCGCCGCGCTCCTCCAGCGCCTCCCCAACCTCAAGCTGCTCCTCACCACGGGCGTGCGCAACAAGGCCATCGACCTGCCCTCGTGCGCCGCGCGCCGCATCCCCGTCGCCGGCGCCACCGACACGCACGCCGGCCCCGCCGACAGCACCACCGAGCACGCCGTCGCCATGATCCTCGGCGTCGCGCGCGGCCTCGCCAGCAACGACGCCAACGTCAAGGCCGGCCTGTGGCAGACGGGCTTCGCCACGGGCCTCGCGGGCGGCACCCTCGGCGTGCTGGGGCTGGGCCGCCTCGGCGCCGCTGTCGCCCGCGCCATGCACCTCGCCCTCGGGATGAAGGTCATTGCGTGGAGCACTAACCTCACGCAGGAGGCTGCGGACGAGCAGGCGCGGCATGCGGGTCTGCCTGTCGAGGGGCCCGACGGCGAGAAGACGTTCCGCGCCGTGAGCCGCGAGGAGCTCTTCTCCATGGCTGATGTCGTGAGCGTGCACCTCGTGCTGTCGGACCGGACGCGCGGCATCGTCAATGCGCAGGATCTAGGCAGGATGAAGCCCTCGGCCTTCTTTGTCAACACGTCGCGCGGGCCGCTCGTCGTGGAGCGCGACCTGCTGGATGTGCTCAAGGCGGGCAAGATCCGCGGCGCCGCTCTCGATGTCTTTGACCTGGAGCCGCTGCCGAGGGACAGCGAGTGGCGCAGCGCGGAATGGGGCAAGAACGGGAGGAGCGAGGTCTTGATTGCGCCGCACATGGGCTATGTCGAGGAGAGGTCCATCAGCGGCTTCTACAGGAAGCAGGTCGCCAACCTGGAGCGCTGGGTGGCGGGGGAGCCTCTAGAGACACTGCTCGCCTGATCGGTCTACATGTTGTCGAAACCAGAAGGCCGTGAACGACATGACGTTATGACTCGCCTTTAAACCGTAGACAGTGTAGTGTCAAGTGCTTGATTACTGGTATACTCACCAAGATGGTCCGGGGGGGCCACGGCCATCCGAGTCCGTTGCCGGCAGCGAAACAGCCGCTACTGGTGTAGCCTGCAATGCTTTGGGAGGATGTAATGAAAAGATGAAGTATGGGCATACATCATGACTGGCAGCATGCCATATCTGCCGCAGCACCCGGCACACTCACGTGTAAGCTCTAACACCAGATGGGGTGATGCTGACATTGGCCGGCGCCATACCAAGGCATCCAGCTCCCGTCCACATCACACACCCAAACAGTATGCCGCTGTTTCTTGAACATTCAATCGTTGCTACCGTAGCTTCATCTCTATATATGCAATCATCACAGTATCTTCTATCCTGACCAGGTCTTTCCAATGCTCCAATGCTCGTTCCATGGTCGCCATCGATCCCGTCTGCGCTTGGGAGTGCAGCAAGGCCGGAACCTCGAACGGCGAATGGGGGGCGAACGCGGCCTGGCGGTATCCAAGAAAGGTCATATCTTGTGTGTGATTGACGTAAGACCTTTATATGAGTCGGCCTGTCCGTCGCTCGTGTATCCGCCTCGAATGAATCTTCCACGAAGCTCTTGGACGCAAAGCAATGGCATCGCGCATAGATGTGCGTAGCGCTCGGCTGTAGTCGTCGCCTCGAAGGTTGTGATCCTGCAAGCGACAGGGCTCGCCAGCCAGTAGGGCGCGTGCATTCCGTACTCGGCACTGAACAATGAGATGCGCCGACAAGACCCCTGAATAGTTGGATCTGGGACTGCCAAAGGCAGAAGAGATCGAAGGCAACGCTCAGTCGCCTGGCGAGAGCATCGCGGCCAGTGACGGCGGGCGCAGCTGGTCTATAATGTGGTAACATGGGATATACCGTATCCGCACCCACGTCACCATCTGAAACTTTCCTCAAAGTAATCTATCCGGCACTCGCAGTCCGCTAGCGCCTCGACGACGGCGCTCCTGGTGTCGTCGGAGAGCCTGGCTGGGCCACACGCGACGACGGCCAAAGCCTCCCTGCCGGCTTTGGCAACCGTCGTGGCTACAAGCGCGCGGGCGTCGGGTCTTCGAGAGTGTTGTCGCACCTCTGGTGGTATTTCGCCGACGTCGACGTATCCTGTTTGGGAAGAGATGTACAAGTCGACCGCGAGGTTGCCCGGGCTGAATAACTCGGCGATGTCACCCAGGACTTCCCGGGCAAATGCCGGCTCGCGCACTGCCCAATGAATCTCAACTTTGGGCGCCTTGTGGGCGTGGGTGAGGGATCGCAGATACGACAGCGCAGTGACCACGCCGCTGCCTCCCACGATGAAGAGCACATGGTCGTACTCGGCGAACGCCTGTGAGTGACCGTAGGGGCCGTCGACCATGACTCGCAACGGCGCAGGGCTCGACAGTTCGGATGCCGCGAGCTCCTGCAGTCGCCGAGTCTGGCTGTCATATGGGCGAATCAGGAATGTCATGCACGGCTTGCTTGGTTGGGGCAAGTCTTCTTCGCCACCCTGGGCGAGGTCGTCGTCGGAGTCTAGCAGCGGGGCCTGCTCGCTCAAGGATTTCGCGGAGTACTCGCTTGAAACATACGCCACAGTGAAGGGGTGGCTCTCCCAGGGGCGCGAGTCGTCTAGAATCATGAGATAGAAAAATGTCCCCGGTTTGACTTTGTACGCCGACTTGTTGACAGGGACGACGAGGCGTACGATATTGGACGAGGGGTTGTACGTGGCCAGGCAGTCGGCGGCCCAGCTTCGTGGATGGAAGAGAATGATGCGGATGACCCGTATTAAGCGATCCAAGACCCAGATGTATACTGGTACCCAGAATAGCCCATCGAACTCGTGGTTCTTGAAGATGGAAACATGTCTTTGACTGGTCAGCGCGGACTCCATGAGATGAGAGGGATGGCGAATGCCTACCCAAGCATTGTAAGCAGAACTACAATGGATAGCACAATGTGCAAAATGAGGAACATCTCGTAGCGGTGTCGTCGCATCCAGTAAATAGAGCCTGGAACAACCAGTAGGCTCATAAAGACAGTTGCGATGACGCCGGCGTTCCAGAACCACTGCGTGAACCAATACTTGTAATAAGTCCAACCGCCCTCTGTGAAGTGTTAGCATGCCTTGGGCAGTTGGCGAACGCGGAAAGATGGCGCACCTCGGAATATTAGCACAGTGTAGCCCACCGAATGTATCACCGCCTGCAACGTTGAGATCCTTGCCACCCATCGATGGAAGTTTGTGAATGTGCCGTAGTCCCATCCCGTCAGCCACATGGCAAGGTTGTTTCGCATGCCGAAGAGCCAGAGAATGGGGAAGTTGAAGAAGGAGATGATGCCCGTGCGATCTGAGACATATCGGATGATCTGCTTCTCCTTGGTGGGAAAGTAGTAGTTGACCTTGGTGATTCGGTAACCCCATATGCTCAAGACAACATTGAGAAGAAAGAAGAGCAAGATGGTGATGGACTCTACTCTGGGAGGAATCGTGCCCCACCAGACATCTTGCGCGCATCGATAACCGAAGGCAGCGGGGATGGTGATGTTGCGCTGGACCCATTTCTTGGTTGACACCGCGGGGCCCCTCGTCGGCCAGGAGGCCTGCCTGCCGCACAGACCGGAGGCGATCAGGAAGAGCCTGTAAGATACCCCGACGGCTACCACGGCAATCCAGAAGATATTCATGGCCATGCTAGTGCGGTTAGCGCAATGGCGGTCAAAGCTCAAGGGTGCTAATCAATCATACCCGTAGTAGAAATGGTGGCGTTGGACATATTGAACGGCGTCCTGAGTCGTGGTCAGGTCTCATTCGAGCAGGCGGAAGGAGTTGAATCGGCTCACAAGTGTCTCAAACCACGCGTTGAAGTGCTCCGGCGACGGCAGCACCGGCTCCGAAAACGGCTCACCGACAGCCAGCGACTCATTCCTGGTGACCCTGCGCAGGCGGGAGATGTCGTCGGCCGTGTAATTGGCAACAATGTCGAACCCAGGCACCGGGATGCCAATGACGTCGATGCAAGTCTCATTGACGCTAGAAATAGATGCTGCCCGGTCCTCAGGGCCGCACTCGGTCTCGAAGCAGAGGTACGCCGATGACAGCGCCAAGCGACTGCGGCAAGATTGCGAGAACTTGGAGTCGGCGGGGCTCGAGTCGGTGAAGCGGAATGACCGCAGGCAGTTCTGGCATGCCTGGGCGCAGAAGCTCAGCTCGCGTGCGCGGCTGGCGGTGGCCGGGCTGGACAGGAGGAGAAGGACCGGGAGGAGGAGGCGGAGGAGACCGGCGGCGCCGAATGCGAAAGCGGGCGGTGGCCGCATGGCGGTGCGACTCAATCGGCTCGGCGCGAAGCAACCATGAGGGTGACGGAGCGCGCTGCGGCTGCCTTGCACGCTGCCTTGCTCGCCGCCCGGCTTGGTCGTCGACGATGGTCTGGTCCGGGCTGGTGAAGGAGGAAGATGACCAAGGACTTCCTTCGCTCGATTTTGTCGGGGCATCTCGGTGGTCAGCCGGAGACCCACGGATCAGATTAGATAAGATGGGCCGATGCAGCGGGTGGGTGGCGCTGAATTGATCCACTGGACTGGTGAGTCGTCAGCGCCACGTGGACCTGCGCCAGCACCTCAGCCCCTGGAGGAACCCGCCGGCCTTCAAGTCACAACCTGGAATCGGTCACCTGCCTGGGTGGCGTGCGTGACCTGCTCCCTGCAACGTGCAACCTTCCGTCCACTGACCCAACACAACGCTGCGGCTTGACTGCTCCCTGCTTCCTTGCATGCTGCATGCCCTGGCGCTCGCGTCACACGCCCGTTTGGACGACTTCCAGGCGCTAGCATGCAGCACCCCCAAAGACAACGGCGCCCACAGGCCGTTGAGACATGTCTCAGCCTCTTGCTTTACTGCAACGACTCAACGTCAATTTACCACCTCATCTACCAACTAAACGTTTCATCAACAAGCACAATCCCCCGACTCAAAGCGCCGCTCCTCGCCAGCCTCGTCACCTCCTTCCTGACCGCGTCTGCCATCTGCGGCGGTCCGCATACAACAACCCCTACCGGCCCTCGGTCTTCTGTCTGACACGCCAGCTCCTCGCGCAGAATTACGCCCGTGTCCAGACGTGTCCCGATGCTCGTGTCGACTTGCACCGACTCAGGCAGGCTTCGTATATCCGCGTCGAACTCTTCCAAAAGACTTCCCGTCCGCATGCCCCAGCAGAGGCGGCGGCGGCCGGTGTGCTCGTGGAGCAGCGGCAGCACGGCGCTCACGCCGACGCCGCCGGCGATGCAGAGCAGCGTCGTGCATTGAGCCAGCTGGGACGATGGTGTTGCGTGGTACGAGCCCTCGACGAGGACGGGTAATCGCACCACGCCCCCGGCTGCGACCACCTTGTCTCCAAGGCGAGCCGTCATACCAGACTGCCTTCGCATCACAATCGTCACTCTCTGGCGCGTCGACGTCCGCCCTTCCCGCATCGAGTCCGAAGTAACATCGCGGGCACTGATGCGAGGCCTGCTGATTTCCTTTGTCGACTCGTTGCTCGCCGGTGTGTCTGTACCGCTCGACTGCGCTTCCTTCTCCTCCTTGTTATGAAGCATTGACGACGCGACAGAGAACGGATGGTTCTCCCAGAAGCGCCAGCTCAGCGTCGGAAAGTAGAGATAGACCAGGCCCTGGGCAAACACGCCGTCAATGTCCACGCGGACATACTCGCCACCGGAGCCCGCGACCTCTGTCACCTTCGCCGTGCGCCAGCCCATGAGCACCATTCGACCCAGGCGAAAGACGCGTTCCGCGCCCCAGATGCCGCCTGCGATGTAGCACCAAATCTCGTAACCCCACTTCATGCCGTATCGGTAGAAGATGTGGTAGAAGTAACCAACGAGGAAGAGCACGACGAGAATGTGGTGCACCGATAGAAACACCTCGTAGAAGCGCTTCCGCACGGCCAACACCGACGCTGGCCAGAGCGCCGACGCCGCAACCGTGGCGACGATGCCCCAGATCCAATACTTCTCGGAGGCCTCTGTATTGTAGTCGCCAAAGACCTTGTAGTACGCGAGCAGCATCACCGAGTGCAGCACCGTGTGAAAGATGACGAGGTAGCCCACAACCCGGTGAAAGAGCAGATATGTATCGTAGTTCCACCCCGTCAGGCCAAGGAGAGGATTGTTTCTGCCGGCGAAAACGGTCAGGATGACGACGTTGCCCATTGCCATGACGCCAGCTCGGTTCCCGATCGTGCTTAGCTCCAGCTCCCGCAATGTTGTGAATATGGACTGTGGTTGAAGGTTCTGGTAGGGCGCAACGAGAAAGATGACGTTGAGGACAACCAGAATGAGAATGTACCATGACTGTCCGCGAGTGGGAATGAAGCCGCCCCCGAGAGCTCGCGCGGCGGGCTGTCGATGCTTGTCGCCCCAGATCGGCGGGTACACGAGGATGGAGTTGGCCCATGCCCATGTGCGGCTTCGTGTCAGAGATGGAATGAAGCGAACGAGAGACACGACTATAGGCAGCGCAAGAGCTACCAAAACGATAATGAGCCTGCGTCCCTTGTTAGCCTCGCCCAGGTCGCGAACAAATTGCCGTCTGGTGCTGCGGGCAGCTCACGTGTACTTGACGTGTCCGATCTCATTGATCTCAAAAGACAGCAAACCGTTATACTGCTTCTGCCAGTCCCGCTGTCGTATGAAGCTGGTCACGTTGAGCGGCGCGCCAGACTTGATGACGGGGAGGGACGAGTTGGTCGGTGAGGTATCGGGCTCATCATCCGTATCATGACCACCATGCCGAGGCACGAGACGCCGTCGCGTGAGTCCATGCCCATCCGTGCCGTGCGTCGCATTGCTACCCTTTGTAGTGTTGCGCTCATCCATCAAGGCCGCTTGCAGTGCTTCCTGGTAGCTCATGACTGGAGGAAAGTCGTTCGTGGCGATAGATCCCGACGCGAGGTGAGTTCTCCAGTAGTCCTCAATCACACCGAGTGGCGGATTGTCGCTTGTAGGGCAGTACGCGTGTATGCACAGCGCCAGCGTGCGCATGAATGATGGGTCGCTCGCGTAGCATTCGTGCGGTGTTGTCGTCGCCGAATGGCCGCCGCCGTGCGAGGCGTGTTGGTCTGCCGGCGTGCACTTGAGCTGACAACTTGCGATGACTCCACGGCACGCAAATGTGCATGGAGGAACATACATCGTTTTGCCGAACCCAATCATGCCGACTCCGTCCGCGACAGTGCCAGGGACACTGGCGGCCAGCAAGGCGGGGAGGAGCCATGATGGTCCCATCGTGAGCCAGATTGGAACCTCTCAGTTGAAGCCCTCGAGCTGGCAACTGCAGATACAAAAGGAAATAGCAAGATTTGTGGCAAAAAGAATATAGTCCATCCTCTCGATCTCGTAGTCAGATACACAGCCGTGTCTGGATGCCTTTTAAATGTTCGCCAGCATCACAGCCTGATGTGGCCTGGACCCAGCCGTCGAAAATATCTTCATTACATCCCGAAACGCACTCAGAACGTGGCTTTGGAGCCAATGAGAGAATCCCGTTTACGGCGTACCAAGGACGTCGTTTTGACTCGTTTCAGCGTTACATTCTCAATCTTGCTCAGTTTGCGAGTTCCAGCCCGCCAAAGTGTGGATCAGGCGTTCGATGCCAAGAGCGCGAAAGCAGGGTACCTTGTCATACGGCAGCTTTAAATTTTAGTGTAACCTTGTTTGAGGGCGCCGGTCGTCACCTGCAGGCAGGAACGAGAATAAGCTACACTTGCGACGGAGGAGGTCCATGCAGATACGGCATGCAACGTTGGAGACTGTGCTCTGCATATGCCGACCGGGCGACTTGGAGACGGTGCAGAGAAGCCATAGACGGGAACGACTTTACCGTCTGATCGTGGGCATTCCGGTCACATCGTGGCGGATCGCATTGAAATAGAAGTAAACGTGGCATGGTTCTTGTAGAGCCACAATCGTCGTCTCTGGAGTCCACTTGGAATGCGCGCATTTCACCAGGTTCAGAATCTGGTCGACATATCAAGGCTTTTCTCGCCTGTTGCAGTTTGAGAATTGCAGGGGGGCTGTTGCCTGTGTCCGTGACGACTTGGGCCAAGGCCGATGTACAGCGAGTGCGGTGGTCAGGGTAACATGATAAATCGGCTCAGTGCCATCTCAGGCGCAATATGAAGCGACCACGTGAGCACGACTGCTTGCCTGTATGAAGGCAGGAGCCGCAGGCACTGAGGAGGCGCTCCGCGGGGCTGATGCTGGAAATATAGCGAGAACGTCAGCACTGCATAATGTGCACAATTTGTCCATATTGTAGACGAAATACAGGTTGTAGTTGCGATCATCGTGCATCATGGTTTGAATGTCGACAAATGGGCTCAGGCGCGGGGACCACACGAAGCGAACCGTCGCCCAGTACATGTACGGGCCTACATGTATGCTGGTGGCGGACTGCTGAGTGATGACAACAATAGCCCCATGCGGTGCACATGACAAGAAATCAGGAAGGTGTTGGTGTCTGTGATCAGAAAGCTTCATGACCAAAAACTGTGGCATCGATCGCAGGTAACATTCTTTGAGGCCACAAGTGAGTTGAGACTGCCACACCTATATAAGCTTGCGAGAAATAACGCCAATCGCGCCCGGCAGCGTTCAAGACTACGGAGTACATTTTGACGCCAAGTCCTCGTGCACATTGCAGGGAATAACCTTGCACTAGGCGTCGCATTGTAGTGTTCAGCTCTCAACTGTAGCCCATTCAATGCAGGCGGCGGAGTACATGTAGTGAACTCTACCAGAGAGCACGGCCCCTAGTAGGGCATGCAATATGCCGCGTAATCACCAGCAAATTATACATGACATAAGGTTGTCATGCCTTGCCCTTAACATGCAAATCAGTCCACTGTTAACCTTGCACTCGGTGTCTATGCTTCACATGGTCCAATTCCAGCCCTCCCTGTGGCCAAGAGGTGTCCTTGGCAATATAATAAGCGCCAATGCTTTCTGACGTGTACAGCATTTAGTACTCAGTTGCCAGCCAGTTGCCAGCTGGGCAGCAATATAATATGCCTCGCACATTGGCGCATCCCTCGCAACATTGACGTGACCTGCTGTTAAATTTGCCAACAAAAGACAGACAGACCTTGCATTGCCGCCGCGTCCATGCTCACAAGAATAAAGCCGCGAGATGCGGAGGCGGAAAGCGCCTGGCCGACCCATGTCTACCGCGCCTGGGCGGAGCATTTTCGATACTTTCTTGGCCTTGTCGAGCCTGCTGGCTCTCCTTATAAATAGGAAACTGAGGCGCACTAGTCGTTCTGACAGACAGTTCAGCACGAATCAGTTAGGTCGGCAGCCACGAACATCATCTTGAAACATATCTCATCGGACTCTGCCATCAACATGAAAGCATCTATCGCGGCGTTAGCGCTCACGACCGGGCTTGCCGTGGCAGCAACCTCGCTTGAGCGGAGGGCGTGCGAGACGAGCCTTCCCAGCGATGAGTTCATAAAGAGTAGGACTGTTTCATATTGCATGGACATCAAGGGGGACGACACCAAGACGGCGACGACCTGCAGCAAATTCGCGGAAGCGTGCATCGACACGGAGAACAAGACCGGGGTTCGCCACAGCTGCACCAGGTTCGAGTCCATCATGGCATGCGTCGATAAGATGATCGACGAGTGTCCCGCAAATGGAGTGAAGCCTTCAAAGACACAGCCGGGATCTTCTGACCACATCCCCGTCAAGCGTCGTCTCCTCAAGTACTGCGAGAGCCTTCCCGCCATGGCGTCACAACACGTGGAATGTGGCGAGATAGCAGCCAAGTGTATCAAGGATACCAGGAAGAATGCGGGCAACAGCAACGTGCTCAAACTTGGGCACGCTTGTGTCGACGCAGCAGTGCAGCGCCTCGCGTTCGAGAAGGCCAAACGCGACGTGACGCAGCGCCTCGAAGAGACCTGCAAGGGCCAGTCAATTGAGCTCTACAGGTGCAAGCGAGCCATCTGTTTCTGCCAAAAGCTGTTGAACGTGCCATACAAAGATGGCAAGACATACGATCTGGGTTTGGAGGACAAAGGCTTGGATTGTGTCATGCAGAGGATGGCTACGCGGTTTGACGATATTCCCCAGGAGGAGCGCGATCTCTGCCCCACGAAGTGCTTCAAATCGCCCAAGGAGGGCATTGACAACTTGGGGAAACTTGGCTTGGGGGTTAGACATTGTTCCCACGTGTTTAACGCGTACTAGTTGAGCGGAGTGGTTGTGGGAATCTGCAGGAGGCAACGGGTTTGAGCTGCTCGTGCTACTGCGCCTGTGGATGAGGCAGTGGTAATGGTCAGCACAGTTCTCAACGAAATGTGCAGGGGAATTATAGATTGATATAATATTATCGACTGATGGAGTGTTTACTAAGGGGCAGAGAGTCTTAAAGCGATGGCAGGGATACTGTATTCACTCGTCCGCCCAAAAACCTCGCTCTATTTGTGTACTACCCAGCTACTGTGTGTCTGAATGCTTGAGTATATGAGTCACTGCCATCTTGTAGTCTGAAGTCAACATGAATCCGGTCTGCTATTTGCCAGGGCAGTAAGTCCTGCCATCCACTGCGTGACACGGGGTTCCATCACCGGCGCCACTCTGCTTCGTGCACTTTTAACAAAACCTGTTAGTAATGGAGATTTTTCGAAATATGTCTTTCGTATTCATACCTTGCCAACATCGCAAGACCTAATTCTCGTTAGCATATAGGGCACGAAGTCTCGGAAACTTATGAGAGACTCACCAGTTGGAAAGCCCAAACTTGCAGCTTGTGCCGTTGCACACCTAGCGCAGGTCAGTACGACATTAGACAAGGGCAGATACTATGTTTTTACTCCGCTCATCCAACCGCCTCGCTTCGCGACCTTGTCTTCTGTCTCAACCGGGGAGGCAGCCACGAGAGCAGCGCCGAGGAAAAGGGTCGTAAGAGTGCTGGTGAGCTTCATGTTTGCAGAGGCCGAAATGTAATGGTTAACGGGATATAAGAAGAATTGTAGAAGCTGGATTGACGGTCTACTCCAACTTGATAGCTGGGGAATTCGACCGATTTTATACCCCGAGACCTACGGCACTTGTATTCTATTCCTCCAAGAGGCGGTATGTTCTCGTGCAGGTCTGGATGATAGGCGGTGCATAGGACCCCAACTGATCAGCGCAATTGGCTGACTTGAGGTCCCTGAATACCTTGCCCATCTCCACTGCGGCTCGTCGCTTACACTGGCAGCCGTTGCAAACCCACAAAGTGGGCTCGGGGGTTGCCGATACGGGACATACAGGGCAAACATAAGTTACATCGGCTGCAACCTCAGTGGCTTCGACTGTCGGCGTGAGCCCAAGCCGGAATAGACGATGGTAAGCTGATGGGGAACACTTTTTGCGAAATGCTGTGGCGGCGGGACACGGATGGTCGGCTGTGGTTTCCGCGCACCAAACAGACGTTGTGCTGGGATTATGTTACGAAAGTACTAGCTTCTCTGGGTGCTTGATTGTATATGCTTGATCAATATGACCTCAAACAGAATCAGCTAATACTCTTTCAGTCGCTGAAGTGCCTTCGAAAACAACGCAATGCTGCGCCTCATACTTGCCCATACGTCGAATTGACTCCTCACCCCAGCCACTACAACGGTACTTGACTTCCCAACTTAGCCCTTGAAAGGAATGGATCTTCGCGATGGGTCTCATCACATTGTGCCGAGTTGGCCATATGATTGTCGGCTCACGATGCGGGTCATCGGCGCTCTCCCGCAGGATCCATGTCTTGGCTGGTGATAGGATGCCTGAAGAAGTCGTCATTGCCACGGCGCCAAGGCAGGGAATACTCTATCTAGCTTTCCATTACTGGCCTCATTGGGTCCCGTGAAAACAAATGTTCCGCGCAGCACCCGACGACAATGCTGATTTATTACCACCATCTATCGTCTTCATTGCTTGCCCCATGAGACGTCACCAGACCTCATGCACGACGCAGCCAAGATGCTGAGACTTGTCTGCCGTTGGGCACTGGATAGCATGCGCTACAGCGGCGGGTCAAGGTCTCAAATCTGCATTCTGCCAAGAGAGCATGAAAGAGAGTAGGACTTTCCATTCGGCGAGAGCATCGCCACGTTGCCGACTTCTCCAGGGAACCATGGAACCTTGCCATGCTCGCCAGTACTCACATACGGCTATGCGTCGGCCCAACAAGAACGTCAGTTTCTTGAAGTCTACTTAAAGGGACTGGGGAACCTGCTGAGCTATCGGAATAGAATGTCCAGCGCGACTCATTTGTTCACACGCAAACCTTCTCCATTTCCAGCACCTCAGGTCAGTCAGCCTGTCAGTATGAAGACTTTCACTACGATCCTCGCTATCGCCGGCGGACTTGCCATTGCAAGAGCCGAGCCCGTGCCCAAGCCCGACGACATCTTCACGACGACTGAAAGCACCCCTGTGCCCGTACCAACATCCACAAGTGAGGTTTCGAGCCCTATTGGGGACGGTCGCATAACCGAGACTCCGAGTTCAAGCCCTGTCGGTGTCGTGACAACTACAACTGAGGCACGCCTCTAAACCTACCGACCGTGTCCTACATGTAGCGGACACAGTCGCAGCCGGCTGCGGATCACAACGCCTTTGACCTCAACGGCGACCAGCACGCCTGCAGTTGCTCGAATATGCCTGCCATGGGAACGAACCCGGTCTGATCAGTGAAGCCCAGACCATGTGTGTGCATTTTCGTCGACTGGACTGTCGGGCAATTGTTGAAGGTGATTGATGAACGCGGGCTGGGAGCGGTGTGTAGTGCCGAGTCTGGGAACGAGCACGGATTAAAGGAACGTGTATGCCGGAGAGCCGTGGGGGTGAGCCAACGTGCTCTGGCTATGAAGACGTTGGAGTGTGGTCAGCGAATTTGGTGCCGATTGCATAGTCAGGGCATGTCGAGGGGACAGAAACGAAAAAGCTCAAATGACCTCGGGATGTCCCAGGCGGCTAGTTGGAAGTAGCAACTCAAAGAAAAGAATAGCAATCGGACCAGGATATGATCATGGATCCGACCAGACTACGGCCAAAGTCATCAATGCGTGAAATGGAGCAGAATGGAACGTGCTCCATATCACTGGCGCAGGAGTCTGCGTCAGCCTCGTCGTACCCAAGGTAGGCCGGCAGGCATTACAGGTGGCACGCTTACCGGGTTCAGCCCTCAGAGCAGATCGCCCCGGTGCATGCACGCGGCATTCATTCAATGTGGTGTGACCGCTTCGTGGAAAGGGACCTCGATGGGAATTGACAGCCAACGCGCGAAAGAGCCAGGAACTGACTGCTGCATCCAGAAAGTCAAGCACGGCCACATGACAGACGTGGACGAGGGGCTTGCCGGACGTTGACCGCTGATAAACCAGGGTCCAGGCACTGGAGTCAGACCCGCCCAGCTGTCAGGTAGTCACCAAACCTTGTTGTTGAACTTGTGTGCTCCAGTCAGGTAGGCTTCGCTGTAAAATAGCAGATCATTGACGCTCAACCTATCAATCGAGAACTTGGACTGGCAAGTTCAACGCGGCCGCATCTGAGCTCGGAGACCGAGAGCTCCCCTCCAGGCTTGGGGGGATTAATTCTACTGGTACGGTAAACCCAGTGGTAGCTCAGCTTCGCCCGCTTACGATTGAAAGGGATTGGCGGGGTCAATCAACATGTTGCATCGACTTTAGTTGACACGTGAAATGCGACTTTGTCAGACTCAACACCAGACCACCACCACCACCTTCATCCACGACCGCCTTCGTCTCCCCCCTCTCCCTTTCTCTTTCCCTCGCGCGCAGTCCGTCAAATCAACCCGCAAACCACCGCCGGCCCTTCTCCGCCCCCGTCAGCCAGCCCCATGGCGCCCATCAAGGTCGTCGTGTCGGGCGCCGGCAACATCAAGCGCCAGCCCGAGCTGGGCGTCGTCTCGATCCGCGTGCGCTCGCGCGGCGCCGAGCAGGCGGCTGTGTCGACCGAGGTGCGCAAGGCGGCGCAGGAGATCCAAGCGCAGGTGCGGCAGCTGGCGGCGCCGCGGCACGCCGACTACCGCGCGCCCTCGCCGGCCGTTGACGCCGCCGTGACGCGCTGGACGTCGGGCTCCATGACGACGCGCTCGTACTGGGAGCGCAGCAAGGACAAGGGCCGCCACAACACGTTTTACGGCGCGCAGACGCACGTCGGGATGACGAGCGGCTACTCGTCCGACTCGTCCCAGGGCGAGCGCGATAAGGAGCACCAGCGCACCCGCGTCTACGAAGCCAGCGTTGGCCTGACCGCCACGTTTCGCGACTTTGACAGCCTCAGCGACTTCACCACACGCATGTCTGTCGTGCCCCTGGCTAGCGTCCGCGGCGTCGAGTGGTTCCTCACCCCGGAGACGCAGGCGCAGCTGCGCGAGGAGGCCCTGCGCTCGTCGTACCGCGATGCCCTCGCCAAGGCCAGGGCCTACGCCGAGGCCATGGACAAGAAGTCGGTCAAGCCCGTCGAGGTCCGCCAGCTGAGCGACCAGCCGCCGCGCCTCATGGCCTTTGGCGCCGCCGCCCGGTACGCCGACATGCCCGTCGGTGACGATGACAACGAGGAGCAGCACCTGACGTACCAGCCCGAGGACGTCTCGTACGACGTCGACTGCGAGGTCACGTTTGAGGTCGAGTGAAGCGAAAAAGTATGGGGACGTCAACGTGTATCATTATGCTCATCATCTACCGAGGAGCGTGGACTCGTCCCAAGAATTGACGCGGTGCTCCCAGTTCCGCCATGCACATGTACTCTAAACATCAATCCATTCCAGCGCCTTTCCAATGCAACGGGGGCAGCTCCAATTAAACGACACAGCTGCCCATCTTCTTTCCCAAAGCCCTCACACATCAAACTCATTTCGCCGCGGCCTCCTCTGCCCGCTTCCGCGCCAGCCCGCCCAGCTTCTCCGCCGCGGCGGTGAGAACCGGCGGGTTCGCGCCTTGCACCATCTTCTGCCCGTGGACGGCGACCTGCGTCCCGTCCTTGAAGAAGAGGAACGTCGGCATGGCCGTGATGCGGTACTGCACGGCCAGTTCCTTGACGTTGTCGACGTTGACCTTGACAAAGGCCAGCTGGCCCTCGACGGCGTGCTTGCCGCTCAGCTGCTCGAAGACGGGCGAGATGGCCTTGCACGGCGGGCACCAGTCGGCGAAGAAGTCGACGGCGACGTACGTGTTGCTGGCGAAGACCTCCTTGAGCTCGGCGCTCGACTTGATTTCTCGGACCATGGTGGGGATGCTTGTGGACTGATACTGAGCTGTGCTGCGAGGGATCTCTGTGGCACGGTGGTGGCTCAAGACGTGTTTGACGCTGACTCAGTTGTCTATGAGAAGGAGAGAAGCGCGATTGAGGGTCTTTGTCGAGCTACGTTGGGTTATATGCAGTGTCGCCTTCAGTCGTTGGGCGCTGGACACGCTTGGAAGCTTCGGCCGTCTTCGGGATCGCGGGGTACAGGTCGTTTTTTGCGTTTGTCAGCCCGCTACTGCTGCTGTTGGCAGCGTTGCTCTCAGCGGACCAATGGGCCATCACGTGCCGCCGCATTTTTGGAATCACTTTCTGCCACTGACTCAGCGACTGCTAAACGACGCTGTACCTGCATCCGCCACCTAACTTAGGTGCACCATCATCATTTCACTTTGATGTTTCATCTGCCGTACATCTCCATACGTTCAACACAGTCCGGCCATCGCACAGGTTGTCTGCGATCCCCAGTTTCCTTGGGACAATACCGCCTCTCAAATGCGTCTCGCAATCCTGCTCGCATCTGGCAGAATGTAAGCCAAACCTACCGCTGCGCAACCACCTTTTACGCTGTGCAGAGTCCATCGTGTACCGAAGGCGGGTTGGAGGACGCATCACCCCAGTCCAGGCTCGCAATGAGGCGGCCCACGTCCGTCGACCTATCCGCGCGAATGTAGTCGTCTGTTCTCCGTCAGCACGTCCCATCACCCAAAGCTCGTCGGGGACCTTCTCACCTCGCGTCGGAAAGTACCACCAGTCCTGCGAGCGAAACGCGTTGTTGGTCAACTGCGAGAGGGGGTCGTTCCAGCCCGTGTTGCGGTCCTGGTAGTTGGCGTGCTTGGACCACGCGACGTAGACCTTGGGGTGGTCGAGGTTCTTCTTCCCGTTGTCGCCGCCCCGCGGCTGTCCCGCGTCGCTGTCGGAAAAGGTGTTCTGGATGTTGGGCCACAGGATGCGGTCGTAACCAGAGTGCTGGCTCAGGTGCAGCTGGTACGGCCGCCACTGCGTGTCGTCGGACTTGCGCAGCTCGACGAGGACGCGCTCCCAGTCGTATGGGTGGCCGTTGATGCCCTTGGGCTTGGCACCGTCCTTGGTGTAGAAGAGGTTGTACGCCACGCGCACCATGGTGTCGGAGCACCGCGAGTACGAGTAGTAGATGGGGAACCGCTGCGACGGGTTGCCGATGCCCTTGTCCGGCGTGACGCAGTTGCATCCCATGTCGGGGTAGTCGCAGAGCGGAGAGCTGGGCGTCTGCTGGTTGCCCGAGGTGGCCCACGTCGGGATGCATGGCGGGCGGTTCATGGCCTGGCCGAAGAAGAACATGGGCTGGGCCTTCATCGCCAGCGAGACGCCGCCTTCGTTGAGCAGCTGCGTCATGGCGTCGTCGGTGATGGGCGTCACGGCGACGGCCACTGCCGCAGCGGCGAACAGGCCGGTAACAGTGCGCAGCATATTGGGCAGTCGGCAGGGTCGAAGCACCTACAAAGTAGATGGAGGCCAACTCGGTGGCGCGAGTGGTATGCGTGCCGTGCCGTCTCGACGATCGATCCGGTGTAAGTCAGGCGCGGGGGCACCGGTCGTACAAATACCCGTCGATTTCAGTAGTGTCCATGCCCCGCCACGACTGCCGACGGCAACACCATAACAGCGTGCGCACAATGATTAGTTGCTGATCAACCACCTAGATTCGGCCCGGGGTCGCGTCTACTGCGCATCGCTTCGAGGCGAATGCAGGGGCGCTCATGCTCTTGCTGGACTTGGGCCTTTGGCCGACGGGTGGCGGCACACCAGCGTCGCATCGCGCGCGCAAACGTGCGCCGGCCATTGGTGGACAATCGGCAGTGGTCTGAAGGATCCGACGAAGAATGCGCCGTCATGTTGCATGAAAGGGTCGACTAGATCAGATCCCATGATCCGCCTCGGGAATCATCTCGTGGTGCTCTCAAGCGAGAGGGACAAGACGGGCAATTCGTATGTCCGTGCTCCCGGCCGCTTAGACAGCGGATGAGGGCGATTTCCCCTCTTGCCGATGCATGTACCGTTGCCGAGTCTCCCCGTCGTTTCCATCGAAGGCTTGTACTTGCGACAATGACGTCGGTCACCGCAAGATACGCTTCTTCGTCTTGAGCAGCGGCAAGTAGATGGCTATATGATCGTGACGGCGCCCCAGGCGGGAAAATGACGTACAGCTGCTGGCCGTCTCGGTGTACGAATAGGGACGGTGCACAGATACGACCTGCCCAGAAAGTGGCCTTGGTGCTACGGCGCTTTCGTCCCCGGCCTGCTCAACGTCGCACCCGGCACTGGACAAGTCGCTGGTGGGACGGATCCGCATATGCTACGCTTTGGGTACGGTGAAAGACAAGGGCGCCGAGATTGCTCGGATGGCAGATGTGCCATCTGTGTCTGGTGACGTTTTCCAGGTTGCTCAGTCATGGTACTGGATACGCCTGAGCCAACTGGCATCAATTCATCTTAAATGCAGCGCTCAACGCCTCGCAACTGGCGACCTTGCCAGTGCGCTCCGCCTATATGTCTAGTCTATCGTATGGCTCTATGCCAACCCCGTCTAAATGCCCGATGCGTCTAATGCGTCTATGCGTCTATGCGTCTATTCCAAGGCGTTCAAAGTCATGCCCATCCGATGCGATATAGCTCGTACCCAGTCTCGTCAGCCCGTCCGCTCCTGTGCTTCCGCACGCTCTCCTGAGAAAGGATGGACAGTGCGCGCTCGCCCGTCCGCCCTCCAGGCCGTTGTTCCGAGAAAGCAGCCTCGACAGACGTGTTGATGCCGTTGAACTTGCCGTTGGGGCGAATCGAGACCACGAGCCAAAAGACACCCCCCGGGGCGAGGAGCGTCGCCGCGCAGTCCCTCAGCCAGATTGCATGCTCGGGCGCGTACGCCACATCCGCAGCGAAGATGAAGTCGAAGGGCTCGTCGAGGGGCGCCGCCCGGGACGGAGCCGACCAGTCGAGGTGCGCAGCTTTGAGCGGAACAGTGGCGCCGCCCCCAGTGCCGGTGCCTGCCATGTGGGCGTCGAGGTTGATGGCCAGGTTCTTGAGCACGGCGGGGTGGTAGTCTGTCGCGATGATGGCCTGCGAGGGCCACGTCTCGGTGAGGCAGGGCAGGAGACTAGAGAGCGCGAGGCCGAAGAGGCCGGTCCCGGCGCCGAGTTCGAGGATGCGCGTGCCGTGCGAGGCCTTGTCGAGGTGGAACCGCTCGGGAGTCTGGCAGACGAGTTCCGAGAGGGCCACTGAGGCGCCCCATGTTTGCAGGCCGACGTCGGTGTGATCATCTGTCGTTTGCATCGGCGTGTCGAGGAGGTCCACCTTGATGCTCGTGTGTTTTGACGGCACAGCGAACTCAAACCGTCGCGTCATGCCTAGGTCATCGCCCTGAAGTTGTTGCTCCTCATCGTCACCGCCCGTGAGCCGGGATAGCACGGCACAAGCGTCGTCGACAATTCGCTCGCGCGACTCCTCGTCTACGGGCAGCTCGTCCGCCCGGCCGATAAGTCCTGTGAGCCACCGCACCGCCGCATCTCTCTCCACGGGGTCATCTCGCAGCGCCTGAGCCTCGTCGCTGCCTTTGTCGTTTAGATCGTCTTCGTCATCGTCATCTTCGTCGGCCTCGGTCACGTAACCAGAGTCAGTCTGTGCCAGCCCATCGTGGGCCACGCCCTGGCGAAAGTCAGCCGCCGCGGGAAGCCGGCAAAAGACATCGCGGAGCGTCTTCAACGCGTCGCAAATTTGCGCCGAGGTCGCTGACCGACAGGGCGGGAGGCTCGCGGCCAGGGAGAGCGGATTGTGCCCCATGTCGCCTGCCTGCTGTAAGTCGGCACGGGCCCCCGGTCACGAAAATGCGTCTCTCCCCGGATTTTGACGAGATCGCGACGAGGTCGACAGGTCACCGCCTGGCGAACAAACAAGTGAGTTTCATGCTTGACAAAATTTATCCCGCCGGAGGCCAGTCCTTCCCCCCGGGGTGGCGCCCAGGTACCCGCGGCGCCTGTGGTTAGACCCACGTGGACCGGACAGAAGCGCAAATTTTCTTTGACACTATCGTCGTCGTGCGATATGGTTCCCCGAGTCAGCATTCTCCATTTCCTGATTTGGCAACCGATGAGGTGGGGCGACATCTCAATGCTTAAAAGTATACTCCGCCGGCTGCGCCCAGCCAAGTTACTTCGAGCTCAAGTTGGGCAGGGTCATCATTGGTGATGGCGGTTGTTCTATTTCGGTCAGTGGTTTTCTAGATACAGCACTCGCACAGACCTGGCCGGAAGCTCATCTGAGATCGCACATGATAGTGAATCAAAGCGGGGCTGGACACGAGTTTGCAAACAGATACATATGTCCGTGCACTGCGTCGAACATGTCGCTTAACAGAATTCGTTCATTCCCGTGTATCTGTCCGTGTATCAAGATGTATGCGGGTCTTCTTACGTCCCATGACGGTATGAAGCACAAACACGTGAATACACTCAGTGCAACGATGCTTCTCCGTGGACCATGTCCAGGGAGTTGCATGTGCGGGTATGAGACGCCTTGCGCCAATGCAGCCAGACCACGAGCATCCCTCAAACCAAAAACTCAATCCCCAACGCCACTGGTGCCATTCAAATACTCTGCCGGTCCGAGGCAGACCGCGTATGCCGGAGCACGCCATTCAGGGGCTTCTGTGCGTCTCCATGACAGCCGTTCGGTACGGCTACATCGCCGTCGCCTGGCTTAGGAAGCCACTTGAGCAGCTTCTGCATGAGCAACTGTCGATTGACCGGCTTGGCCAGGTAATCGTTGACGCCCTTCTCTAGACAACGCTCCATGTCGCCCTTGAGTGCGTATGCAGTCATGGCGATGATGGGTATGCGCGAGCCGCTATTTCGTATCTGCACCGTCGCCTCGTAGCCGTTCATCACGGGCATGCTGATGTCCATGAGACACAGGTCAAAGGCATCGGGAGAGTTTGCAAGCGTCGAGACGGCTTCGGCGCCATTCGAGACGACAGTGATGTGCTGGAAGCCGAAGGCGTGCAAAATCCCGACCAATACCTTTTGGTTGATGATGTTGTCCTCGGCGGCCAGGAGTCGTGTTTGCGAGGCGATCCGTAGCAACCGCGATAATGGCGCTGCGATATCATTATCTTGTGGGATTTGCTGTCGCAATAGTTCTCTTTCGGGCTGCGCGCTAATCTGTTGCGGCCCATCGACTCGCTTCAACTTCACGGTGAACCAAAAGATGCTGCCGGGCTGGTCGGGGTTGGGCTTATACCCAATGTCCCCGCCCATCATTTCAACGAGGGACTTGGCGATGGACAAACCAAGGCCCGTCCCCTGCCGGCGCTTCTGATATGTAGTGTCGAGCTGCGTAAACGGTTGGAAGAGCTTCAGTTCGGACTCGTCGCGGACGCCGTGTCCGGTGTCGATGACTTCGGTCATGATGGTGTGTGTCGCTGCATCCTGCGCCGCCAGAGATACGCGCACAATGATGTAACCCCTTTCGGTGAACTTGCCCGCGTTGCCGACAATGTTTTCGAGAATCTGGCGACAGCGCAAGGCGTCCCCCTCCGCCCACTTTGGCAGGTCCGTAGCCAGGTCCGTCTTGAGCGATACGCCTGGTTGTACCGTCGTTTGGAAGCTGCGTACGACGGACGTCACAACATGCGCTACGTCGAACTTTTCGTTTGTGATCGAGAAGCTGCCAGCCGCGAGCTTGGAGTAGTCGAGAATGTCGTTGATGACCTGCAGGAGAACGCGCCCCGACTCCTCAATGATGTTGGCCGTCTCGAGTTGCTCCTCGGTCAGGTCACTGTCCAGCAGAAGCGAGCAGGCAGAGAGCATGCCGTGCATCGGTGTCCGGATCTCGTGACTGATGTTGGCCAGGAAGTCGTTTTTCAGCTTGGTGCTCTCCTCGTAGGCGGCAATGAGCCGCATCTCGGCCTCTTTGCGCTCCGTGAGGTTGCGGGTGACTTTGCCGAAGCCGACGTGGATGCCGTTTCGATACACAGCCGTGATAACGACGTTGGCCCAGAACCGGCTGCCGTCTTTGCGATAGCGCCAGCCTTCGTCCTCGACGCGCCCCTCGCGCAGGCATACCTCGAGTTCCCGCTCGGGTTTGTGGGACTTGAGGTCCTCCTCGCCATAGAAGATGGAGAAGTGCTTGCCGATAATCTCTTCCTTTTTGTACCCTTTGTTGAGCTCGGCGCCAATATTCCAGGTCATGATGTTGCCGCGCGTGTCGAGCAGGAAGATGGCATAGTCCTTGACGGCCTCGACGAGGATGCGCGACGCCTCATCGATGGGCAGCCAGCTCTGGCGGATGCCGCCGTCGGCGACGGTAATATGGACTTCGGCCTTTTCCCACTCAAAGATGAGGCAGATCAGGCCGTCGTCCTTGTGGATCGGGGTGATGCGCGCGGTCCAGGCGACGCCCTCCGGGTCGGTGTACGCCGCATGGCAGAGCCGAAGGGCGCGAGACGCGATGCCCGTTTCGATGGCGAATGCGAGTGGAATGCGGTCGAATCGCGCCGTCGGCGACCCGTGGTAGAGAGCGGTAAAGAGGTCCTCGCCGACAATCTGCTCCCGAGAGCAGCGCCACGCCTCAAGCAAGCCGGCCGAGGCCCTCTCGACGCGGTACGACGGCGACACGACCAGCGTGGGCACGGGCGAGTAGTCGAGAATCTCGCTCATGGCGGAACCCGTGGCAATAGCCGCGATGAGTGCATAGGGAAGCGGAGGGGTAAGAGAGTCATCGAGGCAGCGTTTGCCTCGTCCTCTCCACGGCGGCGAGCAAGGTTCCAGGGCTTGTGCCGCCATGCGCCTCCAGGACGAGGGGGGCCACCGCACACGGGGAATTCAGCCGCGGGAGGGGAGCGGAAGGAATGCTCCCCTGGGGCTGAGACGTGGTGGTCTCGAGCGTCCCACGCGTGACGTCAGAACTATTTCATCATCTCGTCTTTCCGGCTCGGCGCCGCACAACGAGGGCTGGGTGCGACCGTGGCCGTCGTCACGTCCCGCCAGTTGTGGTATGAGGCTGGAGGGGTGCGACGATGCAGGATCTCTATGGGAGTCAAGCCATGTAGGAGGTGGCGGCGAGATGCGATGAATCGCGGCGTACTCACTCTAAACTCACACGCTACGTCTGCTTGCCGCGCTTTGGCTGCCAAGCTGCCCCCCGGAGTGGAGTTTAGAGAAGGATCCAGGGGGGATCTGCAGTCCGACTTGGGGAAGGTTGACACCCCGAAGGCAGAAAATTGGGGGGCGGAAGCTCAACGGTCTCTGCCAAGTCGAGCTTCACCGTTTTGGCCCCCAGGGGACTATCCAGGGACTGCAGGGCACCTTTATTGCGCCCGAGTCACCGCATGGTTTGGCATTGCATAGTGTCCTGCAGGCGTCTCAACTCGGTTAGCGGACATTTGGTGGTCGTTCTCGCGAGAGAAGTCGCACCTTGCCTGCCGCAGTCACACACCAACCGCGACACGATTGAAGACATCGAGGTGGCCCGACGGTGGTACAATTACGGTAACGACTGTGAGTGTATTATACTTCTGTGACTATCTCCTGGGGCCGAAAAGAGTGACGCGGTCGGGTCGGACAAAAGCAAGAAAAGCAATAAAACAGGTTGAGACAACATTCCTTGCCCTCACGGCACGGTTGGCCACGAGCATCGTCAGCCTCTGCTTGAAGGACCAACCTACAGCTCCCCTGCGCTGCCCCGAGGCCTCCAGTTCACGACTGGCTTCTGGTGCGCGAACCTGTTTCGCTGCTGAGCGTTGCCACTCGCTGGCAGAATTTCCCGCTCGGCCTTTACGACGGCAGTCGAGACCAACGTCTTCCCCGAAGCGTCGACGCTGTCCGCGGTGACGCCCGTGAGCTTCCTCTTGGGGAGCCATAAGCTGGTCTCGAAGCTCGAGCGCGGCACCTCGCCGAGAAACTCGCGAGAGCCCAACTCGTCAGTCGCAGCGTAGAAGCGCCACGCAGCGGTCTCTGTGTCCCCGTTCCACGACACGTACACGGTGGTTCCGTCGTCATTCTGCAGTGCGGCAATGGCGGGATCCTCATTGGGAAGCCCAGTCCAGTTGTACCGGAAAGCGCGGTAGTTCTCGACGCCCGCGCCCAGGATACCGGAGTCCATGTATGCGTGAAAGATGGGTGTTCCATCTCTCGTGAACTCGGTCACTGCACCCTCGGATCCCCAACCCACGAGGACGTTTCCGTTCGGCAGAACCTGGGTGCTTCCCTGTGACTTGGACAAGAGATCGTCGGGCGGGAAGTAACCGCCAACAAGCTCGGCCGTCCAGGACGTGGTGTTCAGCTTCAGAATCTTGCCGCTGCTGGTTGGGGCGGTGTGGACCTCAGACCCTCCGCTATGTTCCGTTCCATGAGCGCTGTTATCGTAGAGGCTGATGACCTCAACGTCACCGTTCTGTTCCAGCCATCTGGCATGGTGCTGAAAGCAGAATTTGGTGTCGTTGGACATTTTAAAGTCGGACCGATTGCCGTTAAGCCGCCAGATTATGGAACCGTCTGTGCCGTTGATCTTGTGCACGGCACAGGCATCGCGCGCCGAGATCAGATAGTTGCCGTCAGAATCCTTGTCGACACTGTTGATGTGGAAGTAATCCCACGCATCAGACGAGTTGTATCCGGAGCCTGCCTGGCCTGGGTTGATGGGAAGGATCGCTTCTGCATCGGCCATGAGTATGCAGGTCCATGCAAGTGAGCAGTCAAATGAGATATCTTACCGTCAGGGGCAACATGATCCAAGCTGGACCACTCGAAGAGCAGTTTGCCTGTGGAGATATCCAGCTCTGTAACAACATCAGCCATGTGTCGCAATGAATATGCCCATCGAACGCACCCTGAATGATGGCATTGACGATCCACTGCTGGTCCGGGCCAGCACCCCATCGGCTGAGGTCCCGAGCGACGGGCTGGTAGATCTGGATGAGGCCCGTCTCCTCATTGACAATGTGGAATTCGTGCTTGTCAACCAACTTGTGGTTTCCCGCACGCAGCTCACGAATGGTCTCGTAATGCTGATCCATGAAGGTGATGTGCCCATGGCCGTGGCCGTAGCCAGCGTTATGGTCCCCCTCGAAGCTGAAGAGAACATCCTTGCCCTTCCAGCGGCCGGCTTGGAAGTTGGTGGACCAAATGCTGTACAGCGCGTAGCCCGACCAGACGAGATCGCCATTGTCTCTGACAATGTATGGTCCAGCTTGGCGGGGCCCATGCTGCTCAGTGGGAGTGTCGGGATAGCCAGCAAAGGGGGCGAGAAAGAGATATCCCTTCTCGACGTCGCCCGTGGCTGGAATCGTGATGTTCAGACGCGGCGGCGCCAGGTCTGGGCGGCTTCGAAATTGCCAGTCGGCCGCGACATGCCCAAAGAGCATTGCCGCAGTAATGGCTGAAACGGTGTGATCGGGCTTCATGGTGGCAGCCGTAATAATGTCTCCCCCGGAAAGTTGCTGCACGCGTCAGATGCCCGTTGTCCCATTATTACCTTTAGAATAGGTACATTCACCTTGTTACAGCCTTCGAGCCCTAGAGATCAAAATCTGGTTCCCCCCAGTGTGAATATTTCACTTCAATTCGTATAGATAGTATGGCAGAGCGGGACGTCGGATTGACAAAGGCTCATGAGCTTTGGCATTGCTGGCTCGGGATGTAAAAAGTCGGCGAGATCCCTGACTTAAAAGGCGTACCCCGCGGGAGCGCCCAGACGCAAGGCCGATGACATCAACCGATCACGTCATTACCGCGAGGCATTTGGGAACACTTGCAAAACAGGGGATCGGCCGGTATCGGTGGTTTTCAGTGCCAATGGAAATTGGATCGATACATCTGCCAGCACGTGAAGGAAGCCGAAACCCAGTCTCGCAGGATTGCGTGCTTGACATTTGGTGTATTTGGTGCAGACAAGCAGCATCGGGCCGGGTTGCGTGTCAATCAGACAGCAATTAGGCCACTCACTCTGGTCTCATTTTATTAAAACATTGGAGTAAGGGAAGGGATATGCACTTGGCGCCCTAGAAACCGTAGAAACATCGCCGGCTCCGAAATAAACACCCTCAGCAATTAATTGTCGTCTCCAACGCCCTTTACACCGTGCCTATCCTTCGGGCCAAGTCAGTCTCGTTCAATAGCGTCGGCTTCGCGCTCGGTCTCACCGGCCCCGGCCCCGAAACTAAATACCGAGCACCCCCCGCGCTGCTGTTTCGCGTTTGCCAGTTCGCGCGAAATCACGCTGCGCAAGGTTATTGTTGAGCTTCCCTGACGGGTGTCTTTTTTTTAGGGCTGGAAGGAACGACTCGCAGGCCTTTGCTTCACGCAGAGTGCAAAGTGAGACATATCGTTACTCTACTGCCGCACTCAGTGGTGAAACCTCTCAACGCTGGCGCGGCTCGACTTCATCGGCCCGTGGCTTCATGTTTCCTGCTTTTCGTAGCAACCCGAAGGCCGGTTATGTCAATTGGCCCTCATATGTACGCAGTCGAGCTTACCTTATCCTGGCGCAGGCTCTGGACTGTCCTCAAGTCAGAGAGACCTAATCATCATGTCCACCCTCTGTCTGTCTCTGGCTTCACATCGTCACGGGTTTTGGGACAAAGCTATTATTACCGCGGATTCCACACGCATCTCCGCCCAAGCTCTGCGAACTGGCGGGTCCATGACCCATTCGCCAGGGAATTGATGCTGAGTGCCTTCATTGGCCGAACCACCAGTTCGTGCTGACGGCGGCTGACGGGTTCCACCAATGGTCCAAGCTATGGTTGGGGTTTTGGTAGCGTAGGGCTGATCGTGACCGTTGAAGCATCCAAAATTAGAGCCAAGGCACAGCATGTCTTGCAGCATGCAGAGAGATCGGATAGAACGATCGCGTTAAGAACATCGTGATGCAGGCGGGGTATTAAACGCCTTGGAGTTTGCCATTTTCCAGTTACAGCACTGCATGGCAGCACACGATCAATACCCCGCCACACATGTGTCATTCTGAGTTCGACCAATGCGAGAGTCTCGCCATGTTGCTTGACTGAAAGGCGAAGGCTGAATTTACCACGCTTTTTGCAGCCCAGCAGCAAATTTCCTCATGATGTGCGCTGTGGTGTTGACATCCGTTCCGGAACTGGACAAGGGCCAACAACCATTTAGCCGCTGCGCCACATCGTGAGGTGAACGGGGCCGTGGGACTCGATGGAGGCGTCGCTCTCCGCCGGTAGTTCGCCAGCCCAGTTTCTATTAATTTTACCCCTGGAGAGACTGAGCCACCACTCAGGTCGCCGACCTTCAGTGAGAAGCACGCCGTAGTGTATTTTACAGTCTTGCGGCTCAGAAGATGGCTCCACCGGCGGACTATGCTAGCCGCCTGGTGAGCATCACCGAAATCCGCCTCCGGATGATATGAGGAATCTTTGCGGATCCAAGCGACGGAACCCTGCATCTCACTCGTGCGACTGTGGTAAGCGAGGGCTGTAAGGCTGCCGTATAATAATAAGCTTCGATGCCACTCTGATACCAGACTAATTCGACGCGTGAAGTTGGCCTTGTTTATTGCTGAAGCCACAATTCTCTTTTTGTATTCTTTCCTTTCGATCGCAGACCATTAATCATGCATGAATCAGATCACGAGACAGGCTCCGCGCCTACCAGGTTGAAGTTGGTTGGAAGCCCGCTGGTATCCAACAAGGGGGCCAGAAAACCCGAGTCGGCAGCGAGCTCCGAGCTCGGTCACAGCCATCAGCGCCTCGATCAGGCCGACTCAACACTACTGGAAGAGCTGCCCATTTTCCAGAGACACAATGAATCAACAGCGATCGAACTCTTCTACGACCTGTTTTTCGTTGCAAACCTCGCCACCTTTTCCAACATTCACGAGATCCAGTCCGTATCGACATTGACATCATATATCGGCTTCTTCTGTGTCTTGTGGTTCACCTGGTGTCTCACCAGCATGCACGACATCCGCTTCGTCTCGGACAGTCTGTCATCTCGAATTGCCAAGGGTGCGCATCTTGGAGTCATGGTCGGCTTGGCTGTAGCCGGACCAAAGTATGCGTCCGAGGGCCACCCCGCGGAGCTGCGAGTTCTTGGTAATTACCCGATCCAGCCGATACGGTCGATTGCATTATTGACTAGTTGGCAGCGCTCATTCTCATGGTGTCGAGGATCGTGCTGGCTCTGCAGTATCTGCTCGTCTTGTTCCATGTCCGCACATATAAGAACAGCAAGTTGCCGCTTGGCTTAATCGCAGGCTTCTCACTGGCTGCCGCTTTCATATATCTTGGTGTTAGCTTGTATGCACTTCTCCAGTCTATTATTCTGCTCAGGCCAAGTACTAACACAGTTCACAGCGCTTCCACAGAAACGGACCACGCATATCGAGCACTTTACGTTGTTGCTGTCGCCGAGATGGTCGTAAATATTGGCGTTGCGTCTCAATGGCGTGTCGTTAGCTTCAAAGGCACCCATCTGATCGAACGGATGAGCCTCCTCACTTTATATATCCGTGAGGGACCTTCATCGTCTAACACAATCAAGTTTTGCTGACCCTCAGCAATAGTGGGTGAGGGTGTCATTGACGTCCTCAAGAGTGTGACGAAGGTATGTCCACTGCTGGACTCTGACTGATTCGGTACACCGGCTAAGCAAAGACCAGATTTCCCAAGCCCAAGACTATTGGACAGCCGGAAACATTGGAACGCTGCTCGGTGCTATACTTACCATCGTAGGCGATCCCTATTCTTCACCACCACAATATCGCAACGCTGACCTGGTGTGCCAAGTATCTTTTCTACATGTTGTACTTCGACACGCTGAACCGTCATCACTTCGGTTCCATCAGACAGCAGATTTGGTCCTTCCTCCACTTCCCCTTTCACGCTGCACTAGTCCTCTGCGTGTCCGGGATGGCGCAGTTTGTCACTTGGCAAAAGATCGCCGAGGTTCTTCAGTAAGATTACGCTTCCAGTTCAAGTAACGTGGACCCTTTACTGACGGAAAAACAGGAACTTCTCTTCTGAAATGAATAATCGCGTCGAGGACGTAATTGACAGGATTACCTCGAATGACAGCGCAGAAGCTGTAACGGATCGATTCATCTCGGAGGTCCAACTAGCCATCAATCACACCTTCACTGCCTACCCGCCCGAGGATGCGTTTGAGACCAATGAGACCATCAAGGAGTTGGTAGAAACGCTGAAAGAGAAGCTCCTCGACTCTATCTCATCAGCAACACCTAATTTGGATGATGTCGAACATGCCATAGTCGAGATTACGTCGAAGGTGTTCACTAGCATCATGTCCAAGTACGGCTTGGAGGCTCCGGAGGAGTCTGCTGAGGGTGCCGAGGACTTTTACGGCGACTTGAATGCTAGGATCCACGCAGCTATATTGTTTGTATGCTTTGCCATGGTACCAGGCCCTTCTTATTACGTTGCTAACCTGTGGATTTTCATTAGTTCGAGTACTTCTTCATCGCAGCCGGTTTCTCGCTCATCATCCTGGGTATCTTGGGCTTGGTCAACGTTCGAAAGTATACCCTAGGCTCATGGCTGCGTTTCGCGACGCACTTTCTCTTCGGGACAGGCTTGTGTCTCGTGTGCTTGCTAGCCACCAGACCCGATAACGACTGGGCATCGGCACTGGCGGGGACAGCGTGGCCGTTGCCGATGGTGGCTCTCGTTTTGCTCATAGGTACGCCCCAAAACGGCGGAACTGATCATTAGTGCAATGTGCTGACTCCAATTTGTCTAGTCATTTCTGTCCACCATTTGAGCCGGAGGCGCGAAAAGAGCGTTGAGTCGCAGAAGTACCAGTTCCTACCCAGGTGGCGCAAAACTGAAGCTCCCGCTGTCTAGTCGAAGTTGATAACACTGGGGGAGAAAGCTGGTGCGCGCTCAGAATTAGAGCAGGACACAGGATTCTGAACCTGTGGCGATGAAGAACATATATGATCTACGAGTCTTGATTAGAAACGATGATACCTAGCGTGGCAAAGACGCGGTGGGACGGTACAGGGATCTTGGCAACGGTTATGGGCAGCCTCGACAACCAATATAGCCCCGGACGAGACACTGCATCCACACGAGCGTCTCTATACGAACAAATGTTTTAATATACATAATTTTATCATTATCCTTGCCAAAGCCGTTCAGGGTATTGGTCCCACGACATCACTGTCCGCTGGCCGCTCTAGGTAGTCGTCCGGAATAGCTTCTGTAGACGGTGCCTGTTCAATGTTAGTTTCTGATGCAAAGACAAATAGTCGCACTGGGCTCTCACCATAAGCTTCCTCGACCATTCTTTCATGTCCTCAAAGTTCTTGCACGTGTGTTTCGAGTTGAAGTCGGGAAATGCCTGCAACTCCTTGCCACTGTTGTCCACCGTCCAGACTTGGCCCAGCACTCCGGTGTCGACGTTACACATGAGTACTTGGCGAAGGGCGTCCACGCAATGTGCTGATCAGTCAGTTATGTCGAAGATGACTGTCATCGAAGGGGCGCGTAGACTTACTGACGTGCTTGCGGAGTATTTCGCCATCGTTCTTGAACGCGTGTTGCTTGAGATCTCTGTAATGATCGTAGTTGAACCATAATGCTTTTCGCATGAGGTTCTATGCCATCAAGTATCAGCCACAGTAGCTGGTGAGAGGAGAGCCGTCGAACATACCAGACAGTGCAAGTGATGCAGGCCTTCCATGTTGACGATGAAACCGCCTCCGTACTTTTTGGCTCGCTTGACAAAATGAGGCTCCAGGCCGCTCTTGATGCCATCCTCGTAAGAAATGACTCCCGGTGCAACTGGTGACAGTCAGCACAGTCTTCTCTTTCTGGGACAAGGGCTCGTACAATTGACACCAAGATCGTCCCACGCCTTGTCAACTTCTGGTGTGCCAATTTTGCGGTATATGTTCTCGTCCAGAAATGATCCGTTGAACTTCTTAACTTCGTACTTGACGCCTACTTCCCTCAGAAGTGGAGCTGCATTCACTTTAGCCCATGCCCGCGTCCCCATGCCTGGGTCTCCAGGCGGAAGCTCAACTTACACCAGCGGGTCGTATGAGCTGCGCATATCCCATCAAGTGTCGACTTGCGCATAGGCAGATATGTCCCGGCCCAAAAGGAGGCAATGCTGATCGCCAGGAGAGCGAAGAGGACGTTCAGTGGTTTGCAGAGCCGTTCAACGGCCTTGTCGGATCTCCTTCGCGCAGCATTGCTCTGTATCTCGTGCAGCTCCAGATCGACTTCCGAGCCGGGGTCGTCGGTGTCGGACAGTAAACTATTGAGATGCGACTCTTTATCCATGGCGTTGGTCATGTTGATACTCGTCAATCCTGGGAGGAAAGAGGAGGAGAAAATGACGAGATGATGGGAACGACAAGTGGGAATCCGCAGCACGGGACTTCAACGGAGGTGTCACGGTGAGCCTCTGAACCTCGTGTAAGCCACCGTCGATGTCTTGCTTAGTCCCCACCCTGCATGTACCATGCATGTAAGCTTGGCGTAGATATGCAGCGGACACTCGAGGCCGTGGTACCCGAATGGCGTCACACACGCCACATCAACCAGCGGAGCAATTTGTTCATCCTTGGGTACGGCTTCTATTGCAGGGTCGCGCCCGACAAACCCTGAATGCCGCCAAGATTCGACGGGTCAGCCAACCCACTGCATTGACGACCGGATTAGGAAACGGGAGGAGGGGCCTGGAAGTGTCGATTGCCGATGGCGTTTCGGCGTGGCGGCCATTGCCTAAACTGCATTGGCCAAGCTGACAACCTACACGAGGAGCCACTGGGCCGTGGCACGCGGGCCATGTTGCGGTGCGTGAGCCTTGATTGCCCGGAAGATCACACAGAACAGCCACAATCTGAATGCTACGGAAATTCTACTGATAAGTACGACAAATGCCATATTCTCTATTGTACAGTACTTATCTGTCGACGCCGAACTGCGCCATACAACTGCCATCATTGCAACCATGGCCATTGGTGGCCACATCAAACATGAACCGCCCAATTCATATCAGCCAGAGCGAAATAGTCTACCTGTAGTCCTGCTAGTAGCGTAGCGCATACGTAGCAACCTCGTCAACGCCACACCCAAGACCTCGTGCAGGCAGCCCACGGCTCGGCTAGTGGTCTCTCTATTCCTGAATGGAGACGATCCCGGCCCGGAGTCCCCGTAATCGTGTGGCGGGCACTGCGGGGCGGTTTCCAGCGTTGCAACTTGAACTCCACGGTCCGAATTGAAGCTTGGGCCCGCCCACGGCCTTCCTTCGACGCACGACCACAATCCTCCACCGCCCGCGTGACCTTTACAGTTGAACACGACAGCTTCCATGCTGTCATGGTACTTTTTTCCTTTTTGAAATCCGGCCGCGTTTCAACTCACGTCATCTGCGGCTGATGAGCCCGTCCCGCGCCGGCCTCCCAAGGTGCCAAAGCCAATTGGCGATTTGGGCGTATCAACGGCGCGGGCTCGATCTTGGCTGTAGTCTTCCCGTGCGGCTGAACCGCAGACACATTCCAGCCCCGACGATGCTAAGATGACGGACTGGAACACTATCGGCAGTCGTGCATCGCCCGTATTGCGGCATTGCCTGGATTCGTCGCGACGAGGTGCAAGACTGCGGCGCGAGCATTGCCTGCCGCGGTGACGTGGCGCCAGCGTGTCGACGGTTCCGCGGGTCGAGCCTGCTCCGGGGCGTCACGTCAGAGGCGATCCCCGGTTTGGAGCTCGTATATCGATGGAATAGATTACTGTGGCGCCATGCACTCGATCCTGATGCGGTGAAACGCGATGTAGCTACGACTCTACGAGGACGATGCTGGTGGGGTATAGTTCTGCATTGATGAGGAGGATGGCCCGAAGGATGCTTGTCGGAGCGGGAGATCCGGGATGCGAAAGCTTGCTCGCGTTGCACTTTAAAGGTCATGCTTCCCGCTGCCGGTTAAACTGAGTTGCAGCCAAAAGTCCGAAGACATCAAGGGCACACGATATCCTCATTAAAACCATTCATAACCTCATTACATCGAACCTCAAGCAAGGTTCAAATCAATCTTCCAAGATCTCCTGATCGACACAATACAATGAAGGCTGTCTGGGTTATCATTCTCGCCGCGGCGTCTGCGCTGGCCGCTCCGGCTCCCGCCCCGGCTCCCGAGGCCGCACCGGAGGCCAACCCGGAGCCCGCCCCGGGTGGCTATGGAAACTACGGCAAATATGGCAGCTACGGTAGTTATCCTGTTCCCCCGGGCGGATACAAGGACTACGGCCATTATAAGGAGTAATTAAGACGGGATAGGCAGTGGGATATCTTGATTACAACAGTCATTGGTGATGTTGGTGATGAGTCGGGCGGACTGCGGGGTGGAGAGCGCACACGGTCGGTTCAAGACGCTCCTTAGTGCCTCACGACATTACAATTTCTTCAAAGTCGTGTGGGCACACATTTGGTCGGACGTTGAGAGAATATCATGAATATGGGTGATGAGCCCTAATACACACTCTTCAGTGCACGTATGCTGCCCCGTAGACTTTTGTTCGTAGACTTCACTCTGTTCACCGTCTGAGAATGAGCGAGTGCAAGAGCATTGAGCAACCATTCTTGCAGCGTGATCGAGTCTTCAGCTCCATGCTGGTGGTCGTGCACCTTTTCGTCGTGATGTCAGAGGCGAAAGTGAGTCAACCTTGTTCTACTGGAGGAGAGCCAGTCCCGTGTTTGTATCTGCCAATCTCCCACGCTGGGGTCACGTCTGCGGCTGATCAAGCTCGGCGAACAGTGCGATCGTGGCTTACTGCTGGAAATCATCTGTGGAGAACTACACGGCGCTTGCCGGGTCGTCGGGTCCATTGATCGGCCATGTGCCTGATGATCTTTGGAGCGGTCGTGGCGCTCTTCAGCTTGCCGGATGGCCAACAGCCCAGCAATGGGATAGATTACTGGACGAAGGGAAATTCCTGTAGCTCTTTCGCCCGAGTCGGTGATCCGGCTCATGCCACGGATCATCCCTCCTGTAAACAACGGTATGGACGCCTCTTACGGCCGATCGGGCCCGGCCGCATGCTCGAGGCAACGGCAATGCTCGTGGAAGGCAACTGTGCACCAATAACAGTAAGTGGCCGTCAAATATGCCAACACGCTGGAAGAAAACAAAGTGGAATGTCCGGTGAAGGTTTACTTTCGGTGCCATGCCAGCATGTACGAGAAAGCCCTACTCAGGCTGTCAGCAGGCGGCCGTGAGTAGCCCGCGGAGAGAACCGGTGCGGACGAGTCTCTAGTCCGACCAGATGGTGGTTGTCATTCACCCTTGTGGCCGATGTGCGCTCTTGTCAACTACTAGCAGGATAGCGGACCAAAACCGGGGCAGCAGCCGTGGTAAAGAGTTCCACTTTCGGCCGTAGGACAATGGGAGCAAATGCCATCGGCCGAACATGACGACGCCTCCTATTGCTTGAATCGGATGCTTGTCGAGTTCTATTGGACGGGGCTGTCTCCCTCAATATCTGCCAGTCCCGGGCCGCTCTACCGCATTTCGTCCAACGGCCGGGATCACGAACTCTATCACCGCTTCGAGGGCGGAAACATTCCCTCTCACGGCGTCCCGCTAACTGCCGTCAAATTCGCTTCTTCCCCACACTACCTTTGTGCATGCAAGGGGGCTAGCTGTCAGCGGTCCTCCCAAGAGGGAATGGCCATGTCCAACCCACAGCTGCGCGACCCATTTCGTTGAAGATCTGCGGAGATGCCATTTTGCCGCAACCCCCACCAGCCAGTGAGCCAAACCTCGTGCGGGAAGGCCTGGCAGCCTGCTCCTCCAGCTCTCATCTCCGGGCATGCACCACCCACCACCCGGCTCTTCGGCGCTTAGTACTACCCCCTGACAGAAATCAACAACAACGGATGAAATGCTTGCCTGCGGCACTGAGAGCCGGAAATCGCGAAGCCAAGCCCGTTAGCTTGAATTGGGATAACGGCTCCACGGTTCTCCAGGTTGACGCTCTCTCTCCATCGATCGCATGAGCCGGCTCCGGGTCAAGTTTGCCCCTCTCTTCGCCCGCACTTTCCGTTGCCCAGAGATTAATTGCCTGGCTCGAGTCATGGGGTAAAACATCCGGGTGGTCTGTGCCTGATGTGTAGTTGCAGCCTATTGTAGAAAGAAGAGGCGCCGTAGCTGTCATGTGAAGGTAACGTCAACTCTGGTGTGGTTGCCAAGTTGGGATGAAAGATGTGCAATAAAAATCTGACAGATTCCAGTCTGCACAGAAACTTTCCAAGGCGGGAGATGAACCCTCTACAGTCTACACCAGTCTGCAAGGGCCGTGCGGTTCCGCACTTGACGAGTCAACCACCATGCCCACAGGCGGGCACGGTGCGCCTCCCCATGACGGCGCGCAGATCGCTGACGAGAAACGCCTCGTAGAGCGAAGTGATTGGGATCGTCGCAACACCGGGCGACGGGGACAGCAGCGCTAGAGCCCTTCAGCCTGTGAGCGATCCGGCTGAGGGCAGCCCATTCGCCGTCCTCACCGACGCTATCAGCGTCCGGATGGAGAAGCTCATGAAAGCTCGCGGGTCGTTGAGGTTGGGTCTGCATGCCGATGGGTAGAGCCAGCGCGCCTCCCCGGTACATGAGCGGGCCGCATCAAATGATGGAGTGATATCAGACTGGACGCAAAGGTTCCTCCCCCGGGCAGAGGGTATATAGCCAGAGTCCTGTCCGAGATTCTCGCTCTCGGCTCTTGTCCTTCTCTCCATCCGCAACTCAAACTACTCACGCTCATTCTTGCAAGTCAGTCACTCTTTGAACCTCTTACCATTCACAATGAAGGCCACTTTCTTCTCCATCGCCGCCCTTGCGGCCACGGCCCTTGCCGCCCCCTTCCGCCCCGAGGCCCGCCAGATCGGCGACATCAACGCCGTTGGCGACGCCCTCGAGATCGTCGACGGTGTTGCCGTTGATGACCTTGGCGTTGGCGAGATCGCCAACAACGTCATCGACACTCCTCTCAAGCGTGCCGATGTGGCCAACGTCGGCGATGTCATCATCCTCATCACCAGCCTTACCGAGGGCGTCACCACCCACACCGGTGCCATCAGTACGTCGAAACTTCGTGGACTTCAGGGGTTGCTCCAAGAAGTTTAGTGTGCTAATACATTCTCTATAGACAAGACCCTGGCCGCCGTTCAGGGTGGCGAGCTCAGCAAGGACGACGCCGCCAAGCAGGTCACCGAGCAGCTCCGGGGCGTTCACTTCAAGCTTACCGACGTCGTTACGAAGCTCGTGGGCGCCGGCGGCCTGGACGTGAGCGACGCTGATCTCGACAAGGTCCTCACCCTGGTCGTTGCCCTCGTCTCCGAGGTCCTCGCTACCGTCAAGGCTCTCGTCACCATCCTCGGCATCCGCGCCGAGCTCATCTCTATCCTCCACTCCGTCTTCAACATCGTCTCCAGCCTCCTGGCCACGCTTGTGGGCCTCCTCGCCGGCCTCCTGCCCGGCCTCCTTGCCGTTCTGTCCCCTCTCCTGGCTGGCCTCGGAAACGGCCTCCTGGCCCCTCTCCTTGCCCCCATTGTCGCCCTTCTGGCTGCCCTGAGCGCCCCTGGCGGTCTTCCCCTGTAAGCAAAGAGGCTTGCAGTTAGACGACTGGCTCTGGTTATCACGCAGTGAACGACTTTTTGCGACATTCAACGGACGGCGCTTTTCTATATAAAAGGGTCTGAAGGGAACTACGGTTCATTCTTACAACATTAATTGAGCACTCGTTGGTAGCCATCACAACATTAATTCTCGTAAAGAACTCGGTGCCTGTGTTTTCAAGAGTGGGGTGTTTCTCATATTCAAAATTGTGCAAGCCTATGGCTAGCAACTCAGTTGTCGACTTGATCGCCAAGCAGTTCTTTGTACTTTGGGAGCGTCCAATCCTTGACGTCCTCTTTCAAAACCCATTCGCCCAGAACATTGAGTCTCAGCAGGGCCATGAGCCCCATGAAGGCGTTAAGCATTGTGATGCCAATCGGTCCGGTGGGCATGAACTTGTACAAGGCTGAGTCTCCGTCGATGCCCTTGGTGACTTGGTCCATGAAAGGGCGAAGTTTTCGATCATACTCCTCCAGTGCGGCGGTAATGTTATCCCGCGCGGCACTGTGATCGTGTCCACTTGTGCCGCAGTGCCGCCCTATCTCTCCCGCAAGGATATAGGCTCCCACGAAAGCAGAGGTCGTGCCCATTCCGGTGTTGGCCGACGGACAGTAGGCTGCGTCTCCGACAAGAGCAACGCGACCGCGGGACCACGAGTCCATTTTGACGAGGGCCATCCTCTCACAATAAAAGTCGTCCGACGTCTGCAGGGCCGTTAAAATCTCCTTCGCCTGCCATCCAGCGTCTTGAAAAATCTCGGAAAAGACCTCCTTCTCGACCTTGACGTCTTGTCGATGGGCTTTTTGGAGCTTTTCCGACTCGCTGTTGCACATGAGGTACACTTGTATGCGCTGTGGGCTGTGCCGTCGTGTCATTATGAATCGCGTCTTTGTTGCCGTGTAAAACGTGGCGACATAGCCTTCGCCATTTCGGATCGGTCGAGGTATCGTAAAGTATGCTGCGTAAGATTTCCCAAGGGGCGTGAAGCCATCAACGGCGCCAGGGTCGTCATTGTGTATCATCATCTTCCGGGTTCTTGAGCCCAGCCCGTCGGCGCCAACAAGGAGGTCGAATTGATCGTTTGTTCCGTCCGCAAACTGTACATGAACAGCCTTCTCTGTTTGGCTGAAGCTCGCAATTGACGTGTCGAACATATACTTGGCGCGATTCCCAGTTGCATCGTGCAGAAGCTGACACAAGTCACCCCTCATGATTTCCCAGTCCGTCGTGAATGACTGCAAGCCTTTGCCAGACTTATTGGCGGGAAAGTATGCCCAGCGCCGTCCTGACTTGTCGACAACCTGGAGGCCCTGTTCCGGTGCAGACTTGGAGCGGAATGCTTGTTCCAGACCCATGAGCTTCAAAACCTGGATTCCATAACCACGGAGGTCCACCTGCAGGCCCGACGTTCGCAGTGCAGGAAATCGCTCGACGACTGTTACACTGTGGCCCAGTTTCAGGAGCCAGAATGCAAGAGCATTCCCAGCGATGCCGGCGCCGCTGATGAGAACTTTGAGCTGCGCCATGGGAGATCGCAGTGTCAGGCACACGGCTTTTACGGCCCTGAATGCAGATTCCTAGAGAAACGATAAAGGTGATGAAATGCTCCAAGGCCCAAGATGATGTCGTCTTTTGCCTGTGGGAGCTCCGTCTTATAGTCGCCCTTATCTCCGGTGGGCGTCGTCTCTCGGCCGAGAGGACATCCTGCCTTCGGTTGGCTCATGCCTCGTCACAAGCCGCACAAAAGTACCCGTCTTGCGTTTTAAGGTCATCCCACGGTCATTTCCTTCATCATCTCGAATGTAACCTCAGTTATTATCGCCATTAATGCCGCTATGTCCGCAGGTTTGGCTGATCTTCCGTAGCGACGGCTTGCCGCGCGGTATTCGGCAACGACCTTTAATGCGGCTTTCCATATCGGCCGGGGAGATGGCCCTCTAGCGGCAAACTATGTTTTAGATCCCTTGCAATTAGGCAAAGTCTATGTCGGGCAGGAAAAAGTCCAAGTCGAGCCCAAGAGCGTCAGGGCTGGCGAGACTCGCGGAAGGGAGACTGGCCACGTCGGGAGGCCGCCACGAGATCCGTGAAGCCCGCTCGCGAAGTATCACGAGGCATTGCTCTATGCTTGCTATGGCGCTTCGTGCGATGGCGGACTCACAAGGCGTATTGGCTTCCATCGCCTCCACTTGTGCCGTGATCATGCTCAGAAACATATGGCCTTTGATGTTTGTCTCTCCAGCACGGATTCGCTCTGCCGAGAGGCTCTTCATGTCCCTTACCGAGGCCTTGAGGAGCTCCATTTGGTGAAAGTTACGATGTGACACCCCATCAAGACATTGATCGGCCGCCTGTGAAATAAGTTCGAAGCTAAGAATCGAGATTGCGTATCTCATCGCCTCGCGAAACATGCCGCCTCCGATGCACATGAGTCGAGAAAAGCTTTCGTCGTATTCTGGCGAGGAAATGGCCAGGGCCGTGTCGAGTATGACCTTGCGCGAAAAATGAAACAGTGGATTTTCTGCGGCCTCGATGGCGAACGGACAGTGCATCGGGATGAAGAAACGTCGCAAGAGGAGGTCGACCAAGTTTCGGTGAAAGAGTCTCACACCACAGGTCTCGTTCGATCTCATGGAGCTCATGCAGGACCGGTGTGCGGCACTCAATTTTGCGCCGAGATTAAGCACATCTCGATACGAAATTTGAGAATGCATGCAGTTCAAGAGCCGGAGGATCTCAAGACGCGTCGAAAGCGAGTCCAGCAACTGCAATTGCAGCGACGTCGCCGTGTATGTATCTTTGGGGTGAGGCTCAAGGGTCGTTGTCGATTCGTCCATTTCATCGTCGTTGTTGTTGGACGGGGGTTCGGTGTCGAAGTCGTCCAGACTAATCCTAGGAGGCATGGCAGAGTCTAAGGAGGCTTGTGTGGCTATCTCGAGAATGGTTGCCCACAGTCTTCTGCGCATTTCGGCCTGAAGAACCGACATTGGAGGCAAATGTTTTGGGTCGCGATGCATTCCAATCTGCATGGCGGTGTGCAGCAGTGATCCCGTCGACACCCAAACGAGATCGCCTCCAATGGAAAAGATCTGTCTGGTAAGTAACGTGAGGCAATAGACCTGCAGCCCAGTCATGTCTAAGCGGTCCTTCTCCAATGGACCGGAGAGCCAGGTTTGTGCAGCGTATACCCAGCCGTGGACCAAGCTTCGCAGCTCAGAGTCGACGAGTCCATCTTCGTGGAGGCTTGAGCCCATCCCAATGGCGAGAAGAATCTTGAGGCGTACTCCGTTCGGAGCATTTTGTGGGCCACTCCAGAAGCCCGCGTACTCACTCTCAAACGTCGGTCGGTGCAGGATGCGGTGGGTGGATTCGAAGAATCTGAAGTACAGAGCAACCATGGTGTCTGCCACCTCACGAGATGGCGGCATGAGATTGAGCTCTTCAAAGGCAAGGCGTCTGCTCGGTCGCCCAGCTTTGATATCCCTCGCAATCGCTTTGCATTCTCGGAGCAGAGCGCCCATTCTGGCATGTAGAGCTCCAAGTAGAGCTCCAAGCTCATCATCTTGGGGTGTGCTACTCATGGCTGCGACAAAACAGGAGATAGCCGGCTTAAACTGCACTACGAATCAGCAAGAGGTCCTATCGCAACACAAGAGGCACCAACCTCTGGGGCCAAGCTCATCCAATCGCTCCACCGCCATACTCGTGTCTTTTTGAGAACGATTTGCGGTTCAGGTAGCCCAGCCTGCCGTGCAAGGACATGCTTGCCGGTTGCGGACAGAGCGTCGGCAGGATCAAGCGACGGGCGCTGCTCAAGCTTATCAATTCTGTGCAGAATATCCTGAAGTGCTGTCGCTCCGACACGTAACTCGGTCGAGGTATCGTCGCGACTTCCGGCGGGCACTTGGACCGCTGCTGATGGGGATGGGGAGCAAGATACTGCCTGCTCCCGCGTCGGACCTAGTTGGCGACTCTGGCCCTGGTCCGTGGACGGTGCCAGCGAGTTAGGACTTGTCGATGAGTGCGTCGCTTCGTCGCGATATAGCCGATAGCTGCAGACAGCCTGGGTTTCGGCGCAGTGGCGGCATGGCGTATTTTTGTCACACTTGATCTTGCGGCGCCGACACTCCAAGCATGACAGAGCCGCCCTTCGGCGTCGCCGTGGTTGTCGTCGGTCCATAGGGCAGACCGTAGCATCGCGGATGTTGCAGCCTCTCGGCCGTAAGACAGCTGACGTCGAGATTTTGGTGGGCATGCAATTGAGCGCTAACCCCGTCTCGGAGATAACGCTTGGGAGTTACGGATCTCAACTCGTCATCTTGTCGGCCGAGTCAGCTGCCGGAATACGTGACGTGGAGATGGCGGCCACCCCCGCTCGCCCAAAGAAACAAACGGAACATTTGTGCCAACGTTTCTCCTCTGATGGCAGGCTCTCGTCTCTGTCAAGTGAGACACTGACAGCTGTTCGGACGGCAGCACGTGAGTACGGATGGCATGGCAGGCTTGCGCGTCGAGTGCTGTTTTAGACGTCTGTCGGGAAACCCCGCCTGAAGTGAGACTCCGAAGCAGTTTGGAACTCGGCAACGGGCGTATGCATTGGTCGATGGGAGGAGGATGGCATGTCCGCGACAGTGTCGATTTTCTTGATGCAGGGAGGCCCCAGCTCGCCGTGCAGGGGCCATCAGCCCCGCCTGGAGACGTGCTTGGCTCGCGAAGGATGCTCCGTAGATGGCAATGCAAGCGATGCGATGACGCAAGTCTCCTACGGGTGATGAGTAACATGCAGAAGCAGCAAAGGCACGCCAACAGCCCGGTGAGCGGGCAGACGTTCATTGACGACTCTGCGTGAGCAGTGCGATTGCCGAGCGACAGCCGAAATGCCAGGATCCGGGCTCAATGCCCAGGATCACGCGCGCGTTAGGCTGGTGGCGGTCTTGGCAGTTGGATGCCGACGAGGGGCTGATGCGCTTCCTTTTTGTGAAAGACCCCTCCCCCTGGCGGCGGTGTCTTGGGGTTGGTGATGGAGTTTTGCGACGGGTGCTGGTCGCGCTAAATCAATTGCACGGTGAAAGGTATGAAGACGATGGAGAGCTGCTCAAGAGGAAATAAATAACAAACAAAAAATTGTCCGAATGTCCTGGGGTGCCGAGATTTGCCTCGCCGCGCCATGTTGAGAACTTCCATTGAGACGTGGGCGGCAGGTTGGTGACCTCGGAGTTTTTGGCAGCTGCCCAGCGTCGCACCTTCCGTGATTTGGGGGTACCTTCCAGGGACTTACTGTAGTCAGTCACGGGGTGCCAACCTTGAACATTGTCAGCGCCGTGTCTTGCCCGCGACAGAGCGGTGACCATCTCCTCCATCCCTTTGCATTTCAGCCCAGGCGGCTTACACGCAGACAACAGCGAGGTTAACGGCCGATTCTTCAACAGGCCGGGTGGCTACCTGCCCGAGGGCCAATCGAGTCTGTACGGGGTTCCCTTGTCCATCTGCCCGCCTGGTACTCCACGGCCCGCTGCTCGCTCACTCTCTTCCCGCTGGCTGAGACGTGCGCGTGCCGGGCGGCGCCGGGGCCAACGCCAAATCCCGGGGCCGCAGCCACCACGGCGTTGGCGCTTCTGCACTCTGCACCAGCGGCGGGGAAAAGGGCTCATGAAACTCTCACGCATCAATCGACCGACGCGGATTCACGCCATTTTCATGTGCGAGATGCACGTCTCGTCCAGCTGAGTCACTGCGCGGCCGCATTTGGAAGGTACAGGGTACGCGACTCATGCCTCTGCCGGGCGAGGCTGGCCGGGCCCCTCAAGTAGCGGTACCTGATGCCCTCGGCGGCCCTCGGACAGCGGCTTGCTTGGGCTCGATTCGGGACCAGCAGCGAGCCCCGCCCGCCAGAGTCTCCACCGCAGCCCAGCTTCGCCTCGTCGATGCAACACTGGAACCTCCGTCCAGACAGACGACACAAACTCCCGACCCCTTGCCTGCAATTACGCCCTCGATGCCATCGCCTCGGTAACAGCACCTGCTGCCCGCCATGTCGTCGGTCAAGGCAACCAAGAAGAGCGCCTTCTCGTGCGAGCCCTGCCGCCGGCGCAAGGTGAGTGACTGCTTTGGGCCCCGCGCTCCTTGCGTGCTCCAGACGGATGCGCAGCGCCGACAACCTTGCAATACCACCGCTCACGAGACCGCCTTTTGCACAGGTCAAATGCGGCGGGGAGCAGCCTGTCTGCCACCGCTGTGCCGCCCGCAACGACGACTGTGTATACAAGCTGTAAGCAGGCATGCCCCCGCGGAGCTTGTGTCGCGGTATACGACTGCGTGTGCGACTCAGCCACTTACCACGGCCACCACAGGAACCCGACACTGTCGTACACCCAGCGCCTCGAGGAACGAATCAAGGAGCTCGAGGACCAGCTCGCCAGCGTCGCCAAATCCCCCGCGTCCGCCGCCGCCTCGTCGCACTCGAGCCCCCCCGTCGGCACCGCCCACGACGCGTCGGCTTCGGCCCGCGGCCTCGACGAACACGGCGTCACGCGCGGTTTTCGCGGCCTCAAGATTGATGACAGAGGCGGCATCACCTATCATGGCACTACCAGCTTCTTCAATCTGCCCAGCGATCGATTGCCGGTCGGCTCCGATTACATGGCCACCAATGACTCCAATATTCAGCGAAGGGAGCGGCTGGTCAACAATGCCTGGCACCAGCGAGCGCTGGAGAACTTGTCCGATATTCCTGTGCGTATCCCCTTCAGTCGGGGTGGTTCACGACGGTGGCGGTCATGGGCCAAGCCTTGTGCTCGTACGAGGGCGTCGCGGCCTCGCGCGCACTCTTGGCGCAACCCCTCCCTCAATATGTCGTCGCCAGCTGACCTTGACAGGAACCATTCCAATATCTGCTAAATGTCCATTGGTGTTGGATCAACCCACTCTTCGGCTTCCTCTACAGGCCAGCATTCACCCGTACGTCTCTACGGCCCCAGTGCCCGAGGCTTGGCTGACGTTGAGCAGGTGATATGCAGTCTCTCGGACCCTACTACTCGCATACCCTCCTGAACGCCGTCATTTCGCACTCTATACGGTGGGGCCAAAACGACCCGGCAACGAAGCGGCTCTTGGACGAGTCGTACGACGGAGGCGCTGTGTTTGCCAAACACGCACGCACTATGGTGTTTGACGAACTCAGCCGCGGCGTTTGCACCATCCCCACCATACAGACGCTGCTGTTGCTCAGTGCCCAGGAGTGCAGCCTCGGCAACACAACGCAAGCTTGGACGTACAGCGGCATCGCCTTCCGACTCATCGATCATCTAGGAATTTGTGTCGACGCACAACGCTACCCGGGCTCACTCCCCTTGTCCGACGAAGACCTCGAGATCCGGCACCGCATATTCTGGAGCTGCTACTTCTGGGACAAGCTCATCAGTCTGTACCTCGGGCGTTCACCGTCCATCCAACAGACGAGCATATCTCCGCCCCAGATAGTGTGTAAGTGCTTTGTAATATGGAAACGCCTTGCATCCAAGCTGACATTTGCCAGTCGATGACTCGGCCGAAGAAGACATTTGGGTGCCCTTTGGCGCACAGCAAGTCGGCGTCACATGGAAGTACCCCCCCACCACAGCCCACTCGGCCTCTTGCTTCATGAGCATGTGTCGCCTGTCGGTCATCTTCAACGAGATCCTCATCCACATGTACGATCCTCTGTCCCAAAACACCGACGCAGAGGTGCAGGAGTGTCTCCGCACCCAGGAACCCGCCTTTCAGGAATGGTGGAATCAGTTGGCTCCTCACCTGAAGCTCGATCCGCTCGCGCTGCCAGCCATGGCGCCGCCGTCCCACATCGTCACAATGAAGTATGTCGCACACTGCCACTTTTGTAGAAGTCCACGCAAGCCGCTAACCATCTACCAGCTGTCTCTATCATACGTTCAAGATATTGCTGTACCGACCGATGCTCACAGGCAGGGGAAGAGGCGCAGAGGAGGGCAGCGCCCAGATCAAAGGCTACCTGGTGGAATGCGTTACGTCGGCGACGGCCATCATCACAATCTTCGATCTCTTCTGTCGGACGTTTACGATGAACTACTGCGTTCTCTCGCTTGCGTATAGCGTTTACATCGCTGCCTCCATCTTCTTGCTTCAGGTCCAAGCGACTTCTGACACGCAGCAGGCGATGCGGAAACTCAACTACTGCATCCAGTGCCTCGACCAGGTCAAAAACTTTAGCCCAGGTGGGCACCACTTCCCCGTACCGGTTCTGATGCATGCCGCTGACATTTTCCAGTGATCAACAGCGCCCTGAATCTCCTGACCAGAGAGCTTGCGGCCATTGGCATGGGTTTGGATATGCCCTCGCCTCGCCAATCAGAGCCATACCCAGCATCGCGTCCCGAGATGTCCATGCCGGGATCAGTTTACCCCCAGGCAGATGAGCCCCGTCAGATGCCACCCCCTTCGCATCCGCTGTTCCAACCAACATTGAACCATAGCTTTGGACCCGAGTCCATGGCGATGCACCCAAGCGTTTTCGAGACCATGTCTACGTTGGAACCCTTGAGTGTCAGGGTGGCGGCCATCCACGAGTCGGAGAACCAGTCGTCTTATGGTTGAACGGTGTGGGCACATGTCAAGCGTAGTAGACGCTGGATCTACACCAGACGATGGTGTGAGCATGACCGAGCCACAGGGCCGCGGCGCAGGCTGCCGTGTCACTGCCGGGCCGCGGCACCGGTGGATTGGATCCCGACACGGGTGTGCCATCGCGCCATCCCCGTGACGACGATGGGACAATCACAAGCGCGGCAACCCGCCCACGATGGTCCAGTCATACCATTCGTCGCGATCGCAAACGGCACTGCCCGTGGCAGTCTAATCCCGGAGACGCAACCCACCCGCGGAGCGAGCCAGGGGAAAGGGTCCAGATGCGCCGTAGGGCTGAGACCCGCCTCGGGCACTACCGCACGGATGGTCTAGGGGTCTTCGGGTTGGCATCTGCATGATGATGGTGTCCCGGACCGTGGTTCGCTTGACGGAGCAGATAAGCTTCGGGAGGTGGCGCCGCAAGGGGCCGACGGGGGGTGGTGATCACCGTGCATACGAGACTCGCACCGAGTCGCACGTTGGATATGTACCACGTACTATAGGGAGTAAACGATATACATGCCACTGAAGGTGGCATTGGTGGGCTCGTCTATTACCCGGATGCGCGCCAGTCGGGGTTGGGTTTCGGTTGAATGGCAAAAAGCGATACGACCATGCACGATCTGCCGACAAGGCGCGTATTGGATGTGTTTTTCTTTTCCCATCCGCCCATGGAATACTCGTACAGCAAAAAGGATGAGGCCAGCCGTTCAACGGCTGTTCGCCGGCAATTGTAGCTATCCGAGAGACGCGCTGCAGTGCCAGTCGGACAAGCTGGCACGGCGCAGCGGCGTCGGTGCTCTTGTGGACACGCACTGGGAGGTATCACAACAGTCCGGTCGGACGTTGGCCGAAACACGGTCGCGATGGACCTGACAACGCACAAGGACCAGGATTTAGGCTGCATCCGCAACCAAGATGCCGGGAACAGAGGGTGCGGGCATCATCGGCCAACTTCCGGGCCTGCACAGAGCACAGTAGCCTGGGCCGCCGCGTCGGGAGTCGCCAAAGGGTGGACAAAGACGGGGTTGCGTGGTGTGTCTCTGAGGGGTCTCCAGATGAAAGGGGCCCCAAATCAACGGTCGCGAGGCACACAATGCACGTCGTAGCGAGCGCATGGCGGGTCGCTGCCACGCGAGGCCAACGTGGAGTCGGTGCGGGTGGGTAGCAGCAGGAGTCGGTCAGGGCGGCACCGTCGCGAGACGTCGTCGCACAGGGTGTGTCGGAGTTGTGAATAGCTTCAATTGCATGTGTGTGTTTTTTGTTTTAATTGTATTGCTTTTCGCCTCGTCCCCTTTTCTTCAGCCCTCGGCCCGGGCCCCCAAGTCGGCTGCCGAGCATAGCCACAGCCGCTTGTGGCTCTCTGGCCCGCGCCTAATCGGGCAGGCCGAGACCGACGGGCGGCGGGCGCACCTGCCTTGGGCTTTGCCTAGGGCTTGGGCTTGGGCTTGGGCGAAGCCAGCCAGCACGGCTAACGTAACGAATCAAACGGGTTCCAACGGCTGGCCGAAAACTCGCTCCCCCTCACCTTCACCTCGCCTTTACGCCCCCCCGGATCCTCTCCGCGCTGCAGATGAGGGACTAACAACCGCAACCGCCGACGAAGCCCATCGCCATCAATCATCAATCGCATGGCCGCGAGCGACAGATCCATCGACGACGACGCACTAGCCACCCGCCTGCCTGGGTCTGCGGGCCATCGCCAGAGGCCCGGCAATCGCCCGCTGGGGCCCCAGTCGCGCGTGTTCGGGTGCAGGTTCGAGTTCGAGTCACCACAGTAGCAGTAGCAGTAGCGCCGCCAGCGCCAGGACCCTGCGCCCAAGAGGTGGGCAGGGCCCCCGTCAATCGCCCGGATCGCCAGCTCAACTGCATACCGACGGGCTGCGTCCCACGCGACGCGACGCGACCAGACGGCCACTCGCGGCCGCTGCAGCCATGAAGCTGCCCAAGTTCAACCCCTACTTCGTCCTGACCGTCGTGGTCATCGCTTGCGGGTCGATCCCCAAAGGTATGTCGGCGCCGTCCGTCGTCCCGCAGATGCGGTCCCACCCTTGCGCATGCCGACTGACGACATTGTCTCGCATCGCCAGGCTACGATGAGGGCGGTTTCGCCGCCGCCTCGGGCATGCGCTCCTTCCTCCAGGACTTTGACCTGATCAGGGGCCGCTGGAACGGCTCCCCGGCCCAGCTCACCAACCGCAAGGCCGTCATCACGTCGCTCGGCGTCCTGGGCGCCGCCATCGGCGCCATCATGGCCGTCGCCGTTACGGACCACATCGGCCGTCTGCGCACCTGGCAGCTCTTCACCGTGCTCTGGATGACGGGCTTCTTCACCGTCACCTTTGCCTCGGGCATGGTGGGCCTGCTCATGTTTGCCCGCATCTGGGGCGGCATCGGCGCCGGCGGCCTGACCGTCGTGGCGCCCCTGTACCTCACAGAGGTGGCCAGGGCCAAGTCGAGAGGCATGATTGTGTCTATCTACATGGTGATCCTGCTGAGCTTCCTCATGATCGGTGCGCGCGTCTGACCACGACCCCAATCGCACTTGCAGCTGACTGACGCTCCCGGCCAGGCTTCTTCATCAATTACGCAGTCGTCAAGACGCTGCCGGAATCGCGCATGCAGTACCGGATCGTGCTCGGTGTCGTGCAGATCCCTGTTGGCCTGTCCCTCATTGCTTCTCTTTTTCTCTCCGACACACCCCGCTGGCTTGCATGCAAGAATCGCCCGCACGAGGCCCTCACAGTGTTGGCCAAGCTGCGAAACAGTACCACGGACGACCCCGCAGTCGTTGCCGAGTTCAATGAGATTCAGCAAGAGATTGAGGATAAAAACCAGGCCCTGTCGGACACGTCGACTTGGACCATCATAAAGGAGGTCGCCACCGTGCCCAGCTACCGCAAACGGTTCCTGCTCGGCCTCGCCATGCAGACTTTTGCGCAGTGGAGCGGTGGAAACGGCATCACGTATTACATTCCCGAAATCTTCCGCCTGGCCGGCATCACGAGCAACCGCCACTCGCTCATCAACTCGGGCGGCTACGGGGCCGTGAAGCTCGTCTTTACCATGATATTTACGTGGGGCCTCATCGACTACTTTGGTCGGCGTCGCTGCTTCATGACGGGCCTGGCCCTGCAGTGCGTTACGCACATCTACATGGCCGTCTACATGGCATTGTGGAAGGAGTCCAAGAACGAGGCAGCGTCGGAGGCTGCAGTAGCGTCCGTCTTCATCTATGCCGTTGGCTGGTCGATTGGCCTGTGCACGGTGCAGTACCTGTACGGGACGGAGATCCTGCCGACGCGGATCCGCGGGGTGTGCTACGCGACCAACATGATGATCCACTGGCTGTTCCAGTTTGCCGTCGTGCGCGTGACGCCGCAGATGTTTGAGGCGCTCAACGTCTGGGGGGCGTACGTCTTCTGGGCGTGTATCTGCGCGACGGGCATCGTAGTCCTCGGTCTATGGGCGCCCGAGACCAAGGGCGTCCCGATGGAGAGGATGGCGGAGCTCTTTTCGGGCCCGTGGTACATGGGCTGGCGTGCCAAGATCGACCCGGACTCGGAGGACGAGAGGTTAGGGAGTCGTGGCTCCGTACAGGTGGTTACGCGGCTCGACGATACCCGCAATCAGGATGTGTCGGAGAAGAGGGCGCTGGGCTAGCATTCCGGTTCACCTTTATGTTTCCGAGCACATTTTCGTTGTAGATTATGGACAGACTTTGCGAATAAAAGATGTCTCTAGGATGGCCTTGATCCCCTTGCACGCCACCGTTGCATGTTGTTATCGTCAGGTATAACGCCCATTTCACCTTGCTTCCATTCCCACCAAGTAATTCCCACTACATACATGTTTCGAGCAACGAGCATTTAACCCTTTAACTCGACGTTCAATACGAGTCGACAGTGTACGAGCCCATCTTCCTCGGGGGCACCTTGTCCATGAACATCTGGTCAATCTCATCAAACGTGCGGCCCTTGAGCTCCGGCACAAAGAAGAAGCTCCAGACAGTCGCGCAGGCCGACATGCCGCCAAAGATGAAGCCGACCTTGCCCCTGAGGTTGCCCTGGTCGGGGTTAATCATGTACGGGATGACAAAGCCGAAGACGATGCCGCAGATGGCCTGCATGGCGGTGGCGAGGGCAATTGTCGGCGCGCGGAGAGTAACAGAGCTGACCTCGCCGAGGATGGCGAACGCGCAGGCGCCAAGCGTGAAGATGTAGATGAAGGCGTAGATGACGGTCAGGGCGGCCTGGGCCCACTTGGCCGCGCCCGTGGGGATCACGTCGAGGATGCCGATGAGGATGAGCACGAGCGTCGTGCTGGCGATGCCGTACACGAAGAGCGTCCGTCGGCCGATGGAGTTGATGGCGAACCAGCTGCACCCGACGCTGAAGAGGGCCACGGCCGTGACGCCCACCCCCAGGTCGAAGGACTTATCCGTAGGCAGCCCCGCGAGCTGGAAAAAGTAGGTGCTGTACCCGAGCACGAAGATGATGCCCGTCAGGTGCTGGCACAGAAACACAAACGTCGAGATCATGGTGCGCAGGCGGTTCGTCCCGCGGAAGCACTGCAGCAGCGACGCCCAATCCGAATTATGCACGACAAACGCGCGCTCCGCCGCCACCGTCGTCTCCAGCGTCACGAGCTTCGCCTCCAAGTCCACCTTGTTCCCGTAAAGCCTCGCCAGCGACCGCTTCGCCTCCTCGCGCTTCCCCACGCGCACGAGATGCCAGGGCGTCTCGGGCGCAAACGGCAAGCCCGCGGCGAGAAACACGCAGAAGAAGAGCTGTATGGCGAAGGGCGCGCGGTAGGCCCAGCGCGACTCCCACTCGCCAAAGGCCTTGATGACGGCGTTGGACAGCAGCTGGCCGGACGCGATGCCGAACTGCACCCCCGCGGTGGCGATGGCGCGGAAGACGACGGGCGTGCACTCTGAGGTGGCGAGCGGGCCGAGCGTCAGGTAGAAGCCCAGCGCGAAGCCCAGGATGAGCTTGCTGATGAGGAAGGCGGCGTTGGTGGATGAGAAGACTTGGCCCAGGATGCCGCCCGTGGCGATGACGAGGCCGAGGCCTAGGGCGGGCTTGCGGCCGAGGCGGTCGGCGATGTAGGAGCAGAGGAAGCCGCCGAAGAATTGGCCCACCGAGGAGACCTGCAGTGGTTGTTTGTGTCAGCTCATGACTTATACAGGACGTACGGGACGCGATGGGGGCCAAGGCAAAAAAGACTGACCGTGTTAAAGGCCGACTGCCAGCTGGCGGGCAAGACGGGCTCGCCGTTGTAGTAGTACCCGAAGTCGCGGCGGAAGGATCGCACGCTGAGCATGCCGCCGTTGACCTGCGCGTCAAAGCCCCTGCAAAAGTGTCCATTTTCCATCGGTTAGTTATCATCACTTATCAGGCATTCCAAACGCCTTCCGGCCGCCATGCTGCTTCAAATCGGGACACTGCTTGCTTACCAGCCAACGCCGGCCATGGACCAGTAGAAGCACCACCATACGAGCGCTGGGTGGTTCCGGAGAACCTCCCTGATGGAGAGCTCGTGCTCGGCCTGGTGGTCGACCCGGATGGTCTCGCGCTTGAGGTTGACGTCCTCGACGCCCGAGATGCGGGCTTCTTCCTGCTTCTCCATGGAGGATGATGCGGCTCTGGTTGTGAGTTGTGGCGGTGGTATCAATTGACTCAATGCTGCAGTCGCTGTGCAATCGTGTATCTTTGGCTTTTCGCAATTGTCTTGTCCCCGTCTTGAGTTGGTCGTTGCCGTGTCGTAGCTTCAATGTTGTTGGGTTCAATGGGTCCAGTGATGGATCCGAAGGGCTCGCCAGTCCTCACTGTCTGGTCACTTCATCATCATGGCCAATGCCTCAGCGCGTCCGCGTAGACCTTCTTATACAAAAACAAAAGCGAAGTGATTTGATACCCGGCCTTAAAGTTTCAATAAGAACAATGCCCAGCTGTCAAGCTTCAAATCGGGACCAGGCCCCGTCGACAACGCACAAGCGACACAAGGGTCTAGTCAGTCAGTCCACCCCGCCAGCCCGACTGACAGCACGCACAGGGTTATCTGCATTGACTCCATGGCATGCAGGTCGCTTGGTTCTCGATCGAGCGGCGCCCCTCTTCTCCCCAAAGGGTGCTGCCGCCGCCGCGCCCAGTCGATGACGGCCGTTGGCCACGCCGCGCCTTCGGCCCGACTCGTTTTGATCTGGGGTAGTCGGACTTTGCACGACATGCCCGCCTGCCCCGCCCTCCTTGGAGAGAGAGTAGGTAGGTACGAGTAGGCCGGCAGGGCAGGGCAGGGCAGGGCAGGGCAAGGGACCAGAGGGAGTGGTGGAGAAAAAAAACGAAACGTGGAGAGCGACATTCCCCGAAGCAGCAGGTGGACGGCTTCTGGCAAGAACCCCTGTCCACCCCAGACAGAGACGGACACAAGGAGAGAGAGGCAGACCCTGATGAACGGGTTGTGCCACGATTTGAGCCGGGGGCTTGAACCGGCCCGGTGGCTAACGACTAGCAGTGGACGCAGCAAGGCTTGTGTTTGGAGGCGCACCCGCCGCAAGGGACTGGACCAGGGGGTAGGGGGGGTCATGCGGCGGGACGGCCCCAGTGCCATCGGATGATGCAGAGTCGCTGGAAGCGGCTGCGCGGCGGTGGTGGCACTGGGGAAAGCACAGCATGCAAGGCGGGCGGGCAGCATTGGCGCCGGGGCCGACGATGAACAAGGGGAGGCGTCACGGTCAGTTTGAGGAGAGAGATGGCTTGCATCGCCTGGGGAAATAGAGACGAGTTAGAGCCGGCGTGGCTTCGTGTGGCGGCGAGGAAGCTCCGTCACCGGCATCCATCACATCCATCCACAATCTACAATCCACATTCCGCATTCCACATTCCGCAAACCCACAATCCGCAACGGTCGCTCCCGTCGGGCGCCGCGCCGCCACGTGAGGTCTCAGAGTCTCACCACCAGGCGCGGGGAATCCATTGTTGGGCACGCTCATCCACGTTGCAACAGGACGGTGATCCGGCATTTCAACCGAGCATTGGGCGTTGCGTGGCCATGACTCACCCCGTCCGGGTCCCCCGCGCTGTAAGCCTGTAAGCCTGCAACCCGATTCCGTGCTGCCAACGAGCGTGGAGCAGCCCCTGGGGCAGAAAGACGTGCATACGAGTACGATTCCACTGCCTGCCGCCCAATTGCGAGTGCCGGTCTTGGCGTCAAGCCGGTGTGTGCCATGTGTGTGGTCTGCGCGTCCCTTACTGAGCCGTGAGCACGCGGACAAGGGAGTGGGAGGACAAGCATAGAGTCACAGACAGGCTATGTCGGGCAGGTCATTCGATTTCCGTCCCCCCCAGGTCTGACAGCAGGCCCCCCTCCTCTTTTCGCATGCTGCTCCCCCCCAGGTCCGCGGCGATCAGCTATACTTCGTACAGAGGTTTCGATGTCTCGGCGCGCGCATAGTTGCAGTCGTCCGTCCACCCACAATACACGGAGTGCCCAGTTTGGCGCATCGAGTAAATACACACACGCACACACAGATGATGAACGAAGCAGGCACACACAGTGCCACACACACACACACTTTTGACGCCCTCTGCAACCCCCTTGGAACCGCATCGCATCTCGGCGGTTCTTCCAACTACCGCTTGGGGGAGGGCCGACCCCAGGTCAGGCCGGGTCAGACCAGGCCAGGTCAAGCCAGGTCGGGGCGCAAGCAGAGCCCGCGAGCCGAGATGGGTTGGAGGCGGCGGCGGCGGAGGTGGACTGACTGACGGGGAAGAGCAGGTGGGGGGAGCTTGTATAAACCAAGGACACATTAGTTCCTGGGGTTCCCCCCATCCAGGCTCCTCACGCGGGGTTTGCGCGACCGACTGTGCTGCTCGCCCGTCCAGTCCAGGTCCAGTTCCAGTTCCAGTCCAGTCCAGCCCGGCTTATGTTCCAAGGAGCGAAGCGAGAGAGAGCAGCACCCCCTTCCCTCAGTCGAGTCGACCGACTGGATTCAGCTGCGCCCGGCTGCTCGCCCACTCACTCTCGGTCACTCGTTTCACTCACTACTACTTCACGGCGACACTCCCCGAGCCGTGTGCTCACCCGTTCCCGCCTTTTTGCGCGCGGCCACCGTCCATTGGCGACCAACGCTTTTTCCCTCTCCCCGTTGCCGCCCCCAAGCCAGGCCACTACTAACGTACGAGCCCACACGCCGCGTGCGCGCGTCTCCTCGTCGGGGAGCACGCCGCACCACGCGCGCGCGCGCCAGCGCTCGGCTTCGCCTGAGAAAAGGAAAAAAGATGTCTCCGTCGGCGTTCCATCGCCAGCCGGCGCACCACCTGCACGGCAGCGGCGCCGGCCAGCAAGACGCCGGCCCTCGAACCATCTTGAATCCATCGCGCGCCGCCTCCGCGGCCGGGGAGCGTCGCCAAAGCCATCACATCCTCGCCGCCATCGTTGATGACGACGAAGACATTGACGATAACGACCTGCAGGATGACCGTCCCGACGGCACCGTCGGGCCGGCGTTGTCACCAACCGCAGAGGCTGGTGTCTTCTTCACGAGCATCAACAACAGCGATAACGGGGCGGTATCAGCAGCCGCAACAGCAGGAGGATCAGCCCATGGCAACTCCGTCGTCGACGACGGCCGCGCATCGCCGCCTACTGCTGCCGGCCGTCGCGCGGGAAAGCGGCCCGCCGCACGGGGCACAGCTTTTTACCCCAGGAAGCGAGCCAACACGGCCTGCCAGGGTAAGCAGAAGCTCCCTCCCTCCCTACTTCGCTCCCTCCCTCCTCATCCTTCGGGGAGCCGCCTTTCGGCCATAGCTCCCCGGGCGAAGTACCACTGTGCCGTAGAGAGTCGAGGCTTACCCGAGTCGGGCAGTGTGTCGCGCGAGAAAGACAAAGTGCGACAACAAGCGGCCCAGCTGCACGTACTGCGAGAGCGTGGGGGCCACGTGCATCCAGTCGCCCGTCGACCTGTCGAGCTTCGACCCGGCCAGCCTCAAGATCCTGGACCGCCTCGACGACCTAGAGCGGCTGCTGCGGAGCGCTGCGCCGCCGTTGGCCTCCGTGTCGGCGGCGGTGGCTGCGGCGGCGGCCTCGGCGGGGGACTCCGCATCGGCCGGCGGTCCGGCGGCAGGAGCGCCGGCTCCGTCCCCGGCGACTCCGGCGTCCGGCTCCGCATCGGCCTCGGCCATGCCGCCCCCATTGCCCATGGCACGAAACGCATCCGACGGCTACGTGTTTGCGCAGCTCCCCCAGCTGCAAAACGTGCCCGTGTGCGCAGAGTACGACGACCATGGCCTGAGCGCGCGCAGCTCCTCGGGGGCCAGCCACGTCGGGCGCCTGGATGATGCATGTGGCCCCCGCGTCAACAGCGTCCTCCCGCAGCGCATCGACCACATCCTCCAGTGGCCCGTCTTCCAAAATAGCACCCACCACAGCTTCCTGACGCCTCCTTCCGCCCGTGCAGCCTACGATGGCATCTCATCCCCCACCGTGGCGGGCTCCACGTCCATCTCCGCCCTTGTCGACATGGAGTCGCATCGCATCTACCGCCTCCTCGACAACTTTTTCCTCTACATCCACTGCAAGAACCCCATTCTGGACGAGTCTTCGGCGCGGCGCATGGTTGTCCGGGCCTTCCTAGATGGCATCGACTGGTCTGCGGCGTCGTGTCTTGCGCTCCTCATCTGTGCTCTGGGCTCTGTGGCCACCCCTTTTGGCCCCAGCCCGGAGACGCGCATCGGGACCCAGGCATATGCGGACGCGCAGGCGTTCTTCCTGGCAGCCCAAAAACGCATTGGCGTGCTGCTGGTCAAGGAGGACATCATCGGCGCTCAATGTCTGTTTCTCTCGGGCGTGTACATGATGATGGTGGAGTTTAAGCCCGTCTACGCGTGGCGCTTCTTCAACCAGGCCCTCGCAGCGTGCCAACATCTTCCCTTTTTATCCAGGGCGCAGAGCCTCGCCGCGGGGGCCGGCTCGTCACCGGAGAGCATGGAGATGGGCCTACGAGACACGCAAGAGCAGGCCGTGTACTGGTCCGCGTGGAAGTCGGAGCGCGAGCTGCGTGGCGAGCTGTCCCTGCCCGACTTTGACATCATGCACTCCGGAAGCACGCTCTACCCGCCCTTCTTCCCCGCGCCGCCGGTGCCGCCGGCCGAGTCCCCCGACGGGCCCGGCTCGGAGACGCAGCGGTCGCGCGCCGCCTGGCTCTTCTACCTGGCCGAGATATCCCTGCGGCGGCTGACGAGCCGCCTGTGCAGCGAGGTGCTCACCCTCCGCCAGCGGTACGCCTCGGACGCGGCGTTCCTCGACGTGCTCGCCGACATGACGCCCGAGTACGAGGCCCAGGCGCGCGAGTGGTCCGACAGCCTCCCCGCGGAGCTGTCCATCCACACGCCCATCGACGAGGACGGCATCTGCCGCTCCGTGCTGCGCGGGCGCCTCATCAACCTCTTCGAGATGATATACTGGCCCTTTGTCATGGCGAGCCTCAACAGCGCCTTGCCACCTGGAAGCGGCGGCAGCGGAGGTAGCGGCGCCCCGCTGCGGCCGCAGCTGCAGGAGCTCGCGCGGCGCGGGCTCGACACGCACATGCACCAGCTGCGAGCCAACGAGCCGGGCTTCTTCCACAGGCACCACGGCGGCTTCTTCATGATCCGCGCGTGCACCCGCAGCGCGCTGACGCTGGTGGCGGCGGCGAGGACGGGTCGCGGCACGATGCCCGAGGGGTGGGAACGGGCCGTGTACAAGACGATTGGGATGCTGGCCTACTGGGAGGACGAGGACTCTGCGCTCGTAGGCTGGAAGGCTGTGCTGGAGAGGGAGCTTGCGACGAGGCAGGTCTGACTCGCGTAGGCTCTGATGGGGACGATTTCGCTCCATCCGGGGCGAGGTGGACATTTATGGCACCCGGTCAGTGGCACCGAGTGAAGGGCCGGGGCGTTGCACAGCGATTCCCCAGCCTTATCGCGTGTTTTGCGCACAAGGCGAGGAATTACGCGTATGCCTTACGTGTGTTGTATACAAATCTAGCAGTGGAGGAGTAAATATAAAACTGCAAGCATCGTCTTTGCCGACATTGGAGTCAAACCCTGGGGCTTACCGCGGGAATCGTGTCTCCAGACGCCACACAGCCGCGTGCACTTGGCCATCAGTTGTCTCAGCGCTCTGAAATTGACGCGATGGTGGCCCGGGCTTTGCGTTCGGATGGACGACGTTCCGCCTTTATCGTCACCGTCCCCGTTGCCCCCATCCTTGCGTTTCGTCTGCCACGGTTCAGCAGGTGTGCCGCACACCTCCATGCCACGTTACGATGTTATCGTCAGCCGCAGACCAGGTGTGGATATGATGTAATGGCAACGCGGCTGTTGCAAACGCTCAGATTGCAGTATGGCCTTACCATCATCTACCTGTATCAGCAGACCTACATCTACACTGGGTCAAACGATAAAGCATTCACCGCCCCCCTCTTTTGAAGAGTCGCAAACCCCAGAGAACCCCGCCAGGCCACTGCTCTTTTCCTCCCCGCGCGGAGCCCCAGATGTACGTGATCTGTTGGACGGAGATGGAAGCGACTCCCGTGACATGGAATGGGGCTCACGGAGCATGATCGGAGCATCATGATCGGAGCAAGAGCTTGGGTAGCAGGTCATGCGGGCAAGCTTTACGACACAGTCCCCCGACGTTAACGCCGATTGTCGGAGATGCACAATGACGCAGTCGAGGCTGAGTTCAATCATATGCGTCCTTTATCCTCTGTTCGCGCAAGCATCAGGAGGCTTGAATCTGCACAGCTAGTGAAACTGACGCAAACACATACAGCCTTCATGTTGCGGCTCATATCCCGCAACCATCATAGATGTGTTGTGCGCTGGCTTTGACCTTACGCTCGGGAGGTCGGTTGCGCTCTAACTGACATCTTCTCGACTCATTCTCGCATTGATCGCGCGATTGGAGGGAGCCGGTCACTGATAAGGACTTGACGCCGTCTCCCCGCGACACAGATGTTGTGCGCTCATGATGGTCTCCTCGTTTTCATCTGCCCATCGGCATTTATAAAAAGGCTCAATTCGTAAGAGAAACCGCGATTTGGAGGGGCAAGGCATTACACGCGGTCGCAAAGATCGCAGAGCTGCACGACCCAGGTCCGGGCAGCACGTTTCCGTTACGTCGCGGGTCACAGACATGCCCCAGACTTGGGGTGGCTTTGCGGCCGTCACGAGTTCAGAACCCTCGCCCGGTTCGTAATAAGGCGCAGGCAGGGAGCTCACGATTGACTATTTGATAAGTTGCAAGTGGCGCCCCTGTCTTGGTATTGATGTTGGCAGAAACCAAACCCCCCCGGCACACCAGACATCGTAGTACTCGCACCAGAAGTACCGCGCACGCATATTTGGGACATGGTAGCGACGGTTTATTCACTATCACAGCAGCCATAAAACCCAACATGCGATCTCAATATTTGTTAAGAGCGTTTTATCTCGCAACATTTAGCGCCACCGAGATAGCTGCAATGAGCCACGGCGAGTACGAGGACTACTACGGCCTGGTGATTCGGTACCATCAACTCGCCGAGGGTGTCTACACGGGCGTTCCCGCCGAAGAATGGGACGACGAAAGTACGCTCGACTCCTTGTCGCAAAACGCGATGGCACTTGTACTAACCCTGGCTCTGCAGTTCACCGGCCTTCTCACGAAGTGTGGGACCTCGCCACCTTGGCCGCTCGGGGTAGCGACGACGGCGACGACGAAACCCTCGTGGACCTCGAGATCCGCGACCTCGACGAGATCAAGGAAAAGTGCCACGAGGCGGTCAGCTGCGTCAAGTCGCGCGGCAGCGCCACCATCAAGGCGGCATACCAGTTCTGGATCGCGGCCGCGGAAAAGGCCAAGCCCGCCTGCTCGAGTCTGCTGGAGTTCCTGGACCGGCCGTTCTGGGCGACCTGGGTCGGCGTCGCCATTGGCGGCGTCATCTCGGCGCACATCAACTCGTTGTCATTGAATTCGTGCTCGGCGAACCGTAGTCCCCTGGGGACAGACGCGGAGGTCGTGCGAAACGTTGTTGCGCACGCGGTGGCGGCTCACGTTGATGCTACCGACATGTCGATTACCGTTCATGGGCCTTCGGGCGAGTGGACGATTAACATTGCGTCGTCAGGACCAGACAGCATGAAGCCTGTTCCTGCTTGTCACCGGTAGGGTAACTGGCAATATGCAATGAGAGCTGGCGCGACAGGTGTCGGAGTATGCGTTGTGGCAGTCATTTGATTTAATGATTCAATACATTAATTACTTACGCCTCTCATTTATGGGCCAAACCGATGGCGCACCTGAATTGTTGCAAAGGGAAGACTCCAGTCGCCCAGTCGACATAAGTGTCGCGTACTCGGATAAGCGGAGACTGCCTTAATGGAAGATCTTACCGCCACATGGTCGGCTTTCTTTCCAACCACTGCAAGCAAAACGGAAGTAGCCACGGCAGTTAATTCGACAGCAATACCAATACCCATGCACCCAGTTTCTATTGGCAGTAACGCGCATTGAGTGCGGTGATGCACCCGGTTGGTAGACTCCAGGGTAGCAAAGTGGCGATGGTGGCTGAGGAAGAAACAAAAGATGGCGAACTAGACCGCTGGGATACAAGACCACGAACATCACGGGGGATGAAGATATGTGGATTGAACTGCGGATTCACTTACGTATGTGATAGGCCAATGGCAATTTCATGAATTCCTGCCCATCCGTGTCGTGTAATCAAGTAGAGCATGGAGTGAGGTTGAGATATGGTGTGTGGAGCAAAACACTTGTCCTCCGCCTCGTCGCTCCTCGATGGGTTGGGTTGGGGGCGGACTGCCGGCTGGGAGGGACATCCATCAAATAGAGCCAGAGGGAGGCGGACGCGACGAGGTCTAGGAAAAATGCCGGGCATTTGGCACCGCCCGAGACCGACACCCCCTCGGCAGACGCGATTGCCCAAAGCGGCAAGTGGGGCATTCAGCACCGGCCGCGGACCCACCCGTTTCCCACGAAGAACCGGCGATGCCCCGGACGTCTTGGAGCCGCGCAACGGTGCAACAACATTCGACACCATACGACAGCTTCGTCGGTCGTTGAACCTCCGCTGACAAACGACCGTTGCATGAAAAAACCACCGCCAACAACCATTGAGATAGAAGATGATGGCCGGTGCAAGTGCAGTTGGTGATCTGAAGCTCCGACATCCCGACAGAGATCGCAACGGCGAGATAAGATCGTAGTAGCCCACCTCGTGTTTGCCAAGGGTCCACACGTACTGCCAAACTCCATGTAAACATGCACAGTCGACGTCGACGGCCGCAACTGATAGAACCTGATATCGCCAGAGCTGCTCCTCACATGTATTTCCCATACGGCTCGTCGTTTCCTTCATGACCCCGACTTTTGCCCTGCGCTGCAATTATACCTAGCCTCGGCCGCAGCACCAGCAGAAAAGCCGGGACCATTATATCTGTCCGCCGACCCTGCCTGCGCCCGGCAGGATCTCCCGTCATCCAACGGCTGCTGCTCCAACGTCGCCGCGGCCGGGTCCGCAATCCAGCTCAAAACCCGGCCCATCTCGCCTCGCTCGCCTAGGCCCTCGGGGCGCGACTCTGCACACGCGATCCTGTCGTGCAGCCACTTGTACCGCCGGAGCTGCGTCTCGCACCACTCCAGCCGGGCGAGCAGGTCCCTGCTTGGGCGTTTGCGCTTCCGGGGAGGCGCAGGCGTGCTCGGGACGCAGGTTGCGTTGATCTATATACATGTACACGTTAGAGCGTCTCTTGTCCATGTCCTGACCGTGAAGTGTGGGCTCGTACGGACCTTTATGCAGTTTGAGCAGGGGCTTTCTTTGTTGCACTTCTTCTTTCGCTGCTGGCAGAGAACACATGAAAGAGTTCTCTTTTGTGTGCCAGATGTATGGGAAGTCGTGGGCGGCATTCTCAAGTGGTGAAAAAGCTTGTGCCTATCGTCGGTATCAACGTCAAGAGCAGGTATGATGTCTGGTGCAAAAATCTCGACCATGTATACGTCAATGTAAGCTATGGCGGGCAGACGCAAGAACAACCAATATGGCACGCTTTCCACTTTTCTAGCAGTGTCGTCACACGCCCTTGTCACCGCCATGCGTGCCTTGAGGCTGATGACTAGTCATGGCCTGATGATCGTTTATGCCGTGGCCCGTCAGGTGCAAGCCACATCGGCGGGACATTCCAAGCAGATTAGGTCAGACATGTGCATCGCAGCTCAGTGGGCACCACGGGAAGGCTTGCATCCGGCAGTCGTATAATTCGATAAAAAACTCGTGGCAAAACTTGTCCCGGCGCGCGCCAGTCGGGGTCCTGAAGGAGCCCGTCCACTGCAAGGAGGACGGGATGGGTGATGCTTGGGGCGCGGCTCCACAGTCGACACACCACCATCCGGGACCGACTGGTCCCCCCCACAACGCGGGATCCGTGGAGCAGGGCCACATGCACGCTTGGATAATTCCCAGACGTTCAAGGCCCCCGGTTACGATTGATATCGAAAAACTGCAACGGGCGGACACTCGGGGTCTTATAAGCTGCCTTGCTGCCCCTTGGCCCCCTTTTCCTTTTGAGTCAGCGGCTGCGGACTTGCGGAGTTGACCTCATAGTTAGTCGACAAGCTCAACTACACGATGCATGTATATATCTTCCGTAGCCCCCCGGGGGTGGTTGTGTCTTGTTTCATTCGGATATTAAATGTAGTCAAAGATACACCTTTTCCTTTCATATTTTATCATAAATTCATCAGTGTTGAACGAACGTATCGGAGTGCCCCCTTTCGCAGACGGCAGGCATGTCCGTGGACGACGTCCCTCCGCCCCCGGGCTCACAACAACAACAACCTGCGCCGGATTCGCGCGCGCAGTCAGCCCACGGCAGCGGACGAACATTTGTCGACACCCCCAGCGAGCCCAACCTCTACCGTGCCCCTGACGGACGCGGCGATCGCGACATGGAGATAGGCACCGCCACGCCGAACGGCACGTGGGACCCCGCCGTTGAGAAAGAGCATGAAGGCACGGCGCCGGACACAGAGAGCGAGACGGAGCGGCGGCACAGCATGGTGCAGAACCTCGCGAGGCAATACTCCAGAGCGTCCGTCGCCGCCGCCGTCGCCGGCGCGGACCCCGCCTCGCTCTTCACCGACACGGACCCCAACTCGCCGCTCAACCCCTCGAGCGAGCACTTCAACGCGCACGCCTGGGCGCGCACCATCGCCAAGCTGGCGACGGAGAACGGGCACGGGTTCCGCCGCAGCGGCGTGTCGTTTAGCAACCTCAACGTGTACGGTTTCGGCACCGAGACGGACTACCAAAAGGACGTGGGCAACGTGTTCCTGCAGATCCCCGACCTCGTCCGCCGGGTCACGTCGCCTCGCGGGTCGTCGCACCAGCGCCGCATCGATATCCTCAGGGGCCTCGACGGCGTCGTCAAGTCGGGCGAGATGCTCGTCGTGCTGGGCCCCCCAGGCTCAGGGTGCTCGACCTTCCTCAAGGCCATCTCGGGCGAGACCAACGGGATATACATTGACGGCGACGCGCGCTTCAACTACCAGGGCATATCCGCCGAGGAGATGCACACGCAGCACCGCGGCGAGGCCATCTACACCGCCGAAGTGGACATTCACTTCCCGCAGCTCTCCGTCGGGGACACGCTCACCTTCGCGGCGAGGGCCCGCGCCGCGAGGGAAGTGCCCCCGGGGACGACGCACGACCAGCTGTCGGAGCACTTCCGCGACGTCGTCATGGCCATGTACGGCATCAGCCACACCATCAACACGCGCGTCGGCAACGAATACGTCCGCGGCGTGTCGGGCGGCGAGCGCAAGCGCGTCACCATCGCCGAGGCGACCCTCTCCAACGCGCCGCTGCAGTGCTGGGATAACTCGACCCGCGGGCTCGACTCGGCCAACGCCATCGAGTTTTGCAAGACTCTACGCCTACAGGCCGACGTGTTCGGCCGCACGAGTGCCGTCTCCATCTATCAAGCGCCGCAGAGCGCGTACGACCTCTTTGACAAGGTCCTGCTCCTATACGAGGGACGGCAGATCTTCTACGGCCGCACGGATAGGGCTAAGGCGTACTTTGTCGAGCTGGGCTTCGAGTGTCCCGCGCGCCAGACGACGCCGGATTTCCTCACGTCGATGACGGCGCCGTCGGAGCGCGTCGTGCGGCCGGGGTGGGAGAACCGCGTGCCCCGGACGCCGGATGAGTTTGCGACGTGCTGGCGCAACAGTGGCGACCTGGCGGCCCTGCAGGGCGAAATCGAAGGGTATAACACGGAGCACCCCATCGGGGGCGCAGACGCCGAGGCCTTTCGCGAGCACAAGCATTCGACGCAGGCCAAGGGCCAGCGCGTCAAGTCCCCCTTTACGCTATCCTACGCCCAGCAGGTCAAGCTCTGTCTGTGGCGCGGGTTCCGCCGCTTGTTTGGAGACCCAAGCCTGACGATCTTCTCGCTGCTGGCCAACTCGTCCACGGCGCTCATCATATCGTCGCTCTTCTACAATATGCAGCCCTCGACCGGCAGCTTCTACGGCCGGGCGGCCATCTTATTCGTCGCCATCCTCGCCAACGCCTTTTCCAGTGCGCTTGAGATTCTCACGCAGTACGCGCAGCGGCCCATTGTTGAGAAACACGAGCGCTACGGGTTCCATCATCCCTCTGCCGAGGCCTTTTCCTCTGTCCTCGTCGACATGCCGTATAAGATCCTAAACAGCATCTTTTACAATCTCATCATCTACTTCATGACGAACCTCAACCGCGAACCGGGCAACTTTTTCTTCTTTCTCTTTGTCTCCTTTCTCATGGTGCTGGCCATGTCGGGCATCTTCCGCAGCATGTAAGTCAAGTCGCAGGTTTCCTTCTGGTCGAGCAGGCCGAAACTAACAGCTACGGTCCACAGCGCGGCACTGTCTCGAACGCTCTCGCAAGCCATGGTCCCCGCCTCGATCCTCATCCTTGCCATGGTCATCTTCACCGGCTTCGTCATCCCCGTCGACTACATGCTCGGGTGGTGCAGGTGGATAAACTACCTCGACCCCGTCGCGTACGGGTTCGAGGCGCTCATGATCAACGAGTTCAGCGGGCGGCAGTTCTCCTGCGACTCCTACGTCCCCAGCCCCGACGCCAGCGGCTACCAGGGCGTGTCGTCGACGAACCGCGCCTGCACCGCGGTCGGGTCCGTCCCGGGACAGAGCTTCGTCAGCGGCGACAACTACATCGGCACGCAGTACAAGTACTACCACAGCCACAAGTGGCGCAACGTGGGCATCCTGATTGCCTTTGTCGTGTTCAACCACTTGGTCTACTTCGCCGCCACGGAGCTCATCTCGGCCAAAAAGTCAAAGGGCGAGGTCCTCGTCTTCAGGCGCGGACAGCTGCCTGCCGCAGCAAAGGCAGCCAAGAACGATGCCGAGTCGTCGCTATCGGGCCCCGCGGCCATTGCGGAAAAGACGGGCGACGCCTCCGACGGCAGCGGTGCGATCCAGGGCTCCAAGAGCGTCTTCCACTGGAGCAAGGTGTGCTACGACATTAAGATCAAGGGCGAGCCTCGACGCATCCTCGACAACGTGGACGGCTGGGTCAAGCCGGGCACGCTCACGGCGCTGATGGGCGTTTCCGGCGCGGGCAAGACCACGCTGCTCGACTGCCTGGCCGACCGGATTTCCATGGGCGTCATCACGGGCGAGATGCTCGTCGACGGCAAGATCCGCGACAGCTCGTTCCAGAGGAAAACCGGCTACGTACAGCAGCAAGACCTGCATCTCGAGACCACGACGGTGCGAGAGGCGCTCGAGTTTAGTGCTCTGCTGCGGCAACCGGAAAGCACGCCCAGGGCCGAGAAGCTGGCGTATGTGGATGAAGTCATTAAGCTTCTAGACATGCAAGAGTATGCAGACGCCGTTGTCGGGATCCTGGGCGAGGGGCTCAACGTGGAGCAACGGAAGCGCCTAACGATTGGGGTCGAGTTGGCGGCGAAGCCACCGCTTTTGCTCTTTGTCGACGAGCCAACCTCTGGCCTGGATTCGCAGACGTCGTGGGCGATCCTAGACTTGCTCGAGAAGCTCTCCAAGGCCGGCCAGTCGATCCTCTGCACCATCCATCAGCCCTCGGCGATGCTGTTTCAGCGTTTTGACCGTCTGCTCTTCCTGGCCAAGGGTGGAAAGACGGTGTATTTCGGAGAAATCGGCGATAATTCATCGACTCTTACGTCCTATTTCGAAAGGAACGGTGCCCCTCGCTGCGCGCCGGGTGAAAATCCAGCAGAGTGGATGTTGCAGGCCATCGGCGCGGCGCCAGGTTCGTCGACGGAAGTGGACTGGCACCAGGCATGGCTGAACAGCCCAGAATGCCAGGACGTTCAGGCCGAGCTGCAACGTCTCAAGAGCGGCGAGACCTCCGAGGCTCGCGGTGGGCACGCCGACGTGAACACGGACGACAAGAGCGCGTACCGCGAGTTTGCGGCGCCGCTGTGGAAGCAGCTGCTGGTCGTCTCGCGGCGCGTGTTCCAGCAGTATTGGCGTACGCCGTCATACATTTACTCCAAGTTCATTCTCTGCTCGGCAGTCTCTCTCTTCATCGGGCTGGTTTTCCTCAACGCGCCGCTGTCGATCCAGGGAATGCAGAACCAGATGTTCGCCATCTTCAACATCCTCAGCATCTTTGGGCAGCTGGTGCAGCAGCAGATGCCGCACTTTGTAACGCAACGAGCGCTGTACGAGGTGCGGGAGCGGCCGAGCAAGGCGTATAGCTGGAAGGTGTTTATGCTATCGCAGGTCATCGTCGAGATGACGTGGAACACGCTCATGTCGGTCGTCATGTTTGTGTGCGTCTACTACCCCGTAGGATTCGACAAGAACGCGGCGGTGACGGGGGCGACGACGGAGCGCGGCGGGCTCATGTGGCTGCTGTTCTGGCAGTTCCTCATCTTCACGTGCACCTTCGCGCACGCCTGCATCGCCATCACGGACACGGCCGAGGCGGGCGGCAACCTGGCCAACGTGCTCTTCATGATGTGCCTGCTGTTCTGCGGCGTGCTGGCGTCGCCCGAGACGATGCCGGGCTTCTGGATCTTCATGTACCGGGCGAACCCCTTTACGTACTGGATCTCGGCGGTGCTGTCGACGGGGCTGGCCAACACGCGCGTCACCTGCACGGCCAACGAGCTGGTGCGCGTGACGCCGCCGGCCGGCCAGACGTGCGGCGAGTTCCTCTCGTCGTTTGTCGCGCAAAAGGGCGGCTACCTGGCCGACGCCAACGCGACGTCGCAGTGCGAGTACTGCTCCATCGCCGACACCAACGTGTTCCTCAAGGGCATCAGCTCCAACTTCGACCACCGCTGGCGCGACTTTGGTATCGGCATGGTGTTTATCGTCTTCAACATTGCCGCGTCGCTGTTCCTGTACTGGCTGGTGCGCATGCCCAAGGGGAAGAGGAACAAGACGAAGCAGGCGTGAGGATGATGGTGGCGTCGGTGAGGGTGTTGCTGCGGCGTGGCCGCCGAGCAAGAAACAATATCTCTAGACTAGACTGCATTGGAAATGTTTGTTAGACGCTGCACAGGCTAATAATAATAGAGTGGTGGAATTTGCAATCCGAATGGACATGTCGACAACACCGAAGCCGAGGTGACGTGCGTGGTGAACGTTCATGCTGAGTTCACACAGGAGCAGCTGGAGTGGTGCAGTCTCGGTGCTCGGGTTCATCAGCTCTTCGTTCGGCGCTCGGCTTTCATTTGACTGCCCTGTCTCCGACGAATCTGCTGACAGTGCAGGTCTCTCGGCGTGCACCATTGGCTAAGTACCCCGCTGTAAGTTTGCTGCTCCAGGCACCGCGCGGGCGAGATTGGTGAGCGTCTCCAGCGCTGGCTGGCAGCTGATAAATCGGGCGGCACGACGATCCGGCTTTGCCCCAACGTGGACTTGGCTGCCGGCCCGTGGGCAATTAGCCTGTTTCCCCAACTTATGTTGCACTCTGTAACTGAGAGGCCGTCGTCATGCGACTTCAGCAGCAGTGCCAGGGTACCAACTCACACGCGATTTCACGCACGCAATGCTCCCCGTAACATTTGAATCTCACCTACATGGACGAAGTATATAGTTCACCACCATCCCCAGCCGCTCAAGTGAGATTCTAACCCAACACCCTTACAACATCATCACCCACCATTGCAACCAGCTCTCAAGCATTGCGCCAAAGACCCAGAAATCAATCATCGATTGACCTCGACCTGAAGCAACAACAACATCCAGCCAGCCAAGCCACATCCACAGCCATGTCACAATCAACCGCTCCCCCGGCTCTCGTCATGCCGACAAAGGAGATATTCAACGACTTTGACATCATCAGCGAGCCGTGAGATATTTTTCTTCACCCCCCACAACCCCATCGTAACACCACGGATCCAGTAGCTAACAGCAGATCCCTAGCTTCGTCACGCGCGAGAACCACCCCATCCTCGCTCACATCCTCCTCCCCAAGAACCCGCAGCCCGGCCCGCGCCCCATCATCGTCAACTGGCACGGCGGCTACCTCATCACCGCGCACGGCCTCTACGCGCCCTTCTTCCCGCAGTACATTCTCAACCTCGCGCGCCAGCACTCTGCCATCATCCTCTCCCCAGACTACACCCTCCTCCCGCACAGGGACGGCCTCGCCGTCGTGCAGGACGACGTGCGCGCCTTCCACAGCTGGTTCACGACGGCATTCATCCCACTCCTCGCCGACAAAGCCCCCGCGCTTAAGCCCGACCTTTCGCGGGTTCTCCTCAACGGCGGCTCCGCGGGCGGCTACGCAGCCGCCAGCCATGCGCTCGCTTTCCCCGACGCGTTCCGCGGCCTAGCGCTCGCGTACCCCATGATCGACTTCGACACGGAGTGGTGGCGCCGCGGCAGCAGGGCCGTCGGCGCGCCCAACCCGGGCCGTCTGCCGGACGAGGCGTTCCCGGCGAACGATGAGGATGTGCGGGCGCGCATCGAGCGGGAGCGTGCCGGCCCGCGCATCTCCTCGGCGGACGAAGAACGCCAGGGCTTCGGCTCGGAGATTGCGCGCGTGGGCTTCTTCCAGGACGTGTTCAGTCCCGATGGGAAGCTCGACGGCGATGAGTCCGTGTGGCTGAACAGGCGCATCGCAAAGGGAGCCGCGCTGCCGGAGCGGGTGTGGGTGTTGCATGGCGACGGCGACTCGGCGGTGCCTGTCGAGACGTCCCTGTCTTTTGCCCAGACGATGGAGAAGCAGGGCAGGCCGGTGCGGTTGGACGTTGTCAAGGACATGGATCACGGGTTTGACCTGTTTCCGGGCAAGGACTGGAAGGGCTCGGATGACCCCTTGATTCTGGACGCCACGGCATGGCTGGCCGAGAAGTGGCTGCAGTGATACAATGCGCATAAAAGATAGACAGCACCGTTCACGCAGGCTTCAAAACCAAGTTAAAGAAGTTGATCGTGTCTCGTACAAGTCGTGGCCTATGTTGCATCGTCCCCCGTCCCGGTCGTCTCCAGGCGTATCGTAGCACGCGATGAGCTCGTGGTGAAAGATGTTTCGCCCTTTCAAAAGACGGCCATATACACTTTTCCCTCGGAGCAGTTCGTCGCTTGGCGTGACCCCATTTGCTGTCATGGTGCCACACTGCCACTTACCGATGACATCGTCCACATACCTCGCGTTCCGCAGGACTCGACGTGCCGTATGAGCGACGATGCCACTGTCATGTCTCTCGATCCGCCTCATCCTCACACGACAATCTCCGCGAGCCATCCCGCAGCAACTTGACCATGGCGTCCTTCTCCCCCGCCGTGACCCAGTCCCGCACCGTCCACCCACCGATGCCATCCACAGCCTTGAAGCGGCCCGTCCCCATCGCCCCGAGCACCAACTTAAAGACGCCCATCTTGCCCATCCCCGCGGCCCACGACAGGGGCGTCCTGTCCGCTCCGCTCCGCGCGTCGGGCCGCGCCCCCGCAAACAGCAGCATCTCGACGCACTCGTCCACCGCGCCCGCCATGCCCAGCCCCGCCGCCGCCGCGATGAGCGCCGTCTGCCCGCTCGCGTCGGGCCGGTCCACGGACACCTTTTCGCTGCAGAGCAGCTGCCGCACGGCGGCGGGTTCGGCCACGGCGGCGGCCCACCAGAGGGGCGTGCGGCCGCCTGTGTCGCCTGTGTCGGCCTCCACGGCGTCGACGGCGAGGAGCAGGGCGATGGGCCGCTCGTAGCCTGCGACGGCGGCCCAGGATAGCGCGCTGCGGCCTGTTGAGTCGGTCGTGTTGACGTTTATGCCGGGGGTGGCGAGCAGGAGCTCTAGGAGACAGGCGTGGCCAAGCTTGGCGGCTAGAATGAGCGGTTGCAGATCCGGGCTGTCATCCTTGCCACGATTGACGTCTGCTCCGGCGTTGATGGCCTTGCGCGCGGTATCTACACGGCCCTGCGCGACGGCCCAGTGGAAGGACGATGCGCCGAAGAGCAGGACGTTGCGTCGGTAGAGGTACTCGTCAAGGAGGCGATGGAGGTGTATATTCGTCCGGGCGAGGGTGCCGACGTCTCGCTCCGACAGCCACTCCGCCACCAGGTAGAGTATCTCTGTGGGGAGGTCGACGAGCATGGCTCATGGGCCGAGCCGGACGATGACGAAGTCGCAGGTGGTGAAGTGAGGATGAGTGCGGGGCATCGTCAGCACGGGCTGGACATGGGGTGAGCTGCACGCCTCCTGCCGGCTGTGTTGTGCGCGACTGTACGCATGCCGCATCATGGTGTCGCCCAGGTGTGCGCCCGTTATAAATCAGCGTGTTTAGAAAACGACATCGCAAGCCAATGTCGATGGCCTGCGAAAGTATTCGACCTTGCAGGTGGCCATAGTGACCGGTGACCACTGACGGCGGAGGGATGAAAACTTCTATGGAACGTATCCTGCCGTCAACCGGCTGTACAAAATGCGATGAGATCCGTAACATGCAACACTGCAGCCACGCTTGGGCTTTGACCGTCGTCAGGCCCAATGCTAGAACTTGGGAAACATCCGTCGGATGTGTGAAGTCCCGCCAAGGCCAGGCAACAAAATGGAATACATACTCGCAGTCGCAGCAGCCCTCGCCGCACAGGTGCAGCCACGCCTCAAAAGAAAAGGCCTTGATGAGCCACTCACACCCTCGCACCCCCTGTAAGCACTCAATCGACATGCTCGACAGGGCCCCGAGCGACTTCCCATTCCACGCGACGACGATTCCAGATCAGCAGCCAGGGGGCGATCTCCCTCTCGGGGATTATTGCCATGCAAGCGTCGAGGCCATTCATAAGCGCCCACCCACTAACACCCTCCCTCCACCACAGGGGGTGATCACTGAGATTCCAGCCCACGTCGGTGGCGTATTCCCCAGGCGCGCTTCGGTGCGAAATCAGGGTCCTACACTAACCTCCCAAGGGTCCTGTCCCTCCCATCCTACGATCATACACTGCAGCTGCCCACACACGGCAACACAAGGTCAGAGCCTTGAAAATCTCCTTTGCACAAATAAGCCCCAAAAGAAAAGTAATTATTCCAAGAATCCTTCTCAACGGTTAGCATAACCCCTCCCCTCCTCCACCCCGCCTTTTTTTCTTCGTCTTGGGTTTGGCTCGGCATTCGCAGCCGTTCGTCGGTACTGTACCCTTGGGTCCATCCAGTCCAGACTTTGGAATCACCACTTTAGCCGTTTTCGGCACCCGCTCAACGAACAGCAGCGGGGCGCCAGGGCGGGGCGGGGGCGGCAAGCCCATCACGTCAACGATCTTTATGTAAGAGCTTCCATGCATTCTTCCACGGCTTCCACCCAGGTTTGCCGCACTTTGAAGCTACTGCTGCTGCGGCACACTTACTAACCTCCCCTTCCTTTCTCCTCTTTCGTCCCTCCTCCTCCCCCTTCCTGCCTGCGCCCTCTATAGACTGCAAGAGAAAAAACCCAGCTCGCTGCGTTTGCCAGCTCCCTCATCTACCAGCCAGCAGCCAGCTTCATACCGCGACAAACCTCAGCTCCAGCTCCGTACCACCCGCGAGTCACAGTCAACTACAGCGCAGCATAACCCCCATGATGGCCTCCATCTTCAACCACCTCCCGCCCTTCCTCGCGCGCCTCGCGCGCCCCCTCGCCCAGCCCGTGCGCGGCCTGTCCGTCGCCCCCGACGCCTCCTCGTCGTCGCACGCCCCCGGCGAGATCCCCGCCGGCGCCCAGCGCTGCACCGTCGCCGCCGGCTGCTTCTGGGGCACCGAGGCCCTCTACCGCCGCCACTTCGCCGGCAAGGGCCTCCTCGACTGCAAGGTCGGCTACATTGGCGGTAACCTCGAGGACCCGAGCTACCGCGCCGTCTGCGGCGGCAAGACTGGCCGTACGTTCCTGATGCTGTCTCTTATACACATCTAGATGTGTATAAGAGACAGCCCCCTTCCTTGCACCCCCCCCCTTTCTCCCACCGTCTCCCCCCTATCTACAGTTCCTCCTACTCCAACAAGAAGGAAGAGAAGCTTTGCAAGAAGAAACCCCAAGGCTGACACTGCAGCGAAAACGCAAAAGACGCCGAGGCCGCGCAAATCATCTTCGACCCCTCCGTCGTCTCCTACACCGCCCTCCTCGAGTTCTTCTTCCGCATGCACGACCCCACGACGCTCAACGCCCAGGGCCCCGACACGGGCCCCCAGTACCGCTCCGCCATCTACTTCCACGACGCCGACCAGGAGGCCGCCGCCCGCCGCGTCCTCGCCGCCGCAAACGACCAGTGGTGGGGCGGCCGCGTCGTCACCGAGCTCGCCCCCGCCGGCAGGTGGTGGACCGCCGAGGAGTACCACCAGGAGTACCTCGACAGGAACCCCGGCGGCTACGAGTGCCCCAGCCACTACCTCAGGCCGTTCCCGCCGCTCAAGTACTGACTCGGGACGGGTGGCGGGCCGACGGGCGGTGCCCGGCTGTAGCTGAGAGGAGTATGAGGGGAGTTGATTGTGTATGAGCACTGATACGGTGCAAGGATATTTCGTCACCAACAATTCACGACGATCTCGCGGCAGCTTATTTGTTCGTCAATAATGTCACGGGGAAACAATGACGAAGGAAACACTGGTGGAAAAGCCCATGCAGGCATTCGTTGGGCGTCTTGATGGTGTTTTTACATTTCCATGATTCTCATCTTTCTATTCGATACAATAAAAAAGAGTCCAACTCAGGAGAGGAGTTGCTGCTCTGATTCCGCCCACCTAATGCTTCCCGTTTCCAAACCCTCTCTACTTCCGCCGGTTCTGGTTCATCATCAGGATCTGCACCATGCGAACAAAAATGTTCAAAAAGTCAAGCTCCAGCGAGATGCTCTCGTTGACCGGGTCCCGCCGCACGATGCCAGCCTGCGCCAGCCGCGCGTGGTGCAGCACCTTTTGCACGTCGTAGAGTGTGAAGCCGCCAAAGACGGCAAGACCACCGTACAGCCAGATGTTCTCGGTGAACGCCAGCGTGCGCACCGCCGTCGCAGGGACCACAAGCGGCGCGAGGCCGGACATGGCGACGATGGCGGCGCCAGCCAGGAGCGGGCCGCCGATGTAGAGGTACTTCTCCTGCTTGGCCGTCGCGCCGACGACCGACAGCGCGCCCATCATGGCGACGGTGTAGAGACCGGCGCGGGCGAGGAGAGGACCGGGAACGAATGCGAGGAGAGGAGCGATGAAGGCGGCCTGCGTGGCGTTGAAGGCCGTCCAGAGAGCGTACTTGGGAATGTAGCTGTTCAATGTTAGCATCGTCATCGCTGCACGCCATTGAGAAGCCGAGACTTACTTATCCGGTGCGATGGAGCGCGTGCCAATCATGGTGGCAAAGCTAAGGGCCAGGCCACCGAGACCGACGACCCACGGGTTCGTCACCATCAGCCGATAGACGAAGCCCGTCTGCACCATCTGCCTGGCCGTCAGGCCAATGATTCCGACGCCCAGACCCGTGTGCAGGAACGTGTTGTTGAGGTACTCCCGCTCGTACACGGGCATGCCGCCATCCTCCCTCGTCTCGCGGTTAAAGACTGCATTGATGGCGATGAGCGTGCCGCCGAAGATGGCACCGCCCACGAGGAGCTTGCGCAGCCCCGCGCCGCTCGTCACCGACTGCGGCCGGCTCGCGACCTCCTGGTGGTATGCTCTCGAGGCGCCGCGGGAAAAGGCGTTGCGCGCGGCCGCCGACGTGGTGATGCGCGAGGTGAAGAAGCCGACGGCGGCGCTCGGCTTGGCCGGCTGGTGGAAGCTGCGCACCGGCGCCGCCGCCCGGAACGCGCTCTTGGTCAGCTCGGGCAGCCGCTGCGCGACGCGCGCGGGCCCCTGCCGTATGCTGAGCGTAAACGACATGGTGTTGTGATGCGATCCGCTGCGCTTGTCTGTCGATGGATGCTGGGATGCGAAGAGGGAGAAGACGAGGCGATGACGTTGAGGGGTCTTGATATGTGCCGGCCGCCGGGTGGAGCTTGGCCTAAACTCCGCGTCACGTGCGTGCTTACCAACTGCTGGACGGGAAAGGCTGCGCTGCGCCGCCCGAACGCCGCGCCCGGCACAGAATTGGAACCTTCCAGCGCCGCCGAGCTTTCAGTGGGAGGATCCACCCAAGCGCCTTCCAACTTATCGTCTTGGGTGCAATGAGTCCCGGCCCTTACTTCCGAGCCCTGACTGGCTTGGAGAGACAATGTTGGATATACCGCAATCGACACCTGACCAGTAGACAAACAAGGCCGCTATACGTGGAATATCTGGTCCTTGTAATCATCCTTGAAAATTGTAGCTCAAGTCGATCTTGCCCGACCTAGACTCATAGGTACGTAGTAACTATAGCATACAATCTCGCCCGCCCACAGCGACGCATCAACGACGCCCATAAATGATAGCGAGCACCCGGTACTGTGGCAGCAGGGTATCATGTCTCGTTGCCCCCTCTATTCCACTAGACCCCGTGAGTTTCCCATCCCCTGCAACGCCTATTGTCGCTCAAAGCACCCCAACCCAACTCCAGTTGCAAGGACTCCCCGTGCTCTCTGCAAATGCAAACCATCCAGATGCAAAACCCCAGATGTTGTCGTCATCTCAACCCCTCGGTGCCCTTTTCCACGATGAACCGCACGGGTTGCTTCGTCCGCCGGCCCAGGAATCCCAGACTGGACCGTGGCATGAAGCTCGGCGTCGTGAGCATCGCCACGCTCATCGTCTTGGGCACCGGTATTTCGCCGATGCCCTCCTGCAAGAGCGCAGGGGATAGACCCGTCGTTAGCACAGGCTTCGCCGCGCGGTCGTCATAGCCCCATTTTGCCAGGCTCCCTGTCCGGAGCCACGCCTCCAAGTTGCGGCATTGGCTCACGTCTGTCCACCTGAGACGCGAGCAACCGCGCAGGATATTTTCCAAGCCCGTGCCTGTGACTCTGACACAGCCGCGAACGCTGAGGCCTTCCAGCTCGTTAAGGTGCAGTGCGATGCTCTCCAAGCTGCTGTCGCTCACGGCGCTACCGCAAAACGCGAGCCGCAACTCCTTTAGCCTTGGCAGCCCCAGGGCCACCACCTCGGTCGACGTGTCGGACAGAGCGCAACAGAACGAGAGATCAAGGTGCGTCAGGTTCTTCGCCGCGTTGACGAGTGCCACGATGGCGTGGTCGGAGAGGTAGGTGCAGTCCGCCAGGCAGAGGTTCGTCAGCTTCTCGAATCTGTGCTGTGCCCAAGTCTGGAACCCCGCGTCCGTGATGGATGTGCATCGTGTGAGAGAGAGCGACTGTAGGCGGTTGGCCGCGTGGGCGGCAAGATGCGCCATCGATCGGTCAGTGATGTGTTTGCAATACGACAGATTCAGCTTCTTCAGTCTCGGGCACCCAAACACGGTTCCTGGCGCGGGCGCCGCGTGCTTCGACTCGTCCTTCTTCGCGTGCTTCTTGTCCTTGGCGTGGCTCGACGAGATGACCACACTCTTGCTCGTCGACGGAGAGGCCGCCACGACCCAGCCAACAACCCGGCCGAGAAGATTATCGCCAACCTTACGACAGTTGCTCCAGTCGACTTCCTCGAGGACTTTGGAGTTTTCGCTCATCTCGAGAATCTGATTTGCGGAGACGTCCCACACGGACCTCATGCGCCACTGCTTGACATTCTTGCCGCAATGCTTCCAGAGAGCCGAGAACCCCTCATCCGTAATATGGAAGCAGTTGTTGAGATTCACAGTAACGGCTCGGCCCGCAATGAAGGGGCCGAGATATCGGATAATGACCTCGTCGCCCACAGAACGGCTGTAGTGTGACAAGTTCACATTGTTGCACACGTCAGGAGACGTGGACAAGATCTCGCGCCAATGCCTACTGACTATGCGCAGCTTCATAAGCTCGCCAACGTCCAAGTGTTTGAAGATTCCCACCAGGACGGAGTCAGGCAAGGCAACGCTAGAAGACTGGGACTGTGGCCGCCGCCGCAATGTCTTGGCACGCTTGACGCGCACATCTGTATCCGGCGGTGAGGGAGCGATGGGAAACCTTACGGGGCTTGTGTCGATTAACGAGCGTCCGCCGTGTTGCAGGCCACTCGAGTCCGTCTGTGGCGTGGGTGGCGCAATGGAGTGTCGCCGCCGGTTCCGTAAATTCTCCATGTTGACGCTCAAAAAGGGGTCGGGGTCCTTCGGTTCCATGATGTCTGAGTCGTCCTTGCTGGGTGAGGCCGGCATCGACGGAGTGGTGAAGGTCAGGTTTGGCAGTGGGCCCCGACCCGCCGTTGAGGGCGTGACGGGATCCGAAGCTGCCTTTTCGCTCGTGTCGGCGTCTGCCATGTCAACGTCCTCGTCACCAGGATGGCTTTCGAATCGTATTCTCGCGGTCTGCTCCACCTGCGAACGGATATCCGGCGGACAACGTTGCCACAGCTCTTCCAAGGCGTTGCCCGGGACCATCAGGCATTCGACCGTTGTTATTGATCGAACCGTCGCCGTCCGGCCGGGCGAAAGTCCAAGGCTCGCTACCTCACCAAAGTACTGACCAGACTTGAGACGTGGTCGAGAATAGATGGGAACGCCTGTTGACTGATGCTCGCTGCGCTCTCGAGGTTGCTCGTGGATCACCTCGGCCTCTCCTTGAACGATAAAGTATATTTCGTTGCCGGGGCTTCCTTGGCGGATAATGTCTGTGAATGGAGGGTACGTCTTGGGCTGCACGCTGAGTCCCAAGAAGTGAAGAATATCGGGTGGCAGAGTCGAGAATAGGGGCAGCTCCTTAAGTGTTTTCCTGATGTTGACGAAGCCACTTCCAATGGCACTACCTGCGGCCGGGTCCTCAATGATGCCGGGGCTGGGCGATTTGCGTTTCTTTGAGTTGACAACAGCGCCATCCTTAATTACGCCACTTTCGCCTTTCGACACCTCGCCAGGCGCGGCAGCTCGTGAGGCAAGATCGCCGGTAGGGGACTTTGTACTGACGCCTCCCTCGAGGCGCTTCTTCTTGAGAAGATTAAGCCGCTCTTGAGCTTCCTCGAGAATGGCGCGCTGCATGTCAGGGAACTTGGGCATGACCAGCTGCAAGTCCTCCTTCTTAAGGACGACCAGGAGGCATTTGGTCCGGGCGACGATGGTCGCCGTCCGGGGCATGTCCATGAGGACGCCAATCTCACCAAAGAAGGCGCCGGGCTTCAATTCTGCGTAGACGGCCTCGCCATCGCGCGACGTGACGGCGACGACGCCTCGCACGAGCCAGTACATGGCCTTGGCTTCATCGCCTTCGGTGATGATGTGGTCGTTGGGGCCGTGGATTTGCGGTTTAAGGTGGTTGCCGATGGCGACGAGGAAGTCCTCCGGGGCGGACTGGAACAAGGGAAACGACCGGATGCGCTGGACTAGGTCCAGCGGCATGTCTCGAATGGTCGAGGCTGCGAGGGGGGAGGGCCGTACCGGGCGAGCCGGATTAGTGTCGACGTCGAAGGAGCGGATGAGGGATGTCGGGTCGGTCAAGGTCGCGGGAGAGGCAGCCTGCTGGTGGTGGGCGAGCGCCCGGTAGGGCGACGCCGAGCCGGGGGAGCGCCCGCGCCTCATTGTCGGTGAGGAAGTGTCGTGAGGCAAAGAGGAGAAGAGGCGGACAGTCGGTCGAAGGGCTCAGTGTAGTTGTGACAGCTGACGACGATCGCCCTGCCCTGGCCCCGGGAGCGAAGGTCAGTTCGCTGACGGGCGGGCTATTCTTAGTGGGACACGATCTGGCACGGTCCAGCCGGTGTCGCGAGAAGGGTCGCTTCGGACGTCTGGAGCGTGTGCGCTCGTGGCCGGGCGACGCGCGCGAATCGGCGGCGCAGGCTGCGTCGGCCGGTAACGCAAGCAGCCGCGGTAGCACGGCTGGCTACGAGAGCACGCTCAGTCGCTCACGTTGCGGCGGCGGAGTCGACGGGAGATCGGTGGGTAACGAGTTTTCATGCCCTGCCCTGGCCTGGCCTGCGCGCGCGGGATCGGGAAAGCAGACTGGGGTCGGAGGCGCCGCAGCGCACGGTCGCCGCCTGGCCGAGTGCCTGGCACCAAGAGTGGTGGTGGTGGTGGTGGTGGAGGTGGCCTGTTGGTTGAGTCGCGGCGCGGAAGGCGAGGCAAGCATGCATCCAATGGTGTCCCAACCAAACACGCACGCACGCGGGTAGCGGAGGGATCTCGTGGCGGAGAATCCCAGAACTGTCGCGCCAGGTTGCCGTCCGGTCGGGCGATGGCTGACCGGGTCGAGGTCGATATGGAGGGGCAAGCGGCACGATCGGTCGGTCGACCCCTGCAATGCCGGAGCCAAGTTTGATGATTCGCCGTATTCAAATACCGCCTCGTGCGGCACTGCTCAGAAGATTATCGGAGTGCCCGATTCGCGACGCCGAGCGGCGAGTCGAGAAACACGGTCACGGTCGCGTGCGGCGGCGCTGTATGGCCGTTCTAAGGTAAGGAAGGTAGTTAGCAAACTAGCACGATGACGCCACAGCTGGACGGGACGGATTGATGGCCGGGGTACCTCGCAAGACGGCAACGGAAAGCGCGGGCGGCGTAATACCGAATGGCGGTCTCGGCTGCGGCGGAGGGGACGCAAAGGTCGGACGAAGCGAGATAAGAGGTGCGCCGTCGGGATGGAAGGAGAAGGCAACTATGCCAGCGAGTGTGTGCGGCGGGAGGAGAGGAGGGCAGGCCAGCGCTGCGAGGGCGGATGGATGAATGGATGGAGGAAAGACGGAAAGCTGGTGGCGGAGGGTCCACGAGACGAGCGAGAACGGTCAGACAGACGGACGGAACAGCTCGACGATGGGAGACGTGGGGTAGCTACCGTGCTAAGCTAGCTCGCCTGCAAAACGCCGTGATTGACGCAGCACCTCACAGTGGAAACCCGCCCCCGGCAAGGGAAGTGGGTATAAGCCGGGCGGGCAGCGCCGCTGGATTGGATCTGCCCGCCTGGGCGATGCTGTAAGGTTCCAGGTTGGTGCTGTAACGGTGCGTTGCAGTGGGTTGCGGGCGCTGGACCTACCTAGGTAGTACGTAGGGGCAGCCGTAAGCGGCCGGGGGAGGCGACGGGAGCGCAGTGAGCTTCACTGGAGCACTCCACTGTAGGTGCCCGCCTAGCGCATCGGGTGGGGTGCAGGGCGGTGCGCGCTGGTGGGGATCTGGGCTTTGGGGCGCGGTTCCATATGCTATCTTAGTACCTACCTTACCTGCAAGGCAGGCCGCGGTCGCCTGCACTCGCATTACGCAGGGGTCAAGTCAACTCAAGCGCGGGCAGCGAATTGAGCGGTGGGAAACGCGATCATCAGCAGGGTCAAAAACAGCCCGGCGGGCTGACTCTCTACTCTGGCGGTGCCTCGTAGGCTGCGAGGAAATGTTCATATGGAAGCGAAACCAAGGCGGGCCCGCCAGTGGGTGAGAACTGAGCTCCCAGCTGGAGGGTCCAGTGATGGACCCCGTCATCGGACATCAACGGCGTCGGTGACTGCCCGCGCGTGGCAAGGCATTGAAGACGCCGGAGAGAGCGAGGGACGTTTCTGTGTCCACACTGTCGGCAACGCGAGGGCAGCGCGAGGGTAACGCGAGGACACGGCGGTACCGGAGACTCCGCATGTCGCTGACACGGGCAGCAGCCATGCGCAACGAGGTACGAATTACAGAACGCGGCCCTGAAGGACGGCTGTACAGTCCATCCGAGGCCCGGAAACGCCTGACTCCGTTCAATCGTGTCCACGCCGCAGTGGGCAGCAGGCTCGTCTCGCTTCCGCCCAGCCCCAAATGAGGCATTGGACAGTCCGTCTGTGCCGCCTTGTCCTTTATTACTCCCGTCCATGTGACGTTGAACGAGATATGGCAGGGCCCCCCTTCCTTCAGTCGATGCTTGATGCTTGCGGCAGCCACAGGGCCAGTGTCCTGCGTGGTCAGACTCCTCTATCAACAATGGCCCGGCGCGTAACAAGATGGCAGGGAGCATGCACCGGATGCAATGAAAGGTCGCCCACCGGTGCTCGTGGGAAGACCTGCCCCCTCAAACGAAGTACCTGGGATCAGGATTCAGGACTGAGGCTCGAGCACCGGCGCCGGATGACGCTGCATGGCGCCCGCCTCCCAGGGACACGAAAATCGCTGTAAACACGTCGACGACCCCCGTCGTTCAGTTTACGTAGTGTCCAACAGGGGACACCACACAACACGGACAGCCGCGGCGCACGGGCCGCCGGGTGGACTCTCCGTCAATCAATCTCTCACCCGCGAGCGGATCAAGCAGCCACCGGGGGCCGGCGGGCATGGCATGGAACATGCTGTTGTGTCAGGACTAACCCGAGCGTCTCGCCGCCCAGACCCTGCTTCGCGCCCCATGGATCGCCCTGCGTGATGCTCGGTACAGGAATGGAAGCCCGGTGGAAAACTCGTCGAAAAAAAAAAGACAAAAAAAAACTCGCATGCGCCCTGTGAGCTGAGCGAGACGAACGCCAACAAAGGCACCAAGAACACCACATGCATGCACGCCGCGAATGACCCCTTGCAGCTCGGCAGCTCTCCGCTCCACTCTTTGAGAGCAAAATAACAACCTCCCGGATGCTGCACCATTGTCTGGCCTCAGATCTGTTTTGTTTCCTCGTCCCAAGAACGCCATGCCAACTGCGTACCTTTTTGATCCTCTCACTGCACCATCGCGCCAAAGCCACCACAACAACATCACGTCTACGCGTAGTCACGGGCCGACGCGGAATCTCGTCACCACAATTTAGTGTCAATTCAACAGACTCCGCTACATTCCCAGGAACGGCTGGCCAGGGTCGTCGTGGCTGACACCCCTCCCACATGTTGAATGTCCAACGGCGCAAGCCCCCATGCTACAGCGGTTCTGAGGCTCTTCGTCGTTGCTTGTGTCCCCCGCCACGACGCAACCCTCTCAATCACACGCCCACGACTTATACCGGGTAAGGGAAGATGCCGATGCAGTTGACCGAGCCAGGGTTCTCCCACGTAGACAACTCCAGACACCCAGCCGTCGTATCGTAATCCTTGCCCTCGCCGCCGCAGACCTCGTCGCCGGCGCTTCATCGAACTGGTCAGTCATTTCTGCCCCTTATGAGCGAGATTCCGGTGCAGACATACCCGTAGACAGTGCACTTTCCCGGGGCAAAGAAGGAGATGGACCTGTTTGTGTGTTTTTGTTGTCAGCAACTTGGCCGATCCGAGAGACTGGAGCCAGACGGCGAGGGTTCAGCCATACAGGAGGCGAGAGACTGCGGTGCAGGTGGAGTTATCGATGGGGTGCCAGTCCTTCGTGAAACAATTTGACCCGGCGTGGCCACTGGCCTGGCATTTTGTTCAGCGGTCAAGCATTCTCAAGTCTTGTCGAGCTCGCATTGTTCCGTGGTACGTACAATGGGAGCCTCCCTTTGGGCGTTGACCGACGCGGCGGCGGCGAAGAGAAGAGCCGATATCTTGGAGAAATGCATGTTTGCGAATCAGCGAGCCTGGCTTGTAGGTTGGGAAGCGTCTAGTTGAAAGTAGTCAAAGACTTGAAGTTCGAGCTGTCTGTGTCTGTGTTGGGACAATTCAGGCAGAGAGGCAGGCGTCTACCCTCTATTTTATACATCACGTACTGACTGCGTGCTTCGGCTTCACGCCCAGGCCCGGCTTGTGGCTTATTCTGAATGGCAGCAATGCCCTATGCAGCTGTCGAACTCATCACGAAAAATGACACGGCCCGCAGCAGTCGGTCGGCCGTCTCGAGACCCGATGCCGCGTTCCGCCGAAGGTGTAACATCCAAGCAGCACGGTCTCGCAGCATGCTTCTTGTCTAGTTGGTGGTACGCCTGGCATGTTGGCGAGCTGACATGCGGCCGAATCACTCTCATCACACCTCGCAAGATGTCTGATCTGGATCTGCAGCTCCTCCGGCTGTGACGGCTCTGCGTAATCCACATGTCTGCACGACGACGCTTCACTACTGGCATCCCGTGGCCTCAGTTCCTGCAAAGACATCACTTCTCATGTTCTACAGTACCACGGGTAGGATCGTTATCGATAGCTATGCGTCGAGCATCTTGTCGGACTTGTGACTCTGACGAACCACGCCCTATACGGAGGCCTATAAAACTTGTCAGCTGTAACGATATTGGTATAGTTGACGCTACGTATGCTTTGAAGCATACAACGACCCCTTGCAAGAGCCGCGGAGTTGCCTGATCGCTTCCCAATGCCTCCAGTGCCACGCACTTCAGAACGCCAATAGGAAGGCATCCGGCTCGTCGCCGCGGCATAGGCATGGCATGAAGTTCATGGCCACTGGGCGCCACCCAGTGAGGGCGGCTTACAGCCAGCCACCACCACGTCCAAATCCAATACGAGATGCCGACACGCTTCGCATTTTGCGTCCGGAAAGTTCCGGCGTTGGCTGCTTGTTCAACATGCATCAATCGCTTTCTCTCATCGCTGTCGCACGTCGAGCTGCCAGAAAGCCTTCCGATAGACCGAGACATATATCGGAAATGAAGACTGTGTCGGCCTCGTACCTGGCGAACCTGTCTCGGACGAGGAACCGAGACCCCTAGCCCCCGAGCACCCGCGGCCGATGTGCCGTCGACTCGGCTTACACCAAGGTCAAGCAAGCAAGCCACGTACCTACATCGTAAGACCAAGGCGTGTGGCGACTCCGGGTGTCGTCGCGCCACCAACCGTAGCGGGCAGTCTGTACGGCCGCATCTGAGACCTGCCGCTTGACTGCCGTGTCCTGGTCGACAACAATGCATGCACGCGGGACAGCCGCCCCCAGCCAGCCTCATTGTGCCACAAAACGAGCCGAACTACCGACGGCGCAGCAGCACCCTAGGATCAATACGTACATACGTACGCAATTGGCCAGAGTGGACGAGTCTGCTCCATGATGGCTTCGCTCTATTCAGTAGCTGTTCACCTCCAACATAAAGGAGTTCGTCAACTTCACAGCGGGTGAGCTTCAAATGTAATCATGGCACGTACAGCCTGCGCCTACAGCAGGGTTGGACGTCTTTCTTTCTGTGCGTTTCTTGGGGGGACAATGCCAAGTCGAGACAGTTCAGTCACTTCATCCATCTGAGCCCGCAGACTGCTCGCATGTGTGGTTGATCCCAGACATTTGTCCCATCCGTGGACCAGCATCCGCGCACGGTTCAAAGAGCGACAGCGGCTCATAATCAGTCCCGAGTTTTGTTACGATGGCGGAAACAAGCTTACACTCTGCCAATCGAAAGACAATCCGATGCATGAGCACAGCTCCCTCCGCCTTTCGCGGTCTGTGCCCGTAGCTCACAGTACAGTCCCGTCAATGTTACAAATCCCTGACCCTTCTGTACGTACGTTGAAACAACACGAACCCTTCATTTCGGTCTTCACACGCTCACACACAAACTGCGCGCGTCTACGCGTCACTTTCCCACACCGAGAGACAGTGGCGCTGCCATTCCCTTCCCTCCCGTCTAGCAAGACCATCCCCATCACATCCGCACGCCATCGTACAAACAGCAGCAGCAGCAACACCCAGATCGATCTGTCCCCTCCAGGGTCCTGATGCGCATTGCATTGCGCACAGGCGCCGGGTACGTATCGGCGAACAAGCTTCTCCCCCCTTCCGGGCGGCCGCCCCGAAACACCAGGGGTCATCCCCGCAGATGCGAGATCTCGCAAGCCCTCTCAAGCCTCCGCGACTGCAAACCCTTGCCGCGCCCGGGTACTGCCGGGCGGCGGCCCAGCCAGGCCCCGTCGTCTCAGGATGCTCGCGCTGCGGGACCGCGGGACCGAGGCTCCCTCCCATAGGGGCGGATGCCGCCTGGCCCTTCAAACATGCTCGTCAACTGGTTGTGATCGACTGTACGCTTCTCACACAGTTACGGTGGCCACCATTGTAGATGTGGTTGCTCAAAGTGCCCTCAGCACAATGCAATGACATTATGTTCAAGATGAGGCTTCCAATACATGCTCGCCGCATGCCCTCAAGACAATTGCTCTCCACGGGGTTAATTCGCCCGACCGTTCATATACCCAATCTATATGGCACAAGCAGCGACTCCGGATCCACGTCTCGATCTACATACTCCGCAGTAGCTTCTCCGTCTCAAAACCAATATTTTTGGCTCCTGAAACTCCAAAACAACCGAAACGCCGGGGTGACGAATCCGTTTCCTTTTTTCACGAGCGTAAAAATGTCTTGAACACCTCCGAGTTTGTGCACTCCTCGAACGGGTACCCGACCTCGCGCAGGAAGCGGGCCAGGTCCCCGGCCTCGTCCTCGGGGCAGGAGATGCCGGCAAGGACCTTGGCAACGTCGCCGCCGTAGTTGCGGTAGTGGAACAGGCTGATGTTGAACTTGGGCCGCAGCGTCGTCAGGAACTTTTCCAGCGCGCCCGGCCGCTCGGGGAAGCTGAACATGTACAGCCTCTCGTTGGGCACGCCGGACCGCCCGCCCACCAAGTAGCGGACGTGGCTCTTGGCGAGCTCGTCGCCCGACAGGTCCGTCACATTCATGCCGTCGCCCCGGATGCGCTCGACGAGCGTCTTAAGCTCCTCATTGCGCTGGGAGGCGGGCGCCGTCAGCGACAGGCCAATCATGATGTTGGCGCTCTCGCCCGTCGCATATCGGTATGAGAACTCGGTTACCGCATGGGGCATTATGCAGTCAATGAGCTTCGCGAAAGCGCCCGGGCGCTCGGGAATGGTCACCGCCAAGAGGGCTTCCTTGCCCTCGCCCAACGACGCGCGCTCAGCGACAAACCTCAGGCGGTCAAAGTTCATGTTGGCGCCCGAGGTCACGGCGATGAGCGTCCGGCTCGGATCGTGCGATGGCCGCTGCGCGACGTACTTCTTCATACCAGCGATGGACAGGGCACCCGCCGGCTCCAGGCCCGACCGGGTATCGTCGTACATGTCCTTGATGGCGGCGCAGATCTCGTCGGTCGTCACCTCGACAACCTCGTCTACAACGTCTTGGGCAATGCGGAACGTCTCTTCGCCAAGGGTCTTGACAGCCGCGCCATCTGCAAACAAGCCAACGTCTTTCAAAAAGACGCGTTCGCCCTTTTTTAGTGACTGCGCCATGGCATTTGCGTCGTGGGCCTCGACGCCGATGATCTTGACGTGGGGCGCCATTCGCTTCACGTATAGACCGATACCGGCGATGAGGCCACCACCGCCACAGCAGCAGAAGATGGCCTCGACCTTGGACATGTTGACCTGGCCAAAGAGCTCGTTGCCGATGGTGCCCTGGCCGGCGATGACGTACGGGTCGTCGAAAGGCGGGATGTTTATGAGGCCGTCCTGCTTCTCGCGGCGCGCGCACTCCTCCTTGGCCGCGTCAAAGTCGGCGCCGTGCAGAACGACGTGGCCACCGAGGCGGGCGACGTTTGTGTGCTTGATGCTCGGGGTGCCCTCAGGCATGATGATGGTGGCGGGGATCTTGAGCTTGCGCGCCGAAAAGGCGACGCCTTGGGCGTGGTTGCCGGCCGAGCAGCAGACGACGCCTTTCCAGCTCTGGGCGGGGTCGAGGTGAGCCATCTTGTTGTAGGCGCCGCGCAGCTTGAAGCTGAAGACGGGCTGTGTGTCCTCGCGCTTGAGAAGGACATTGCACTCGAGTCGATTGCTGAGGTTGACGGCGTGGGTCAGAGGTGTGACTCGGCAGGCCTCGTAGACGCGCGAGGTGGCGCTCGCAATCATGCGCAGGTACTAATGGTTTTCTCGTCAGAACGATGCAGGCCATAATTTGGAGTGTGAGCCGGTTCGCGCACGTCAGGGTAGCCGTTGGGAAGCAAATAGTCCTCGGGGACGAGGGCCTTGATGCGGTTGCGCTTCTCCTCCGATGGCGGCGACGGGTTGATGCTGTACTCGGTCAGGGCCATGCCGCCCGTGGGCGTCTCGGGGCGAGAGTAGCCATTGAGGCTCTCTTCGGTGCCGTTGGTCGCCAATTGCGCCGTCGGAACCCCGTTGAGCGACGGCATTTCGATGTTTGTTCGCGCTGGAAGAAGGGAGGCGAGTTGCGGAAGAGTTGGAGGAACAGAGTTGGAGCTCCGAATCGGCGGCGGTGACTGATAATGGCTGGACGCACCCATGGCCGCCCGATTTTCTGGTGGCGGGGCAGAGTCGTTCGGTACTTGGGCGCTGGGCGGGAACTTGCACAGGGGCCCGGTACCCCCCACCGTCACATTTTATCGCTGTTCAGTGTACATGCCCACCCGGCTAATCTACCGTCAGTGGATGAAATGACAGCGAGTTGGACCCGCCTGGCGCTCCCGCCATTCAGCATGTGCTGCAAGGTCAGCAGCGAGGTCAACAGGCCCGGAGCCGGATGGTCGGCCGCCTGTCACGGCGCCGCCGAACAGGTATTTCGTGTGCAATGCTGGGTCATCGCTTGGCACGTTCATGTCCCTCTACTGTACGAGACCCTCAATCAGTTTTGTGGCCGTGAAAATGCCATAGTAAGGCCATGCCTCTCGTTGAGTACAGCACTATAACTGCTGCCCGACTCTGCCGGAAGCGGCAGCGATCTCGGGGTCCCGCAACGCGCCCTTGGAAGCGGTCAACAATCGGAGCCGGTCGGCGGAGACCAAATGTGACCTGGCAGCAACCGGTGGGGGTCTTTCCTTTGATGCGACCACCGTCCCAACTGGCTGCTGGAACCGCATGAGAGACGGTGCATTGGGCCCTGTCAATGGCCAGGCGCGCCCTGCCTGCAGCTAATATCCTGGGCCATCGGGAAAGGACGGGCAGCGTCGCAGCAGGGCGTGGAACTTGCATCTAGCACTTGCGCTGCGTGATGGGAATTTCCGGGCAAACGGTCATCGGCATGGATAAGTCAACATTCTTTCGACATGTGCTCGTCTTTCAAGCTGTTACTGTACGTGACTGAGAAACCGGCCATGCGATTCAATGATGCAGCATTAATCTATTTTGTATACGTCGTGGGAATTCCCTGGTTGCCTCGGCACAATCTTCCCCTGCAGCTACCTCTTCGCACTCCTCTGAGTCCTCTCCAACTCCTCATACGCCGGTGGCTCGTCCGCTGCTGGCCCTCGGTCGCGTGTATCCCCTGCATCCATGTTCCTGCTCTCATACTGCATTGGCCTGTACATCGGGGCCTGGTACATTTGTGGCTGAGGCTGCACCTGTGGAGGATGGACAACGACCGCGGGTGGAGGAGGCTGACTTCGACTCCCACAGCAGCCACCTCGACGATCCATCCTCCGCGCGCAGCGCTCTTCCCGGCGCATCTGCCTCTCGAAACGTCGCTCCGCCTTGCGTTGGTGACACGACGAGCGGTAAGGCTGCGGCGACGGGTAGCTCTGATAGTAGGCGGGTGTGCTATAGGGTACGCCTCCCTCGGTGACGGGGATTTGTCGTTCGTTGTGCTCCCTGTCGTGATTGCCGTTGGCTGCCTTGCGGGCAAGACCGAATAAGAGGAACATTTTGGCAGTAGTTTGACTGTGTGTTTTTTTGTGGACGAGTTAGTCGAGAAGCTGTCGTGTAGTGCACTCGGTGTGATCTTGAGTACAGGTTGGGGAGTGAAGGCAGTTTTGGTTTGATGGATGAGATGAATCTGTCTCGACTGTGCTGCCAAAAGCAACTTGAACAAGTTGAAAGAAACATTCGACTGATGCTACGCTTCTCGGCACGCTTCTTATACCTGCCTCTTCATCGAACGTCAGCCCCCCGACATGGCGTCACCCGGCACTTCGATGCGAGTCCGAGCCACGATGCTCAGCCCCGGCGCCGCCGCCCCTTCGAAACGCTTCCCCGATGCGGTTTGGCTGCCGCCGACCCACCCCGATCTGGCCTGTGGGAGACCCCGGATCGGCGGCGCCTGTGGCCATATTGTTACGGGCGACTCGCATTCGCTTGCTGCCACTCTGGCAGGGGACGGTCTTCTCACAACGCAGGCGTACCACCACGTCATGAGCAGCTTGCACAGGAGACAGGATGTACATTCCCCATGGGGATGTGCTGGCGGCGTACATAATACCTTAGACCAAACATTTGTCACCAGTCCACAGCACCCATGAATTTTGTTTAGTCTACCGCTGATGTCATACTCACAGTCATATATAGAGTGAACCAATTTGGACACCAGTCATTCTCTACGCAGCCACCACTGGTCCGCGGCTGTCGCTGCTGTCGCTGCTGTCGCTCACGGCGCCACCGCTAGCTCGACAGCCTTTCACTTCGTGGGCAAATTGAAAACGACTCTTGCCTCGATGCCTCTGCTATCCGTCAATGCATGAACGAGCGTTCGTACTGAGAGGTCTGCGGCACAACGACTGCGTGTGCTAATCAGTCATCCCACTATCTGCATGGCTCGGGTGCCCTGCCTGTGCACTGCATCCATCTCAGTTGCGTACATGCTGGAAGTGCTATGTAGCCTCGACAATTGGAGCGATCCGCCGTCGCAAGTACCATTTTACAGCGAAGTAAGAGAGTAGTGCGTGAATCACATGAACTCACTACGCAAATTGTGACGCTCTAATTTGAATTTGCCTCTTATGCAACGGACCGGTAAAAAGAATTATAAAACCCTGCAGCTGGCTTCGTAATGGAATGCACAATTACAACACAAAGTAAAGCGAAGGCCGTGCGTTCTGAACTCCATACCACAAAGTCATCATTATTGTTCCAGAGAAAGGTAGGCCGAGCGACAGCATCCCTCCTAGATCGTCAACCCTTTCCCCTTCCTTATTGCACACATGCCGACTAAACCTCATATTCCTACACAGAGAAGTGCAAGCAAGCAAAGTCAATATGCGGATTCATACTATTTTCGCCATCATCGCCCTCTCCGTGTCCGGAATCGAGGCGGCCACTTGGTGCAGATGCCATCGTGGCAATTACGACACCGTGGATCGCGACACGAAGTCTGCGACCGAGAAATGCTGCAACAAGTCCACGATTGGAGGCAACAAAATGACATGGAGCGGGACCACATACCGGTGCCGTTCGGACTCCAGGAGTATACAAATGTTCAACTGGTGCTGCAGTGAGCATTCACTTCAGGCGCAGTGCCGTAACTGAGCTACCTAGGCAGCACAGCTCCGACGCCAAAAGAGTACAACGGGAGTACTAGTTATGTTTAGGCAACGCAGCCTTGGGCGCAGCGTTAGGGGAGGCATTAAGGCTGGTCACGGGCGTGGAAAATGCGTGTTTGCTTGGTTTTCATAAATACTGGCATGATACCTCAAGAATAAAAGGCTTCAACTCCATAATATTACACTTTCAACTTGAAGCCGCCGCTGACAACCCTTTGAAAGAAGCGGTTTGGATCGTAAGTCCTGGCAACGCGAGCCAGTGCTTTGTTGATCTCCTCTCCATAGCTCCCGATGGGGTCCTGCCAGGCAGCTGCGTAGTTGAGATACTTGAATCCGACTTTGTTCCCGACTAGTTCCTGGACCGAGCCCGTTACGCTCTTGATGGTAGATTCGACAAGCGCTGACTCCTCTTTGTGAGACCAGTAGAATGAGAACAGGACCAAGACATTGTCCTTGTGAGGTGTGGAATCTGGCGCGAACGGGAAGGAATTTTTCGGAGCATTTGCGCTTGGAGGCGGAGGGATGTCTTGGAAAGTAAGGACGCTCGTCACATTCGGGACCTTGGCGCTCAAGGAAGTCGTCGCATCTTTCCATTGCTTGTAGATTCGCGGCAGAATGCCTGGAGCCATACGGAAGCTCAATGTAGAGTAGGAAGCGCTGGTCAAGTCAGTTTTTGACCGCAGCCAGCCTGAGAGAGAAAGAGCATGCCGTAGCAAACATACAATTGATCCGTGGGCTGGAACTTCTCGATCTCTTCTGCAAAAGCAGACGTATTGGAGATGCGCATCGTATTCGCTGTTTGCGGTTGTACGTCCGAGAAGAATTTTAACGCGCTGGCATTGACAACCGACTTTGTGTAGAACATGTTGTTGGTGCTTGAAAAGGCCTTGAGGGCGCCAAAGTAGACAAATGTCTGCTCGATTTCGGCAAAGCCGTCGTAGGGAGCCGCCTTGAATGACTCGAACGCGGCCAGCTGCGCCGCGTCGGCAGAACCTGGGTATTGGATTGCGCCGCCCCAGTACTCGGATTGTACGTGGGTGACGAGATCGAACCGGGTGACGATTCCAAAGTTGCCTTGACCTCCTTTCAGAGCGCGAAACAGGTCGGGATGAGACGTCGCGTTGGCGTTGACGATGGCGCCGTTTGCGAGTACGACCTCCATATTTACGACATTGTCGCACCCGAAGCCGTATTTAGGAGAGAAGAACGATAGGCCGCCTAGGGAAGTAAGTACAGAGAATACGGGGACAATATGGATCGGGCGATCTACCTCCCGTGAGGAAGCCTCCTACTCCTACAGAGGCCACGCGAGCTCCAACAACTGTGCGATTAATAGGGTCAAGTGTAGCATATACCTCTCGCCAAAGGGCTCCTGTGCCAACTGAGACGACATCGTCATTAGGTCCTTGCAGTGCGATCTTGTTGAGGCCTCGTAGATCCAGCGTGACGCCAGAATCGGTATTCGCGAACCCCCGGTTCGGCGTATGTCCACCGCTTCTTATCGCGACCTGATTGTTCTCGCGCACGCCCAGCTTCTTGATGATCTTGGAGACTTCAGCTGCATTGGTCGGCGCGACAATGCACTTCGGGCTTTGGCGCGAGTTGAGGAAGAAATAGGACGAGATCGAGGTCTTGTACCCTGAAGAGTTGGGTAGCAAGACTCGCCCAGGAAGCAGCTTGGCGATGTCATGGCATGCGCACGTCGCTAGCACAACAGGCGGTGATAACAACAATATTGCGGCAAGTAAAAGAGTGTGCAAAGCCATTGGCATTGTTTAAGCTTGCCAACGCGCGCAATCGACGGATCAGGTCGCAAGATGCTTTGATTACACCAAAGAGACGAAGGAAACCGGCCTGGAAACCCAAATTCGACACCAATCGATCATCGGGGATGTTGAGGACAACATAGCCCGGCCAAACAGCAAGCCTTGCCTGTGCCACGTCGTGTAAGTCCACAGCACCCAGATCGGGCAGTTGAACGACAACCGCCTCACAGGCAGCTCACAATACTGCTGCGTCATGGTCAGCAAAGTGAACACAACGCAGGGCTGACTCTCCATGTACGAGACATGGATGTTCTGCAGTCTGCCGTGCCGGAGGATTTGGTGCTTCATCGGGTTGGGGGCGGGTTTGGGGGCCGCCGCTGGAGAAGGTACTGGTACTTCTTCGATCAGGACTGGATCTCAAATCGCGCCACTAGACTACCAGGGTGTCTCATGCAGTATTTTAGGTGCCTCCAGCGAGGCATGCAGCCAGTGATGAGCAGCGCTCCATTGGTTGGTGCATGGGGCCAGCGCCGTCTCGGCACGGAGGGATGGAGGCAATGATGGCAACTGCCAGGGAAGCCGACGCCGCTCATGTGTGACGGCGGCCCATGCTCTCAATTTTGCCAAACGGAAAGAAAGGCGTCATGTTCAATGTTGTCTTGAAGCAACAACGGCAACAACGACAGCAACGGAAGCAACTTGAATGGTAGAAGCTGTAGCAGCAATGCTGCGTAGTAGAACAAGTGCATGTCCTTGAATAGCTCATCTCGTCAGATATTTCTACAATCCATCGTCAAGATAAAGACTCAAGCTAACAAAACCTTGTTTCTACATGTGCTCATGTTCACCGCGTCAACTGCATGTGCTCTCCACCTTCATGCTCCCATCATCGCTCTTTGAAGACAATTCGTGTCGTCTCGTACGGCATCGTAAACGTCTCCCACGACCACCTCGTCCGCGCATTCGGGTCTTCCAGTCTCATGTCGTACCTTGAGATCAGCGTAGCCATGACCATCTTCATCGCAAGCGACGCATGAAGACGGCCAGGGCATGCCAGCGACCCATAGCCCCAAACGGGGAAGGTTTCAGACACCTCTGTAAATTTGCGTTGACTTTTGCCATCTTTTGGCAAGAATCTCGTAGGGTCGAACGAGTTCGGCTCCGCATACGTCTTTGTGTCGTGCATGAGATCATACGCCGATACGCAGACGGTTGCGCCCGATGGCACGGATAGAGAGCCGTGGGCGAAGCTGTGGGGTCCCAATGCCTTTCTACGGATCGCAACTGTGACAAGGGTTTAGTTCCTGCTACCGCTGGCAACAGTATATTGGAAAATGGGGGACTCGTACGTGTATCGAGCGGTTTCAGTCTCACAGTCTCCTTGATGAAGCTGTCCAAAAGAGGCAGTCCCTCCAAAGTCTTGTAGTCGAGTGTGGAATGTTGCTGTATTTCCTGACGGAGTGCTTCTTGCCACTGAGGTCGTGTGCATAGCTCTATCATGATGAAATGCAGGTTCATCCAAGGCTGATGAGCCGCGGCAAACCATATTCCTAGAAGGGACTGGGACAATAGCTCTGGGTTCCAGTAGTCGCTTGACTCGGTCAGTTCAGTCATGTTGTGCATGATGGTGAGCTATGTGTTGCAGATCGTCAGCTATATAGGCTTCAGACAAGGGATGGGAACACGTACATATTTGGTCTGGTCTGGCTCATCCCAAGTTGAGCGGCCTGGGCCCATGCATTCAAACAATCGGCCCTGGATCAAGTTCATTGCCTCGCCGCGCTTCGTAAGAAGGGCATGAACAACACTGATTCATTGCATCAATATTTAGCAAAGGACTTGGGCTTTGTGATATGGGTTGGCTGCCGACGTACGGTGACATAAATGCGGGTGTGATTTGGAACGCGCCCATGCACTTGACCATGTCCTGAGGGTAACGCAGGAGTGCTTTGGAGAATGCCTCATTGGAAGCTATACAGCAAGTAAGTCACAGGACAGGAATTCGGAGGCAGTGGTCCGTCACTTACACAAGCTTTCACCAAAGAACATGAGACTCATGAGCCTCGAGGCAAGTCGACGGACCGTCTGCGCGACCGGCAAAGAAACGCCATCTACTCCACGCGTCAATTCTACAGCCAACTAGGGTAACGCTTAAAGCATCGAGGTACGCACCTTGCAACACACGTGCCTCGGCAAGCTCGCGGCTCAGACTGCTGTCTAGCCGGGCGACGAGGTGCGGATACAGGGCGTTAAGATGCCCAGGTCCATTCACCTGAAGAAGTCGGCCGTACAAACGTGTTCTCACCACTTTATGGTCGCTCGTATTGTGCTGAAGCTTGTTCATGGTGTGCTTGAAGCCAAACATCTTGACGCCGTTAGTTGACCCGAATAAGTATTGGCTGGCAGAAACAGGGCTAGCTCACATCGGCATACACAGCTCTTTGAGAGAGGTTTGGTGCTTCGCTAAGCTCCGCAATCTGTTGCTTCGCGGACACGATAACAATTGGGTTTGCTGGCTTCCATGGCTTGTAATATTTCCCAGATTGCTTTAAGTCGCGTCATTAGCGGCCTGGTAGTCTCTGCATGCAACAGCCGTGCGAGGTGGGGTCACTTACATAGTCGCGGACTATCGTTGTAAGGCTGGAAAGGAAAAAAGCGAAACCATCACACAAAGGATGCAAAAGACTCTATTCACTAGATCAGGACACGGCCATGTCGATACGGCACTGGGACATGCGGTACTCACCTGGCATGGCCCGATCTCGTTATAGAGATGTACCAGAACGACGAGCAGGAACAGTACCAGCTGCACCTTTTCGTCGGAGATGACCGACTTGACGTCCACGAGAGACATGTCTAAAAGCGCAATTCGATAGTGCTCCGTAGTCACAAGAGCAAAGGAAAATGAACGTTCATCAAAATGGTAAAGCTTTTCGACTATCACCCTGCGATGAAGGTTTCGTTGCTCTGAAAGTGGGAAGCGCAAAGGTGGCTCTGATGTGAATGTCAAGTAGTATCAATGTAAGACACGGGAGGCGTCAACGGCTTCCGCGCGCCAGTCTGCCTCATTAGCCGCGTCATGGTTGCGGGAAAGGCAGACAAGTGCATGCATGGATAAGAGTGGCCGCTGAGCTGCTTCGCCTACTGCCTAGGCCCAGGTCATGCATCGTATCTTGAACATCGCGCGCCTTGTTGGATGGAAGGCATGTCAGCATGACCGCACCGTGAGACAGCATCGTCCTATTGTCAAGCCAGCCGCAAGGGAATGCTACACTGCAAGTTCAGCCCCCAACCCTCCCTTTCGATGTCGGGAACAAGGCCAACAGCAAGCAACTCGCATTTTGGCACCAATCATCATGACCACGTAGGCAGATGCACGACTACGGGCGGCGTGTGAGACCTACCCCATGGAGCAGTATCCGGGCTGTGTGTAACTGCATTGCCGAGACGTTATGCCGATGTAGCTTTGGGGCTGGACGAGGTACGATGCGCCGCCTGTCCGCGAGGAGTCGGAGAAGCCGCCGTATTAGTCCTAGCCTCAGCCCTCCGGTCTTGTGGCAAGTCATCACCAGCGAGTACCTGCATGTGAAGCCGCTGATAGGGCGATGGCTTCATGCAGCCGTGAAGCCCAGGGTGCAGGCATCAATTGACCACGGTCCTTCGGGATCACATGATAGCATGGCTGTCGTCGTACGTCAAGGCTTCGATGTAATGAGTTGAGCGAACGTAGCTGCAGATCGGTGGCCACCATGGCGCGTATGAACTCCCAATCACGGTGATGAGCCCGTCGTCAATTGCAGTCGACTCTATGTCGCTGCTCACTATGTCATGATGGACAGAATGACTGGCTGTGGCGAATCGATAGCGATTCCTTTGACTACCCCATGCCTCTTCCAGTAGCCGGCTCAACGTCTATTCCTTTGGTGGCAATGCATCCAGCCCTGTTCCCATGACTGCTCCGGCATCCATGGCCGACTGCGGCACTGCGGTTGCCGTCGTGCCCATCCGGACCTGCTCGACGTGCACGCCACACCAGAATTTACCCGTGGTGCGCTTGACGATCTCATCCACAACTGAGGTCGCATATTCCATCGTCTCCATCCTGGGCATGCCGTCATTACCCTGGGCTCGGCTCACGAATGTGTCCTCGATGCTCTTGTAGAGCGACCCTTGCGGGAGCTTGACGTCGCCAAAGTATGTCTGGCCCATCGACTTGACCCCGCCCGTGACAACCTCCATCACGTCGACGCCGAAGGGAGCCAGCTCGAGGCGTAGCGTTTCCGCGACGATTTCCAAGCCCCGCTTGGATGCAGCGTACGTTCCTACGGAGCTCCATGTTAGTGAACGCGGGGTATTGGAGCTCAGTAGGTGTCTGCTCTTACCCATATACGGAATGTTGAGATAACCGGAGATGGAGGTTACGTAGACGGCGATGCCTTTGGCCTTGATGAGCAGAGGGGCAAACGCATGGGTTAGAGCCATCGGGCCCATGAGGTTGATCTCGAAAATGTTCCTGACCGCGTCCAGGTCCTCGTCGAGAATGGGCATGAAATGATTGCGTCCGGCGTTGCTGATGAGGCAGTCCAGGGTTCCGCCCGTTTTCTCGGAGACGGCCTGCACGGCCGCCTTGATGTCGTCCGACTTGACGACATCGAGCGCCAGGAGCGTCACGTCGGGGAGATCGCGAAGGCTACCCATCTTGGCGGGGTCGCGGGTGGTGGCGAAGACGTGCCATCCGCGCTGCTGAAAGAGCACTGCCAGCGCGGCGCCGATGCCGCCGTCGCTGCAGCCCGTGATCAAGACGGTTTGTTTGGACATTTTGATGATGGCAGCTGACGATGCAAGCTTCAGCCCAGTGGACCGACAAGTCCTAGATTTGAGGAAATGAAGAGGCTGAGTTCCTCCTGCGTTTGATCGGAAGGCCTTCGATGTTTTGCTTGCTCAGAATATTGAGCGGTTTGATGACATATCGAGGCGGGGAGACGGCCTTATTGGCGCCCGCTCGCGGGACGTGAAGTTGTTGGTTGTTGCTTCCATCGCACAGAGGCTGTGACGTTGATGCATGACCTGCAGGCAACCGAGTCTCAGCCTACCGACCTGTTTCGGCTCCCCCCAGTGGAGAGGCATGGAGAACCTTACAGCCGCCATCCCCGCCGGCAGTGGTCGCTGTCTGCCCTGCCCGCGGCACAACGGAGAGAAGCTGTTTTTGGCCCCGCGATTCAAGACGTTTCCCGGATGCTTCGCCGGGATCTGCACCCGCAGTCAGACACAACACACGGTAGTGCCCGGCGTGGACCATCCTTCGATCGGCAGTGGTGTAAGCGACCGTGGTGCCCTGCGGGTGGGGGCTTGTGAGTCAGTACTATCAAGGTAAGGCCCAACTCCAGTGATGTCTTTGCACTGCCAACGCGCGTATATACTGATTACGTCGTATTAAGCGCTACGTGCCCTATCGCCACTTAAACAGGGCGGGGGCTTTACAGTTTGGGGGCCAAGACACCGGGAACGGCTGAGGCGTCGTGTTCAGACGAGATGGTGTGCACACCTTCGGAGACGTAGCGCGCCATCTTGCTGCTCATCTTGTTGCTCTGGGCTTCCTTGATCGGGAATATGACCCAGCCTCACTCCTGTTATACAGTGCTACGCAGCGCAACTGCGTGTTGCTGTTCGATGCAATAGCGCGGCTATCTTCGGGTGGCCACCGGACATTCCATTCTCAGGAATACACACCGTCTGTATCGCAGCTGAGATGATTCGTCATGGACCTCTGGTCCCCTGTCTTGGCGGATGGGGAGTTTGGGTAGCATCTTACGGGTGCACTCATGCAGCATTCCCCAGCGATGAGACTTGCATGAGCATCCGCCTCTGGTCGGCCCGCATGTGCTCAACCAGAGGACACCCTTTCGCCTGTGGCCGGTCTGGCGTCAGCCACCACTTCATGTCCCAAGGTCTTTGGTCGTTGTGCTCCGACCATCTTAGATACCGCCCAGCCTAGATGACCCGTGCCGTCGGCTCTGCCGTCCGCATCCTCCTCAACTCCTCTTCGGCGGGCTCCCATCTTCTTGCCTCCACGGTGCCTGTGCCTTCGCGATCCGCCAGACTTTTGTCAAGCACCGACGCCATTCCAAACCGATCGTTGTGCAGCTCCGTCGAATTTTGTCGGCATCATGTCCTTAACGCCGGAGCAGATGGCGCAGACGCCCGCGTCTAAGCCGCCGCCCGGCGTCGTCCCCAACTTCGTGGACCCTCCCTCCGGGGCTCCTGTTCTGATTGCGGTCGGCACGGTGCTCTTGGCCATCATGCTGGTATTTGCCTGCATCAGGTTCTACGTCAAGGCCTTTGTCCGACGCAACGTGACTGCTGATGACTGTAAGTGGTGGTTCACGAGGAGGCTATTCGGTTCGGTATGCCACCACGAGAACTTTGCTGACCGGCGACTGCAAATTAGGGACCACACTGGCCGCCGTTGTTAGTTGTCCTGAAACCGGTTCTTGATCATATCTGACGACCGTATTAGATAGGGACACTGTGGTATTATGCCATATGTATCCATGGTAAAGCTACGCTGCTGCTTCGAGGATCATATCCGGAAAACTAACACTAGATGTATCTAGCGGTCACGGCAGCAAAGTTCGGCACACACATGTGGGACATGTCTGTGGCCCATACCCTCAGCGACGATTTTCTAATTGTAAGGATCCTTGACCCCTACAGAAGTATTCGCATGGGAATTAAACAAATGATACCAGGCCAGCTTCTTCTCCAACTGGCCCACGGGCCTCGTCTGGGCGCTCGCCAAAACGTCATTCTTCCTCATGTATCTCCAGATCTTCGGGCCCCTCCCTTGGCTCCGAATCTGCGTCTATATCGGACTGTTCCTAAACTGGGGCTTCTACACGGCCGTGATCGTTGCGAGCATATATTACCAGGCCCCGAACCCCGGGCAGACATGGCAGGAGGGCTTCCTAAACGATCGCTACACTAAGAGCTTCAACATGACCATTCCTATTGCCTCTGGAAGCCTGTTCTTGGACACCTACATCTTTGTTCTTCCTCTCATTGCGGTCTCCAAGCTGCGCCTCAGCACCAAGAAAAAGATTGGCGTGATGGCCGTCTTTGCCACTGGGTTGATGTGCGCTGCATGCCCCTCCCCTTTCCTGTGTGTGTCTCGTTCTAACTTTCGCTCAATAGTGCATGCGTCGCCTCTTCGCTAAGCATATACTTCAAAAACAAACTGAACGCTCGCCTCGACGACTACACATTCTGGATCTACCCCGTCCTCCTCATGGCCCTGGTGGAAATGTGCGTCGGGATCACCTGCGCCTGCATGCCGTCTGCCGCCGGCTTCTTCAAGAACAAGGCGAGTCACGGCTTCAATACGTGGAGCACCAACCCGCTCAGCATGTTGCGGAGTCTGCTCCGGTACGGCAGGCAGAGCAATGCCGCTGAGTCTCTCGACAAGTCCTGGGGGAAACATGCCACCCACGTCAGCTCGGGAGCGAGCGATCATCATTACGATGATATTGAAATGGGGGCCGCAAGCACTGAGGAGCTTAGACCGGGCACTGGTCGTGGAGAGATACATGTACGCCGAGATTTTCATGTGGGATAGGGCAAAGTGATACACCTCGGTGTGCCGGGAGTTTTTGTTTCCTTTGCTTACTTTTAGTTATATTCCTTCGGGTTTTATGTCTCATCGTCTTTCTCGTTAACGTGAATGAGGGACGAGATATCTGGACCTCAGCCCCCTTATTTACATGTAGCCCTTACTGTACGGATCAGGGTCATATAAGGCAGTAGAAACGAGAACAAGGATAGCAATGAGAGCAGCAGCCACAGCCGCAGTGATGGCGGCAGACAAGAACGAAAACTGGTATCCAAGCAGCTTCTCTCATGAATACGACAGCCTGTGGACTCGGATTCGTGGCCGTCTCTGCAGGCGTGCGGCTTTCTCGCGATCAGTAATGACTTGGCGAACATCTGCCGAGCTCAGAGCTCAATTTTCTTCTCCGTGTACCGTTGCGTTGCAGGAATGCGGCATGTAGCAAGTGCGGCACGTCATTCGCCGAGGCAGAAACAAGCCGCATGATCTAAAGACAATAAGCTGCATGCGTACATTTCCCCCGGGATGGTGAGATACAGGCAAACAGGTATCGGTACTTGCTGACAGGGAGGGCTGAGCACCACGACGTCCCATTCTTCTGATCCAAGGCGCTTCCGCACCCGATAAGCAGGGGTGTCGGCCCTTGGTTGCCAATCAGCGAGCCAAGTCCAGCCCCCAGGTCTCACAAACCGCCGCTTCGTGTCGGGCGTTTGGTGATCTGCTGGCAAGGCTCAAAGAACTGCAACGGCCTGCCCTGCGACTAATACACGCTAAGCCCGTGGTGACACGGCAGTTGGGGCGAGTCCGAATCGATGCACAAGTCAATGGAGCCAAGGCTCATTGAGTGACTCTCATGACCCCAAAATGCTATGGCATGTAGTGAAATGTAGTAAAGTAGTAGGCATAGCCGTAGAATTCTCACTAAAAGAGGCGTGCGCTTGATTCAAAGTCCTTGAGTGCGATTCTCAGTGCCGGTGCCTTCCAACCCCAAACTACGAGCTCACACAGGCAGCCATGTTATCAAAGTCGGTCTCGGCGGTCGTTGACCTTCTTACACGGGAGACAGCATTCAGCTTACTGCCTTTCCTGGGTGTTGGGGCGGCGCTGCTATGCTGGAGACTATGGCGCTTCACTATCATGCCAGTCATGAATCCCTCGGCACCAAAAGAGTTGCCGTATTGGATTCCATGTACGCCTCGCCTCGCCACAATTGGTCTACAACCATGCTAACTCCATGTCACAGTTCTAGGTACTGCAAAGACCTATGCGTACAGGTTTGCAATTTGCTGATATGACTAGGTCATGTTCGCTCCTTCTTCAAGGACTACAATGAAGCCATCGACGAGGGAAGGTCCGTTATGACACCACTACATATTGAATGCTCAGATGCTGATCCTAGGAAACAGAAAATACTTCAACGACTCAAACATGCCGTTTAGCGTCTCCATCGCAGGGGCGCGCATCTACATCTGCTACGCCCCCGAGGACGTCGCCGGCCTGTACCGCAACACCACCACAATCTCCTACGACAACGTCATCAAGGACATGTACCGGTGGATCGGCGTCAGCGACGACGGCTTCGCCAAGATGTTCACCATCAACGAGTCCTCCAGGCACAACATCGGCATGGCGCACGCGCAGGCCCCCGGCAACATGATCAACGAGTATCACCGCCGCCAGACCAAGCCAGGTCCCCTCTTCGAGGACCTTTTGCACGCCAGAACCATTCCGGGAATCGACCAAACGCTGCAGGACATCGTAGATGGACGCAGTGCATCTGTAGTTGGACGATCGGCTGATGGCGCGGCTGTTTCGCTTCTTGGCCTGTGCACCGATCTCTTCCTTCGGGGCACCACGACGGCTTTCCTCGGCCAGAAGATCTGGGAGGTGAATCCCACGCTACTGGACTCATTTGCGCTCTGGGAGCGGACGAACTGGAAGTACATGTTCCAGATGCCTGAGATCATCAGCGGGGATATGGTTCAGGCCCGGGACGCCATCATTGGCACCTTTGTCAAGTACCTCGCTATCCCGGCATCAGAACGAAGCGACTGCATCGACTTTGTCAAGTCGGTGGAAGCCATGATGCGGGACGTGGGGGTCGACGAGCGAGACATGGCCAAAATTTTCATGCTGCATTTCTGGGCGTAAGACTTGTGTCCCCTTTCCTTCATTCTCCTCCTTTTGCCTCTACCGATCGCTAATGTTGTTTGCTCTTAGTGTCCTGGGCAACATATACAAGGTCGCCTTCTGGGCCATCGCGCATATGGCATACGACCCGTCACTCCTCGACGCCATTCGGGCGGAGGTCACGCCCGCAGTCAAGGACGGCCAGGTAGACGAAGCCTATCTCGCCGAGAACTGCCCGCTGCTGGAGTCCCTCCTCAGCGAGGTTCTCCGCCTCACGGTCGCCACCGCTCTCGTCAGAGATGTCGTTGCGCCCACGCACATCCGCGGCAAGACGCTCCAACCGGGAAGCAAGATACTTGTACGCACTCACATATCCCTCTCCCGATTCCCGTGCCCGCAACAGCTAGTCTTGAGGCTTTGACTGACAACGCCTGTCGCACAGGTTCCCTACCGTCAACTCCACCAGAACCGCTCCGTCTGGGGCGACGATCCCCTCACGCTCTCGCCCGCGCGCTTCGTCGCAGAGCCGAAGCTTACGTCCTCAAAGTCCTACCGCCCTTTCGGAGGCGGTCATACCCTGTGCCCCGGCCGCTTCCTGGCCAAGCGCGCCATGGGGTATGCCATTGCCGCGCTGGTCACCAAGTTCGAGCTGAGTCTCGACGTTGAGATGACGCGCCGAGCGGTCGGAGGTAGTGGCAAGTCGGTCCGGTTCCCCCGGATGGACTCGACCAAGCCAAGCCCAGGAGCAAGTCTACCCCACAGAGGCGAGGATGTCTTCCTATTGTTGAAGGAGAGGAGGACTGCATGGTAGCGATTTAGGGGCTTTGGAAGCTGAGGCTGCCTCAGATCATGTCCGATAGCATGCTTCTCACAAGCTAGTGTCATCGTCGCCTAGACGCGCCGGATAGAAAGGCGGAATGGTCATTTCATTCCCGTAGTGCCTCTCCCGGCATACGTTTTCTCGATGTCATGCCCATTGTGCCCCTCGTGCCTCTAGTGCCCGGCATCAAATGTTGGTTCTTCTTGGGTTTCATCTGTGTATAAACGCAGGTGTAGCATTGGCGCTAGAAATGTTGTTACCCTTCTTGCTAGTTAACTATACCACGCAGGTACCAAGTCTTGAGAAAGCAGCACCCGCAACCAAACGCCCGCTAACCAGTACGGCTTGCCTGCTCAGCATGCGCCAAAGCTCAAGTCCTCTGCGAAAGCTCGAAGTACGCCCTCAGCAATGCCAACCCGCCCATCTGCGTCTCTACCGTCCGCCCTCTCCCGCGGTCATTCGGGTCACTCGTCGCCCTCCTCGACGCTCGCCTCACCACCCGGGATCCGCCAAAGCTGCGCTCCCTCTTCGTATGCAGCCTGGGGTCGTCGGGACGTGTCTGACTGCCACTGCTCTGATGCACGGGTTTCGCTCCAGGCTCCCACTTGGCTGTGGAGTTGCCCCAGCTGCCATCCATCGGTATGCCCTTGTTGCGGTAGTCAACTCGTTTGGATGTGGCATTCTGGCCGTTGTCGATATCGCGGCCCGTGGGGTTGTTGAAGATACCGGCGCCCCACCACATGCCAAACTTGCCCGCTCCGTCGCGCGTCTTGCGTGCTGCGTCCACGTTATGCTTGACCCAGGGGAGGTACATGCGACACGTCTCATCGTGTGCCGCGGGGCTGCTGGCAATCGTGGTAACGTCGCCAGGCGCCGTAATGGGTGCGCAAAAGGCAGTCAGGTGGTGGAAAAAGATGCCTTTAAACGTTTGCCCATCTTGAGAGCATGTGGCGCTCACATCACACTGTTCCTCCAAGATGCCACCACGGCCGAGCCCTCGCCAGGGTGGTAGTTCTCCTGGTGGCAGGCGGTCAATGATGTCCACTGGCGCGTTTCTCATCAGGTCCCAGCCGGTAGCCTTGATGACGGATCGGATGAGGCTGTGGCCATCGTCCAGGTACGACGGGCTACCAGTGATACTCCACAGGCCGCGGTGGCCTGTGAGGATGACGCCTTGGTTGTATGTGTAAACCATCTCGTTGCGTTCATCGCACTCGACGTTGCCGGGCTTGCTGCGGTCGACGTGGTATCCATCGACGTACAGCCCTTCGTCATTGGTCATGTTGACGTCCCCAAGCCACTTGTAACCCTCAATCGCGGCGGCCAGATAGATGGGATCCTGGCCTGGAAATCCCTTGGACTGGACCCATTCCTCTGAGAAGGTGTCATTCGGGAAGTATTCGTACATGGCTGCGGAAGCGGCAATCCAAAGCTCGTTGGTGATGGCGTTCTTGTATGGAAGAAGCCTCGGGTTCCATATCATGCCGCCGTGACAAAGGGTCTCATCCCAGCCATTGGTCGCGAGATCCCAAAACTCGCGCGAACGGTCCGAGAATGTGCAGAGGTAGTTGTAGCCTTGCCACGAAGTACGGCGCAGAGCCGTACGGATCTCCTCGGGGATGTGGTTGCAGGCCTGTTCCGTCCCGGGATAATGCAGCTGCGCATGCAGGCGCACGAACTTGATGGTTTCCAGCCAACCGAGCACAACCCATAAGATGTCGTCGTATGCCTGGGCTTGTCAGTCCAGTTGTGCTTGGAGGTGAACGGCGCTCAGACGCACCTGTGTCTTGATGTCCTCGGCTTCTTGCCCGAAGAACGAGTGCGAAACCTGAGCGAATACAGAGGCGATGAGATTCTCCTTTTGCTTCCAGGGTTCCTCACTAATAGCCTGTGTCATAGTAGACAGCATGCCTGAAACGACGGTTCCGACAACGGCACTAGTCCATTCTATGGCAGTCGGCCAGGTGCCGTTGTTCGCGTCAAAGTAGTCATTCTGCAACACAGACAGGGCAGCGAAGGCGTCGTCGAGGGCTTGCGTCGCATCGGCAGAGACCTGCAGCTTGAGGTGCACCTCGCTGTCCGGAAGCTCGTTTATCTTCCGCGGAGTGAAGGGCTTCGTCTGCGCGAGAGAGCGCACGACGATGAGCCCGAGAAGCGTGAGCAGCCCGGCAAACGAGAGACGCGCCATTGTGTGTTTGGCAAAAGAAGCCCAAGATGCCCGTTTCGGTGGATGGAATGCGCTGGCATGTAAAGGCAGGACGGCGCTATCAGGAGGCGGAAGCCCAGATTTATGTCTCAACTTCGGACGCAGCTCATCTCGCTGGCCGTCCGGACGGTCAGCCGGCCGGCGGCAACACGGACACGCGATGGATTCCATGACGGTAGCGCAGGGACCCGGTGCAATCTGATGCAAGTCAACGGCAGTCGTGGACAATGAGCAGGACGCAGGGCTCGAGCCGCCGCTGCGACCGCAAGGGCATGCTGGCTGGTCAGCGGCCGCCTGCGGTCTGCTGCAGTGTCCCGATGCGCACCGGTCGGCTCGGGACTGCGCGGTGTGACCAGTCGGGAAGAGAGACGAGCCGGCGTCTCTATATTATGTGCGAGGACAAATGTTGTGAAGTCCAAGGATGAGGGCAGCCGGGATGTCTGCTGCTTCGGCGCGCGAGTCAGGAGGGGCGTTGCGGGGTGGCCAAGGCCGGAACGGGACAGCCGGTGTGGCACGGCGGCACGCGACCACGGACCGGCCCTTGGCTGGTGCGGTTCGAGTCGGGCTCGGCAAGCTAATGTTAATACGTGATAGTATAGTGATGTCGAGCTAGTTGGGGATTTGTTCTAGACCCGGGTGCTGGCTTCGGCGAGATTGAGAATGCGCTCTCCCTTGACCGGCGTACATGAGCCTATGCGACAACCTTTCAGCTGCCATCGCAACTAGACGCGCGCCGAGGGCATCGCAACGGGGTCATCAAAGATGCGCTGCGCAGTGCAACGCGAGTCTAATTGCCCCAATATCTCACACGCAGGGGCAAGCCGATCTGTGCGACCGCGTCGTGCAGTCGCAGCTCGTGCGCAACTTCAAGTCTTCTGACGGGCCATGCAACGATGCGACGCTCCTGCTTGGCGCGCTCGCGCACAAGACGGCCTCGCGTGGACTGGTCGGGCGCGAGAGGAACCTGGCTGGAGCTGGTGCCGCGGAGTTAGCTGTGCAAGTCGGGCCACTTGCGGAATTAGGTCCATGACAGCCAGTCTGAACACTTCCACGACTCGGCCGAGAAAGATGTACTGTATGTAGTACCTCGAGTGCTCGGCACCGAGCGTTGGTCGGTCATGGGGATCGTGAGCGAAGAGCTTGTTGGCCCGAGGCAGCTGTGACCACTGTCCTTGCCCTTGAGCAGACCGTTTGTTCGCCACGTGCTGTCCATATCACCACATCTCCGGCTCTGGTGATTTGGTCAAGAGACGAGATGTCATGCCACTGTCGTGGGTGATGCCACGGCTCCCGACGACGGCCATCATACGGTGCATGGTCGCAGGGTGTCGATGAGTCGTCTGAAATGTCAGTCGCGCGTGGCCAGCATCGGTCGCTCGGACAGATCAGCTGCACGTCGAAGCAGCGAGCTTCTCGACCAAGCCCGGAGGGCCGGTGCGGTGTTGGCTTGGTTGTTCAGAGCATTCATCGAGCATTGCGATTTGGACGAAGGACGGGAGCACACAAAATTGCCTTACAGGACCCCAGGCGGGGGGATGAGCGCACTAACGCCTCGCTCTAGTGTGGCGGTGCCCAGTGTTGGCGGTGCCTGCCGATCCGCTGTGGCTGGAGCGGCGCCCGCCCTCCCCACCTGCCGCGTCTGGCTTGTTTACTTTGCTCCAAATCTGGACGAGTAGGAACGGGCCGAACTGCCAGCTTCCTGACCTCCATCCTTGTCCCCGTCCGTACGTTGCTCTCGTCCTCACCCTCCACTCCTTCCATTGAACCGCGCTCGACATTTCGCGACGCACCAACAACCCGCATGCACCATTCTGCGAGCTCGTGTCCTTTTCCCTCGCACGCTACATAGATCTTCCAGCCGCATTGCTTTCGCACGACACATACTACACGCACGCGCGTGTCCAACCCCGTCCCTGTCGGCTCCAACCCTGCCGCATCGCGTCCCACGACGCGTGATCCGACAGCCATGGAGGCCGACACCGCCAGCAGATATCGCTCACGCATCCTACGGGAGATGAACGCGAACCGCGCAAACCCCTTCAACTCCCCGCCCTCGTCCACCGGCTCCCATGGCACCGTCAGCCCGACCATGTCGTCAGTCTTCTCCGACCCAGACGGCGAGTCGACGCGCCGTCTCAACGAGGACATTGCCAGGATCACCGCCTCCAAGAAGCTGCCTGTCAACTGGGAGGCTGCCCATCGCAAGTGGCCCGAGTTCTTCTCTCTGCCCAAAGCGCGAGACGCGACCCATGACGATGCCGACACGAGGCCGCTCGCCACGCTAGAGAACAAACGCCCGGCCGCTCTCAACGACGATTCGACTCAGGACGTCTGGGGCGCATCAAAGAAGACGCGTGCCGAGATGCAGCCGCGTGTCGACAACGAATCCGACCTCTCCTCCCTCATCTCCAAGTCCCCTGCTCACGCGCTGCCCCGTCATATGACGGCCGCCAACGGGAGGCACTCAAGCCCTTTGACCAAGGTCCACACGCGAAATCCATCAGACCACGCCATTCCCAGCCAGCGACGACAGTCCATTTCGGAGGTCCTGAATGGCTTGCGACAGACATCCCCCCCGCCCCGCGACGCGTCGAGGGACCGCCAGCGCGACAGTCACTCGCCCCTGCTCTCATCCGCCAAGTCAAGTCTGACCGCAGTCCCGCCCTCGCCCGACTCCATGGCTAGTCCCGGACACAACGCCTCGCACGTCCGGTCCTTCTTCATGCCCGACGTTTCGCATCTTGGTGATTTCGTCACGGGAACTCTCAAATTTAGCGGCTCCATGAAGAACGGAGTTCCAATCTTTGTCAAACACGGCAGGGTGCACGATCGGCACGAGCGCCCTTCTGCCGCTACACACGCCCAGGTCGACGGAATACAGGTTCCGGAAGATGAAGAAAAGATCTTCGTGTCTATGGATATGATCCGTGACGAGATCATCTCTCTCCAAGAGCACCACGATAAGGTCCAGGAATATGCTGAGAGCCTCCAGCGAGACGTTGAGAAACTTGAGGGGCAGCTCAGGTCCTCCAAGGGCTCTGGCGGTGCAGGCTATGCAGACGACAAGCTCGTGGCCCGAAAAAATCGTAAGTGGTCTGTCCATGTGCGTACGGGGTATGTAGCTGACCGCCGTGGCGACAGAGTTGGAAATAGAAGTTGCAACATTACAGACGCGCTTGGAGCAGGCGACGCGAAAGTATAGCGACAAGGAGTTTGAGAACGTCTCTCTTGCTCACGAGCGGGATCGCGCCGTCAGCAGACTGCAGAGCGCCTGTGACGACATCAGCAAGCTCACGCGCAAGTTGAGCCACAGGGAAAAGGCGCTGGAGTCTTCGCATAAGCAGCAAGAGACGACCGACCAGATGCGGCAAGACAATGACACGCTGCGCCGCGATCTCATCTCTCTGAAGCATGGACGCGACGCGCTTGAGCTCGAAAACTCGTCGCTGCGGACGGACAACGAGGTCCTGCGCCAGAAGCAAACGGAACTGGGGGACGAGATTGAGTCTCTCCGATCGCACTATAAGAGCGTGCGACGCGAGGATGGCTCCCTCGTGAGCGAGAACAAGTCTCTTCGTGCCGACAATGAGTCTATGGCCGAGGAGATTGAAAGCCTGCGCGAAAACCTCGACGGAGCCCAGCACGAGCTTGACGCTGCCCGCGAGGAGATTGACACCTTGCGCCGGGAGAAGTCGACTCTGCAGGAGGACAACGAGAGCCTTGTTCGTCACAACGATAAGTATTTCAGCGAGAACAAGATGCTGCGCCGTGAGAACTCTGGCTTCGAGCGCAGCATTCATGACCTTCATGACGAGAACCTCAAGCTCAAAGACGAAGTTGAGCTGCTGAAGCAACAGCTCGACCACTGCCGCCCCATTCCCAAGGAGGACTTCTCCGCTCGCCTTGACGAGGAGACGGAAGAGAACATGACCTCGGCTTTTTTCGTTCCGGACATCACCATCAACACGAACGAATCGGGTCCTACGGAGGCGACGCAGACCAAGGATCTTCCCGCCCAGCCTGAGCTCACATCACAGAGCTACAAGACGCTAACAACCCACGTTGACGCAAAGTCGACTCGGGACACGGCGCACGAGACGAAGAAGGCCAAGAGCAAGTCCAAACAGACCGTCCAAGGTCAGAAGGTTGCATTCTCCATTCCCGAAGCCACGACCCAGAGCGACAGGAATGTGGCAAACAAGAGCAAGCGCCGCAGTCGCTCCAACTCGGCGCAACAGAGTCAAAAGGGCCTGGTTATAGACCCATTCAACGACGTGGAGGACACAACCGGTCTGCAATCGATCGACAACGCGACCGAGGACCAAGCCATCTCCCTGAACCTATCTCTGAGGAACCAGCGCCAGTCGCAATCGCAGGAACAGACCAGCCAAGCCCAGAAAGTCCGTCGGACATCACAGACGTCGCAAAAAATCATTTTGGAAACTGATTTGGTGGCTCAGCATACGAAGCAGCTCAACCACGACACTTGCCCGGCGCTCTCTAAGGACGCACGCCGCGTGCTGGATGGACTGTGTGAACACAACTGCCGCAACTGCATAGTATGCACTCGAATCACGTCGCACCGCGGTGTCATCTCGTCGACCGAAGTCGCGTCGGGCAAGAAGCGAGTCACCGTCCCCCGTCCAGTTCCCGTTACCGACCGCGATCTGACGGCAGACGATCCGACAATGCGACCCTCGCAATCTCCGGGGCACGCGCTAGCCCTTGTGATCAAGGGCCTCGAGGATGAATCCCGCCACATGCAGCTTGAGCTTTCTCGCCTGCAGGCAGCGTACAGCGGTTCCGACAAAGCCATCGGCCGACGGGACAGAGTCGCTCTTGCTGAGGATATCCGGATGCTGCTGAAGCGCCTCGAGGTCAAGAATGACCAGATTTACAGTCTGTACGATGTCCTGGAGGGACAAAAGGCGGCTGGGCAAGCGATGACCGAGGAGGAGATAGAGATGACGGTGCTCAACATCACCGGCATGACTGTTCGGGATGTGACCAGCAACAGCGAGAACTTTACCTGGGAAGGCATCCACGACGCTGCCTAGCTACTGCGCGCTGGCATTATTGCGATGATCGAAAATGGCCTACAATTTCATCGGAGGAGCATGGACATCAGCGCATGGCGTTCTTGAGTTAGGATTAGCTCACACTCGTCCGCCGTTGCGAGAGACGGCGTGACATCGAGGCTTGGGTGGTGGGTGCGCGGTAGCAACAAGGTGCGTGCTCGCTGCCACGCTCAATCTGCATCTTCGGCGCGCGTTTGAGGAATTTTGGTCGACGGGGTACGACGACATAGACCGTCGTGCTGGCCTCGGCCATGTCGGATTCTTGTATTATAACTTAGGGACGCTCGTCTTTTCTATTGCATTGGGTTTGAGGCTGCGCTCGGGGTCTGGGGTCTAGGGTTAGGGTCCTGGATAGGAATGATTGAAATGATGACTTTGTCTGCATTCGCATGATACGCTTTCACATTTGATTACACATTGCAAGTATCTAGCAATCCTGAATTCAGCGGATGGAAACATGTCTGGTATTTGACTAGGCGGTTCCCGTGCCTGCAGTGAATTATGCAATGCGTAAAAAGATGTCTACTCATCATCCTCTGACCCCTCGTCATCCTCGTCCTCGTCTTCATCCTCATCCACCCCTTCGTCTTCCTCGCCCTCGAGGTCCACGTCCATCTCATCCTCGCTATCATCCTGTGCATCATCGGCCATCTCCTCCTCCCTCCTCTTCCTGTCATCATCCTTGCGGGCCTCCTCGAGCATCTTGGCCCTCTCAGCCCTGGCCTTGCGCTGGCCGACGACGTAGGCGCCGAGCGGCGTCTTGGCCACGTCAAAGTCGCGCAGGAAAGCATCGACCTGGGCGCGGTCCTTGGGCGCAAAGTCGACCTTTGCGCGGCGCTCCTCGACGAACTTGGCGTTGGCCTCGAGCTTCTGCACGAGGAGGACGAGCTGGGAGACGAGCTTGGCGTTGCGGTTGCCCTGGGACTTGGAGCGGGCCTGCTTGATCCAGCGCTTGAGCTGGATGACGACGGGGAGGGCGAGCTCGGGGAAGGCGATGGAGGTGCTCCACAGGAGCATGTACTCGCTGAGGAGCTCGACGACCTGCTCGCCGACGCCGTCCTGGTAGACGCGCGTGCGCAGGTACGACTTGGGCGCCTTGTAGGCGACGGAGAAGTCAAAGGCCTTGAGGGTGGTGGCCTTGGGCGGCTTCTTCATCTCGGCTGAGGAGAGGACCTCGAGGAGGGGCGACGCGAGAGGGATGTAGGTGCCCGTGGCGCGGGACGTGCGCAGCAGCGACCGTACGAGGTGAAAGCGCAGGGGGAAGTACAGGGAGGTGGGGATGAGTCGCATGGCGCCGAGGGTCACCTGGACGAGCGGGTAGATGAGGAGCTTGAGCTGGCTCTCCTTGCCGGCCTCGGCCTCCTTGAGCGGGCTGCAGTGCTCGGCGAGCACGCACGACCAAAAGTCGAGCGAGTGGGTGAACTGCCAGTTGTAGACCATGCGGAACGAGTCGTTCTTGTTGTGGACGATGCTGTTGCGCAGGTGGATGGCGAGCTGGCGGATGAAGGTGAAGGCGGTGGTGTAGCCGACGGCCGGGTCGATGCCCCAGAGCTCGGCGGCCGAGTTCTTCATCAGGTTGATGCCCTGGATCGTGTTGTGGTTGGTGACGCGGCAGCCCTGAACGAGGCCCTGGTACGTGGCCTTGAGGACCGTCTCGCGGATGCCCTTGTCGCCGATGACGACGAGCCGCCGCAGGACGAGGAAGGCGGTGATCTTGGTCGTCTCGGTGCTGGCGGGCTGCGCCCAGAAGTTGACGACTGACTTGGCCAGCGCCCGGATGAGCTTCTTGAAAGAGAGCAGGTACGGCAGGATGGGGGTGATGGACGACAGCGTGAGTTTGAGCGTCTTGTCGTCGGAGAGGGTGCTGAGGAGGTGCATGATGGAGGACGTGTACGACTTGAGCAGCAGCGACAGCGTCTTGAACTTCTTGGTCTCCGTCTGCACGTAGACCTTGCCGGACGCGGACTCCTTCACGGGGAGGTGGTGGTTCATAACCACGGGGATCTCCTTGAGCGCCAGGACGAGAACGTCGTTGAAGACTTCGGGGCTGTTGATGACCCATCGCTGCGGCGCATCCTCCTCGTCCTCCTCGTTGAGGTGAGCGGCGACGCGGAACGCAAGCACGACTTGCCTGGCGGCTCTGAGGGATTGCTTCTCCGCCATGGCTTTCCGCCAAGAGGCGACGGTGGCGCGGGTCAGCTCGTTGGCCTGCGCGGGCTCCTCTTCCTCCTCGGCGGCCGCCTTGGCCTTCTTCCGCTTCTTCTTGGGCTGCTCCTCCTCTTCTGCCGACTCCTCGCCCGCGCTGAGTTCGTCCACCTCGGCCAGGTCGGCGTTGTCGTCAAAGTCGAGCGCGTCGGGGTCGTTCTCCTTGAGGAACTTGTAGAACTCGGGGTCCTTTTCGGCGAGGTCGTCCATGGCCTTTTGGCTCATGCCGTGGCCGTCCGTTGCGGCGTCCTCCTCCTCCTCATCCTCGCTATCGCTGACGGCCACGGGCTGCGCGCCAACGGAGTCGTCCGAGTCGCTACCATCATCGCCATCCTTCTTGGGGTCGCTGCGCTTCCGCTTGCCGAGCTTGGCCTTGGCGGCAGCCTTGTCGTCGATGATGTCCTCGAAGCCGCCGGAGAAGAAGTCGTCGACGCTCATCTCGGTCGACTTCTTGCCCTTGACGCCGTTGGGCTTCTTGGGCGCCTCGCCGCCCTCCTCGCCGCCGTCCTTGCCGCCCTTGAAGAAGTCGGCATCCTTTGCGCGCCGGGCCTTCTTCTTGTCCTGGATCTGATGGCGCTGCTTGACCTTTGCGTTGGCCTTTCTCTTGTCGAGCACGCCCTTGAGGTGCTTCTTCTCGAACTTCTTGGTCGCCTTGAGGTTCTTCTTTCCGGGGGCCATGGCGGGCGACTTTTCACCACGGCGTCGTGCGTGGTGGTTGAATTGGAGTCGGCGCCTTTGGTTGTTGCGGTGGTAGAGAGGAACCAGCAGCCGGCAGCCTGCCTTCCTTCGCGAGCCAATGCGACCCGTCGTCCGTCTCCCAAAAATTTTCGAGCCGGGGCCATTATCGATAAAGGGTCCCAGCCGAAGTGGAGGTCCGCGGACGGGCGGTGAGAAATTCTGCCGTTGCCTCGAGCAGGCCCCGCCACTTCCTCCATTCCCCTCCACTCCCCCAGCGCTCCAGCGGGCTCCAGCACTCCTCAACCCGCTGTCGCGTCGTCACCGGAGACCTCACGTCGCGATTGCGTGTCACCGTCGAGCTCGATGCAGCTCCGCAACCCGCCACCATGATGCCCAGACAAGGCTATGCGCCCACGCCGCATAGCTATGTTCCCAACACGAGCCTCTCAGCAACCATAAACCTCGACGAGGTGCGCGTTCCCCCGTCCGTCCGTCGACGTCCGCCCTGCCGAGCTCCCTCTGACACCCCGCCTCCCACAGGAAGTGAAGCTCACCAACACCCGAGCCGAGCGCGACCTGCAAGACTCCCTCGCGGAGCTCTTCAGCATCATCGTCACGCTCGACGAGCTCGAAAAGGCCTTCCTCAAAGATGCCATCCCCGAGGCCGAGTACACGGAGATTTGCGAGCGCTCGCTGCGCCAGTACAAGGCGCTGCTGGCCGACGAGGGCATAGCGCGCGAGTTTGAGGGCCTGGAGGAGTTCAAGGCCAAGTGGGATGTGCATCGCACCATTCATGACTCTTCTTTGAAGCATGCGCTGACGAGAATCTCGCTGCTTCCAGCTCGAGGCCCCCCGCGCGACCGAGCGCCTCCGCGTCGGCATGCCCTCCACCACCGTCACGGCCTCGTCCTTCTCCGCGGCGCCGTCCGCCGCCGCCGCCGCCGCCAACAACACGAGCGGCGTGCTGATCCTCGAGGCGACGCAAGAGTTCATCACCTTCCTCGACGCCGTCAAGCTCGGCATGCTGTCCAAGGACCAGCTCCACCCGCTCCTCTCCGACGTGATCCAGTCGGTCAACCGCGTCACCGACCAGGACTTTGACAGCCGCGGCAAGATTGTCCAGTGGCTCATCACCCTCAACCAGATGCGCGCCACCGAGGAGCTGAGCGAGCAGCAGGCGCGCGAGCTCGAGATGGACATTCAGCAGGCGTACCAGGGGTTCAGGCGGACCTTGACGTGAATTGTCATGTTTCTTTTCGTGGTATGGGCATACGTATGCATGCGTGAAGCGAATTGTGTTTGGTTTGAGATTCTGCATGTCATATTATGGATAACGAACACTCTATCCGACAAGCATGTAATCAGCGATGAGTGATGAATGGTATGGTGGACTTGGCCTTACACGTCACCACATGCGATGATCCACCTTGTAGCCTCATGATGAAATAGCTTTCTATACACTGCCATGAACAACCCAATGCGCCTCATTGACATCATCAAACCTGTGACGCCGCTGTCCCCAAGCCGCCGTCATACCAAAAACGTCCAGAAGCTGGGATACACAAACTCCTCCTCGAATATCCTCCTCACCTGCTCCAGCACGAACCTCTCCACCTTGCCCACGTTCTTAAGGCTCTGCTTCCCGCCGTCGCGCTCGCCAATCTCGCTCTCCACCCTAATCTCCTGCAGCAGACCGCCGACCCGGCCCTTGTGCTGCTGCGGTCCTTGCTGTTGCTGCTTCCCTTCCGCACTGCCGCCTGGCCCTCGCGGAACAGCGGCAGCAGCGGCAGAAGCACTGCCGTTCGCGTTGCCGTTGTCGCCCTCGTCCTCGTCAGTGTCCGGCCCGATGGCGGCGATGGCGTCCTCGGGGCTCAGGAAGCAAAAGTGCACGCGCTTGCGAATCTTGGCCAGCACGCCCACGCCGTCAAACGACAGGCCCGTAATGTTGAGCTTGAGCGGGATCCCCACGAAGCTCGGCATCGGGTAGTCGAGCAGGATCTCGGCCGTCAGGTTGAGCCGCACGTCGCCCGCGTAGCGGATCCGGAACACGGCCTGCACGTCCTCGACGCGCGGCTCCCTCCTCGGCCGCGCCCGCTGCGGTTCTTCGCCTTGCGCCTGCGCCTCCGCCGTAGCAGAAGCAGCGTTGCCACGCTGTCCATTGCCGTTGCGAGTGCCATCACCGTCATCGTCGTCGATGATGGCCGACTCGCTAAAGTGCGCCGCGTCGCGCGTCGGCGGGCGAGACGTGCTCACCGATGTGGGCGCCAGGGTCGACACGCTTGACTTTTCGCGCAGGGCCTGCGCGGCAGGGTGGTCCGGGTGCTCGAGGAAGTTGTCCACCGAGGAGAGCACGCTGCTCTGCGACGGGTGCCGCCCGTGGTGCTGATGGTACCCGCCCGCGCCGAACCCATGAGCCGCCGCATCATTGCCGTCGTAGTCATCGTCGTAGTACGCGAGCGCCGGCGAGAGAGTGCCGCTGCCGCCGCCCATCCAGCCCCCGTTGCCGCGCGGCTGCGCGCCCGCCACCGCAGCGAGCGGCGTGTGTGTCCCCGTCCCGAGGTGGCCCTGGAAGTAATTCCTACCCGGCCCGCCGAGGATCCCCGGCGTCGACGTGCCCAGGAACGGACTCCCCATGTCGAACTCGCCCCTCAGCCCAGTAGTGCGCAGCCCGCCCGGCGGTCTACTCTTCCTGCCGCCTCCCTGCGTCGAAGCGGCCGCCGCAGCCGCAGCAACGGCCGCCGCCGCCGACAGCGCATCCTGCTGCTGCTCGTCCCCTTCATCGTCATGGTCCTCATCGTCTTCGCTCTCGTCGTCATCCAGCTCGTGCTCGTAAAAGTCCGGCAGCGGGTCCGTCATGTCCTTGAGCTCCAGCTCGGGCGGGATCTTGCCAAAGTCGAAGCCATGGACGTTGACGCTGCGGATGAAGCGCGGCAGCGGCACCGTCTGGAACTTGTCGTGGATGAAGGTGCGGATGCGCTCCGCGAGGGCGTCGCCGTCGGGTCCGCTCGTCAGCGTCTCCCAGTTGAGGTCGACGGACATGGCATTTGTGAGGCTGTGGTGAGAGGTGTCATGAAGTTCAGGTGGTGGATTGTGAGGTTGGGTTGTCTGCGCGCTTCTGCGACGTGCGGCCTCGCTTTTAGTGGGGTAGCGCCTCCCCGAGGTCCTGCTCCGCGCCGCCTCACCAGCCATCATGAGGTGTACCGTACAACGGGACAGCACGTGAATGATTGATCACACGAAGTCACCAAAGCTACCTAGTGGTGCGGCAAAGCTACGTGGGTTCTCGTCAAGGCCGTGTCTTTTCCATTTCTCCCTATCGTTTGCGCCGTCGCTATTGTGCCTACCAATGTCAAATCCAGCCGTCATAAAACGCATAAGCCTTCCGAACGCTGCGCCATGTGCATGCATTCGTCCACCTCCCCCTTTACCCATTTATACCTCCAGGTTACTGTGCCTGAGCCTCAGGCTCTTCAAATCGTGCTCGCCCGTAGTAGACGGGGTACTGCGGGTTGTTGAAAAGATGCCAACAGTTGGGCGACTGCAGGATGTATCTGCAAGTCAAGTCAGTAACCAAATCCATTTTACTCGTCGTTTGAGGGCAACATACCGCGCCATTGCCTCGCGGAATCGCGACTTATACTCCTTGGGACTCGTCACCGTCGGCCTGTTGCGGCCGCCTCCTGCGAAGCCGCGGTCCTTGATCCAGCTCTCCAGCTTCTTGTCCCAAGTGTATGTTCTAATGCAGTCAATGATGCCAACCACCAACTCCTTTCTCTCCTCGTCCACGGCAATCATGAGAGAGTAGTCCATCACGTTCTGCCGCGCGAGGAAGAGCGTGTCATTCCACACCGACGCTCTAAGAAGTTTCTTGGAATGCTCTCTCGCGAACAGCGGAGACTCGTAAATGTACTCGACCATATTCTCGTCCAGTAGCACCTCATTCTGCTCTCCTGTGGACTGGATCTTGCGGTTGCGCATAGACCCCTTGAGATCGAAGATTCGAGTTGGCGATCGATCGTAGAACAGGTTTTCCGTGATGAGAAGGTCGAGCTTTGTGTCAGTTCCGGTCACGGGGTTCTTGATGATGACCTGGAAGAAGCCCAGCATTTTTGCAATGACCGAAGGCAGATCGTGGAACAGTGCCTCGGCCATTATGCTAAAGTATCCCGGGGCAAACCGCAGGAACGCCGACGTTTCAACCGGCGAAAGAGACTGCAACCATTAGCTGCCGAGAAAGAAATTGCTGTTTACGCGACGTAACTCACCTTGAGCACCAGCCGGTCGTCGAGAGTCTTTAAAAAGACTGACTTAGTCTTGCCACCCCTAGAATCCCACTTCAAGCAACGGGACAGAGACTCGATGATTCGCTCCGCCACACCACACTTGCGCCGCAAAGCGTCGAACTGCTCGGCGTAGAAGATCTTGCATGTCATGACGGCTGGTCCCTCCTTGAACTGATACTTCAGGTGCGTTCCGGTGACACGCAGCAGACTCATCTCCAGCTCCGTCTCATCCACGGCCATGTCGGCGCTGTCCGACACTGGCAACGACTTCGGCTCGACATCGCCTGGCGGTTCGCTCTCCCTCTGCATCGTCTGCTGAGCCTCGAGCCTGATTGTGCCGAGCTTGTCTTGGTAGTCGTCGCTGTTGAGGGCCAGTGCAATGACAGAGCTCGGCTCATCTTCTCGCACAATGATATCCGAGTCGACAAAGATGTGATCAGTCGGGTTGACGGGGTATTCGAGGGGTGGCCAGCCACTGGCGGATCTCTCTGCCCAGAAGTTGGTAAGGTACTTCATCAAGCTAGTCTTCTGATGCTTGGGCAGTTCCAAGGGTATCTCGGTGCTAGGCTCAAGCGCATCGGCAATCTCCTTGATATCAGGAAGAAACTCTTCCGGCACAGAAGCTTCGGCATCGCTTGTCGCGCCCTCGTCATCCGATACAGCCTGGCTCGTGTTCACATTGCTGGCCTCGTCGGGCTCTTCGGTCGCCTGCTGACTCCCTGGTTTCGAGTCATTCTCCACCGACGGCGGTGGCTCGGTCTGTGCTTCCGATCTAGGGACGTTAGGAGCAACTATAGGCGCGTTGCCCGTCTGTTTCGGCTCCGGCTGCGCTTCTGGAATAGTTTCAGTTGACGCAGAAGGTTCTTCAAAGGCCTCATTCACATCGTCGTAGACTTGCACAATGGCCTTGGTCGACGTCCTTGGGAGTCTCGCTCGAGGCTGTCGGAGGCTGGCCGCGCGTTCCTTGCGATCACGAATGCGCTCCTTTTCAAACTCGCGGCTGAGCTGCTCAAAGTGCCTCGCCAACGTCGAAACCTTGGACTCTCTCTTCTTGTGCACAAGTCTCGGGATTCCAGACGTCGTCCCCTTAGAGCGGTTCTTCAGGGCAGTCAGGCCGAGTCGATCAGAGAGCTTCTTATCCACCTTGATAGACCCTTCCGGATGCTGCTCAGTATGAGACTCTGCGACAACGGGCTTGATGTCCTTGCCACTCAGGGGCTTTGCGATTGCAGATGTCCCCCGGGGAAGTGGCCGCGCCGGATGCGATATGGCTCGAACCAAGGGCGGTGATATGTTCGACCCAGACTTTCGAGGCGGCCCGCGGTCAGGCACCGGCCTCGGAAGCTCACTGGTCCCCACGCCTCCTTCTAGGCTCCCTGCCGCCTGGAGGGCCTGTTCGCGGCGCATCTGGTCAACCCTCTCTGACAAGGACTGGCCTGACACTGAAGAGTCCGTTGGGGTGCGAGCCGTGCCGGCTGAGGATGCAGACGACTGAGAATCGCCTTCAGCGAGTTGAGGAGGACTCGGCGATTTGGAAAAGGCCTCGCTGCCAGAGGGAAGAGGGGACAGAGGTGTCGGAGGTGGCGCCCTGATGGCCGTTGGGGAGCCGGCAAGATCGAGGGGCTCGACTCGCTCAATGACACCCTCGGCAGGGATGTGAACCTTCCCATCGTCGTCAATGGTGGCTTTGCCCTCTCCTATCGTCTCAGCCGGTTTGGCAGACTCGGCACTTGCCTCCATGTTGATCTCGGTGTACTCGGTGGGCTGCGTGCTCTTGTCCTCCGGATCAGTGAACGTCTGGGATGGTCGCTCGTCGCTGTCCGTAGTCGACCCAGGCCCTTCCGTCGACGTCAGTGACTCTTTCGATTCGTTGTCTGCAAACATCTTCTTCAGTTGCATCATCGTCAACTGGCGCATGTCTTTGTCGCCAAGGAAGTCGGCCTCGAACTTTGCAAAGGCTTGGTCCCACTCGCCAGCCTTCTCCAGCATCTCGCGAATAAGGCTGTTGAACGGCACGACCTCGTAGTACTTTGAGTCGACGTATACCTGCTGCAGTTGACGGACCATGGCTGACTGTTCTTCCAAGGCCTTTTTCATCAGTTGATCGAGCTCGGCCTTGCATGATTCCGCCTTTTCAGGCAAGACGCTGTCGATCCGGATGCTCTTGAGCCTGGCCTTGACGGATCCCATGAATTTGTTCCAGCGCTCTTCCATCTTGGTGAAGATCTCATTCTTGAGCTTAAGGTCATTGACCACCTTCCACGTAATCCTGGCTCGAGGTACAACAATCTCAAGCAGATCGATCGGGTCCAAATGGATGCGGATGCGGGAGTCGCCCAGCCCAAAGTACCGGACGTGTTCTTGGTGGTGGTCGTGTGTGCAGTCAACCACGTCCTTCATCTTGAGACCGCGGCCCCAGTAAAGCAGCTCGAGATATTTGCCAAACGAGTACTTGAACGTTGTCTCCGACATGGCCGTCTCGTCAGAGTCCTTCTTGCAGAGCTTGCAATACGTCCACATCGTGATGCCATCGCCGAGATCCTTGCGCTTTGGGCTTCCGTTTGCCACGGTTTCGACGAATACGGTGATGCGATACTGGTCGTGCACATATGTCCGATGGTGCTCTCCCATTTTCTTATCGCAGCCGTTGGACTCGCAAACGTCCGTCTTGCCGTAGGCCAAATCTTCAATGTACTGGCCGAGGGTGCAGTCCGGATCCATCCCCGTGTACACGTGCTGCTCGTCATAGAAGTTGATGGCCAGCAAGTTGGGCTCGATGCAAGGTATTTTGGTTTCAGTGCAAATGACTGAGTACAGGACGACGATGTTCTGGTGTGAGTAAGGATCAAACAGGTCTAGATTGCCCTGGATGTACGTCTCCCATTGACGGGTCTGGGTCTGGTAGTTGAACAGGGCCTTGTCGTACTCGGCATCGTGCACTGCATGCAAGACTTCCATGATCTGTCGAGGTGCCTGTTGACCAATTTTCTCAACCATCTCGGGTTTGATGAGTTGAAACTTCTGCGGTCCAGATTTTTCCGAATCCTCTTCGACGGCATCTTGATCGCGCAGGCGTTTGAGATACAGAAGGCGTCTTTCCTGTTCACGTGCTCTCATCAAAAGGTATGGCTGCTTGAACTTGGTATAAGGCGATGCTGAGAGGATCTTCGTCTCGTACTTGGCGACCATGTCGCTGTAAAAGGTCGGCATGGGTACGTCGTCGGGTACTTGGCTGTCCTGCGAGGCGTGGCTGTGTTGCTCGTGCATGGGAATGAGCGTTGGCCTCTCAGGGGCAGTGTGGCCTGGTTGACTTGATTCGCCATCCTCGACACCACCCAGACTAGAGCTCTCAATTGTCACTTGCGACGGAGGCTCGCTCTCGCTGGACGGGTGGTTGATAACCATCGTCGGCCCGGCTTTGCTGCCATCCGTGGCACTGGCCGAGCTGAGGGATCTGAAACTGTCGTTGAGTGCTTGTACCGAGCTCGACATGGAGCTATCAGCGGCGTCGGGGGCTTCAACGGATTCATCCCGCAAGAGACTCGACTCCAGCTTCAGGTTGTAGACAACATAGACCATGAACTCCATGACAGTCTTCAACTTGCTCAGCAAGGTGCTGCTTGCGCCTCGCAAGGCGATGGTACAACCAAGCTCCGGCCGGCACCCAGACAGGAAGATGTATGACTTCTTCCGGCCAGGGTAGTCGTTGTTGACGAACGTTCTGACCTCAAAGGCTGAGCACTTGCCGACCCGCACTGGCAAAGCCAGCATATCCAAAGACTCAATGATCTCGGCCTCGGCACATCGGGCAACGGCCTCGATGACAGTGTCCTTAACGTTGTATGCCACGGAGATGTTGGCCTCTGACAGATACTGCAAGGCTATGCCGGAGACACCCTTTTGAGCCAGAAGCACGTGCGGTCTGAGATTTGTAATTCTCTGCACCACGACACGCAAAAACTCCTTTTCCTGCTCGATTACAGGCTGCAAGCTCATAAATTGCTGTTGGTGGCGCTGATATTCGATCGGAAAACTGACGAGCACGATTCTCGGGTTCATGATGCGGCGCGGCATGCTCTTGAGAGCAAGGTTCTTGGTGAAGACGACGCCCGACACGTAGGCCGTGTCCCCTGGCTTGCCGCCGGGAATCCGTTTTAGCTTGACGTAGTGCCTGATGTCCATGTCCTCTCCTTTGGAGATATCAGGTGTCACCTCGTCCGTCAGCTGCAACAGTATTGGGACGAGCGCCTTCTTCCACGCCGCAGGGTTAGGTATTTCCGCATCCGTTAGCAGCTGATGAAGCAGTTTGTCCACATGCTTCAGGCTGGACTGATTGAGCTCTTCTCTCGGTGCCTTTGGCCTCCTCCGCAGCGAGTCGCTCCTGGTTACCTGCGACTTCAACTGGCTCTGGTCGAGAGGGAAAAGCATCTCGGAGGAAGCCGACGGCCCCTTATACACCGCGGATTTTGGTCGAGGCGAGCCGAGGTGATGGACACTCCCGCTTACGTTGCTTAGATTCCGTCGTCTTGCTGACCTCCGGTGGCTCATGAGACTGAGGGGGCCGTTGTCATCGTATGGACCTCTGCTGACGTAGCTCATGCCGCTGATGCTCTTCTCTCCGTGCCGATGGCGATGCTTTCTGGCATTTACGTAGGGCGCGAAACCGCTCTTGTCGTTTTCGAAGCTTGACGGGTGCATTTCCGACGCGCCCATGGTCTGGAAAATGCTGTTTACTTGCTCATCCGCACTTGAGTCGTCCGACATGTAGTCGGCTAGCTCCGGGTCAATAATGTTGTCGTCGTGAAATGCAGGAAATTTTGGTCTTTTGGCGTTGTCATCAGCTATTCCCTTGCGAAAGGGTGCAGCTTCCTCTAGGGCAGGGGCCTTGAAGCGTCCAAGGAATCCATGCTTGGAGTGGTGTCTCTTGTGCCCCGCAGAGGATTGCGGCCGGCCTGCGGCTAATGACTTGAGGGAGCGAGACGAACCCGGTCGACTCAGCTGGGGCGCATCGATTTCCAAGATGGCAGAGGAGCGGTTTGCATCCTTGACACGACGCGTAGCCGGGATAGCCATCATGGGCGTCGATACCGGCCTCGAGTCCTCGGAGCCCTCTGATCCCAGTGTCGGGTCTTGACTCTTGGGCCGTAATTGACTCGTGCTACTGGAGCCTTTCGAGTGATTTGGGCCAAATATTTTAGGCATAAAGGAGCGCTCGTCTGCCGAGTCGTCGGATCCGCTGCCGTCGAACCGCCGGCTGATAACCTCGAGGCAGTTCTTGCACACTCTCAGGGATCCCTGCACGCCAAACTTCTCACCAGACACGACTGTCGTGCACTTGGAGTCGAAAATGCACCCACATGTGCGGCAGTGGTGCTTTCGCCGAAATGCTGTGAAGGGCGTCTGGCAGAGGAAACACTCTTTGACCGTGTCGTCCTTCATCCAAAACTCTTTGCTCAGCACCTGCCTCCGCATCTTGTCGAGCTGGGCATTCATCTGCTCGGATGCTCTCTCCTCACCCGCGACGGTTCCGGGAATGCGGAGGTTTCCGGACTGGCCCTTGTAGGCATGCGAGTCCTGGGTGAAGGAGTCGTGAAAAACAACGTTATGGGCGGACGTGATTATCGGGCTGGGTTCCGCGGTTCCGCGGTCGAGAGACGACTCTCTAGATCCTGGATACCTCGGCGACCTGGATCGACTGATTCTGTCAATGACGGCCGGCTTTCGCCGCACGCCATCCGGCGAGAGCAGCGAGGAGCTGTTGGATGGACTGCGGATGTGCCTCGTTTGAATGGTTGGCATGACGGGGGCGGCTGATTTGACAGGGCTCAAAGGCGAGTCGACACTGTCGTCAATACTAGAGGTGTCGTCCCGTCCGGCCCTCGGTGGAAGCTTGCCCTCCTTTGGGTCGTAGATGCTGGACGAGGAATCGGCCGGGGATATGCGCGCCTGCATTTCCACCTTGCTAAGGCTCCTCCGGCTGGATCCCGGCCCGCTGTCCTCGGTTCGAATAGTGCTGCGACTGGCATCTCTGTGCAAGGGGGCGGGAGCAGTGATCATGGGGTCGGCGGTGACGGCGCTGGTGGCCTTTGTCGGCAGGCTCTGGCGGCTGGAGCCGAATGACTTCTGGCCTGACATGAGACTGATGCTCGTCGCCTTGGACGACTGTGGCGCCTGCGCCGAGGTGAAGACGGCCGATGACACATCCGTCGTCGGGTTGGGTTGCGATGAAAGGGAGGTAATGGTCGCGGCGGTGTCACCGCGGTGCAGCGAAGATATGGACGGGCGCGAGGAATGACCGTCGACAGTCGATGTGCGCTTTGGAGCGGACTCGGCCGCCGATTCAGCGGTCTCTTTCGGGGCCGCCTTGGTCGGACTACCACCTCCGACGGCCTCCCGAAAGCGGCTATACAACCCGCTGAGGCCATGTTGGACAAGCTCACCGGCCGTGCCACGACTCTCCGAGGTAGGGATGCCTTCCGGGGGAGGAGCAAAGTCGTTGAAGGTCGTGAGGGAGTCGCAGCGGCTCGCCGACGTGTGTATCTGGTCGAGAGCCTGGGCAAGCTGCTCCTTGTCGATGGTGGAGCTGCCAGAAATGGAGGCGAAGGAACCGCGTCGGTTCCGAAAGCTGGTGGGCGAGCCGAGCGGATGGGAGGGAGGGTCATCCGGAGGCTTCGAGGTCGTACTGCTCGCCATTTTTGGGGCGGCGGTGCTGGGGCAAAGGATGCCCTCGGTCTTGTCGAGACGGCGGGAGGCGGTCGCGAAGAGTGCCCATGGGATGCGGCGGCGGCGGCGGCGCACGGCGTGTGTGTTTGCTACAGCGGGAGCTCAAAAGCGGGACACCAGGCACGACGCGGTCATGCTGCAGGACCAGAGACTCACGCCAAGCACCTTTCTGCAAGAGCGCAAGGACCGCCGGGTAGCGACAGAGCGGGAGGGAGGGGAACGCGGTCGGTCGGCGGGNCGGGAAGGTCGAGGAAAGCTCGGGGTAGCGAGGGCCAGAGACAGGCGGCCGGGCGTCGCAGCGGTGACGGTCGCACAGGATGGCGGCAAGCGATGACGATGAGACTCGACGTCGGTCGGGGAACACGAGCACTTCGTGGCGGCGACGCACGCGAGCAGGTAGCGCTGCGGTGTGTTGTGCGTCGGCGATGCAGCCAACGAAGCGTGTCGAGGATCACGCCGAGCAGGATGGATGTCAGGCATGCGCTGTCAAACGGCACCTGGAACAGGACGCGACGGCATGTCGTCAAGGGTCTGGGAGCGAGCGGGAGCTCGGGCGGGCAGTGGAGTCCAGCCAGCCCACTGGAAGGGGGGGGGGTAGCTCCAGAGCTGCCTGGAACTGGAAGTGGATGGTTGGATGTCCCGGTACTCCTGCCGCCTCTTCGGGTGGCGCAGACGCGGGCGCGCTGCAGGTGGCCCGCATGTCCAGATACTTTTTCCCTCTTGTTGATGTGCCTCTGCCCAGGCAGCCGGGCACAGGACGCACGGCACGCTGCGGGCGCGCCAGGCGGCACCTGAGTGATGGACTGCCCGCAATGGAGTGCCCTGCCTGATGAGGTGCCCCCGCAGCGGCTCAACTCCACGCCCACGCCCACTGAACGCGTTACGGAACCCGTCGTGCGACCAAAGGCTCAAGCCGCTCACTGCCCGTCCTGCTTGCACCTGCAGCGCTTGCCTGCACGAGCGACACACCCGCGACCACGAGCCATCACGGGTCCCCGCACCGCATGCAGTCCCCAGCGGCCGATGCAGATGCGACGGCCTGAGCCGATCGTCTCTCGGTGATGCCCTGGCCGCGCCCGTCGGCTGGCCAGCACTCGTCATGTCCTCCGTTGAGCGTATCGACAGGCTTCTGCGGCGCAGCAATGCCCTCGTCATACCCAAAGATCAGCAGCGACTGCTCGAGACAGAAGGGTCATGGACGCCGAAGCTGAGGAACGCTCCTGATGACCTCATCAACGTCCCTGACCATGTCATCAAGACCGTTGAGCAGGCCTACATCCGGGCCAGGCAGATGGGCCGCCATGATGAGCCTAACTCCAATGGAAACAAACGCCCATCAAGTGCGGATCTTCCGCCTCCCAAGCGGAACCCTACTCCAGAACCTCCAGCGCCGACAAACGGGGACCAGGGTTCATCACCCGTCGCGTCTCCCAAGAGCCAAATATGCGACAAGAGCCCGTCGCCCTGTCGTGATAGCGCGAGACACAGCCCGGCCGGCGCCCAACCTCCAACTCGTCGTGAGAGCCCCAGGCAGGCACCACGGATGCCTCCTCCTGCGGTCCCGGTACCGCGACCAGACATCTATGACATTCCTCCAGATTCCAGCGATAACGAGGATGATCTCGATGTCAACGTACCGCAAGCTGGGGAGCAGCAAGACGCCCGAGTCAACATGGCCGCAACTCATCGCCTCCTGCAAGCCACGCCATACCAAGATGCCACAGCAGACGTGATTGATACGCCGCCGTGCGCACAGCCCAGCCACTCAATCGTCCCAGAAACGCTTCTGAAAGAGCCCGGGCCTCAGCCTGAGACTGTGCGCCATGAAGACCGACAACATCGGCACAAGATGTACACACTCAACTCGAGCCCGATCAAACCTCTGGCTACAGCGGCGACATCGAGGCGGATGGCCACCACCAAGGCCTTTTTGGGAACAGTCGACGTCAGCAGCTCGTACTCCACGTCTTCCGGATCCGTGGTTCCGGCCACGCTCGCTAGCTCAACCCTGAATTCGGTACTAGCATCAGTCGAGTCGGGCGATGCCATCATGGGGACGAATGAACTAGAGGAGGCGGACGACTCGGACTCGGACGCGGCTCTGCCTGAACACGCACCAGAACTGCCTGGTGCCGCCGCATCGTCCCAGCCAGAGGTGTCACCACCGGCACTCCAGAATATCAACCCGTTCGGCAAATTTTCATCGACATATCCAGACTATGTAACACAATACCGAGGTAGCCTGTGGAGCTTCATCAGGGCTCTCATATGTCTCGAGTACCTCAAGAGTGAGAGGCTAATCAAGGAAAGCGGGTACGACGAGTTTATTCGAGCGTTCTCACACGGCTACTTGGAGTATGTGGCACGAGCAGGTCCCGGCCAGGAGCCTCTGCCCGCGATCGAATGGTTCAACATGCTGCCTGGGAGGCAGCTTTACAGCGCCATGGTCGTCAACGCCGGCAACCTGGATGCCATCATCAAGTCGTTTCCGCACGAGGTGTCGCGGGCACGAAGAATCATTCGAGGAGCTTCGGAGGAGGCTCCTCCGGCACGGAACTTGAAGAATACTAGAGAGCCTCGAACGTTAAGTTCTAAGGCATCAGAGCCACGCCCAGAACCAAGTCTGATACCCAGCAGCGAGGCCATGGACGTGGATTTGCCGGATCCTGTTCTTGGCCGGCGACCCCGACAACTTGAGGAACCGCCGGCTCCCGACTCATCTGAGCCGCCACTCCGGGTTGCTAGCCGGTCACAAGCAGCGGGGTCCGAACCAGCCGCGGAGCCGGCAACGCCGGGCACAGCACCGTCGAGCCGGGAACGGGCCCCGCGGTCATCTGGCTACTTTGCGAGGCTCAATGCCAAAGTATCAAAGAGTCGACAGCGAGCGTCCGAGGAACGCAAGGCGCGTGTTCAAAAGCATCTACGCAAGGAGGGGTCGAGCCGCCGCAGCTCCATCAGCAGCAGCGGTCGGACCAAATCACTGGACAAAAGCAAGAGCTGATTGGTCATGAGGGGAATCAGTCGTCATTGAGTGTTGGAGATCTTTCTAATACCGTATCCCCTAATGTTGGAGCGCAAGCCCGGGGGTGGAGAGTCGTTGCTGGAGCGAAAGACTGGTGGTGCATTGCCGTGCCTGGGCCTCATTCTAGTTATACTCGGGCTAGCATACCCCGGGATGTACCATATCCAATACAAGTACCTGAACCTCCTTGAGGAGTAATAACCATCTAAGCCAGCTCCGTTGCGTGTTCTGCGTGCGGCCGCCTGCCCGTTCTTCCTTTTATCGGGCGGCGCTGCCTTTTTGTTTTGCGTTCCTTGAAGTCCTTTTTGTGTTGTCCTGACCCTTTAAGCATAACGCGCGGTGCGTGCGTAATCGAAAGAGAAAACGTTGAGCCATCCATTCCATCATTCGTTCATTGAGCATTTTGGTACCGAAGGGCGCTTCACGGCTCGCCGGCGGCCGGGGCAGTTTCTCCATCCTTGGCTGCCTTGGCGGCGGCGGCGTCAGCCTCCTTCTTCTTCTGGCGGGCCTCCTCGTCGGGCGTCAGGGTGCGCAGCTGGAGGGCGTGGATGCCGTTCTCCTGGGCCATCTCGTCGCGCAGCAGGGCGTAGACCATGCGGTGGCGGGCGGGCTGCATCTTGGACTGGAAGGCGGTGGACGTGATGACTAGTCTATGGGCGCGTGTGCGTCAGCGACACGGGACCAAAAAGCCAATTCCGGTGCTTCATGTACGTAGGGAAGGTGAGGCAGTGGTTGAGTTACCTAAAGTGAGTCTCCTTGGAGGTGACGCCCTGCATGGCCTTGTGGTGTGAGTGCAGGTGCGAGTCATTGTAAATCTCGAGCGTCTGCGGGTTGAGCGCCGCCATGATCTGCTCACATTGGTGTATTAGCGGACGAAGGGGTCCCGGTTCCCACTCGCACCACCTCGACGCGCGGGCTCAGCTCACCTTGGCGCGAATGGCATCCTCCATGGGCGTGCTGGAGCTCATGGTCGAGAGCTGGCGTCCCACGCTCGAGAAGCCGAGGGCGTAGCGGCGGAACATGGAGGGTGGTCGGTCGGCTGGCTGTCTCTCTCACTCCCTCACTCTCACTCACTCACGCTTTGCTGGCTCACACGTGTCGTTGGTCCGGGCGGCTGGCGGCGGCGGCGGCGGCGGCGGTCAAGAGCTGGGGGCAGAGGACGAGCGAGCAGCAGGCCGCAAGCGACAGAGACGACACAACGGACTGATGGATGAGGGATTCGAGAAAGAAATAAAAAGAAGGGCCGGAGGAAGACCAGGCCGGAGAGAAGCACGCGGAGGGGCAGAGGAGAGATGGATGGAGGAGGAGGGGAAGAAGGCGGCCAAAAAGCAAAGCAAGAGGTGCGGTGCGGTGCGGTGCAGTGCAGTGCGATGGTGGTGGCCGCGAAGTCGGTGTCATGAATCAGAACCGACTGACCAAGGCCGGCCGGCTTTTGCAAGGACGAATATTTTTCGTCTGCTGTGGTTGGCTGGCTTCGGTGAAGTCGGTGTAGAAGCAGCGCCAGAGCTCAGGCAGCTCGACGAGAGCCGCAGCTGCAGCGTGCCGTGAACCACCCACTGAGGTGGTCGCCCCTGGGGCGGGGAAGCAGCGCCGCTGCAGGCCGAATGGATGGGACCTTGGGGGCGCCCAGGTGCCCTGTCAGCGGCGTCCAATGGGCGGCCGGAGTGGGCAATCCAGCGGTGACCGGGGGGACGGCGCCAGTGAGTGCTTGGGGAGGGGTGGATGGCCAGTAGGCACCCTGGAACGAATGTTTGCCAGGGGCCATGCTGGCTGGCTGAGGGTGGACTGTCTCTTTGGGCGACCGCCCCCAGCCAGGCACAGTGGAAAGAGGCACCTCCACCGCATCCCATCCCATGGATCGATTCATGGATGCACCCGACTCGGCTGCCGGCGTCAGGCACTGGGCGGCGCGCACGCGTTCCGGAACCGCCCCGAGGGTGCCGTGCAGAAGCAAAAATGCAGCTGACCCTGCCGTGACACCTTTGACACCGCCTGCCTGCCTGCGTCCATTGGATCGGCCCGCATCCCATTCAGGTTCGAGCAGCTCGCTTCACGCACGACCCAGGATGCCAGGGCCACGGTAGGCCAGGCACATAGCCGGTACCGGTGCTTCGGGGACCGTTCGATTCCCCTTATGGCCTTGCAGATGGGGGCCGGGGCCTTTCGTTTGGCGTCACGGTACAGTAGTAGGAAGATGAGCGACCCGTACCTGATCTGGTCATTGATGTCTGCACCGGCCTCGTCGACGGGCGGGGGTGATGCAGTAGCGGAGAAGACAGCCCGTCGGCGAGTGTGGGTTAGAGGGGAGTCCGGGGGACCGGCCGACGAGGGCGCGGAGAGCACGCTACTCTCCATCAGCCAGGGAGGGCCGGGCTGGCGAGGGCTCCGGCGGCGCGGCATCGCGGCGACGGCGGCCGGAGCGGCATGTCGTCGTGGAGGAGGTGGTGGTGATTACTCTCGGGGTGCCGCTGCTATTCTCAGCATACGGTCGCATCACGTCGGTACCTTGAGGCGAAGAGCTGCCCGAGTCGACGAGATACTACCCTACTGGGAGGCGCAACTCGAACGGCCAGACTGTCCAGTCGGATGTGGAGTGGCGGCGGCGATGGTGATGTTGGTGATGTTGGTGATGTTGGTGATGTTGGTGATGTTGGTGGTCTCGTTGCTCTCGTTGCTCTCGTTGCTGCTGTCTGATGTACTTACGGTGCTCCCGCTCTGGCCCAGGCCTGCGCACCGTCTCCGTGTGTCGTGGGCCGTGCTACATCTGTGCGACTAGTGCTGCTCATAAACATACAGCATCATGCCTTCGTCCGTCTTGCTACCAGACGACTTCAAAGCAAGTAGGTGTCCCCCTGTTAGCTTGAGTCCTCCATGAACATGGCAGGCGTGTGGGACAAACATACTCGAACGTAGGTGTGCGATTGGACACACTCCTACACAAATGGGTCGTCTGCTCGATACCGTAGCTTTTTGAGGAAAGGATGTGCCCGGCCTGTTATGACAAAGAAGGGTCAGGAAGACTGCAGGGAACCAGGCGACTCTAGCATTCTACCGCCTGGTGGCTGCAACAACGGATGTGAGGAGAGGCCAACAGCTCTTACTGTGATCTCTGCTGGTATCGAGGTTGGGGCATCAGGTACAACAAAAGTATTTACTAGGTAGGTATGTAGTAATGTACTCGAACCAGGAGCAGATGTGCTGCCCGTCTCTCGCAGCTGGACCACTTCTCAAGCCCTGCCAAGATCCTCAGAACCCCTATCCATCTCCGCCGTCGGCGGGCTTATGCCTCCGTAGACTCCTTCTCCCATGTGATTTGCTCCGAGGACTTGAGGTGAAGGATTTGTTCACTGAGAAAAAGCCGGAGCCCCCATTTAGATTGCCGTTCCTCCGACGGTAGGGCAATGGTGAAAACATTGACGTCCGGCTCCCGTCCCTCGGGGTCTCGTTCACGCGCCAGCTTGCGCCAGCACTCAAAGACCTTGTCTTTTGCCGTGAACCGCGACTGCCACGTGGTCATCCACGTTATCAACGGCGGCTTCGACTTGTCCTCTCTCATGTCGAACTCGAAGAGTGCGGCCGAGTCATCGCCGCAGTTCCATATCTCCAGGAGTTCGAGCCGGGGCATCAGCCTAGCGGCGACACACGCGGCGCGCAGGAGTTCGCGCTGAGGCTTACGCACCGAAGAGTCGCCCGGCTGGAGCTTGGAGCACGTCAGCGTCAACGCAGTGAGATCGGCCCATGGTGCCCGGGCCCGGGAAATGGGCGACGCCGCGTCCCATCTGTCCCGGAAGTATTCTTGGAAGAAACCCGCGGCGTCTGTGTTCCAGCTGATGGACAATTTTTCAAGACCGCGCGAGTGTCGCGCCAGTTGGAAACCCAGGGCAGACCTTCCCGACGAGGTATCAGACGGATGCAGAGCTGTGCTGGACTCTTCGACCAGGTAGAGTTCCTTGAGTGATTTGGGCAGCCCGTGTACATGGAGCAGCCGTTGAAACTCTATAAAGTCGACGTTAGCAACAAATACATGGCCTTGATATCAAAAAGTGATGCTGCGACTTGGCATAGTAGGGGCAGTCTTTTCGGCTGGCTGTCGTGACCTTGACATCCAGCATGATCGTGTCATGGTAGCATGCATACCTTGTCTGTACTCCGTCTGCTGGTCTGCGTAAAGTTCCATCCACTTCTCGAGACGGAGTTCGGTAATTTCTGCAAAGCTCTCGTGGAGAAGCCTGAACAAGACCCTGGGCGAGAACCCCCTGAACGTCGACCGCCGTACGGTAAAGCGCCTTACAAGAGGCACCACAGGCAATGTCCTTTTCCTAGACGAGCCTGGTCCGCACTGATGTGGAACGTTGGAAAAGTTGAAGTCTAGAGGCGTCGTCCCCAAGAGCCTGTCTCTGCCGCTTGGATTGCCGGAAGTACTCCCGGAAGGGTTTGGAATCGCATGGGACCCGTTTGTCCATCCGTGCGGCGGGTCGTGGAGAGTTGACAATTCGTCGTGGAGACGCACTATCTCGGCGTCATCCCGGATCAGGTTGTGCCAGTTTGTATAGGGACAGTGGTCTGCCAGACAGAGGGGTCGGAAGACATGCTCGTTGTCGCTCGGCGAGTGGACGCTCATTTCCAGCTCCAGGCCATACGGTATGCCCCGACTCGTTTGCGGCTCCTGTTCGCTATCCCAAGTCGAGAGGATCTTCAGCAGATTCCAAACCGCGTTTGTGAAAGTAATGCAGTTCCTTATTCAAGGTCAGTGAAAGGAATGTTTAAGGGATCCGGCGCGAGAGGAAACTCACTTCCGAATGGTCTTTGCGTCCTCGGCTTTCTGGCAGACCTTGCAATTGTACTTGTTGAGTCGGACCCGAAGCCAGAGGTGCCTGATGTACTCGAGCCTGTACTTCTTCGTCCCTCCAACAATGCTGCGGAACTTAGGAAGACACGACTGCGACAGGCAAAGCTTCTTAAACACCTCAGGTTCAAACTCGTCTTGCCATGACCGACACACGCTCGCACACTTGGCAAGTACGTGGTGTTCCGGGCGTCGTTCGCGGTCGTAGATGAGCTCTTCGAATATCTGAAGCTGGAGCTCCCGTGGGAGCTGGGACCAGAAAGGCATGGTGAAAGCTGGACTGCAAGTTCGGAGACTGGGGGGTGCCATTGATTCGGAGAAAAGACCGTCCCTTTATACAGGTTTGTTTTCTGCCTTTTCGGCTCGCGGCCCGGTGGCCTGGTCCGCCAGTGTGTTCAGGGCTTACCTACCATGGCCGGGGACGGTTTTCTTAGAGTTCGACTGTCAGAAACGTATGTCGCGTCTATACTTCACACCATGCGCGCCACTCTTCCGGTTCATGGCCAGGGGCCATGGAGTTAGCGAGTTGAGTTTATGGGCGAACTCTTGCGCGTTTGCAGAGCGCTGGCTAGTGTAAAGTCCACGGAGAGGCGCGCCGATACGCCGTCCACGTGTTACCACAGCTGCCAGGCGGGGTTGAACTGCCTGGGCACCCAAGTCGGAGGCATACAGTGACTTAGAACTAGGGATGACTTGCACAGATCATAATCGGCTGACTACAAGAGCAGGGCCCGAGCATAGCTGACTCGCCCAATGGCTGCTGGCCCATGTCTTGTCCAGCGTCTGTCCTTCGGCCCTGTCAGGGCTGCATGATCCGTCGTCAATATGGACTGAGGTCGGCGACGCTGGGTCCTGGAGCAAACGCAGTGTCCTCGGCTTGAGTCATGGGCGCGGTCTGCGTAGACATCGTTGATGGCCATGTGGACCAGGACACCATCGTGTCTTTCCGACTGTCCACGTAGAGTTCTTGAAACCTATTGCGCTACGTTCTTCAGCATTATGTCTACTAACTCGTCCGTGTCATCCGCCTCCCCTTCTAGCGCCACCGACGGCCCAGGCCGTCGAAAGGAAAGGCCTTCGAACTCAACGGGATAGAATCCTGCATATTCCCAGTCGATGATGGCGTTGACCTTCAACGTGCTCGGATCGACGATGACATTATGGGTAGAAAAGTCATTAGGGCAAAACACAAGATCCTCTGACGATTTCGGCCTCATCTTCCAGTTCGGGCGCGGTAGTTTGACCATGACACGATACGGTGGAATAACCTGCATCTGAGGTTAGATCGCCGAGGAGCACCCGCGTCAGGAATATCTAGACTTACGATGCCCGAAGGGCCGCCCCACGAGTCGGATTTCAAGGTCCTCAACGTCTGCAAGTATCCCTCTAGCTCTCTCTCGACTATTTGCCTCTCATTGGCATTGAGCTCGTTCATAGTCACCCCATCGACGTATTCCAGAACGAGGTATGCGGCTTCATCGTCCTGAAAACAAGCATGAAGCTTGGGGACTGGGATGCTTGTCTTTTCGGCGATGAACTGCATTGCGGCAGCTTCATTCAAGATTCGCTCCGCTCCGAAGCGGGGTACCACGAGTGTACCAGTGAAAGGGTTGATCTGCCATTCTGCCGGGCGGAGGCTGCGCTTGATCCAGGTGTGGCCGACCTTGAAGTATTTGCGCTCAGTAGTTAGTCCGACGCAGTCTGCTTCACGTTTGGCGTTGAGCATTTGGTTTGTGACTGGTGCCATCGCGAAGAACCACAGCCACGTTTGATGAGTCCTGTCAGTTCGGGGACGAGGCCGGGGTTGGGGCCTAGCAAGTCTTATTTGGACGAGTCGGGCACGTTCCTTTTCCTTGCCGACAAGTGGTGACTCAGACAGTGCCCGACTTCATAAACGTCGGGCAGACTTACTATAGAAGATGAAGAAAGCAGACCCTCCCACTGTACGAAGCCAGAGGGGGCTGTAATCCCTTCTATCCGCACGCGCGCGCACACCGACAGGGCGGATCCAATGGGGGAAATGCCATGCCACGCCATGTTGTGCCATGCCGTGGCATGATCCGGCGCGATGAAACTCCCTGCCAAAATGAGGTGGCCATCCGGAAGAGGCTTGGCCACAACAGTCGCTCTCACGCATCTTGTGATCTTGCAGCCCGATCACCAGCCAATAATTGCTAGGCGCTGTGGCTAACTTTAGCTCCTAACTCGTGCCGCGGTCGCTGTCGCGGTCTTTCGTTCAAGCCCAACTTACACATAGCCAATCCGGGTACCGTAGACCGCTCAGGGCTAACGACGCTGCAGCAACACACTGTCGAGCTGAGCCCCCGTACCGTCGTGGTTCTGTCTGGGCCAGCGTCTGGCAGGTTTGCTGACATTGAGACGAGTCGGATGTGTCGAATTGACGGGTCTAATTGGGGGACTGGTTGGTGAAGTTTTGATAAGGACTTCTTCTCGTCGAGTACCGTCTCGCTGTCCGGGCATTAGAACATCAGAAGCGACCGTACCGCCGCGCGAGACCCCAAGTAGAGTACGTGCTCTCATCTAAGTTCGATAGAGGTTAGCGAGATGCATCAAAAAGACAACTCAGTTACGTACCTCGAGCGCCGCTGATGCCGAGCTGGCGACCGACGTTGGCGTACCCCTCGCTCTGGACTGCCATGTCCATCCGTACGCGAGACGCGACGTCCGGGTCGCCCTCCCACGTACTACGGCACATCGGACAAGTGACGGTGCCATGCGCCTTGGTCGCGGCCCACATCTGGAAACACTTTTGGTGGATGTTCTGCCCGCACGCAGCACGGCACCAGACGACAGATTCGGAGCTGTCGGCGTCGAGGTCGCAATAGCAGATGGGGCAGTCCCCTTCAACTGGCTTGCGCTTGCCAGCAGTAGTGCTTCCGGAAGCATCCCTGTCAGGTTCGGATGCGAAGATGGTGCAGAGCTCGGTGCTGAGCAACGCGGTCTGGTAGACGAGATCAAAGGGGGCGTGCAGAACACGGGCCAGGATCTATATGGACACATGTTAGACCACGCTGATACTGGCGACGGTGGTAGTGACAATGGAGAGTAAAGGCGTACATATAAGACGTGCTTGCACTGGTTGCCCTTGCGGGCGTGAGGGCAGTTGCACTGTGGCTGCCGGCCGATATGGACGGTGTAGACATTGCCAGTCGACCCAGTCATCTCAAATGTCTCCTCCGGGCATTCGACTGTTCCGGTAGGCGTCCGCTTCAACACATAGAAGCGCTGACCGAGAGCTCTCTCATAGACGGGGTAGAAGGCCTGTGGTGCCTTTGGGCGAAACTTCCGAGCCCGCTTCTCCGCTGTGGGTGACGATTCCGTCTCCGCCTTTCGCTTCCGGCTGGGTGATTTGGTCGCCTGCTGTAATGGCTTTGTAGATGACTCCTTCGATGAAGTGAATGGTGCCGTTCTCGTATTCTGAATCTTTGCGGAGGGCTTGCGTGGTGTGGATGGCGGCAGGTCATCACCCAGGATAATTGGATTGCTGGCTGATCCCTTTGCTCCCTTCACAATACCTGTAGAGGGAATATTGCGCCGAGAATTCCGCTCTGTGCCTTGCCGCACGGTTCCGATGGCTGGCGGCGCCATGTTGATGTCCAGAGCGCGTGACGACCTGAGTGGGTGACCGGCTTCGCACGGTTGATTGGGTTGTTGAGTACTTAAAGCTTCAATCAGCCCGCGGAGATGGGATTGATCCAAAGCATGGCTTTGCACGAGAACGCTTTCTGCAACTCTCGATGTCGAAATGTGACCACGAACGCCAGCGTGAACAAAGTACGTACGGCTAGCTGGCACGATGAGCGCTGCACTTACAGTGGCGACTCGCAGTTGGGGAAAGTGAGTGACGCTCCAGTGCGCCAGTCGTCACGACCGACCCCACTTTGTGGTCCCTGAATCTCACCGCCTGCCCTTCTTGTCCACATTCTCAAGTCCACGCCAGTGCACTCACGCCCCACCACGGCAGTTCAGACTTGCGCCGGATGAGTCTCTAAGTTCTTTATGCCCTCCTCAACACCATCTCGTCCCATGCCCGCGAGAGAGGCCAATCGCGTGCCCTCGTAGCACCAGCAAGATGATGAGCGACCAGGACATCGAGCGCCTCGCGCATCCCGAGTTTTGGGACGAGCGGTACGCCACCGCCGAGGACTCGGCGCCGACGCACGAGTGGTTCCGCACCTTTGCCGAGCTGCTGCCCTTTCTCCAGCCCAAGCTCTTCAATGCGCGCCCACCGGCGACGAATCCCAAGATTCTCCACCTAGGTTCTGGAGACAGTGTGCGTTTACCCTGGTGCTCGACCTTCTCCATCCTGGTCTTGCTGTGGTGTCTCTCTGCAGGACAAGAGAGGCAGTATCTTTACTTGCATGTAGTAGTCCTGTCGTTGGCTGACAGGCTTGTTGAGGACTAGACCCTGCCGCGGGACCTCGCAGAACGCGGGTACGCGGACCAGCTCTGCGTCGACTTCTCCAAGGTAGTCGTCGACCTCATGTCCCAGCGACACGCCGACGTCCCCGGCATCCGGTGGCAGCTCATGGACGTCTGCAACATGGACGACGTACCCGCGGGCTCCATCGACGTGGCCTTCGACAAGGGCACCCTCGACGCCATGATCCACGGCAGCCCGTGGAGTCCCCCGCAGGACGTGGTCGAGCACACGGCAGCGTACATCCAAGAGGTACGTGTCCGCGTCGAACTCTGTTGCAAAACTGCCCGCTATTTTCAGCTGCAGCACCAAAGGCCACGGAGGTCGCTAATAGAGGGCTCGACAGGTATATCGCGTGCTCAAGGATGATGGCGTCTTCTTGTACGTCACGTACCGTCCGCAACACTTCATTATGCCGCGGCTCAACTGCCCGGGCGTGGACTGGGACATTGAAGTCGTGGTATTGGGGGGCGAGGCCAGCTTACCCTACCATGGCTTCGTTGTGAAGAAGAAGAAGCAACCCACGCTGGCGTAGGAGCTTACAGAATCTGATGCTGCGCCATAAACCTCCCAAAAAAGCCCAGCGGCTCTGGTGCCAGTTACATGGACCCGGACACATTGCCGACATCCGGGCCGGCCGCGCTCGTGTGAACCAGATGATGAGGGTTGTCACGACTGGGTGTCGTGCGAAGATTCGTCCGAAAGTTTCTCAACGCCAATTCAGGCCGGAGGCAAAGATACAAAATTGGGTTGGGGCGCGAGTCTCCGAGCTGGACATGGCGGCCCCGCGGTTGCTATGAGACAAAACGAAACAGATCGCGGAGAATAGACGCACTACCCTAGACTCAGGGGCTTTGCTACAGGTTCTTTCTTCCCATACGAAGCACAAGTCCAATTCATTCATAAAAGGAGTTTTTAGGGGTCAAATAGACACGAGGCAATCACAATTATGTTTGCATCTCAGGTCCAAAGCTTGAACATCAACCAGGCTGTCTTCATTCGGCGCTTTTGCTCGCTGTCTCTATATAGCTCCGCTAGAGTCATCGACAGCTGCCACGTCCCCTGTCCTTTCCTCCCTCCCTTACTCGATGCTATTCCAAAGCAACCAAACGCCGAGGCGGGGTCTCCGCGGGAATATGCCCTGTTTCCTTGCTCCCCAAAAAGGTGCCATGTCCCTCGAGACATGGCCCTCCCCACCAACCCAACCAATGACGCCCCTTATATTCAAGCACAAATGAAAAAGTGGTAGCAAACGAAGAATGTCGTTAAGAAGTTACAAGCCCCGTCATGCTTGGTTGTGACGGGATGACGAGGATGAAGAAACGCCGAGTCTATGCGTCGGCTGTCGACTTGTGTGTATGCGTAGGTTGTTTGAGAGTATTAGAGACCCATGGCAAAGAAGCCGTGCCGCGAGCAATGGTCGACGTGATGCGTGTCGTCCCTTGTCCTCGGTGGTCATGGTGGTGTGGCCGTGTAGAGTCGTGTGTTAATCATGAAAAGGGAGCACTCCAGGCTGCAGCTGGTTTAGTGCTGGTCGGGGCCGCGGGGCGGCTGGAACTGTCGGCTGCGTGCATTCTGCTGCGCCGCCATCCATTCCGCCGAGCCAGTCTGCCGGCTGGGCTGCTCGGCAGGCATCTTGACATCTCGGCTGGGCGTGCCGTTGGACCGGCTGCCTGCCGAGGAGCTCGACGCGCCGGGCACCAGGTCGGTGACGGCTTGGGCGATGGAGGCGACGACGTAGCCTCGCAGCTCCTGGTCCTCCCGTTGGTCCTCCTTCTCAAGTCGGAAACGCTCGTCCTTGCCCATGTTGGCACGCCGGATGTTCTTGATCTCCTGCATGACGTAGAGCATGACCTCCTCGGGGCATCGATTGCGTTCGTTGGCGGACTCGTTGTTGCGGACGTATCGTCGAGTAACATCAGTCGCTCCGTCGATCGAAAAGGCGACACAGTACGACATCTTCTTTCCCCAGCCTTCTGTGTACAGACGTGGGTTGTCCCAGGCCTCTTCGCAGGCGTCGACATGCACCCATCGCTTCTGATGGTCCGAGTACACCTCGGTCCAGACGTGGTCCTCGGCGTTCCATATCCAACGGACCCTGCCACCGACAGCGCGGCACAGCATGCTGAAGCAATTGGCCCACTCTCCGACTCTTCCTCGACGGGTCTGCAGCAGCCTCCAGACATCGCCGTATCGGGGGAAGCGTTCGTATGCGCCGCAGTTCTGGGCCGAGCATCGGTAAAGTTCGACACGTAAAGCACCGCATGCACTCTCCTCTGGCGTCGGGGCTGTCATGCCTTGGGCAATGGTTGGCGACAGGCACACGGGGCATGGCGGGTTGTTGACCCATGTGAAGAACGATCGCTTGAACCATCTGAGCCTGTTAGACGCTGTCCGAATGAGGCATCGGGGAGAGGAACCTACCGGAGAAGTGCCCTAATCACACAATCTTGATATCCCCACTCAGGTTTGCGGCCGTCGCCCATGCTCTCGGCCTCGGCCTGTAGAACCTGGCTTTCCTCCTCTGCCTCGCCATAGATGCGATCCAGAGGGATTGTTTGGAGCGCCTCATCTAACAGCCCGGGGTTCTCGTACTTGGTTGGTGTCAATGACAAGCTGATTAGGAGGTTGCGAAACTTTTGAGAGTCGCGATCGCCGGCGGCGGGGGCTGTCGGGATCTTGGGCAGATGTCTGATGCACGAGTAGGAGGGAGGGGTCGCCGCAGATCCGTGAGAGGTCGCGGGTCGAGAGTCGTTAAACGAAGCATGGCCGCGCAGGTCGGCGCTCGATGCTCTTTGGGCGAGGTCGGCGTGACCAGGTTCGGGAGTGTGATGGCGAGAGCAGGAGCGCAGCTCATTCATGCGCTTGTCCCGCAACAGGCCCTCGAAGCGGACGCGCAGGTCGTGCGCCCACTCCTCGCCATACTCGGACCGTGACGACGGCTCCGGGCTGAACGGAGTGCCTCGGCCCGCCATTGTCGGGGAATGGAGGTCGAGGATTGACTTGGTAGCGTCGCGGGCGATGGATGGGCACGGCAGCGACTATGCGTGTCGGTGATGCAGGCGTCGCTGCGCGGTGAGGAGGAAGAGGCGCAGTGGAGGAAGAGGTCAGGGCGATGGGGGGTAGTCGGCCTGCTTATGGTGTTTTGTCGTAGCGCTTGACCAAGCGAGGTATGTGTCGTGGCCCGACGGATGGCGAACCCGAGCAGGCGTGGTCGTGGTCGTAAGGCAGTGAGCGTCGTCAGCAGGTGATTCGTAGGCCTCTGGAGTCGCCACAGGGGCCTGGCGCGGGCTGCTGCGTCGTCGCTCGCAGGCAGGCTTCACGGCTGACGTCGGCGTCGGTCGCCGAAGCGAATTCGTCGTGGTCGACAGAGCGTCGCAGGCAAGATTGCCGCCGTGGTCGAGGGATGAAAGCGAGCGCTGGCCGCCCCGTTGGCAACGCTTCCGGGAACGAGGATGGATGGGATGTGAGTGAATGGGATGGAATGGATGGGCTGGGGGGGACTGGGGGGAAAAGGGTCCCGGCAGCAACAGCAGCAGATGGATGGAGCCCCTCGCGGCGGCGGCGGCGGCAGCGGGTTTGCGGGTGAGGGAGCGAGCGAGTGCGTGCGTTGCGTGGACACTGACGGGCACTCACACACACACCTCTCTCGCCAGGCCACGGCAGGCCTGCCAGGACAGGGCGGGACTGAACTGGACGGACGGGCAGGCGACGGGACAGGGCACCTCGCCAGGCGCAGGCGCAGGCTGCGGGCGGGCGGTGGTGGTGGTGGTGGTACGCACCGCCGCCCATGCTCCCGTGGCGTGTGTGCGTGCGTGGAGGGTGTGTGTCCCACCTGGAGCCCAGCGGCCCTGCCCAGCGGCGAGCCAGTGAGGCCGCAGGCAGAGGGGCCAGGGGTGGGCGGCCGGCGAGTGTCAGTGTGCGAGCAAGCGTCGTCAGTTCGTCGCTCGCTCGCAGCGCTGGGCGGTTTACGCGTCAGCCTGCGCCGCCGCGGCCAATCAGCGCCCGCACGCGGCCCCATCCTGGGGGGATTAGCTGGGCGACATGGGCGGGCGGCTGCAAGAGCGCAGGGAAAAAAAAGGGACGTCCACGAGGTACCGCTACCTGTGGCCAGTCCCGTGAGGCGTCGTTTCCACTCAACGCGCAAGCTGTCTTGCCTCCCGTCCTCCACCCGAGATGCTGCGCAAGCTGCCCTCGCGAGGTTACGGGCGCTGCGAGTGCGAGAGCGCGGGCGCGGGCGCGCGGGGTTGCGTGGGACCCGGTTGCGAAGCCCTTCATCTTGGGTACTGTACCTGCAAGTCACTCCGTATCTATCGTACCGCAAAACGTACTTGAAGGGCTTCCATTTTGCCCTTGACGCGCGCGCTGTACGGCGCATACGCATCTCAAAGAGGGAGTCGTCGGCCACAGCGACACTGGAAGGCCGCGTCGGCCGAGCCGGGAAGATTCGGCGAGGTACCGTTCCCATACAGTTTACACGGCGCGAGTACCGGCTACTCGGGAACCCGTCCGTCTGCTTACATGGGGGCACGGGTACCGGTACCTGGGGCTGGCTGAGGCTTGATCCCCCCTCCCCGGTCGTCGCCTCTCGAGGGGCGATGACGAGGCACGGAGGTACGTACTCTTTCATCCTGCGCTGCATGCCCGCCCGCCAGCGTCGCCCTTCGCGGCTCGCGGTGGCAATGCTTTCTCTCCAACGGGCCAGCCGGTGCGAGCATTTCCAGGTGTAACAAATCGGTCGCCGGTCATTCGACAGAGGGGAAGGAAGCGCACCACCAGACCATCCAAAGGGGAGAAACTCAGGATTCTCACTCACCTTCTCCTTGAACGAGGCAGGCTCCTGTGCTGTGGCTCCCGGCGGAGACGCACCCGCCTGACCCTGGAGGGCGCAGCGCACCACGTCTGGCCATTTTGCCGCCACTCGTTGCTGCGAGTCACCGTTGTCCACGTCCGCGCGGCTGTCGGCCAGAGGGGGCAATGGGTGGGTGCCCCATCAACCCACCGCCCTGCTCAAGCCGCTGCTGGGCCCGTCCACTGTCCGTCCAAGTCCATCTCTCCCATCAATTCATTCGTCTCTGGCTGATAGGCCCTCGAGGTCCTGCCAACAGAGTGGATGAGTGGATGCATTCTGGGGCTTCATGGGGCCTCAGATTCTCCAGCTGCACGCCCTGCCAGATTCTGATCGGCATCAGCCACAGATGGCGAGACGGTGGCTGAAAACGGGTTGCTCGTGGTCCGTGGGCGACGTTGCGCGGCTCCGGGCTTCCAGAAACAGACATCCAGACCGCGAGCTTGACGAGATTGCCAACGTTTTGACCCGGACCGCAAGAATCGAGTTGAATGTCTTGAGTGATTGCCAGAACCACGTTGCGCAATGGCCCCAAGACAGTCCCGTATTCGGCCATTGGAGCCCTCTCTCGCGCCCGTGGAGAGAGGCCTACCCGAGGTACTTGGCAGCAGGAGCACAGCGCTCCGGGAACCAAGTACTTGCTGCTGCGGCGCGAGAGGTGGCGCAGCCCAGCCTCAGCCTCTTCGAGGTGGAAGCCGTCCGAGGCTGTGGCTTGGCTCCCGCGCCGCACCAGGGGCAGCCACAGCGCCCGTGCCATCGACTTCGTGACAGCCACTTCCTCTGTCGGCTGCTGCTTGTTCCTGGATGGACGACCCGTCTCCCGACGCCGTACGTTCGTCTGCAGAGCTGTACACTTCCCGTCATGAAGCTACTGGAGCCCCTACGCTGAGCTATCATCTGCCCGGTGATTCTCCCCCCTAGGTCACTTCCCGTCGTTGTTGGTAGTCCTTCATATGGAAGTGTAAAATCGCACACGTTCATGCCAAAAGGCGTCATCTTGCAGCCGCCCAACCCACGCACAGAGCACCCGCACGGTGGAAATTTATCAGGCTTCCAGGACACTCCCCTTCAGCCTCCTGCCCCTTGGTGGCTGTCATCCTCCCGTCGTCGTCTCTGCCATCGTGTCCTCAGCTCCTCGTTCCCCTCGTCTCGCCTCCCCCAGACCCGCCCGGCGCTCGGCATCCAAGGCGTCGTGGACTGACCATCCAGATAGCCTTCCGATTAAAAGGGTCGTGCCAGACCCCTTCCCGACAGCCGGCCCTCGCGGGCGCCCCAACAGCCCAAATTGCACGGCTTGCCAAATCACCAGCTCTTCTCCTCAGGGCAGTTAGCTAGAAGGGGGGCGTGCCGGTGAGAGCGATGGGGGGGAGGGCGTGCCACCAGGGCCGCGTCATCGTTGTCGCCGCCACAGGTCAGGCCTGCTCCCCCTGCCTGCGTACACGTACATTCGTACAGTACCCACGACATCGAATTGCCACTTCACATCGAAATTGACGACCGGGGCGTGAAAACAAGCAGGAATTGGCTTTTTGATTCGAGTTATGCGTCTCGCGTACTTTAGGACCCGCGGGTCGCCAATGTCGGCTTGATCTCGCCGAGTGCCTGCTGAGCGTTTCAGGCGAAGTCCTCATATAACCGTGGAATCACTGCTACGCTACCACACACTCGTGCCGTCCAAGACAATGTCCCTCCACAAGCAACGTATGCCGTTCCAGTAGGCTTCTCATGCTCGGCGGATAAGTATCGAACGTGAGGATGAGACGGCTTACTTGATTCGGCCCGTCCGTGCCCACGAGACCTGCCACGTTCAATGGTCCCTCGTCAGCTCCTCCCCGGATCCTCCGATATAGAAAGGTCTGGAGCAGGCGGGACAACGCGAGGGCCGGGCCCAGGGCATCTTTAGTGAAAGCTTTTTCATGCCAAGGGATTGGGCTACCGATGCCACGTTGTGTCGACAAACGTGACGGCAACTCGCCACTCGACGCCTTGAGATGGAGTCAAGCTTCGGAGATCTGTCCAGCTGGTGTCTTCATTCTGCCTCCGATATTGATGACTCGGTTCGACCAGATATTCCACATTTACTTTCTCCTCAATGTTTGCTCCGGTCACTGCCCGCCTTGCTACGGGGTCTGCCGCTTAGACTGTTGATGGAGCATATCATGCCAACGTATGTATCGTATCCATCATCCAGCAAGACGTCAACTCGACGATAACACTCCAAACTCACCGCCTCGGCATCACCACACCCCTCATCCCGCGTCCTGACTCCAGTCAGCGTACCGCTTCGTACGCCCCGACTAGCCCGTTGAGGCTCGACGAGTACGTACGTACATAGACCAGCGGCCCGGCCGTTGACTCTCCGTGACTCCTCAGCACCTGGCCGCGCGTAAAGCACCATCCTCCTCCCCCCTCCACTCCTTCGCCCACAACTAACCGCCGCGTACGCTCGGCTATCTGTGGGCCCGCCTGCGAGTCGACGACGACGACGACGTCGCCCTCTCACGGCGCCGTGAGTGCCCGGAGTATTCCGCGACGGCTTCAGTCCGCCCGCCCTGGGCCGTCGTCGAGGTTGCCGTCATCGCCGTCGTTGATGAAATGCGGACGGGGCACCGGGTGGTGGCGGACATGAGGTCTGAGCTCGCCGATTACTTGATGCCGCTCACTGGACAGCTTTCAACATTTGTCGTACTCGTGAGGCGCGGGCTGTTCCTGTGTATCACAACTTGGTCATCGACTAGTCACGGCTATATCGGCTGGCAAGCGGTGTGTGATCGAAACGGAGCAGGGCTCCTCCATCGGACTGTGACCGGACGCCTAGGCCGCTGACTGCGAAGCACCACGCACTCAGCTGCACCATCAGGACCCTCGTGACGGGCATGGGTGCACTTCAACCCTACGATAGCGCTGCAGCCCGTGCGATTGTACAATGTGATTACCCTGAAAAGAAGAAATTCTGAAGCTGCCCTTCACCGTGACGCCCCGTAGTTACAGCATGTGGCAAGTTCTAGATACAGCTTGGGGACGAAAGGGGCTGGCTGGCAACCTCGTCCGACCGAGCCCGACTCCGCGATTCGTCGTCACGCGAGCCATGCCCTCGCTTCGCCAGCCCACGTCAAACACACGCCAGCCCAGACGCCCACGATGTGAGGGGCTATCCCCCCTCCTGGGCGCGCACACTTTGCTCTTCTCCTCAATACTTCTCCCACTCGTGGCCGGCAAAGTACCTGTCGGGCATGTCCACATCCCACGTCGGCCTCTCCACCAGCGCGACCTCGAGCGGTTGGTCCGCGCGGTTCACGGGAACGACGCCCAGGATGGGGCGGTACTTGTACGTGATCCACCACTTCTTGCGCTCATCAGTCGTGTCGTCAGACTGGACGACCGTCTTGCTGCCGTTGTTGCGAAGCTGGGCGAGTTCGCCGTCGGCGTCAGCCATCTCGTCGTCGCTGTCACTCTCCTCCGCCCTTGGGGTCTCCCCCACGTTGATGTCTTCGTAGTTCTCCTCCTCTCCATGCTTCCGAACTTTGTGGGGCACGAGGTTCTCTCTCTCCATCTTGCCCCCAGCGCCGGTGGTCCGCGAAGCCCGCTTCCTCTTCGTTCCTTGAGCCACCTGCGTCTCTGCGGAGCCGTCGGCGTCTGCCGTGGGCATGGGGAGGTCCTGGCCCATGTCCAACATGAGGAGGAATGATACGCCGTACACCCACATCCTTGACCCCTGCCAGAATATGCCTTTGGGCAGATCGAGTAGATCCTGTACCGCCGCGGGAAGGGCCTTTCGTGGGTGTCTTCGGGACCATGGGGTTAGCGCGCCTTGACGCGGATGGAACGCAAGAACGTTCCATGACGACGTGATGGCAGCAAGGGTATAGTCGTCACTCGAGGCGTCTCCGGACCCGGGTACGTCGTCCGTGAAGGACAGGACAACGGGAGCGGAGGGCAACTTGGGCAGCTGTTTGGCGTTCGGGTTGCGAATCCACTGCTCACCGACATCAATAGCGTCGGCCTCGTCGTCAGATGAGTCGCTGTCCGACGACGAAGCCGCGTCATCGGCACCGTCGACGGCTTGGCCATTTCGTAGGCTCTCCTCGTGGCCGCGCAGGATCCAAGTGTCCATGTAGCCAGCCAGGTCGGCGACCGCGACCATCTTGGAGTCTGCGCTGAAAGCCGTTTGCGTAACGCTCCGGTCGTAGCCGCCCAAGCCGCCGTTCATGATGTATCTTGGTACATGGCGACGCAGCCGGGCGAGTCGCTGGACTTTGATGCCGGCGGCGGGCACACCCTCTTTGTTCGCGTTGAGGGTAATCCGGGCCATCAGAACGCGCGACCCCTCCTGGACCAGCAAGACCCATTTCCCATCGGGAGACAGCTTGACTTGCGTGGCCCCGAGACGCGTAAGCTTCTGCGGAAGCTCAAGAGAGTGTATTTTGACATCCGAAGGTTTGGTCGGGTCCTGATGCTCGAGACGGAACGCCTTGACATCGATGGGTGTAGAGACGACAAGGAGGGTTCCATCTTGGTTCAATGCCGCAGAAGTGATGTTGCAATCACCCTTGACAACAATGGTCTTGAGAAGCTTGCGGTTCTGGTTGATGTCGACGTCGTCGGTGCCCGACTCAAACAGCTCGGTGGCGGGTTTCCTCAGACTCCAGATGTGAATCTCCCGGTCCCACCAGCTGACCATGAACCTAGCGTTGGCGGCGCTTGCGAGCGGCGGTTGTTGCGGCAGATTGCTCATCATCCTGTGATTCTCGCGGCCCATTTCCTTTAGGGGCACAACCATGAGGTTGGCATCGGGACCTGGCTGAAGTCAGTACAAACAGAATGTGAGCCTGGAGCAAATCTATCTCACCTCCTGAAACCACGACACTGACGTTGCCGTTTTCGAACGATGCCATGGCCTTCACATCGTGGTCGTGATACCGCCGGCCCCAGACCTTGCCCCAACGCTGGCCGGCGCCAGAGGCCTGCTTGTAGAGAAAGGTCCTCCTGTCCATACCACCGCTCATAATGGCGGTGCCGTCCGCGCTGGTGGCGAGGCTCAAGACGTCCTGTTTGTGACTTTGGATGCGCTGGGCCTGTGTGTACGTCTTGCCGTCCCAGATGCAGATCTGTCCTGTGGAATCGCCGGAGACAATGTTGCCGTTAGGCAGGCACTTGACAGACCAGACGATGATGTCTTTGGCGCCGCCGACCAGGTCGGAACCGAGCGTCATTCGTCGGAGGAGGTGGCCCTTGGCCATGTCGTAGGCTCGAATCGTGCTGTCGGAGCAGCCGACAATGACCACCTTGCGCGACTGGAAGGTCATGCTGACCATCTGGGCCTTCTTGGTCGGAGACTTGACCAGGACTCGCTGGAAACGCAAGTCGTCGTCCTCAAGCGAGTACATGACCAGCTCACCGTCGATGGTGCCGGCCACAAGCTTGTTCGAGTTCTGTACTTCGGAGCTGGGCCCATCGGTCGAGCTGGAAGGCTGTGCCGCGAGACACCAGATATCACCGTGCTGGCCGCTCGCATGGCGCTTGGGCTTGCCCGTTTCCAGGTCCCATTCGGTGACGGTGGAGGTGTAGCCGATGCTGAAGAGGCGCGACTTTCCAATCACGACGCGGCCATCGCCCAAGTCCTGGTCGGGCTCGTTGACCCAGACGAGGCCGTCAATGCTGCGGCCCTTGCCACCCCGAATAACCTGCTCCTGGTGCCAGGTGCCGTTGCCGGGGTTCCATATCTCGATATCGCCGTTGGCACGGCCAATCGCCAGCCTCGCGACAGTGCTGCGCTTTGCGGTTCTCGTCTTGGGATGGGAGAAGGCGACCGCGTTGATAGCGGACGGCTGGTAGGGGACGAAGCGGCAGCGGTGAACGTCCATGGTTGCCGCGTTGGTGATGCGATCGTCGGGGTTCGCTTGGTCTTCTATCACCGCGACGGCGCAAGCTCACGCAGGCGACGTACGGAATGGGCGCTGATGTGCCCGGAACGCTGCAAGACGGCGTGGCTGAAGGGGTGGTATTGTCGCGGACCGCCTTCTGAGCATGGAGGAAAAAAAGTCCAGCCTCGTCCCAGAGTTTTTTTTTCTGCCGCCCGCTGGCGCTCACGAATTAAGGTGTGGTCAATGCGCAGATGCCCCTCCACCCCACCAGTACGTACTGTCCTGCCTGCTGAGCGCGCCCGAAGTCTGCGGTGCCCTGTGGTGCTGTTGCCCGCTACGCTACCTGCTGTAGACACCTGTGGGCATTCCAGGTTTTTTCTGGGCGCTGCTGGACCGGAGCCCGCCTTGGAAGCCCCGCCGGCGCCCTTCCCTTGCGTCGCCTTCTAGGAATCGGGCCACCTTCAGCGGCTTCCAGCTGGCTCTGGCGGGGCATCGATAGGTAGCGTCAACGACGGCCCGGGGGACTGGGCTGGGCTTGTCGTCGCAGCGCAGCAAGCCTCTGAGGAGGGGCTTGGCCCTCCATTCCGCCTCCAGCACTAACGTGCTTCGACTTCGTACCAACGGTGCTAACGCCGAGCACGTCCGCCGAACATTCGCTTCACGTCTTCCTCGCACACGACCCGACTGCAGCGCAACCTCGCACGATACTCGTCGCTCTGCTACCCGACACGACCCTGTGCTTCTTCCAGTTCTCGACCGCGAACGAGCGCAAAGCCCCGCCTCCCGCCTCCCCCAGTCAAGGCACCCACGAACCCTGCCGCAGCGCACACTTCTGCACAACACCCGGGTGCTTGGGCCACGGCTGCAGCTGCCTCTCGATGCACAACTCGCCAGCCAACGGCACGAGAGCTGGACATTAGCGGACCGCTGCAGAAGACTGCCAAGAATTGCCGCGGATGCGCATCGCCGACCCGCCGCAATGGACTTCAACAGCTCGTCGCCCTTCCCGGAGGGGGTCATCTCCTTCCTCGACACCGACTTGTACAAGTTGACGATGCAATGCGCCGTCTTCAAGTTTTTCAAGAATATCGAGGTGACCTACGCCTTCACCAACCGGACGCCCGACAAAAGGCTGTCTCGGGCTGGCTTCAAATGGCTTGACGAGCAAATCAGAAGTGAGTGCCTTGAATCCATCTCTTTGTTTTCGCTCCTGACCCCACGCGCCAGAGCTCGGCAATATTTCGCTGCTCAACGACGAGTACCTATTCCTCAAGACGCACTGCCCCTACCTCACGCCCGACTACCTCGAGTATCTGAAGGAGTTTCGACTGAGACCGCGCGACCAGGTCGCCGTCACGTTTGCCCCTCTCGGCGAGGACACTGGGGCCGACTCTGACATTGGCGACATCGACATCAGGATCCGGGGCACATGGTCCGACACCATTCTCTACGAAATTCCCATCTTGGCGCTCACGTCAGAGGCCTACTTCCGCTTCATGGACACAGACTGGAGTTACGACGGACAGGAGGAGCAGGCGTTCGCAAAGGGCCTGAAGCTTCTGGAGGCTGGCTGCATCACTTCCGAGTTTGGCACGCGGCGGCGGCGCGACTACCACACCCAGGCCCTCGTCTTTCGCGGCCTTGTCAAGGCGTCCAAGGAGGCTGCCGCCAAGGGCTTCCCTGGCAAGCTCTCCGGCACCAGTAACGTGCATCTGGCCATGCGCTTCGGCATCCCACCCGTCGGCACCGTAGCTCACGAGTGGTTCATGGGGACGGCCGCCATCATCGGCGACTACAAGAACGCAACTGAGGAGGCGCTGCGTCACTGGGTCAGCTGCTTCGGATCGAACCTGGCCATCGCGCTCACGGACACGTTCGGTACACGGGAGTTTCTGCACGCCTTCAGTCAGCCCATCCGCCCCGTCGAGGGTGGGGTATCTGCAGATGCTTTCCAGAGACCTGACGGCAGTATGAAGACGTACGCTGAGCTCTTCACCGGTGTCCGACAAGACTCCGGAGACCCAGCCGAGTACGTCAAGATGATGCGCGAGTACTACGACTCGCAGGGCGTCAAGGACAAAAAGGTCATTGTCTTTTCTGACTCGCTCAACATTGAGCGCTGTCTCGAGTACAAGCAGGTGTCGGACGAATACGGCTTCCAGCCTACCTTTGGTGTCGGAACGTATCTGACCAACGATTTTGTTCACCTATCTACCGGAACCAAGTCGGTTCCTCTGAATATCGTCATAAAGTTGAGCTCGGCTGCGGGCCGGCCAGCCATCAAGATCAGGTCAGTCCTCCCCCCAGCATATCAAGCACGCTCAGGCATTCTTGTAAGCGGTATTGCTGACGAGAAGCAGCGACAACATTGGAAAGAACACAGGAGATAAAGAAGTAGTAGAAAAGGTCAAGCGCGAGCTCGGGTATGTGGAGCGCGAGTGGAAAGAAGGAGACGAGACTGCGCGATGGGGGAAAGAAGACGCCGCTTAGATGGCCCAACTAGAGTTAGACGGTTCGATATCCAGTTCGAGATGCGGTGCGTTCGCTACTTTGCCGGGTCTATGCGAGCTCATAGATACTGTCAATGGCATCGAGTGCAGCTCAATGCAAACGCTGCTTTGGATGCTGAAAGGGTCGGCAACCACGAGTAGTGCGGTCCGCCCAGGTCTGTTCTGCTCGCCGAATCATCGATGACGACAAACTTGAGCACTCGAGTGTTGGTTCACACGCAGATGCCGGCGCTGAAATCAGGCAGTCACATCCCCATGGCTGCACCACCGCTGAGAGGGAAACGAGATAGGTAGGCGCGAGCGACTGCAACTGGACAAGAAGGAACGCCGAGAGAGGAAAACTACAAGGTGCGTGGCGGATGGCCGCCCTGACCTTGATTCTCCTCATACTTCCATTCTCCATCGCATCCGCTGTCTGCGACCTGACCGAATCGACTTTGGACCTCTTTTTGGAACCAATTTTGGGACGCTCTCTTGGAACGCATCTTACTCGCACAATCACCAGCACTTGGGCCCCATCAATATGGCACACACGCCCAAAACCACCGTGGCGGTCTGGCCGTGGCCCGTCTCCAGGCTTGCTCGAGGCCGAATCCTGGCCTTTTGCGGCGTCTTCCTTCTTACGGTCTTGGTCCTTTGCTCCGTTTCCTTGACGGTGAACACGGCACTGCTGCTAGAGAAACGTGATCCTTTCAAAGCGCTTTTCCAGCCTGGGGACATGGTTCCCATCCGTCTTGATGAGGTGAGTCCAATTGTCTGCATCCTCGAATTTCCGACTAACAAGTTCATAGAAGTCAGGGCCATCATCAAAAGTGAACACTGCCATTGGGCCAAATCAGTTAACGATAGCTGCGATGGACCAGCAACCCGCTCAGCCGACGGTCTTGCCCGAGCTGTCTTCCGCTTTGTTCGGTTCTGAAAGCACCTTGAGTCCCCCCTTGAACCTCTCAGTCGGATCTCCGGGTACGAGATTGGATGATGCTACTGAGACTGAGGCGAGCCAGTCCCCGTCGGAGGTCCTTCTTACTCTTCTCAAGGATGCACTGGCAAAAGCCATCAACATCTCTGCCTCGGTGACTGAGACCAGCACTCAAGCGCAGACTCTGTTCAGATTCACCGGGTCCCTCGCGCCGGCGACTCCCTTCGCGGCCACTTCGAGTTCACAATCATTCCCCCTTTCGCAGCCCAACACGCTTGTTTCCTATGGCTCGGGGCCTCGCCTAGCAAAGCGGTCTGGCCAGCCTGATCTGGGCGCAGAAATCTTTCCGATTCTGAGCCCTGTCTCCGGGGTGGTAGCTCATTTCGCGGTCGTTGATGTCAACGCCACAGCTAAGCTTGTCAGTTCCGTGCTCAGCGCGTTATCAATCGGCACTTCTACAGTTGACAAGGTGCTGCTTGAGGTGGCGAGCCAAACGTCTACCAAGCTGGAACAAGTCCTGCCGTTGGTCATTCCTGCAGTATCAAGCCTCCTTGATCAGCATATTGACGACAGCCCTTTACGAGACGACATCAATGCCACTGCCGTTTGTCAAGACGTTGTCCAAAATGGAATCGCCATCATCAACCAGATTGCGCGAACCACGACGTATCCCATGGATGCTCGACTCCAAGCCGTGACGGACTCGATTGACGTAATTGTCCGTTCCGCCTCTCGTGCCAATGACCTGATATGCATTATCAAGGCCGCGGTCGAAGGCGTCACGGAGGAGTCGGTTGTGCCTTGCGCGGATACTTCTCGTGGAGTTCCCGCCGGCAACGTCGTCACGCTGAATGCGATGTCAACTGCTCCCGGCGCAGCCACATCCGATCCGTTATCCTGGATTGCGCTTGCAGTCGGCAGTCCTCTTGTGGATTATTCAATCTCCATCCCGCTGCCGACTGAATCAACGGCACTCCCAACGTCAAGCCTCCCTCCATACGGACCCGGACAACCGCAGACTACCGCAGCCCAAGACACTGCTTCTTGCGAAGAATCTACTATTTTAGGTATGTGCAACTACGCTTCAGCTAGCATTAGCTGACGGGCCAAGCAATAGCCACGGCATCTCCCAGTTCGTCAGGCTGCCCGCCAGTTTTGCCGTGCCCGACATGTCCTTCTTGCAACGACTGCCCCTGCCGTCAATGCTCACCATCGCCGTCGTGCTCGACCGCAACACCAAGCGACCCGAAACAAATTGGGCCGTGCCCCGAGCGCGGATTTCATTGCTCCGATTGCCTCAATGGATGGTTTTGCCCTCCACAGGAGACCCCCGCCCAACCTGTTCCCTGCGGACTAGGATGGCCCTGTTATCACTGCAAGTCTAGGTGGTTTTGCGCCCAGGACATCCCAGCTTCGCCAACTCTGCCGCTACCAGCTGGAACAGCCTCGTCGGCAGGAGCAGTCACGACACCAAGCAGCTTGCTCACGCCAGCATCAGACACTGCCCCTCCAGCATCGAATTCACTCCAAAGCTGGCAATACGTCGGGTGTTTCCACGATGCCATCAACCGTACGCTGGCTGGCTCGAAGCCTCTGGATTACCTACGGGGAGACATGTCGAACTCCACTTGCATTGACCATTGCAAGTCGAGAGGCTACACGTTTGCTGGCACAGAATGCGGCAAGGAATGCTGGTGTGGATCGAGCATTCGCGATGACGCTGTTAGACTACCTGACTCTTCCTGTGGCAGTCCATGCCAAGGGGCAGGCGGCCAGTTCTGCGGCGGAGATTGGGCAATCTCTGTCTTTACATGCTCCGATGCCTCTGGACCAGCATCAGGAAATACACCTGCAGAGAAATCCTGTTCGACTCCGCCAGCAACGTCGGAACCAGCGCCATCAACTTCGGAGTCCACACCAGCGGCATACGAGCCACCCGAAACGTTAATCACACAAAACTCTGCAGAAACCTCTGCCGAAACTTATAGACCTCTGCTTTAGATGCAAGTGCCGGAGAGCCGCACTAGCTAGGATTCTGTGTGCCCGGCAGATGCGGCGCACGGCTTTTGCGCGTCCGTGCGGCGGACACGATATGTTCATGGAAGTGCTTCTATAATCTTAGAGTCACAAGTCAAGGTATCAGGGCAAGCACTTTGGTCCGTGTCAAGATCTTATCGATGGTTGTCATTCGCTGGCTTTGCTTTGTGTGGATTGTTTGGGCCTTCTGCTGGAAGCCGTGAATATCTCAGGGGGTTTCTCAAGAGTCAGTGATAGCCTGCGAATGAAGAATGATATACTCCTCCCAGGGATTGGCAAGTGCACTTGTTTCAACGCCGTCGGGCTCGAATGTGTAATGCACGAGATTTCCGCGCGTTTATACGAAGGGGCACGTGGACGTATCGCGAAGTCGATGCCGGCCATGGACACGGAGTTTGCCCAAGCGCTGGTACACCGGCCTGCACTTTGCTCTGAAACAATGCGACGTCGTACGAAGTATTTATTCCCGGTATGCAGCCGCGGATGGCGCATGGCTCTGGGACGAAGTAGGAATGACGGTCTCATCAGTCATATCTCGAGACGAGGACTTCCACGGTGACGTCGCACCGCAGCCGATAGGGGGAACGCCACGCTCGCTTAACAGCCTCCTCGGCGCAGTTACGGGCGCTGCCAATGTCTACAGCGCACGCGGCCTGGTCATGAAGCATCTGCCGGCAGGTGGTATTGTATTTCGTAGCGACGGGGGCTGGGTTTCGATGGCGATGAAGGAGGCGGTACAAGGGTGAGGCGACGTTGCGACGTATGCAGCATTGGTGGCCGGATTGGGACGACGGGATGGGGTCTGTCGAAATGAGAAGGTCGAGCAGGGGTCGAATTGGTGATTCTTTGTACAAAGTAGTGAGGGTGCGTGTCCTCGCGCTGCTCAGGTTCCTGTCTAGGATCGTGGGGGAAATGGTAGGCCACGATCAGCTCGCGACCCCAGATGTCGGCCTCATCTTGTGTAGCTGATGTAGGATCTTGAGAGGCAAGGCTTCATGTTGGGGGCTCAGGGGCCAGGGCGCGGGCAGACAGTGAGCGACGCACGTGGAAATGAGGCAGGCCCAGAACAACCTCGGTGCAAGGATTGGGGCGTGCGTGCCGATTCGAAGCTGGCCGGGGCAATGAACCCACGGTAGGTAGGACAAGCCCGTGGGGAGAGTCTGACATGGACGAGGGTTCTCTGGAGGGTGAGGTTCAGGGGGCCGTGATGGGGCCAGGCTCCATTCACCCGGATGGATCGGTCACAAAGGACCAGGAGCAGCAATTACTTTGTCCTCGCATCGGCCGCGAGAGCCGCGCACTTTGTGCTTTGTACGAATCAGTATGTTGCGTCGTACGAGGGACGCAGTATGGAGAGCGCCACGAGTCGCACGCATGGTGCCAGGGAATAATATGACAAGGAGGGCCCGGTCTGACCTGGCCTGGCTTGCCATGTTCGTTCGCATGCAGTGTAGCAGTGGGCGTGGGGAGCATCCTGGACTGGGGTTTGAGGCCAGAAAGGGGACACAAAGGATGATGAATGCCCTCATTCGCCATGGCTATGCTGTTGCCTTCTTGCTTGGCTGACACTTGTACGCGTGAGACGCGCGTGAGGCCGGCAAAAATCGACGAGAAGACGAATTATACACCGAGCTGGAGCGGTAATTCGTTGTAACCAAGTCACAATTCGTATGCATGATGTGAGCTGCCGAGCGCAAAGCAGCCTCGAACCGTCGGCCCGCTGCTCCGGGTCAGCCTGTGATGTTTTACCGGGGGGTTACGAAGTAGCAGGAGAGCGGCAGCTTACACGTCGGGTGTGCCGTGAGAAACTCGGAACAGGGCGGACGGCCTGCAGACAAATCACCGAGACACTCTTACGAAGTACATACGGTGGTTCAATCTCACCACGCGGAAGGCGAGGCATGGCAAGGCAGGGCGAACCCAGTCACCAGGGCAGCACCCGCGCGGCCATGTCGTGCGAGCGTCAGATCCTGGGCTGGGGAGAACAGGGAGGACCACTGCGGCGCGCGCGAACGCCCACGACTGTATGTACGAATTACGAGGTGACTTTACTTTGTCCGAGGATAGAGATTGCCAGCCATACCATCCCAAGGGGCGCGGGAGCTGCTGCCACTGCAAATACACCGGCATCAAATGGTGCCGCATATCCGCACGCAGCACTTGGCGCCTGAGAGCGATTACCGTCGTACAATGGCGGGCCGCGATACAACGCGTCTTTGTCTTTGTCCCTCGTGACTTTGTTCAGAGCCTGCCGGCTTGCAGCGGCACAACATTCGTTTACACGTTGGTGAATCGACCGTACTCTCCTCGAAAGCTTCGCCACGGAGCAACGGAAACAAACGTTGACAACCAGGTCAAGAGGCCTTCATTTCGCAGAGCTTGCCATGTCAACACCAGGCAGCCCGTCCTCTCACCTTGGTTTCAGTCCACGGGCGAGGCCCGATTCCGCAGTGGTGCACCGATTCGCGGAATCCAGGTCCTGGACGCGACGCCGCCCCCCTTGCGCCATGTCGTCGTGCTCTTCTGATTTGCAATCGGCTGCTGCGACTGGCACCACCACCGCCGCCCCCATCGCATCCAGAACAGAAAGAAACAAAAAGCCCCATCGTCACCGGCAGAGCCGCTCGCCCGGAGCAAGGGGTGACGGACGGGCAACACCAGCGGTCCATCTTTTTTGGCTAAATCCGGGGCGCACACAGCGCGGCGCCGGGGCGAATCACCAGGCACGTTCCCCGGACGCCACCATCGGTAGCAGCGCTCGGCGACCATGGAAGGGGAGACCTTCGAGCAGGGACGGGCTCCACTCGAGCACACCCTCTTACGCCCGTCCGGGACGGACTTCCCAGCAGCAGTTGTCCGAGGTGACGCGTGTGGACGTGCGCCCAGGCCGCGAGGCACAGAGAGAGAGACCAGGGGGGTTTGGGTGGAATTAACGGGCACGTCAAGAAGCTGTCAGAGTTGTCAAAGCACACAAAAGGCAGGGCCGAGCGGGCAGCGGAAGAAAAGAGAGTTTGAGACAGGGATACGGGACGAGATGAGCTCTTCGGACGGGGGCGCCGAGATGAACTGTGTCACTTCCGGGGGGTCGTTTGGGCTTTTTTCGTGAGACAGGCCCAGGCGAGCGAGCCAGATGGTGTTCCTCCTCACATTGTATGATTATTTCCGAGATGTTTCAAGGCCGCTCGCTTAACGGCCTTGAACCGAGATCTCGGTCCCCTTGTCATTCGGTGCGGCCAAGGTCTTCCTGTTTCGGATCGAGCATTCGAACGACAAAGGAGCCTCATTCAGCCCGATCGCGCCGGAGCAAGATTAATGACGGGACCGAGATCTGGGACCAGTGCAGCGGCTGAATAAAGCGTCCAGATACTTCGTAGTTTGTACCATACTCGACGTACACCACACCCAGAGGTGCCATACGGATGATATAGAGAGGCGAGTCAGGGGTGTCGCCTGACATGCCATCCAAAGTGCCCCGGAGCTTGTCCTCACGACCGAGCGCCGCGTGGAGGATGCACCCCAAGGCCCTCAGTGCCGGGCTTTGGGGTTTGTGCGTAGATTGGGTTGACTTAGCCGAATCAGACCAGTCCTTGCTTGGACGGATCGTCGTCGATTCATGAACACTCTGGGCCAAAGGCGTGCAGTCGAGCACCCGTCAAAGTTGCTTCCCAGAGCACAGACATACGTACTCGTGGCTTAGTCGATGGAAGGAGGCCCCAGCCGCAACTTACTGCCGAACCAGCATGGGCCGATGTCATGCCCAGACCCAGGCCGGACCAGCCAGCACGACGCCGCCACGGACGCCATATGGAACGAGGCGTGGAACAGAGGCGTTATCCGCCAACATTCTTCTGGAGTTCCCTTTTCCTTGGCTCGCCGCTCAGGGCCAGTCGATCCAGCCAGCCCGTCCGCGGAGTGGCGCCCGGTGTGCCCACTTATACAGCCCAGCTTCCCGTCGTCCGGGCGCCGAACGTAGCCGACGTACAGTGCTACTGCTCCCCACAGCACGCCAGGCGAGGCGAGGTACGCGAGATCGGGTCCGGGGAAACAAGCATAATGGGAAAGGGTTGGATGGGGTGTGAAGGGTTGACGGTCTAGAAGGAATGCTGCTTGGCCCCGTCGTTTACGTGAGACTGGGGATCCTGGGGGAGGAAGGGGGCCCGCGTGGAAGTCGTGTTCTGGGGTAGAAAGTCTGGAGAAGGGACAGGGCATTTGGCTGACGACGTGACGGTGCCTCGCTATGCGAGCGGTGCATTTTGCGACATTCGTGCGTGCGCAGGCACACATGAGATACATCTACTACCAGTGACATATCTAGGATTTGGACAAGGTAGCTCTTGCCGGCTCGAAAGCATGGGCAGTGTTCAAAGTATACGGGTGAGGTTTGGGGCATTCCATTTGATGGCGAGGCATGGGCGCCTGGGATCGTCCGCGGCGGCACATGGAAGAGCAAGACAAGCAGCGCCGCACCTACATTCGCCAAGACCCTTAACCGGGCCACCGCATTTGCGCAGTCCGAGCGGTCGGTGCTATGCGTGCTTGCTCGACCACTGTGTCGGGTCACGTCTCGTCACCATTGCTATAGTACTACTACAATGGAAGATCCAACTTCCGAGCTGGCGGCGCCCTCGACGAAAGCAGCGCGAAGCAACACGATGATGCAATAAGAGTCCCAGATGGCTACCCATCGGAAAGGATCAGAAGCCCTCGTGGTGGTGGTGGTGGTGGCGGGCGGCGGCGGCGCCACCGGGGCGTGCAGATGGTCACTTAGGTAGCTCCGGCGCTGGGACGCTGGCACGCTGCCGGGTTTCAAGCCTTCGCCGCAACTCTGCCCCGACGGACGGGCGGACGGACGGGGGTGGTTGTGGTGCGCGTGGGATGGCCGCCGCAAGAGCCGAGATGCATGTCCGATTGATTCTTGTGCCAATCCCACGCCAAGGCCGGGCTAGTTAGCTGTGCCCTCGGCCTGCAGGATGGGAGGCGCGATGTGGCTCTCACCATTCACCGGGGGGGAAGGGGGAAGGCTGCAGTAGTAGTTCTAGCCTGCGGACAAAGCAACCGGGGGTGTGAGAGGGCCATTGTACTATCGGCGATGTGGGAGCTCGTCGCAGCGGACCACACACGGAAGAACAGGACGGCATTCACGTCGGCCAAGACGATGGGGCGAGCTGGCGGTGCGGGGAAGCATAGACAGCTGCCGCTGGCGCTGGCGCTTTCGTTGATGAGCGGCGTTCGTGTCAGCCCGTCGTCCTGCGCCGTGGAGGCGAGGATAGCCCAGCGGTCGAGCGCGAACAGGTTACGATCCTCAGGATAACCGGCAGGGAGCTGGCAACGGTTCCCGCATGACTCGGCGGCCCCCAACGCGCTTCTCAAACCGGCGAGCACATCATCCACAGCAGCTCCGTTCGGGAACCACAGAAAGGGAAGCCGCAGTCCACTTTGTCTCGCCAGGGTCCAGGGTCATCCTGCGCTGCGCTACGCTGCCGGCTGCTGCTCCTCGACTCCACGAATGAACACAACAAAAAAAAAACGGACGGCCGCGGTGATGGTGGTGGTGGAGCCGTGCAAGCCGCCGTGGTGGTGGTGGTGGCGGCAGGGCTCCCACGACGTTTGCGGGACCCGGCCGGGCATCCCTGGACCGCCCGTTTGACCCTCGTGGACGTGGACGTGGACGACGACAGGGACGAACGCTGCCTGTGCCAGCGGAGCAGGCTGCTCGATGCGGACAAGACGAGCGGCCGCGGGAGACGGGCTGGCTGACGATCTCGCCGGGGAGGGCCCGCTGTAGCTGCAGCCGCGGCCGAGATGATGACCGTCAGCCCGCCCGGGAGATGATACGGAGACTTTTTTTGGTTTGGTCCTGTCGTCGACATGTGCGACTCTGCTTGTGGTACTTTACTTTGACATGGCAGCAGCACAAGACGGAGGCTCTTCTCGGGGGAGTATCATCAAGACGACTGGGCGGTTCAAATCTACGGATACGTATATAATAGATTAGGCGAGACGTCAGCGAGCAGGACATCATCGTATTTTGGTATGAGTGTCTCTCGTTTGCCGTGTCTCGCCTGTCGGAGCAGCTTCTCCCCCACCACCCTGTCTGGTCTGTCGGTCATCCAGGCGCAGGGCGCGACGGCTAAAGACCGAGGAGGAGCAGCGAGGATGGTCGCCCGGCCTGCTGTCATTGAATGAGTGAGGCTCCTCATTGAATCCCACTGCCTGTTCCCCACGCGCCACTTGTCTTGGCGAGGGGGACCTGGCGGCCGATGGAACGCGATTTGCAGCAGCTCCAACTGCCGAATGCTCGCCGGTGCGAAGCGGGCAGCATACGCAGCAGGATGAGCATCAATACCGCACATGGCGAGTTTGTTATTACAATACCACAACACTATCATTGCCGGAGTGTGAGAAAGTAGTGGGCAAGCACCTTAGGACGGACCGGGGAGGGGAAGGGGGAAATCCCAGGCCGAACACCGAGGCACGGGTGCTGTCGGCGCCGCTCTGCTCCCTGTGTTTGAACCCGTTTCGGACAAGGTTTCCGTTTTGCATTCACCGTTGTACTAGGTACAGTATGGTAGCAGCTAATGTACCTGCTCTGTATCGCAGAGCAGAGTAGTATTGCCGGAGAGATGGAGCGATGGAGGGAGAGTAAGAGAGAAAGGCAGGGGGGCGACATGGAGACTGACCGACCCAGTTGAGCCGGGCATCCTGCATTCATCCGCAGCAGTAGCGATCAGCAGCGGGTTCTGCTGCGCGGGGCCCTGCGTGCCACGACCTCTGGGTCTTCTTGCTGTCACGGGCATCGATGGAGGAGGAAGACAAAAAAGCAATTCTGCATAAGACTGGAGCCGAGCTTCGCTGTCTTGCGACAATTTGGGATCGTAGTCAGCGACACACTTGGCGACCAACACCACAGGTAAGTTAGTATGTACAGTACCGTGAAGATAGATAGGGCTGCAGAGCAACAAGCACTGTACGGGATACAGTAAGCAACCGACACGCGCACCGCCTCGCCAACAAACCCGTATTGCCGTTGCTGCTGCTTCTCCTGCTGCTGCTATTCACGGAGCGAGCTCCCAGCAGCTAACTTCCCGACCTCCCCACGCGCGCCGAGGCAGCCAGCTAGCCAGCCAGCCAGGATGATTATGCAGTGTTGTTCCGCACCTCACCCTGGGCGGCATGCGGGCATGCGGGCGGGCGGGCAGGTGGGCTGGCGGCGCATGGGAAGGGTAATTATAACTGGAGAAGAAGCCCGGCCTGGCAGCCAGGTACCCCCCCGGGCAAGGGAAGGGGTGGAGGAGGGGGAGAGACATGGAGGGTGTTCCAGAAACACGGCCGGAGTCCGAGCTCTCGCGTCTCTGGCTGGGGCTCTGTTACTGCTGGCTCGTCTCCATGTCCAACACGACGGCGACGACGACGACGACTACGACGAAGACAACGGCGGCGACGGGGTGTTGTTCTTGCGCACAGAGCAGCCGCCCCTCCTCCCCACGTTGCGGATACGTACAATACCACTCGTACGGGTATTATAGTAGCGTTCAGGCATGGCGCTTTGTCCGTCCCCATCGTGCTGCAGCGGCGGCGGGAGACGACGCATTGCGTGTGCGCAATACGTATTATGTACGAGTAATTCCACCTTTGCCTTGGTTAATAAAATGGCGTTATCAAAGAGAAAAAAAGACACGAGTCCCGCCCGCGTCGTGCCTCCTCCTTTCCGTCTCCTCCTCCTCCCCGGGGGCCGCCGCCGATGGGAAGAATCTGCGCCGGTCGAGATGAGGCTCCAGCCCTGGGAGACCCGCCTGCCCAGCCCAGCCCAGCCCATGGAACGGGAGGGAACAGGAAAAAAACAGCCGCAGCGGGCTGCCGACTGCGGCAGCGGCGCCCGTAATGGCAATAGTACGGGACAACAAGCGCAGTGCAGTCACCAACGCCGCAAGACGGTGAGAAAGAGGCGTCCGACCGGTCCCGTGGAGCGCCGACCGGCGATGAGCGGCGCGGCATGCGACGCCCAGCCGTAGCAGGAGCCAGAGTGCGAACAAACATGTGGAAGCAACAGCAGCAGCAGCAGCAGCAACGCCATTACTTAGTAGACGAGCAAAGCGGGCGCCGCGGAGGACTCCACCCCGGGTTCGGGACGGGTTCGAGAATTTTTCTGCCTCCCGCCCCCCTTGGCGATTGTTCTTTGCTTTTCTGTTGAGAGTGCTGACCCTCTGGACGATACGCCTTTTTTTTGTCTTCAGCGGCGGCGCCACCATCACGGGATTTGGTGCGGAAAGCAAAGCACCACCCCATGGGCTGTCCAGGCATCAGGTGAGGGAGGAACAAGTGGGACGATTTGCGGTGCTCCTCCACTAGACAGACTTCCCTCCGTCCGCAAACTAAGAGGGTACGCCGTTCTGTCCCTCCGTACTGTAGACTAAGTGCGGACAGTGCTAGCTTGGCCAACTCGATGAGGCAGTGGCAGAGGGGAGACTTGAAAGACACGCCTGTTGAACGGCCATCTGCCTGTTCTCGCCGCCCCCTTCGTCCAGTAGAGCTTGGCCCATCCAGTCAACACCACCAGAACCAAAACTGGAAACCCCCCCCAGCTTTGCCGCCCTGGCCTGGCATCACATCCTGGGATGCTGGGTCAATCAATGGCTGATCTCTCTCTCCCTTCCCCTCGGTCGTCCATCCATCCGCCCACACATCCATCATCGCCCATTCATCCATCCATCCAGCCATCCATGCATCGTCCATCGGCCGCCGCTCCTCCTCCATCCATGCCCATCCCATCCATCCAGCACGCCCATACACACACCCAAGCACACGCGCACACCCCCCAGGCCACGGCGGCGGCGGCCCACCCGGCCACCCGGCTAGCCTTGGCCCCGACATCCCTTCGTCCACCCGCTGGAGACGTCGCCGTCGTTGTGACGGAGCACCAACGTTAGCAGCAGCGGCCAGCGGTATTAGTCGCGCGACAAGCTTCCGCGCTGTGCCCACAACGCGCCGCCAACCCGTGCCAGCAGCTCCAGCTCCAGCACCAGCCAAGGGCCGCATCGCCCGCTCGTCGACCAGCATGACTGCCAGGCAGGTACATGTCCATCCTCGTTGTGTAGGAGAAGGTACTCGTTGTACGCCCCCCCATCTGGTTCCCCCCCAACCCTGCCACCTCGGTCTGGTCGCCCGCCTGTCCGCCGCATCGCGTCGTTCATCGCTGCCCCAACACGCTCACACAAAGTCTCCGTCCCTGTCCCCGTTGTCTCGTGACGAGGCCCATAGCTGGCCCATGGCGGGACCCCGTCTGAGTCGTCCCTGCAGGGCTCCTCTCACCCGGGGGGAGGGGGGCCCCTCCCAATGGCCTGCCAATGCTAAAATAATGAAATGCTTCTCTGGCTGAGTGAGTGCCTGGTCCCACGCTACGAGTACGTGTGTGTGAGAGGCGTGTCGTGCTGTAGTACGTAGTAGTAACAACACCCTGCTGCTCGGCCTCAACTTGCCCGACCCTACTTATAAACGTCCCGTCCTTCCCTCCCCCCTCTCCGCCCTGCTTCCCCAGGTTTTTGTTCCTTCTCGTCCTTCCGTGTCAGCCTCCTCCTCCTCCTCCCTCTCACCCGTCCGTTGTCTTTTTGTGTTGCTGGCCCTCGGCCGTCCCGATACCCGGTGCTGCCGCCACAGGATACCCACACTTTAACCTGCTGCTACTCCCTCGCGCCCTCACCACCATCACACCACCCAGAGCCCGGACGCCGGTGCCCCGATCCGCATTCCACGCCCGGCACGCACGCTACGCCTACGTACGCGCCAAAAGTCCGCATCATACATCATGTCGACCGAGTCCGCCACCGTCGTGCCCCCGGCGGCCAACGCTGAAAAGGCCGACATCGTCAACTCCAACGGCGCCAACGGCGACCACCACGTTCACCGCCATCACCACCACGACTACTCCCAGATGACGACCGGATTCGCCCAGGCCGATGCCGGCACCCTCAACCCGGGCATGTGGAAGCCCTACGAGCACCGCAAGCTCGCCAATCCCGCGCCCCTGGGCCTCTGCGCCTTTGCCCTCACCACCTTTGTCCTGTCCGCCGTCAACATGCACGCGCGCGGCGTCTCTGCGCCCAACATCGTCGTGCCCCTGGCCTTTGGCTACGGTGGCCTCGTCCAGCTGTGCGCTGGCATGTGGTGAGCTCTCTCTTTGTTTCTTCGTATTTCTTGGCGCGATACGTGCCCAAGATTGTGTGTGTCGCTAAACGAGATGGCAGGGAAATGGCCTGCGGCAACACGTTCGGCGCGACGGCTCTCTCCTCGTACGGCGGCTTCTGGATCTCGTACGCCATCCTTCTGACGCCCAACTGGGGCATCACGGCCAAGACTGGCCCCTACGAGGGCAATGTGTTCAGCGTCCTCGGCTTCTTCCTCACTGGCTGGTTCATCTTCACCACCATACTGCTGCTCTGCACGCTACGCTCGACCGTCGCCTTCTTCCTCCTCTTCTTCACTCTGGACCTCGCCTTCCTCTTCCTCGCCATGGAGCAGTACGCCAACGACCTGGGCAACAAGTCCGCCGGCCTCGCCCTTCAGAAGACTGGCGGTTTCTTTGGCTTCCTCGCGGCGTTCTTGGCGTGGTACAACGCCCTCGCCGGTATCCAGGACAGCAGGTAAGCTCAGACCGGGAGTCCGTGATCCCCCCCTGTCTGACTCGTCATGCTAACGGTTTTTTCTCCCCCCCAGCAACTCGTTCTTCCAGGTGCCCGTTTTCCACTTCCCCTGGTCTGACAAGGGTCGCGAGCGCCGCGGCATCAAGACGGAGCGCGAGCAGGCATGAGGGTAGCAAACATGCCCCCACCTGCACCGTTGTCGTCTGTCGTCGAATTCGTGCGCCGAGCTGAGTAATGAGCCTTTGACAAATAAAACGCGGGAGCCCTTGATGATACCTCTTTGCCGGGACGTACGGAGGACGTGCACCAACCCCGATCGACGTGGAGGGAAGGCGATCCCAGGCCCGCCGCCCATTGATCGGTTGGCTTGGCCTGTCGCCGCCCAACACTTTTTCAAGGTCGACCGGGGAGGGGAGAGAGAGCGTGGGATGTGGTCGCGGTGACGTATTTGGTCCGTACGTAGCCAATCTAATGATGAGACTTTGATGGATGCTATTCTTGTACGGTGCGGTGAAACATGCGTTGGGGAGATCTCGACTCAGGCAGACTCATCATACGCGCGGTTGTGCTCTCGACGGTGCGGTGAAAACATGTGTTGGGAAGATCTCGACTCGGCAGATTCGTTATACGCGCGGCTGTGGCCTCGAAGGGAAAAACTATCTACAAAAGTTCACGATGCGGTTGCCCGTCTGGCCGTGGTCTGTTGGATATCCCGCCCTGTCCCGGAGCAACGGAACCTCGAGGCTCACGGGCATCGGGCCAGCTGAGGTGGCTGGGGAGGACTTCTGTCGAGGCCATTGGTCGATGAGCAAGTCCAACACCAACAGATCGGGCCAACCGGGCGTGGCCATGGTGTTGTGTTGTGCTGCGCTGTGTCGTTGGTTTCGGATAGAGGCCAACTTCAGCACGCACTGGGGCGTGCGGCGAACCCAAGGACGCCATTTGACGGAGGGCTGAGCTACAGGGCAGCCAACAGTGTGCCTGGCCACGATCGATACCGCCGATCACCATGTGTTCGTGCTTCCATAGGCCTAACATGACAGCCCAAGCGTTCTTAGACGCACATACGCCGTGCCTACGCGACGACTGCGCCACGTGGTGAGGAGAGATTTTCACCGGGAGGCCATCCGGCTGGCGAGGCTAAGCTGGCACCTAACTGATATCCCGCGTTGGCATCGTGGAGTTTCATGTACATGCTCCGTACTTTGCTCCGCTGTCCGTACTGTATGTTGAGCGCCGTATGCAATACGTCCTGGACCGTCTGTGCGGCCTCCGTGCACTTACTCACTCGAGGCTGGGCACGGCCATGGAGTTGGGTGCGATATTGATTTATTAATACGGTACTGTATCTCATGTATACAGTGCACCCCCAACATCTTTGGCCGTGCTGAGTGCCGGCCTCGTTACCGCGTGGGATTCGGGTGTGCTCAGTAACGTCTGCAGCCTCCGGAGACTTGCATGCGGCGGTCTGTCGTCTTTGTTCTCGCTTCCCGGCCTCGCATCGTGCCGAGTGAGTCTCACGAGTCACAACGCGGACGGGGGCCGGACGTGTCAGTCACATGGGATCGCGTCAATGCATCCTTGTTCACATGACTGTGAAAGTCTGTTTTTTTTTTTTTTGCACCATTCCTTGTCTCGTAACGAAAATGAGCAGGATCGGAGGAGGTCCTCTCCGACGCCTCGATCTGGGCTGATCCGGTCCGGGCCTTTGCTTCCGATGTATGTGTGTGTGAGACGGGGGACCCAGGGTCCGGGTCTCACATCGGCGCGCGCCGAGCCGACGCGAGTGAAATTCATATGCATCAGGCAGTCAGTCAGTCGTTGAGGATGGACCCCCCGGTCGCCCGCGCGTTTACGTAAATGCAGCGTGGCAGCCACAATAATACTACCACGTACGTATGTATCTGGAATCGGACGTAGGCGGGCATTATTTTGCATGTGCCGCCGTGACCTTTCCCGTTTTGCTCTTTTTCTTTTTTTTTTTTTTTCGTCTGTTCCACGCATTGTCTGCCCGTATTGTGTACTGTAATGTACAAGGGCATCATCTCTTTAGATTGCTCCCCTGGCCCTGTACTGGGAACGAGGCGCTCTGCGATCCACTTTCTTCAGCGAAATGGGCGCCAGCGACCGGGACCACGGCGCCACGCCTCGCTGGAAGCCGCCGAAATGAAGGGGACATTTGGGGCGGCGGCGTTGGGTGCTGGACAGACGGCCTCGATGGATTTGACAGGCCGCTCGCAAGCGCGATGCGTGGCGTGAACGGGCGGCGCCGTGTTATAAGACGAGGCGCCGCTGCGGCAGCTAGACGTGGTCTGCGAGGAGGGGCCAATTGATGCTTTCTCTCTTGTTTTGTCACTGTTTCACCGTTTCAATGTTCAACGTTCAACGTTCAATGCCCAATGTCGACTGACTGTCGACAGTAAGTCGGGCTTAGACGGGCCATGAGCAAAAGAAAATCTTTCGGCCGAGCCGCGGCGGCGGTGGAGACCCGCTTTTCTCCGACGGCGGCGGCGGCGGCGGCGCTGCTCAGACTCGGGCGGTTTTCCTCGTCACCGTTTACCCTTGGTTCCCGCTTATGGTTGATTCCAGGGCGCTTTCGTCGGTGCCTGAGTAGGGCACGCTGCGAATGACTCCTCGCTCAGACGCCCGCCGCAGAGAAGGCCTGCGCAATTGATGCCTCGAGATATATCGTGGCTGTCGAGTGTGTAAGTCATCGGCCCCGGGCACTCGGTCCAACAAACGGATCCAGCCCTCCCTCTCTCTGGCAGCCAGCCAGCCAGCAACCCTCTCCCACCCCGCGTTCCCCAAGGTTTTTTTTGCCGTACCGGAGCGCCGAGGGGCCGCAGCTGTGTGTTTGCAAGGGCGCAGCTACCGTTACCACCACCCACATGCTGCAACCACCACACCAGAGGGCCACAACTCAACCGTCCACCGGCCTATTCCCGACCACCGCCCTATTCCCGCGCCCGCGGCGAGTAGCCAACCCGTTTTCGGAGAGGTCCTCCAATGGCGCTTGGGCGCCCTCTTTTGGGCGGCGATAGACGGGCCAAGTCAGAGTCAAGAGAGGGCGGGACGGCGAGAAAAGTGGCTCGGGGTAGCCCACAACCCCCTCTCTCCCACGTATGGCGGACTCGGACCGCCGAGGCCATCGCTGGCGCTGGCTCCCGGCGCATGGATTCGTTTTTTTCCCACCGGTCTTTTGTTTGTCATGGGCTGAACTGGGGCAAGAAGGCGCGCGCCGCCTGTTTGCGAAACCCCGGGATACTCGACTCTTCAAAAGGGCGTCAACTGCCCGCCCGTTTTCCTCGTTTCCGCGTTGCCCGTTTGGTATGCTCTCTCTCCACGACAAACGACAACTCGATCGCAACCTGTTGGTTCATTTTGCGTAACCAACGTACATATACGTCCTCCGCGTACGGGGACCGTTTCTCCGCCACCTTTTTTGCCTGAGAGAACGGCAGGCCGCGGCGGGTCTCCTTTGGTCACCGGCCGGCAGCGCAGGCGGAGTGTGCGAGCTTCTGAAGTTGAGTGAGTGACTGGCGGGGAGGGGTCACCACCAACAACCCGTCTTCGGACTCGAACCCTGAGGTGTCGATTCGAGAGTTGAGAAGAGTCTCGATCATCGNCCCCCTCTCCCATTCACTGTACACATAACTCCCTCTGGCGGAGAGATGGAGCCCAACACGCCCACGGGAGACAACAACCGGTCAGCTCCGGCACCGGGTCACCACCACGGTCACAGTCTCAATGGCAACAACACCCAGGCGAGTCCCCCGTCCGATGCTCCCGCGCCCGTGGAAAAGGACAGTGGCCAATACGGTGCCGGCAGTGCGAGAGGTGAAGAGCCGGCCGTTGGCGCGGACGATGAGAAGAAGAAGGGCGTCGTCGAGGACGTGAACCTCGACGCCAGCACCATCAACGACAACGATGTCGACAACCGCGGCTTCCACGAGCCGTCGGTCATCCGGACCGCCGGCAACAACGAAGACGAGGAAGAGAGCAGCGGCAACGACAACAACGCCGACTCTCACCACAACCCGCCGCCGCCCCCCAACGGCGGCTACGGCTGGGTATGCACCGCCTGCGTGGCCACCATCAACGCGCACACTTGGGGCCTCAACTCGTCCTACGGCGTCTTCCTCGCGCACTACCTCGCGACCAACACCTTCCCCGGGGCGACGCCCCTCGACTACGCCTTCGTCGGCTCCCTCAGCATCAGCTGCGCGCTGCTGTGCTCGCCCATCGCCACCATCTGCACGCGCGAGTTCGGCACCAAGCCCACCATGCTGGCGGGCGTCGTCATGGAGACGGCCTCGCTGATCTGCGCCAGCTTCGCCAACCGCATCTGGCACCTGTTCCTCACGCAGGGGGTGCTCTTCGGCCTGGGCATGGGCTTCCTCTTCACGCCCTCGGTCGGCATCGTGCCGCAGTGGTTCAGCACCCGCCGGTCCCTCGCCAACGGCTTCTCCGCGTGCGGCTCCGGCCTGGGCGGCCTGCTGTACTCGTTCGCCGCGGGCGCCATGATCCGCAACCTGGGCATCGAGTGGGCGTTTCGCATCCTCGGTATCCTCGCCTTTGTCGTCAACACCACCTGCACGCTGCTGGTGCGCGACCGCAACAAGATCATCGGCTCCAGCCAGCTCGCCTTCGACACCTCGCTGTTCCGCCGCCCCGAGTTCCTGCTGCTGCTGGCGTTTGGCTGGTTCAGCATGCTGGGCTACGTCGTTCTCATCTTCAGCTTGGCCAACTACGCAAACGAGATTGGCCTGGGCGCCTCCGAGGCCGCCCTCATCAGCGCCTTCTTCAACCTCGGCCAGGGCGTGGGCCGGCCGTTTGTGGGCTACTTTAGTGACCGCACGGGGCGCATCAACATGTCTGCACTCATGACGCTTCTGGCGGGCGTGTTTTCGCTCGTCATCTGGGTCAACGCCAAGGTCTACGGCGTGCTCATCTTCTTCGCCATCATCTGCGGCTGCGTGGGCGGCACCTTCTGGACGACCATCGGCCCCGTCACCGCAGAGGTCGTCGGCCTCAAGCACGTGCCGTCGGCCCTGAGCCTGGTCTGGCTGACCATTATGCTGCCCTGCCTGTTCAGCGAGCCCATCGCGCTGCAGATCGTCGCCGGCACCGGCAGCTACCTGGGCACGCAGCTCTTCACGGGCTTCATGTTCGTGGCCGCGGCCGCGTGCCTGCTGGTGCTGCGCGGCTGGAAGATCGGCCAGGTGCGCGAGGTGGCGCGCCTGATCAACGAGGCGCCCGAGCACATCGACCCGGTCAAGGTCGAGAACAACGAGGAGTACAACGCCCGCAGCCGCAAGGTCGGGCGCAAGCGCATGGTGGCCGACTGCTGCGGGCGCGAGAGGGTGTGAGGGAGAGATGGCATCATTGGGCCGCGAGAGTTTCCCCGGTGGCACGGCGTTTTGTGCCGTGGCTCGTGGCAACGTCATGGGTCAACCTGGAGACGTGGAGGAAGCGTCTCGCAAGGCCATGGGAACCTCGTCGGGCGTACCAGACGGTGTATTTGGCCGCCGAGCCGCGCTTCGGTGGCTTGCCGCGCCCGCGGGACGCATCAACTCGGCATATCTGAAAAGAAAGCATGCACTCTTTGCATATTAAGGCGAGCATGGGTCATTGGCGTACGGTTGGGGCATGAAGCTATTACGGCATATTACAGACAAACAGCATCTAGTACATGTAATAATGATATTGCGAGCATAGAGACTGGCCTCTCCAGTGGCATGACGTATGAGAGCAGAGCAGTGGACGGGGTTCAACGTGCAATTCGGCCCGCAGTCACGTTGCTGACCGTTGTGTTGCAAGCCGGCGCATGTCTCACATTGTTTGTCTGTCGTGCCTGGTCTTGTCCCGAAACCCAATCGGGGAGAGGCGATAGAGCCGTTCGGACATATGGGGCGTCTGCAGATACGGACGTGTCGTCCGCATATCGTGTTGATGCGAGGTATTTGAGGGGGTTTCCATCATCTGTGCGTCCGCGTAGATCGCGGAGCCAGCACGTCGAGTAAACCCGCACGGTAGGAGGACAGCCGTGCGATCGCAACGTGTCGAGCTCTTGCGCTCGATAGGCGCGGTATGCCTCGTTCAATTGGGTTCACAGAAGAACATGACCTGGGCTCTGGAGACGTCACGGTCTAGGCATAGGTATTGGCACCTGTGGCCTCACAAGTCACCGAGGAGATGCTGCATGGGATGATGGTCGATTTGACAACGTGCACATATAGAGGGATACGGGCCGACCCCTCTTCCGGGCGCGGCTAGACCCTCCTAATCTGAGCATATGGCAATGACGGGTTTTCGTACAACGTGATACCAGTCTGCAAATCATCCAAGGTATGTGGTGTTCCGTGGGGAGCGGGAAGAGACGCCGCCCCACAGTCGCGGTTGGAAAACTTCTGACGCGACGCACGTGAGGCACAAAGCCAATGGCACGCGAATTCTTTTGCGCGGTTTACAAAGCGGGCAAAATTGGTCAAAGTTGTAAGGAGAGCAAAAGAATATCGATTTTCACTTTATTGGGTGTGCAGGACGTGATCTTGTCTTGCGTACCAAAGCGGTGAGGTGGTTTAGCGGATGGACCCAAGGCGAGTGACAGCTTTCCTGCACATTACTGCGCAACACTACGTGGACAACACCAACGACGGGAATGAAGAGCATAAAAGGGCAACCAGACAAGGGAATTGAAGGAATTGAAAGCCGACACAAAAATCAAAAATCCTACCACAGTGTATCGGCGCTGTGATACTTTGCAAAGTCAACCGGGCGCTCCAGGGTAGGCACGTCCCGGTCACGTGCACGCCCACCACCCACTTACACACACATCGCCACCGACCACCAGACGGACAAAACGACGACAAAACGGCAAAAAGAAGACGCCCGAGGCCTCATAAACAAAAAAATAATCAGCTTGCTCCCTACAGGGGTCGAACCTGTGACCTTGAGATGACCAAGGAATATTAGTCCCACGCTCTAACCAACTGAGCTAAGGAAGCTTTGAAAGCTGTCAAGCTGTTCTTGTTGGAAGACGGTGCGGTATTTTGGACTAAGAAGGTGGCGTGAAAAGTTTTTCTGTGCTGCAGGGGACCCACTGGGCGTGGGGCACCGCACAGCCTGGGTCTCGGGTGCGCGATTGCAGCATGGCCTTGACTACGGGAGTTCCGGATACTGGGCTGAATTCTTTACCATTGCAACTTGCATGTGGACGGAATATGCGAGACCATGGTGGGGGTTCGATTCTGATCACTCGCCAAGTGATATGAGCATCCAATGGCTGTGGGACAAGGCGTCGACGGGCCTCACATCACGAACCAAGCCGACCGGAGCAAAAATGGTCGACATAGAAAAGGACATGCCGTCCACAACCGACCAGTAGCACCATGAGCGTCCCGTGCAGAACTCCAAGGGGAATTTACAATTGGACACCAGAGAGTACGGTAACGCCAGCAAAGCCGACAACGACACCGGCGGCATTCACGACAGCAACGGCAGCAAATGCTTTAACATTGGCGGCCAAACATGAAGAGAAACATGAAGACCTGGTGCCCCTTCTCGTGCCAAGCCCATCCAATGACGTGCAGACACATTGCCGCATGCGGGCGTTGGATTGGGCATCACCACGCTGTGCAGGTGTACGTGCATGTGAAGTGTGCGACACACGCGGTGGTCACGATGCCCGGGTGTCGTCGGAGTCCGGCCCGGCGGCCGGACGCCGTCCTCCCTTCCTCAGCCGGCGCGGCAGGAGCACATGGCCCCGTTCCTGCTGCGCCCGTCTCACTCAAAGCTGGGCATTGCGTAGTCCATATTCCTCTAGCCGTGCGGAGATTATTCAGCATCCAGAGCGCAGCAGTACTGGAATTGCAATGGACAACAATTCTCTCTTCGTTGATCGAGGTGACCCCTCGGCACCTACATCTGGCATCCGGCCCCGCGCCAAAGACGCGCTGCGGTTCCACTGCAGCGGCCGTCGCCCTGCAAAAGCGAGCAACGCCGGCCACTGATTGCAACACGGCGAACCCGCAACGTCCATCCCCCCTCCCTCGGCCCATCCATCCATGCTGCTGCTGCGGCTCGCTCCCGCCGCCGACGCCGACGCCGCGCCCTCTCACGGAGCTTCTGGTCAAATCTCACCTACATGCCGCCGGCGCTGCACGCGGGGGCCTTGCCCCTTCCCCTCCCCTCCCCTTCCTCTTCCCTCTCCTCCATCTTCATGATCCTCGGTCCCTCTGCCGCCGCCGTTGCGCCAACATCTGTCTTGTCCCGGCGCGCGGCCTCCTCTGCGGCCGCCACCACCTCCACTCGCTACAGCTCCTCCTCATCCGTCCTACGTCTCGCGTCTCGCCGCAGCCGCCGCAGCGCATCGTCCGCGTCCTCTGCATGCTCGTGCTCGCGCCGCGTACACTCAAGGATGCTCTCCACCCTCCCGCGGCTGCCCATCTTCGAGGCCGTCGCTCGCCATGACCCGCGTTCCACAGCCGTCGTTCACTCTCTCTCCGGCCGGACATTCACCTACGGCGAGCTCCTCGCCGACGTGAGTCGTGCCCGGGACCGCCTCCGTGATGCCCGCCCCGCCGGCGCCGGACTCGATGGCGAGCGCATCGCCTTTCTCGTCGAAAACAGCTACGACTACGTCGGTACGTCAAGCCCAATGCCCGGCTCCCTCCATATCATGGCTTTGGCGGTTCGAGCCCCAGGCTTCCGCCTTGATATTGGAATTGCCCCTGCTGACTGAAGTCAATCACAGTAACGTTGCTGGCTTGCCTGGCCGCCCGCGCCATTGCTGTGCCTCTATCCCCGGCCTTCCCCGCCCCGGAGCTGCAGTACATTCTCGACCACAGCCAGGCCTGCCTGCTCGTCTCGTCGCCGCGGTTCACCTCCAAGGCCAGCGAGGTGCTCGCCACGGGGCTGGCCTCCCCGCCCACGCACGTCGAACTGCCGAAGCACCTCGGCAGCGGCAGCGCGGCGCCCGATACCGTATCCCTGGATGACGCGGACCCGGCCGGCGCCGGCTTGATGCTCTACACCTCCGGCACGACAAACCGTCCTGTATGTAAAAACCTCCCTTATCTTTCGCCGGGGGAATCTGGGCCCTCCCGAATGACCCAGCGGCCGGCTCTTGAGACCATGACTGACGCAATGGATACAGAAAGGTGTCCTTCTTCCTCAGGCCGTCCTCACGGCGCAATCGCGCTCCCTCATCGAGGCTTGGAACTACACGCCAGCGGACCGACTCCTTCATGTCCTCCCCTTGCACCACATTCATGGCACGGTCAACGCCGTGTTGACGCCCCTCCTCGCCGGCTCTTCCATCGAGTTCATGTTCCCCTTTAACGCCGATGCCGTCTGGCGCCGCCTCGCCGCTCCCTTTCTCCCTGCCGCCAACGGCAGTACCACCAACGGGACCACGCCCGCGTCTCCTTCCACAAATGGCACGCTCACCAACGGCACCTCATCTACCTCCACTCCTCCGCCCCCCACGACTAACGGCACGACGACGATACCGACAACGAACGGAACGGGGACAGCCGCCTCAACACTCCCTCCCCCGATCACCTTCTTCACCGTCGTGCCCACCGTCTACAGCCGCCTCCTCGCCAGCCACAAGCACCTCTCCCCCGCGGTCCAGCTTGCCGCCCGCGACGCCGTCTCCCCAGCGCACATGCGCCTCGCCATCTCGGGCTCCGCCGCACTCCCCACCCCCGTCAAGGCCGCCTGGCGCGACCTCAGCCGCGGAAACGTCCTCCTCGAGCGCTACGGCATGACCGAGGTCGGCATGGCCCTCAGCTGCGGCCTCGCCTTTGAAGACCGCGTCGACGCCTCCGTCGGCTGGCCCTTGCCCTCAGTCCAAGCCCGCCTCGTCGACGTCGACACCGGCGAGGTCATCCCCGAGGACCAGGACGTCGACCCTGTGACGGGCCGCGAGCGCGCGGGCGAGATCCAGCTCCGCGGTCCAACCATCTTCCAAGAGTACTGGCGCAACCCCGACGCCACGGCCAAGGAGTTCGTCACGGACCCCAACGACGACAGCAGCAGCGGGGGGCGCCCCTGGTTTAAGACGGGCGACGTCGCCGTCCGCCGCCCCGTGCCGTCCGCGGGCCACGCCCCCGACCAGCCCTGGGCCCGTGGCCCAATGTACTTCATCCTCGGCCGCCGCACCGCCGACATCATCAAGACGGGCGGCGAAAAGGTCTCGGCCCTCGAGGTCGAGCGCGAGCTCCTCTCCCTGCCCGAGGTCGCCGAGGCCGCCGTCGTCGCCGTCCCCAGCGGCAACTGGGGCCAAAAGGTCGGCGCTGTCATCATCCTCGACCGCGACGTCGTGCAGAAGTGGTCGCCCCTCGAGATGCGCCGCGCCCTCAAGTCCCGCCTCGCCAACTACAAGATCCCCCAGGTCATGAAGGTCGTCGACCACATCCCTCGTAATGCCATGGGCAAGATCAACAAGAAGCAGCTCGTCAAGGCGATTTTCGTCGACGAGACCAGTGGAGATGAACTGTAATTTAGCGTAGACATGTACAACACAACACACACTTCACCAATAGACGCTGGGTAGACAAGCGCGGCCAACATGAATCTATTTTTATGGCCTCTCTCTCGGCGTCCGTCACCAAAAACATGCAATAGCTTCCTAGACGCCGCCGTGAAACTAGATTTGTGCCCAGACGATGCGTGAGTATCGTAAACAGCCGAACCATTGGATCCGGCATGTGAGCGCTGCCATCCGCGTTGCAGTGCAGTCATTCATCCCCAAGCGTCAGACACCAGTGGACGGATATCATAGTCAAATGCCATTTCCCTCCAACACTTGCACTCGCACCCGCCTATGCCGTGTACTTGGCCTTTGCCCTCGTGCTGCCTGCGTGCGCGCTGTCCGTGTGGCCCGAGAACTCGACCAGGGCGGCGGCGGGCAGCTCCAGGATCTCCTTGAAGCGCCGGCCGATGGACATGAGAATCTCCTTGCCCTTGTCGTTGGTGCGGCCCTTGCCGCCGGCCACATCGCCATCGCCGCGGCCGGGAATGCTCTTGCCGATGGTCCGCGTCCAGACACCAATGCGGTAGAAGGCCTTGCGGACGTTGACGACGACACCCATCACCTCGCCGTCGTCCTCATCTTCAAGCGTCTCGCCGATAGCGCCCATCATCACCTGAAGCCAGAGGCGGTCGACGTCGACGCTCTGCTTGTCCTTGTACTGGTACGACCACTTGCCGCCGTGCTTGTTCTGGGGGTCCTCCCACTCGGGTCGGACGCCGGCCTTGAACAGATGGTAGTCGGCCTTTTGCGGGAGAGACGAGACGGGGGCGACATTGTTCTGAAAATGGAGATGTTAGCTGCGGCAGGCCGACTGATCGGACCGAAAACCCACGTAGACTCCCCAGAACTCCTCGACCGAGTCAAAGGTGATGACCTCCTTCAGCAGGTCGTTCCAGTTGTCGCCCTGCTCACGTCAGTCAGCCAAGTTCACGGCGACGAAATGCGGATCCCAGACGCACCTTCCCGCTGGGAGGCTTGGTGAACCACAGAGTCCACTTGTTCTGCAGAGGGTGCTTGACGTTGAAGTTGTCCTTGTCGTGGAAGACGGTGACGGGCTTGTCGTCGCCCTTGGTCTCGGTCTCGTCCTTGCCGTTGGGGGAGATGGGGATCGTCGAGAGGTCGACCTGCTGGTCCATGTGGGCCGATTCGGTCGCCGTGGCCGCCATTGTGCGATGTGATGCTCGGTGGCGATGTGAAAGGGTGATGATGCGATGGCTTGTTGAAGCGGTATTTGGGGTCTCTGGCACGCGAGATCGCCGGAGAGCAAACAGGAATTAGATCGACTATCTCTTGGCCGATGAGAGGGTTCAGCGATGCGACTCTGCTCCAGGCAAAAGTCGGCTCGAGGTGATGGATTTGGCGGGGAGGTGGGCGATGGAAGTTGCAGAGGGATGTGGCTCTGGTGGACAGGGACCCGAGCCGCAAAAATTCCGTTTCGCCAGAGCGTCGCGCCTGCCACTGCGGCCGTGACCTTTATGCCTGAACGATCAGGCACCAATAACGCCCACGCATGAACCAAGCTTCCGCCTACTGCAGGACCCTGAATTTACACCTTTCAGTGGCTGTTCAATGGAGTCGGTGTTTGAATGAACATCAAAGTGGCCTTGCATCCAAAACCCAGGGAAGCGGCCCGAGCATTCCTGCACAGCCTCGTGGACGAAGCGACCATTGTCTCGTTGTCCACAAAAGACTTTGATTACAATGTGATCTGCAACACCTCCCGTCGAGGCGCCTTTTAGAGTCCTTGAAGCCTCACCACAATGAGACGTCCAACACAGACGGGATGGCCACCAAACAAGGCTCATCGTCCAAAGCCCACAATGAGGCACCATGGCGCGTCTCGCACAAAGCGATTTGCCTCCCTGATGGACCCGTGAACCATTATATCTAGGCCTGTACAATGAACAGGACCTCGAGCGACCGACTCTGCACTCCAGCGAGAACCCCATCTGTGATTTCGCAATGGACCGAAGAACACGCTCACCCCTGGCGGGCAGCGACATGAAGACAAAGTATCGAGCGACTCGCAGTCGACTCGACTTTGCCAAGTTCAACGACAAGCTGCCTCACGAGTTCTTTGAGCTGCATTTCTCGCGTGTGTACTCTGCCGCCTACGATCTTGTTCGAGCCGTGTTCGGCACTGAGTCCCTGAAGCAGGATGCGTCGCCGTGGAAGAGCAAGCTGAGCAACACCTTTTGCCGCCACGTCGAGGCCATTTCCCGTCCCGGCATACGCGGTGCGGACTGGGACTCGTTGCTGCGCAATGGTGACGAGCGGACGTACTTGCTTCAGGGTGTCATAGGACGCGCCTTGGATGATCATGTCTTCTCGTGCGGGCTCTTTGGAAGTTCGGAACAGCACCAGGCCCAGCTCCAGGCTGAAGACGCGGAATATTTACAAGTAGAAGGTAAGATGCTGTGGGAACGGCGAACAAGACACCATCTAACACGGCGTCAGGGTTTCTGCGATCGGCAAATCGTGTCGGCCGCAACCTAACATATTTGCGTGGAGAAGGGTCCTTGGAGCCACCGCAGTTCTGGGACGAGGTCGAGGAGGCAACGCAAGCGATCATGCGCATGTTGCTCCCGGTTCATAGGCTAGTGTGCGGCCGCCTGCGCAACCCGGAAGAGTCTCAATCGACCCTCTATCAGAAACTCCACGATATCATCGCCCACGCGGCCTGGCTCAGCGTGGGAATGCAGCTATCCACGTGCATCACCCAGATAGACTGGTTACGGCCCGGCGAGGTGTGTGCGTTTGGGCAAGTCAACGTCTCGGACGACACCTTCGAACGGGGTCGGCGCGAGGCGCTCAAGCTCAGCGGGACGTCGGGGCGAGGCGACTTCGCGCACATTGCGCGTGTCAAGATCTCCGTGGTGCCGCAGGTCACACGTTACGAGGCGGTGTCTGGCTCGGAGGCGCGCAGCTCTGGGCTAACGTCGTACGCAGTGACTCGCCCGCACGCGGTGTACTACCAGGGCTGGGGCCGCGAAGACAAGAATCGGGAGAGCTTGGTGTCGCTGTCGACATATCTTGGCGGCCCAGGACGAGCCGGGCGTTCGCGGGATGGGAAGGCAGGTGCGAGGACGAGGGGCGGAGGACGCTCGAGCAGTGCTATTTCTAAGGCAATTCGGTACGGGTCGCCGCTGGTGGCAGTCTGGGCGGCGTGGAATTACAGCTCGGTGCTTACGGACGATCACGTACGCCAGCATCTGATTGGGTTGGTCAACGAGGTCATCAAGAGTATCGCATGATTACAAGACATAACAATCAGAGAAACGCGACCAACTTCGTGGGATGAACCACAATCTGTGAATATGCCTGCAGCTGCTTCATTATATTAAAGAGGCATCGTGTGCCAAGCTATTGACAGCCAGGACTGTGCCCCTTTACAAATAGGGGACTGGGCAACGGACTCATCGCTCCTAGGGTTGAGTTTCGTCCTTATGCTGTGCACTCCTCGGCGGCCTACAAGATGAAAGAGCTTCCTCGGGGACGAGAGAGCCAATTCTGACACTAGCCCTGCCCTCCTTGTCCACCACCGCGCTGCTCCGTTGCCCTCGTTGCCCACATACAGTCGTAGTTAAACTTCATACTCACCACCAATTGTCAGAGTCACTATCTGTTAGATACCTCAGATCGCAAACGCTAGACATGAGATGCCGATCCCGCCATCTTTACTCTGCGTTGCGGCCCGGTCGCATCAGATTACACCATGGCTCTTTCTGCCACCGTTTGCCAATCTCTCCACCCCACTGTTGACCAAATCTACAAGCCGTTGTTGGTCAATTACAACGTTGTTGAACTGCCACCGATCATCGCCCGTGGCGTCCCCAGACATTTTTGCGTGGGTACTAAAGTAGTCAATGCCCAGCATCTGCGCCAGGTTTCGGAACCCTCTGTGCTGCAGGCCCTCGGGGAGGATCTCGAGCACGGCCGACCCCGGCTGGAGGAACATGCTGTGCGTGAGGCCGGCGCCGTGGACACCCACCAAGAAGTCGGTCTCCCGTGCTATCTCGAGCTGTTGAGCAAAAGGGATGATGCCATAGTCGACGATGCGGAGCTCCATATGGGAGATCCGGTCCCTTAGGGCTTGCATATGCGCATCCTCATCCACGAGACTTCTGGTATTCGTACGGCGCACATATGTGACCATGATTTTAGAGTCGTTCTTCGTCGGCGTGATCACCTTGTAGAGCGCAAGTGCGCGGGAGACAAACGTCTTGACGAGGGCCGAATCCCGGCACAGCAAGTCCTCCCAGTCCCCTTGCCATAGCGTGTTGCTCCCTCCTGCAAAGGGGATAATGATGTCAGACGCGGGCTCCGATGCGTTGAGATCAGAGATGTGGCGAATTGGCATCGTCGCAAAGAGCCTCCACAAGTCGATGTAGGGACCATCCTCATGCTTGTCTATCAGAACGACCTGCATGTTGGCGCCAGATTTGGGTGTGATGAAGGGTTCTCCAGTTTCGGCATCGAGGCTCATTTGGAGCACATCGAGACTCCAGGAAAGGCTCATTATTTCCATGAGTGAGTGCCAAGGATGGCCAGAGCCCTCGCGCTTCACAAGAATTGTGGTTACTTGTGACCGTCCCGCAGGCACCGTCTTGTTCAGGAGAACAGCCTCCTCCATGACATTTCCAGGACCTGTTTCGTACCAGTACCGTGGGAGACCGTGGGTTATATCGGGCACTCTTCTTGCCAATTCATCCGATGTGAGTGGCCTCGGCTCACACCCGAGACGAAACTGTCGCAGCGATTCGTCAAAGACTGCACCACGACCGTGGCACATGGCGTCCACGCGGGTAGACCCGTGAGCAGTGCGGGACATGAAGCAGGTGAAGCGCGAGGTAGATTCGCCACTGCAGAGAGAGACGGCGGATTTCGCGGCGTTCCCAAGGTATCGCGCGCCGAATCTATCCTGGCACCAGAGCGGCTCTGAGATATTATCGGGATGATACTCCAGGGGCAAGTCCGGAGCCCAATGCGGCGACCCGATTTCGGCGTCCGCCCCGGACCGAAATTGGATAAATCTCCTACCAAAACGATCGTGCAGCTGCAATAGAAGGAACGATAGGACTATGAGCACTGCCAGTGCAGTCACCAATGCCGAAACTCGGCGTCGGCCACAGACGCGTAGAAACATCCTTCACCTATCAGGGGAAGACGAACAGAAAAAAGGACGAATCGCCGCATCGAAATGATGGAGATAGTGGCAGAGAGCACGAAGCGAGCCAGTAGTCGGTTTGAATAGGACACGATTCTTGCTTGGCAGCGAGTATTAACTAGTATTAACATCATGCGGTGAAAATTGGGTCAGGCTACAAGCTTGCAGCAGCCCTGGCTGTCGAGATGCCGACTTTAATGCAAGCTGCCGGGTGTTTCAGTCTTATAATTCGTACTATAGACCCTGAATCGCCACTCGCTGGCAATTGTCCAAGCCCGAGTCCACAGGCCATGGAGTTGTGAATATATCGTATTGTTGCCTGATAATAAGACGGCGCCGCAACGGCAGCTTCCCATGAGGCGATTTTGACTGGGAACCACAGGCATGACCCCTGACACGACAGAATCTTAAACAGCGTCCGCCATAGGCAACAGGAGCGAAGATTGAGGTTGAAAACCTACGCGTGCGAGAACTGGTAGGGGTAGAAAGTGGCAGCCCACCCAAGGAGTCTGAAAGTGGACTGCTTTTCGGGCCTGTCCACAATCCCCCACCCGATGGAGATGTCACTACGAGAAATGGATCAGCTGAATTATCAACATGATTGGAGCGCGGCCTGGGCAGTGGAACAACTTATTTGCGTATATTAAGTATTGAAAATACCTAGAGAAGGTTGTCTAGATATCCACTCTTCCCGATGTGTACGTAGCCAGCACCAGACGAGAGCAGCGAGAGCACGAGCAACGAGGGCAACGAGGGCAACGAGGGCAACGAGGGCAACGAGGGCAACGAGGGCAACGAGGGCAACGAGGGCAACGAGGGCAACGAGGGCAACGAGGGCACGTGCAACGAGAGCAACGAGAGAGGTGACACATAAGAAGCAGTCGCGGACACTTAGGCTACGTTGCGAATTGACACTCTGGCCCGATAACTGTTAGTGATTTTCCTGTGCAGCGGCCGATCCCGTCAATTCAGCACTTCCAGTCCCTTGATTGCAAGCTTGCTACGGTTCGCGCCTTGGACATTGAGCTGGAACTCCGCTGCGGACTTAGGCCGGGAGCGACCCGAATTGGGGTGTGCCGGGTTGTCGGGACAAGATTCGGCGACTTCGGCGGAGCCTCCGGAAGCGGCCCCACCGAACGCCGAATATCCACATGCAAGTCCGCCGCCCGGCCAGCCTCATGCTACTCGGGTCTTCACCAGCTAGAATAAATACATAGGGTGGTCACAGTTCTGGCCACAGCCCCGATTGGAGCTCGTCATCCGGTTGTTGAAAGAGCTTGGCGTCTGTCGACATGGAAGACCTCCCGCAGACCATGCGCTCGCTTGTCGCGCCGCGGGCCCGGTGCACGCCCGCCGACTACCTGATCCAGGACATGCCCGTCCCGAGTATCGCCATGCCGACGCAGGTGTTGATGCGCATGCACGCAGCTTCGGTCGGACCGGGGGAACTCCAAGCCATGGCAGGCTTCATGGGCAGATTTGTCACGACTGAGTAGGTCTCCCGCTCCCTACCATGAGTCTGGAGTAAACGATTGACGTTGGACGTCACAGGTATCCATTCAAGATTGGCGCCGAAGGCTCTGGCATAGTCGTCGCCGTCGGGTCTGAAGTCAAGGGACTCCGCGTCGGCGACGAAGTGTACGGCCTATACATCGACAAGCCCATGTTCCGGCTTCCCTCGCCCCCCGGCTTCGTCTCCGACTATGCCGTCGCAGAAGAGCGCTTCCTGCTGCGCAAGCCGCCCACTATGTCGTGGGAGGAGGCTGCTGGTGCCCCGGGCTCCGTCGTGACGGCCCTGCAGACGATCCGCAGGGGTCTCCAGCTCGGGGGCCTGGAGAACCTCGAGGGTAAGACGGTGTTTGTGCCCGCAGGGCTGGGCGCCACCGGGTCTGTCGCGATACCAGTCGCCAAAAACGTCTTTGGCGCAGCCAGGATCATCACCACCGTGTCGACCGCAAAGGTGCCCTTGGTGGAACGCTACCTCCCCGGCATGGTGGACCAGGTAATCGACTACCAGACGCAGAAAATCCAGGACGTGGTGCCTCCGGGGAGCGTCGACTTCATGTACAACACTACCTTTGCGACCCTGGACGATGGCATCCCGCTTCTGAACCCCACGACGGGCATCCTCATGTCCATCGCGAGCCTACCTTCCAAGGCGGTGGCACGCGAGATCGTCGGCGCAGACCGATTCCCGTGGCTGCTGGGCGCGGTTCTGGACCTTCTTCAGCTGCAGTACTGGTGGAAGCTCCGGGGCACCGGCATACGATATGAGTTTGTCTCAGGAGGGCCCCAGATCAGAGAGGATCTAGAGTGGGCCGGCGAGGTCGTGGCGCGGGGCAAAGTCAAGCCGGTGGTGACGAGTGTTGACTTTGATGACTTGCCGGCCGTTCAAAAGGGCTGCGAGGCTACCAGAACGGGAAAGGGCGGCATCGGCAAGTTCGCGATGCGCATCAAATGAACTATCGATATTGTCAAACGGCTGGAGTGTGGCGTTGCGCGCTTGCACGTTGTCTCTCTTTGCACTTTGGGGAGTGTCTCACAGGGTCATCCCTGGCAAGAACATACGACTAGAGTCGACAAAGACAAGGTAACCTGGGCGTCAGTCTCGTTACACGGCACGGAGAAGCAGGAACAGGTGGTGCGATACTACGTACACCGCTTAGGGCGGGCCATGCAGGTCGGGGGCTTGATTCATAATAATACACACACATATACCTCCACGTCGAGATCTTGAAGATCGCCAACCCCACGGGGCGGAGGACGTAACTACTACCGCAACGCTAGCTCGATGCAACTCTCTGCGACACGCGGAAAACGCGCTTCCGACGACCTGTGCCTGGGCGACATCACACCATGTGTCGCGGCGTCCCAGGGGTGACTTCGACCCTCGTGGTGACGGTGATGCCGTCCGCCTCTGCGCTGCCGCCGCTCCTCCCGCCCACGGACGACGCGCCGCCCCCGCTGACCTCGTTGCGCAGCCACCTGTTGTACGCGAGCCCGTTGTGGTTGTCCTTGGAGTCGACAATGTGCTCCTCGCTCGAGTTGTCGCCCAGCTCCATCATCTGCTTGTTGAAGCGCCGCTTGGACATGGACCCGATGGTCGAGGTCGCGCCGCCGGGCATCTGGTCCAGCGAGTACTGGTTCTGGTTCTTGTTGTATCCGGGCGTGGCGCCGCTGCTGCCCTTGCTGGAGACGATCCAGCGGCTCTTGGAGAAGAGGGGCTTGATGGCCGCGGCGTTGACGGCGATGATGCCGACAAACTAGAATAGCCAGGTTAATCGACAACACTCTATACTTGCTGTTACGGGAGAGGCGCGGCTTACGGTCTCGCGGATGGCCCAGATGGTGCTGACGTTGATGCCCTGAATGTCGCGCAGGGACAGAACGCATCGGAGGATAGTGGCGACAATGATGAAGACACCCGAGCAGAGCAGCACGCCAATGGCAAGCTTGCGCCCCAGTGTGATTTTCACCTTCCACAATAGCGGAATTGGGATGCTCAGAATGACGAAATCGGTCCTAGAGACGACGTCCATCAGCACTACGGTTCAGCCAGGGGTAATGGGGGCTTCTCACGTCACGTTGAGAACGACCAGAGTCAGGTAGTTGGCCACAGCCAGCGTGCACTTATCTGCAACCCCGTCAGTACTCCTTGCTCTCGCCGCAGTCTTCAAGACGCCTGTTCCAAGACCTACCGCCAGGATACGGCACGACCTGCCAGTTCTTGTGCACGGGCGTGCAGTGCCCCCAGATGGCGCCCATGACGCCCGCGTAGGCGAAGAAGCACGCCAGGCCCGTCCACTTGACAAACTTTTGCTGCGTCAAGCCAAGCCTGCGGATCAGATTCTGCGTCAGCATACCCGTGTCTCTATGTTATTGGCGCACCAGGTTCAATGTTGCCGACGTAAAAGGGGAGGAGGGTGCTGTCGTACGTGATGCGGTTGTAGAAGCAGAGCATGCAGCCTTTGAGCGCCCATATCAGGGAAACGTAAAAGTTCCACCCGGCCAGGAGGCACTTGGAGCCAAACTCGAAGCGCGCAATCTGCTCATTTGTCAGGGTGGCGCCGACATCGTCTGTGATGCCGATGTTGGTGCCATATTGTCCTGGTCCAGAGTCAGTTGCCCGTGGCTTCGATGACCATCGCCCTTGCTCGCAGGTTGCATACCGATGAGTTCCAGCATACATAGTTCCAGCTGGTTATCCAAGTCAGCATCCAACGGGAAAGACGAGGGGGTTATGCAGCCTACCGTCCAAAACAGAAGCACGAGAATAGCAAAGGCATCGTCGCCTCCCCACCCCTTCAACCCGACCGTCTTCCAGCGCGCAAAGAAGCGCAGAAAGAGAATCACGACGCCCAGGCCGTACTCGGTCCAGGCCTCCGTCTGAAACGGCGTCGCCATGGCGCCGAGTGTCTCTCCCCAGGAGATTCAAGCAGCAGTGGCGCCTTTCAAGCCAAGAACTCGTAGTCCCACGGCACAGGTCTCGATGTTGTCCTCGGTTTGGGGGTATGAACAACCAGGCCTCCTTCGCGGTCTAACAACCGCAGCAAGAGAGGCTCATTCGATGTAGTACAAGCTTTGCGTTTGCAGGAGGCCAAGATCCGGGGTGCCGGGTCGGGACATTTTTGACCTCCAAGTCTCCCTGGGAGTTTCCACCCAGCCTTCAAGTCCATCATCGGAGTAATATTTCATGTGCCGCGACTCGCTCCTTGACTGGCAGCGCGCACAGACTGGACTGGACAGTAACCGGCGGACGGAGACACCACATGCCGGCCATCTCTGCGTCTGCCGTGCGTCCGAGTCGTTCACCCGCCCGGGTCCCCTGCCGTTCCGTCGGGGGGCAGTCAGTGGCCGGGGGGGCGCGCGGGCGGGCGTACATCTGCGGTCGGTCGTCCCAGGCTCGCCAAGCCCCGGCAACGCTCTTTCGAGGCAGCGCCCACCGACGATCAGGCACCGCGCAATACATATGGGGCCTGGCTTGCCGTGCCAGGGGGGAGGGCTCAAGTTGGCAGATAACGGCGATCGACGACCTCGTGCGGGTTTGGCCCTTCGGCGGTGTCGAAACGTAAGAAGGCGCTGGCGAGGCGTCGGCCTAGCAAGGATGGCCGGCCGATTGTTCACGCACGGACGGTGTCGCCATCTTGATTCTTTCAGTGCGTGGACGTTGACAAAAAGACCGCGCTGCAAAATGGGGTGATTCGTATTCGTCGTTGACGAATTACCGACCCAACGGTTCGGGGGCTAAAATGTCAACCCCTACAACAAATAGACCGACCGTACAGAGTGAAGGTGGTGCTGCGTACGGATATTGAAGTAGTGGTTCAGCTGCTGCTCGCTGGCGCATGTAGGCCACAACTCAGCTGCGCGCTTTTGCAGACTTACACGACCAGGAGACAGGGACACCACGACTCGTGAATATTGGGGATGCAGCCACGCAGAGCCGTTCGTCCATCTTCACTGGAGGGGAGCCATCCCGTCTCCTCCCAATGCCTATCCTGTCTCCATCCCGTCCTGAGCCATCCACCAGCCCGCCCACGAGGTCGCAATCCCCTGGTCCTGGCCCCAAGGTATGCGATAGGTCAGCCACGGTGTGTCGTGGAGCAGCTCCTGTTCGAGTTTCTCTTGGTTCCGTCCGCTGCTCCCCTGGCTTTGCCCTGGTATCTTCCCGGCGGGCTGTCACTTGGGGGCTCCGCCGCGGGTCCGCCGACTCCGCCCTCGCGCAGCTTCCC